TGGGGGGGGGAGAAAGGGGAAGGAAACCTCTCGAGGAGGTACCCAGGGATGCCGTTTGGTGCTCACCTCCCCTGCAGACAGATATTTAAATCGCCAGGTGCAAAAGCCACTGAAAGTTCAGGCTGAGTCACGGCTCCCAGGTTTGACCCATTACCAGGAACGAGGGTGGGCCCGGCAGGAGAGGAGGCTGAACGAGGCTGGGTCCTCTCTTGGGGGGTCTCTCCTGCTCCCAGGGCCCCTTTGGGCTCCTTTGGCCCAGCTTTGGTTCTCCTGGAGGCAGCAGGAGCCCGGCTGTGCTCCTTGCAACCAAAACCCAGCCAAGCTACCACAGCGAATTCATAATCAGCGAGGGAAAGAAGCTCCCACCAACTTGACCAAGGGCTTAAAGCTCTCCCTCTCCTCCCACTCTGCCCTGGTGTTGGTGTCAGATGTTTTCTCGCTCTCCATCTGATACGGGAACACAAAGCAGCACCAAACCCGCACTCGCAGAACCCGGGCGATGTGCGGCTAAATGCTGTGAAATCGGCGTGCCTGGGATCAGACGTTCCCCGTGTAGTGCAACGAGCGTGCCGGCAAATCTGCCTCCGCCTTTAGCCACGCTGCTGCTGCAAAAAAAAAAAAAAGGAGAGGCAAAAACCCCCCTGGCTTGTGGCGTGTCCACACCTCGGTGCTGGGGATCCCGGTCCTCACAAAGCCACAGGCTGCAGGGCCCAGCCTAAATCCTTCCTCGAGGGCTTTGGGAGCACGGCAGCAGGAGGAACGGGGAGATCAGGGCTCTGCAGAGCTCTCCGCACACGTGGGCGAGGTGCAGAGCATGAAAACGAGGGCTCGGAAAGCTCAGGGTACTGCCCGACGAGCTGCAGCACGCAGGGAATAAAGGACAGGGGTGATCCCGGCCGCTTGGTTTCATCGAGGTGAAAAGAAGTTATTAGGAACAGCAGGACCCCAGGGACCTCGGGGCTGCCCAGCACCTTCAGGGTAAGCAGGTCAAGAGGGTGCGAGTTGTGCCCACACAAGGGGGTCACCGGTTACTCCGGAACAGGGCTCAAAAAACCCAAACCTCGCTGGAAATTTCTGGCAGGTTGCTGCAGAAGGGTTTGTCCTATACAGTAGGAGGGCAGAGATTTTTCTTGTAAGGTCTTTGTGGACAGGAAAACATCTCTCCTCCTCCTCTCTGAGCTCACCATCCCAGTCTCATGTCCCACCAGAGCAAGGCACCGGACAGATCCTGGAGGGTGAGCGGAGCAGGAAGGGTCCCTGTGCTGGTTCATTGTCACAAACCCACTGACAGTGCACATTTTGGGGGAGAAAACCCAAGGGGAAAGCCTCAGCAGGCAAAACCTTATGGCAGAGCATCCTCACGCTGGACCCAGCAGAGGATGCCAACCTGTTGTCTGAGCACAGGGTTGGGGAGATCTCCTTGGAGAAGGGGAGCAGGTTTTCCACATGAAGCAGCACGTTCCCCAGCCTGATCCAGGGGTTGCAGCTAGCATGCAAATATCCCGTATTATTTCTCACCTGCTGATGGGTCCTGACCGTGGGAGGATTACGCAGCCGGCCCCAGACGGCCCTACAGGCTGCAACAAGGGCTCCCCGACGGGGCAGCCTCTCCCTCCCCAGCCACCCTGCCTGCACCGCCCTCGCTCGGGGCTGCCCACCTCCTCCAGAGCTCTGAAATGGTAACACACAAAAAAAAAAAAAGCCCCAAGCTGAACTTTGAGGCCAAAACGGGGTTTGAAGCGCAAGGGGAAGGGGGGGTGGCGAGGGAAGGAATCTGAGTTGCATCACTTGGAAATACCCGCGCGCCGCGGAGATGTACGTACATGTTCGGCTTCCTACTGCCTCTTCAGGAAACTGCTGGGGAGCAGCAAGGCGACACCAGAAAGAGCCCGGTGACATTTGCCTACAGCAAGTAAAAACAGCCTTGAAACGAAGGCAAGTTGGCCCACGTGCGAAATATTCCCCTCCTCGGAGCGAGGTGCTGCGGGGGCTTGGCTCTCCAGGCAGCCAAGTGGGGCAGGAGAGGTTTGGAACAAAAACCAGTCGAGAACTTTTGCCCTTTGCCTGGCCTCAAAACCAACCCAGAGATTTTTAAGAACATGGACTGAAACTGCCTTTAATTCCCTTTAGCAGAATCGACCACCGTGCCCTTCAAGAGGAGGAAAATAAATCGGAGGGGAGAGCTTTATTTCCAGCCCAAGTTTTGGAAGCCCAGGCTGCCTCCCAAGCAGCTCTCCTGCAGACAGAGCTGCAGCCAGCCCCGAGAGCCTGCTGCCACCCACACAGGCTCGCTGAAACCCGGGGAGAGCACGTGGACGGTGCTGCAGGCATGCTCCTGCTGGTGAGACGGGACGTGGCTCCGGAGGGGCCAGCCTGGGTGCTTGGTTCGCTCCTAAAACTCCAAGGAACTGTGCCGGGTCCGGCTCAGCCATCTGATGTGCTGGGTTAGAGCAGACCTGGCACTTCCCTCCTGGTTTTAATCGAGGCTTTGCTCCGCTGCAAAAGGCAGATCCACCCTGCTGACCCTCCAGGTTCTCCCTTCTGCAAGGGAAAAAGAGGGAAATGTGACAACCGGGGGCTTGATGCTCCATTTCCAAAGCCACCGTGAGCCACCGAGGCAGCCCGGAGCATCCCAGCTCGACGCCTGCAGCCCTGGGAGCAGGGCTGGTCCCTGTCCCTGCAGCATCCCCAGCCCCTGCTCCCCCCTCCACGTCCCCTGGCGAGGTGCCCGGCCTCTCCCCCTGCCCGGTTGCGCACTGGGGTTGGTGCAGCGGGGAGGCCAGGTGGCTCCGCTGCGTGCCAAGCGGCTCCGTCTCACCTGCAGCGACTTGTCGAGGGGGAGCTGCGGCTCTGCCCTTTCTTGTCTGGCTTTAATCTGCCTGGGGAGAAGGGAGAAAAAAAAAAAAAAGAAAGAAAAAAAAAAGGAGCGGGGAAGGGTAAACACAGCTTAGGCAGCTGCAAGTCCCGGCAACTGAAGGGCTGAGCAGGTGATTCGGAGCGGGGGGCCGACGGACACCCCCTGCCTCCCACCGACAGCTCCTGGGAGGTGCTGGGGGGAGCAAGACGGCTGCTGGGGCTGCAGCATCCATCGCTGGTCCAGCAAAGGCAGGAGCCGGGGTAAAGTATTGCCTCTCTCTCTGTTTTACCACCTCCCTTCCAAGTCTGGTGCCACCCAAAGGATGCAGGACCCCAGATGAGCAGGCATGAGGATGCGTGACCCCCCCTTGGACACTTCGAGAGCATTGAACCTACAAAATGTGGCTGCACCGACTGCCCCAGCTCGCAGCTTCCTCAGCATCACCCTGTGCAGGTCCCAAAAGGGGGCTGAAGGCTTTTGGTACACAACCATATGACTTTTCGCAGTGTCACAGCCATGGTGCAACCCGACCCAGCTCCTCCCGTGTCCTTTGGGATGCCGGAAAACCCACAACAGAGCCGAGCCCAACCCCGGGGGTTTGCACAGATGCCCCGTGCGTGGTGGGAAGGCTCAGGACCAGCGGTGTTTGGTCTTCAGCCAGCCACGGGGACAGATGCTGCCATGGCTCGGGAGAGGAGGGAGCCTCTTCCAACGCAACCAAACCACCAAAGCCGCAGCCCGAGCGTTGCCCAAGCCCTGGTACCCGGCCCAGCCGAGCAGGCAGGGATGCTGGGGCTGCCCCAGCCTCGCTGGTGAGGTGCTCCAGGACAGGGCAGGAACACAAGCGGTGATGGATGAACACAGGGCAGGCGAGAAGAAAGGGGCAGACGGGCAGGGACGGGCAGCGACTGCCCCAAAACTAGGGCACGGCTCCGGAGACGACGGGAGACGTCTCCCCGGGCACCACCCACGCGGGATGAGGGAGAGGAGCCGGGCTTGCCCCACGTGTGACAGCCACCCCACGCGACCCACGCCGGCCCCACAGGCAGGGCTGGGCAGGCAGCACGAGCCCCAAGCCCTGCTGCAAATCCCGGAGAGCCGCCGGGGTTCCCACCCACGCTCCATCCCTCCTCCTCCTCTGCTTCCCCCCCGGGGGCATGGGGTTCCCGACGGCTGGGTGAGGCTTCTTGGCCCTGCAGGGACTTTTTGGCTGCTCGGTGTCTCTGGGAACAGCCAGGACCTCGCAGATCTCCTGCCCCTGCCTGCCTGGACCCCGCTCTCCGTGCAGGGCACGGCTGCACCCAGCGCACCCCGACATCTGCCCCAGCCTCGGCCCCGGGGAGACGGGCGAGCCAGTCAGACCGGGCGAGGAGCCGGCCTCACCTGGGAAGCATGGGGAGACCAGTGCTCCCAGTTACCTCCCCAGCAGGTCAGGACGAGGGCCCTTCATCTCCCAAGCCTTTGCCCTAGTTATTTGCATTCCTGTCCCCACACCCTGCCCGTAGCGGCGGGGATCGGGATGCCTATTAGGGCGCAGCGAGGCGCTGCCCTGGCTGCAGGGAGCACAGGGGAGGTGAAGTGGCCGAGCCAGAAGGGAAAAAAGGGCTCAGCAGGGCCAGCCTCCGAGGCTGAACCCGATCCCACACACATTTGGGGTGCATTTGGGGCAGGGCAGATGAGAGGACGGGGCTGGAGGGTCCCAACTGCACACGCAGACACCGAGTTGGGTGGGTGCCCATGCTCGATGCTGCTACATCCACGCTGGCGTCTGAGGCTGTGATGGGCAAGAACGCCCCCAAAAAGTCACATCGATTCCTAATCGGCACCTCCTGGTGCCCCAAGTGGCACCGGTTTGTGGTGAGGGCTCAACACGCCTCAAACTTTTAGCTTAACCAACACCAGAGGGATAATAGGACTGGGGAAGAAACCTGCGTGTAGGGGAGGACGAATCAGACTGAAAAACGCCGAAAGAATGAAATTAGAAGAAAAAAATGGTGGGGAAAATAGAAATGTGGGCAGAACTAGTCAGGCTCTGGCAGCAGTTTAAACTTCCATGTGTTTAGATCCCCGATTCGCCGGCCAGAGATGCTACAACAAATGTCACCTTCACGCCCGCACCAGAACTGCAATTTTCTCATCATCCTTTTTTTTTTTTTTTTTTTGTTTCTCCACCCTTTCCATCCCTTTCTGAAGCCTGTTCGGAGGCGAACCTGTTGGGGGGCAACCCCCGGTACCCTGCAGGAGCCGAGTTTTCCCTCCTTGCTTTCCCTCCCCTCTTTGTCCTGCTCCGGCGCTCCCGCACGCACCGGCTCCCTGTCAAGTTTTCTGGCGGATCCGGAGGGAGACGCGGGTCCTGCCAGCCCCAGCATCCAGCCAACTGCTCTTCCCCGGGCGCTGCAGTAACCATAGAAACTGCAGCCAACGCGCAGGCTCCGCTGGGGGGGACCCCGACGCGATGCTCAGCCACATGCACGGGCAGGTAGGGAACCAAACCAGACAGGGCTCCACCAAAAAAAACGCCTCCAAAACCATGCCTGGGGCCGGCCAATGCGCCAGGAGGAGGCTGACGGCGGAGGCTGAGCTCCCCGGAGCCTCCCCAGGTTGCTCCCGAGGCTCGGGGTGATGGAAGGAGGTTTTTTGGCTGCTGGCTGGTCGTGGAGCTGACGGTGCATTTTATGGGGAGATGGGAGAGGTGAAATCGGGAGGATTTTGGTGCTCGGCTGTCTCCGTCTGCCCCGCAGGCGAGGTGGGGACCCGGGGCAGCAATCAGCTATAAATCCTCCGCTCCTTTTTGCACCGTGGGTATAACCAGGCCAAATCCCATCCCTGGCTGTGCTGGGGAGGCACACGCACCTCCGAGGGCGAGATTTGGAGCGGCACAGCTCGGTAAGGAGCTGATCCAACACCGCGTTGGAGAGACCAGGCTGGCACACGGATATAGGCAAACACAGAAAACGGGGACACCTCGGGGCCACCAGCTGTTGAGCTCATCCCTTGTCCCCATCGCTCCGGCACCGACAGCAGCAGAGCTCCCATTTTGCAGGGAAGCGTAAGAACCTACCAGAAATTAGGGGGGGTTAAAAATACCAACGCTTCTACCTTTTTAAGCGCACACACCAAAAAATGAGTTCGCGCAACTGCCCGGCCCCCTCCTTCATTTCTTCCCACCCACCCCCCAGCTCCAGGCCATAAATACCCCACGAAAACCCCACGTGCAAACAAGCCGCGGCCTCTGCGTAAAGAGGCCCAGCCTCCGAAGGAGCCACCCGGCTCCTATTTTGGGCTGTGACTCCTCGGGGTGGAACAAGCCGGCTCAGCTGTCCTCCCTATCCACAGCCCCCGGCTCCAAGCCCTCAATGGCCCCATTTTTCGGGGCCGGGAGCTGCGCTACGGGGCCAGGGTGGCCCCCCTGGCTCCCCGACATCCCGCAGGGCACGGGGCTCCAGCAGGGCACCCGGCACCCCTGCAGCCCCCCCCAGATGAAGGAGAGGAGGGGGATGCGCCCCAGCATACTCAGGGTCCCCTCCCTCCCCGAGGATGACGTGGGGTGAGACAGACTTTTCTCCACGGGAAGGATTTTTTTTAGGGGGGGTAAAATGTGGGAGTACAGCAAAATGAGACGCTTGGGAGTTGAGGTCTCTTCTCCCACCCCAAAGACATGGTGTAAAATCTTGCTTCTTCCCCATCCAGCTGGCCTTGTCTCGCTTCTTTCTGCCAAACCCAGGAGGGGTGAAAGCACTCCCCTGGGCATCTCCTGGCCCCAAAACATCCCCAAAGCGGGCCGAGGGATGGCCGGACACGCACGCAATCCCTCCGAGACACCCGGAATGGGTCCCTGCCCAGGCTGACACACTCGAGCAGATCCCAGATCGGCAGGAGATCCGGCACCCAGGGAGGTGCTCGGGGACGGGACGGCCCTCCTGCGGCTCGGCACCCCGCCAGTGAAAATCAGAGCCCTGGAGCTACGGCGCTGAGCAGCTCCGGCACCCTCCGCCCAGGCGGTGGCTTCAAGGGCTCTGCTCGACACGCAGCCACCTCCACCAGGGGCTGAAATTTTCCTAGAGGTCAGCGTCAACATTTCTTTTTTTTTTTTTTTTTTAAACTCCCAGGAGTTTCCCAGAGAAAGATGCAAGGGAAAGGGTTGAAAAAATCCCTTCCGTGCGCAGCGCGAGTGAAGCAGCCTCAGCCAGCTTCAAACACCACCCAAGGAAAAAAAATAAAAAAAAAATAAAAAATAAAAAGAATAAAGAAACCCCAAAAGCAGCTCAACCTCCCCTAAACCATTGTTCTTTACGGTCCAGAAGGGGGGTGAAAATGCCTCGGGAGCAGCAGCGGGGCATCGCTCCCACCACCAACACACGGCTACAAGGGGCCGCATCCTGCGCCGTGTCGCACCTCGTCTCACCCTGTGCCTGCTCCATGTCGTGGTGCAGCATCCCACCGGGGGCTGTTCACGTAGATTTAGCCCGGGGGGGGCTCCCTGTACAACCCCAGCACACCCCACGTGCCCACCACCGACCTCCCCGAGCCAGCCCCGTGCGCAGCGGTGCCACCGCGTGCCGGCGGGTGCTGCCCATGGACACGAGAGGTGCCTCCTTTCTGCACAGCTCCTTTCTCTCTCCTGAATGAGAATAGCTCTCCTGGCAGCGGAGCCCACGCGCAGGAACAGCTTGCTGCTCGCACTCGAAGCAGGGAAGCAGCACCCGGCACAGGCGAGCTGCTGCCGACGGCGTTATCGGGGTTTTAGCGACTGCTGCCCTGGTGCGAGGCTGTGCCGACCCGAGCGGGGATGCGCAAAGCAAAGTCCTCCTTTTTTTTTTATTTTTTTTTTGGATTTTCCCTCGCACACACGCACGCGAGGCACCGATGGGGGCGGGGAGGCCCAGGCTGCGCTGATTTATTGGAGGAGATACAACTTCAAACCCGCTCCCCCTCCCAGCAGTTCCGCAGCTTTTCGTATGTAGCGGGAGCGCTTCTCGTGCTAGCCACGCAGATTGCCTCCTGCGCCTCGAGCCCAAACGAAGAAAGCAGCCAAGCAGTCCCCAAACCAGCTACAGCCGACACGTGGCTCCCAAAACCAGGGGGAGAGGCAGCATGAACCTCTTCCTCCCAGCACGTCCAAAATTTGGGGGAGAAGACAACCCATCACCCCAACGCACTGAAGGGCGCGCAGTTTCACCCAGCTCCCATGCTCTTCTCGCCCCCAGTGTCCGTTCCCCTCTTTGGGAGAGTTTCTTTGATGGATTCCAGGAAAAAGCCAAGCACAAACCTAACTGGATCCTCTCCCTCACCAGCTTTCCTTGTAGGATTTCTCTCCTCTGGCCTGACCCCTCCCTGTGCCATGCAGGCATCATTCCTGAAGGTCATTTAGCAATTGCTTCCTTCCCGTCTTGACCTCTTGTATCTTTTATTCTGCCACTCGCCCCACCTCAGTTCGCACGGGAGGATCTAGCAGAACAGCCAGGTCCTTGCTTAAGACCTGGAAGAGCCCCGTGATGCAAGTTCAGGAGGTTTTGTGGCTCCATAGCTCCACGTCCCCAAATTGCTGCTGGAGACAGCAGCAGCAGAGCCCGCTGTTGCTGCAGCCCCTCTGCTTGCCCTTCAAGCTCTGGGTGCTCCGGGCATCCCAGAAGGGTTTTGTTTGCTATTGTTGAATCCAAACACCCAGGGAACCGAGCTTTAGCAGCAGAGAGCCCCGTGATGCCATTTGTGTGCCTTCCTCGAGTGGTTTCACCCAAAGAGCCTGCACGCGATGTCACATCCAGCAGCGAGGCGCTGCGAGCGCCCCGTGCCAGATCTGCGCTGATAGCTCCAGAAGATGATTCACCCGAGAAATATTCAACCCAGGGTCTCCCCGTCCAAAGGGAATACCCAGGGATCTGATCTCCCAGGCACTATATTTTACTCAGCATTTAACACTGGCAAAAACACTTGATAGGACCCAGGGGGATTTCTGCATCTGCTAACCCGCCGCCTCTCCTCTCTGTTCCTGTCCAAGTTTTCATTGTTGCCTCAGATTTGGCTCCAGCCAGCTTCCTTTAAGGTATGAGGCTGATAGGATCACGCCGGATCTCCCCAGAAGTTGTAAACCTACTGACCCACTTCCAGCCCAGCTTTTCGGGGCAGGTGGAGACCTCAGGCGGCGCTCCTGCAGCCGCGGGGCGCGATGGGGGGCCAGGCTGGGGTGCAAACTGCAGCACCTCCAACACCACTCACCTATGAGGCCAGAAGCGAGGTGAGACCCAATGCGCACCACAGGCACCTCCAGCCTGCTTGTCCGTGCCTCAAAGCAGCAGCTCTGGCCCCAAATATTTACTGGAGGGGCTGTTTTGGGGCCGGCCACGCTGCTCCCCCACCAGAGAGCCCACTGACCCGCCAGCGATCCCCGCAGACCCACGGCGCGCCTGCCCCCAGAGCTGCTCACCACCAGACGTTTTCCCAGGAGCTGCCAAATTAAAACCAAAAGCCCAAGGACCCCAGCACTAACGAGCCATGGGTAAAGAGCAGGAGAGAGCATGGGTAAAGAGCACTGCCTTCCCTTTACAGCACGCCTCTTGCTGTGCCCAATCTCCCCGTTTAGAAGACAGCAGGAAAAAAAATAACTTCAGGTGCCAGCTTGCTACACCAAGGGCTGCAATGAAAAAAAATAATAAAAAAAAAAATCATGGAGAAAGCCTGGAGAAGCCTTCAAACAAAGGATTTGGGATCACCCCAACCAATTGAATTGTTCCCCCTCTGTATCTCCTCCTGCACACCAGCCCGTGCGGGCAGCCCTGTGTTAGCCCCCAGCCGCAGGAACAAGGTGGGAGAGGGTCACAGACCCCCACCACATCCCCCAAACCCAGAGGGAGGTTGCCCGACCCCCACCACATCCCAGACACCCACCCACCCTACCCCAGCCCGTTACTGGACATCCCATTTCATTAGGAACGAGCCGCCGGCGCGCCGGCTCACGCAGCCTCCCCAGCTGGCTGCCCAATTTGCGCAGCCAGCCCCAACTCGGGGCCGCGAATCCGTGCCAGGCGACCTGAGGTTGTTATCTGATTAGCCCGTTTGATATCGCGGCGCCTGGTTCAGTACCCGTCCAAATCAAAGGCCCCTTGATCTCATCGGGGTCCGGCTCCCTCCAGCCGAGCACAACCACCCCGGCGGCACCAAGCGCTCCGCCAGCCCGGGCCACCGCTGCGTAATTAGAGGGCACGACGCGGGGTTTAACCCAACGCACCAATGTGGGTTTTTTTTCCTTAACAATGGTGAATAATTTCCCCTCGCTTTGGACTTCCATCCCCAAGGGAGTTAAGCGCCGTTAAAAGCTTCCCGAACCGCTCGCATCCGAGGATCTCAAAGCACCGCCGAGACACCGGGGAGCTGTGTCGGCGGCTCTCCCAGGAGAGTTGGAGCAGGATTTAATATCAGGTGGAAAGGGAAAGCACCGGGGGATTAAATTGGGTCTATCCCAAACCGTTCCTGGGCCCAGTCAGCCCCTTACTCTCACTGCAGACCCAGGTCAGAAGTTGCCACCTCGAGCCGGAGCGCCGGGGAGAGCGCAGGGACCTGGCCCGTTGCACGCAAGCTGCAATTTGAGATGCTATTTATTTTTCTTCGGCTCATTCAGGAGCAGAGCTGCCCATGGTAGCGGACACGTCAGTGCTTGGCGCCGCGGGACCCGGGCTGAAGGACAAGGCAGCGAAGGGAAGCGCAAAGCAGAGGCTGCTCCGCGCTGTGTAAACGAGAGGAGGAACAGTTCTGGGAACCTGGAGTATTCCGGAGCCAAAGGGGACGTGGGATCCCAGCCCTTGCACCCCAGGGGAATGGGTTCCCGGTTTAGACCCTTACAAAACCCATCTGAAGCTGCGGGAGGACAACCACGAGGGTCGAGTTATTGCTGAGCCTTGGAGCCTGCCTGATCCCAGAACGCCGTAGGGTGGGTGACAATAAAAGTGGGGCTCAGAGCTCCCCTCCAACGACGTCCCAGCAGGGCTGGGGGCGGCACAGGGAAGCAGAGCTCCTGCCTCGGGGCCAGGAGAGGTTCCCTTTGCTGCCTCCAGCATCAGCAGCCAAGATCACAAGCGGTCACTTCCCATCCCGTTCTGCCGAGAGAAGGACAACGACCCCAAGAAATAAATAAATACACAAAATAAAACACCAGGGATGGGGGAAAAAAAGGAGAAAAACCCCATCACTAAGCACGCCTGGCTGGATGGCAGCGCGGCTGAGCAGCAGGAACAGCAAACAGCAGAGCGCACAGCAACGGCACCGGGAGCTGCAGGGCGGGTGGTTTATGGGCCAAAAAGTGGCTTTATAAAGCCGGATCTTTAAATATTTGCTCCGATGCGCCTTCCAAGTCACATCTGCCACAGCACTTAAACGCTCGCTGTCCTCGCACGTGGCCGGCTCCGGCACGGCACGCGGTGACCCCTGCCCCGGGGAGAGGGGTCCCTGGGGGCTAAGCGGGGAACACCAAGGTCCTGAGGCTCTGGGACCTCAATTTAAGAGCCAAAGCAGCTTTGGATCTCGGCCATGCCGTGGGATTAGAGGCTCCAGGAGGTAACGTCCCCGTGGGGGAGAGAGAGGCTGAAGCCAGACACAGAGCCCAGACCCAGGGTACCCAAACGTTGGAATTTCCATTCAAACCCAGCCCCGTCCTCCCCGGGCTGAGTAAGAAACGTGACAAACGCTAGCACGAGCAGCTTCCCCGCCGACTTCCAGCCCAGCAAAAAGAAACACGAGGAGGCTGAATTCCTCCCCGTGCCACGCAGAGCCCAGCCTGGATGCCTCTGGGCTTCGCAGAGCCCTGCTGAAATCCCGGGGGCTTTCCGAGCAGCTCCGGCAGCGCAGAGGAGGCAGGAGGAGACCTCGGCTGGGAGGAATTTAAGCCTGGGCACCCAGAAGGTGCTGAGCTAGGAGACCCCAAAACACCGTGGATGCACATTAATATCTGCTTTACCTGCCAGAGAAAGGGCCAAGGGGCAGGGATGCGTGCAGGAGGGGACAGGCAGCCAAGGAGAAATAGCAAAAGCAGCAGCCTCCAGCTCCGCACAGCCCCAGGATATCCCCCCCAGCTCCTAGCACAGGATTTTGGGGTGACCAGAGACTGTTTCCAGCCCCCCCTCAACCCCTGCTGCCTGCCTGCCCTATACAGGGACAGGATTTGGGATTTTTCTGGCGCTGGACTGGGAGAAGGCTCCTGACCGAGCCCTCGTGGGGCATCAGCATGGGCAGAAACCTCACCTCGATGCCTGGAAGAGCCAGGAGGACTCCAGCCACCCCGGGGCCAAACACCCTCGTTTGCCTACGAGGAGCCTGCAGGTGCCTCTGTGGCACAGGGGAGCAGCATCCAGGCTGCTTCGTTTTCCTGCTCTTCCCTTCCCCTGCCCCTTGGCTGGGGCACAGGAGCCTTTTTCTCCTCGCTCCGTGCTGCCGAGCAGCCTCCAGCTCCCCAGCTCTAAAAAAAAAAAAATAATAATAACGTTTCTTCCCCCCTCCCTTTGCACCGGATCCGCTGAGCAGCTCGGGAGCAGGCGGCATGAAAGGTACTGACAAAATAAAGTTGGATTGTACTGCATTATTGAAAAAGTGACCTCCAGTGGTCAATAAAGCCTTTGCCCACCGTTTCCAGGCAGCGGTGCCTGTTGTCAGCCTCTGTCTCGGTTCAGCGGGACGGCGCTCCGGCTCTCCCAGTCCCGGCTCTCCCACGGGTGGCTCGTTAAAAGTCGGAGCCCGCACTTTGGTAACGAGGAGCTCAGAGCCTTTGGAGGCACGGCTGAAAGCACGAAGGGAAAAAGGCTGCGGGCAGGAGAGCCTCGTGCCACCAGCTGCGTCCCCCCAGGCTGGCTCCGGGCAGAAGCGCAGGTCCGATCAGGGAGGCTGGCAGGAGGAGAGAGGTTCAAGGACGAGGCTTTTTGGGGTTTTACTGCAAAACCTTCAGCCACGCAGCACGGGGAGAGGGAGGGGAAATTCGAGGGGTGCTGAGCGCGGAGGCTGCAGCAGGAGGAGGCGATGGGGTGGGTGCAGGTGGCACAGGGTGCCCCGTGAAGGTGCCCTCCTCCGTGCCACCGCCTTCCTGCTCCTTTCACAGGTCATTTCTAGGAACAATCACGCAAGCAGCTGCCTCCTTCCTTCCCCTCAGCCCAGCTGCAGGAGGAGGAGAACCCCAATGCAGCCCACTCCCAGCTTGGGATGACCCCTGGGGCGAGCAGAGGCTGCTCCCCTCCGTGCCGCACACGGAGAGCTGTGCGCACACAGCTGGGGGCTCCAGGGGGAGGTTTTCCTCGTTGGGATTAACTCCAGGTAGGGCCCAGCTGCAAGAAGTCGAGGTGCTCAGGATGTCAGGAGGGAACAGAGGAGGATTTAGCATCCCCCAGAGAAATGGAGGGGACGCCCTAAAGCAGGCTGGATTTTAAGGATCCCCCTTTTAAGGATGTCCCCGACGCTCCTGTTTTGGGGAGGGAACACAACAGCAGCTTTCTGCTCCAAATCCTGCACCACCTCAGGACCAACACTGCTCGGGGACATCGTCCCACCTCCTCCAGGATCTGGGCGAGAGCAAGGAACGACCCCACCACCTTCCCAAACTGGGCTGGACTGGGAATTGCTCCCACACCTTGGCAGATGCTTGTGAGGGGAGCTGGAGCCTCCCCACCAGGGAAAGCTCCACAGATGCGTTTCAGAGGAGGTCCTGTGATCATGATACCAAACTTCACTTTGTGCCTCTTCTCACAGCACCAAGCACCATGTCACACGGATGCTCTGGGCTCTGAAGGTGCCCAGCAGGACCCACCAGGCTCAGCCACACATCATTTTCTCCCCAGAGAGATGAGGACACGCCGTACCCTAGGAGTACGAGTCACGGCAGGATTTGGGGATGCCACATGCCAGATTAACCCCTCCAAAGCTCTGACATCAAAGCTACAGTCTAAAGCCAGGCCCCACGGCTGGGTGGAGGCGAGGGACAGGCTGACACCTCCACCAGTGCCCCTCGGGGCTGCACCAGCCCCCAGCACACATCCAGAACCACATCCAACCTCACATCCCCATCCCCAGCCGATGGGGTCTATCCAACGAACCTGGGCCCAAGTCCCAGCTTTTCAGCTTCAAGGCTCAGAAGTTTTAAACAAGCCCAAGCCTCACATCCCGCATCCAGCTGCCTTTTGGCTCGCCCAAGCCTCATCCAGCGCTGAACCAGACGGGCAGGACCAGGAAACCTTCCCGTCCTACCTCCGCGGCGAGGCTGCACACCCTGCCTGCCCCTGGGGTACCCGGCTGGCGGGCAGAGCGAGGCTTTGTTCTTCCAGGCAGCCTCATCCCACAGCCCCTCCATCATTAGGGCTGGATCCTGCCTCCAATTCCACCCAAAGTCGAGCCCTTCCCAGGGGGACACATCTGGGGATGGAGGGGACACCTCCAGGAGGGGACAATTTGGGGCCACCGCGCACCAAGCGGCCGGCAGCGAGCTGCAGGGGCTGCTCCCTTTTCCGTGCTTCCCTCCTGTCCCTGCAAACCCCTCTGGGTTTCACCTCATGAGCGAGGCTGAGCCCCAAAGCAGGAGGCAGCGGGGTTGTACCTGCACGTGGGGCTGAGTCAGAGCCGGCCAGACACGCACAGGGCGCTCCCCAGCCCCTTCCAGCCTCTGCCTCCCTGGCGTGCCCTCACCAGCAGCTTAAAAAAAAAAGCTTTTTTTCCTTTTTTTTCCTCTTTTTTCTTTTATTTTGTTTTACTGTCTTTTTCTTTTCCCTGCCTTCAGTCCTCCTAGTGGGTGGGGAAAATCCCGGGTGTCAGACTTCAAAAGGGAAGGCAGCTTTTGCATCGCGCTCCTGGCCGGGGCTCAGCCCAACCGCAGGCTCCTGCCAGCACCCACAGCAGGGCACCCCGTGTGCTGGGCCACCCCTGGGTGCTCCTGGAGGGCACAGCAATGCCCACTGCCTCCCCAGCCCGAGTCCCTTCCAGCAGAAGACATCGTTTTGCCCATCCATCCATCCACCCACAGCTTGGTCTGGGTGCTTTGGGTGAGCCCAAAGTGAGAGGAGGGTCAGGACACGAAGCCCAGCTCCTGGATTTGTAGGGTCAGCGTTCAGCCCCCTGCCAGCAAGCCCACCCCAACGGGCAGAGCTGCAGGAAAGGAGCTTGGCAGGAGGGGGAGGAAAGCCCCTGCCCTCTCCCTGCTCGGCAGCACTGTCCCCAGAGCAGCAGCAGTGGCACGAGGCAGCGCTGCCACCCGCCCCACGAGACATCTCGGCAGCTCGCCCTCTCCAAGCGTTTCCATCCATAGGAACAGCTAAACCAAGCCATCCGCCCCAAACCCACCGTGCCACGCAGAGCCCAGTGCTCTCTGCACACCCCGGAGCCCACCGCAGGGCAGCAGAGCCCCCAGCCCACGGGCAGCAGCCCCACCGACACCTCCTTCGCCTCCCCTGGCTGCCAGGTAGCAGAGCAGGGCAGCTCAGCCCCGGTGCTGTCACAACAAAACGGTGTTTTCTTTCCCCAAATTCACCTGCAACAAAGACAAGCGGGCACACAGACAGCCGGAGGAGAGGTGGCATCTGTTTGATTTCCTATTGTCCTCCTGAATAGGATGCTCAAGCCTATTCAGAGCTGCTTTGGGTCTGGGTTTGGTGGCGTTTGAGACCCTCGCGGGGAGATGAGCTCCTGCTGCAGAGGAGCTGCCAGGAGCCAAAGCAGCAGGGTTGGGAGCCAGGTCCAGAAACCCATACAGCGAGGAGAACGGGGCTGCTCGGAGCTGGGGAGACAAAAAAAAAAACCCTGTGCTCACACCACGAGCCCACGTTTCGAGGTAGGAGAGAGATTCGCTCCCTGCCAGGAGTGGAGAGAAACACCAGGGTTACCCGGGCGGCTTTCTGCTGAAAGGCAACGAGCAGCAGCGTGGGAGGCTGCGGCGCTGCTCCCTCCCCGGAGGAAAGGGCACAGTTTTCAGCAAGGAAAAGCTGTCCCTGCTTGGTAGCCGTGCTAGGGAGGCTTGGGAGTGCGGGATGGGGGGCGTCGCAGCCTCCCCTGACACCCAGGGCAGTGCTGACACCCAGAGTGACCCTCAGCGCCTCCGCCAGCCGTCACCTTGCAAAGACACAAACCCTGGTCCTGTCCTCTCCATCGGGTGCCCAGCCAGGCTTCAGCAGATGTGTATAACCAGGAAAAAAGCCCTTTCTGATTGCATTTGCCATCTGCTGTCCCTCCAGGTAGGCAGGACCCCATTAGCACCCCAACAGGCTGATGGGGTGAAGGATGCTTTGCGCAGCACCCGCTGCCGTGGGACAAGGCACCGCTCCGTGGGTGGACAAACCCAGCCCAGGAGGCCCCCAGCAGCCCCCCAGCAACCCCTCCGCAGGGTTTTCCACTGCGGGCAGGAGGCCAGGAGCTGAGGGAAGGGGGCTGCCACCCCCCAAGCCTGCGAGCCAAAGGGGGACGCACGTGACGAGGCGCTGGCTTGGATTTCCAAGCCCTGCCACGGCACCAGCTGCTCCTGCCCGTCCCTTCACGCCCAGAGGGGCCCGGAGATTGGGTTTCCCGAGCAGATAACACCCAGGTGAGTCCCCGCAGACCTGGCCAAGGTCCCCTTGTCCCCAGCCATCCCAGGGAGATGCCAACCCAGCCCTGCACGGGCGAGCACCGGAGCAGCCCCGTGGGGACGAAGGCAGCCGGGGCTCCGCGCCCCCACCCACACCGGGGATGTGAGCACGGCGCTGGGCAGGGACTCACCCCGGCAGAAACTAGATCTGGGCTGCTCCAGGACCAAAAATAACCCGCCAGCTGCCCGGGAAGAGACGCCCAGATCACGCACATGTCAGGAGGGGAGTCATCTGCACCCACCTTCGGGGGTAACAGGGGGGGGGAGCGCGGCTCTCGGTGCCATTTGGGGGATAGCGGCAGCGCAAAACAGCCTGCAGGTAATTTGGGGGAGCAAAGCAGCAGACGGCCAACACCCCCAGGGCTCTGTCCTCCATCTGGGGATGAGCTGCAATGCCTCGGAGCTGCGGAGACCCCGGTGCAGCTGTGCCAAGGCACAGAGACCCCTGCTCCTTCCTTCCATCCTCTCGTCCCCCCAAGAGGCAGCAGCGGGGATCCCGAAGGATCAGCACATTTGTGTTGGGTAAGAAGAATAAAGGCAACGTGGGCCCTTCGTTTCCCATCCAGAGGACACAAACCACAAGCTGCTGCTCCTCAAAACCACAAAGCGAGAGCCTCGATCCTCACGGCTTTCAGGACGGAGCTTTTTGTCCTTCGGGTTAGCTGTGATGTCCTCCCAGGGGACGGGAGCGATGGGGGCACAGCATCCAGAGCTGCCTTGGGGGTGAACGCAGGCAGTCGGACCCCATAAACAGCCACCCGCTGGGCAGGCAGGAGTGACCACGTCCCACACGCATCCCACCAACAAAGAACAAAACACTCAGTCACCAAAAAACCTCCGCTATCAGCACTGGAGGGATGCAGCTCCTACTCCAGGGCTCCCTGGTGCTCCATCGCCCAAGGACGCTTTCCCTGAGGGATGTTCCCAAGCAAGGGCACAGGTTTTCCACCATCAGAAAAATGTGATTGTCCAACTGTCGTGATTATGTGAGGATCACCACCCGTACTGGCACGCAGGGCTAGGCTGAACTAGAGAAACGCATTATAACATTTCTGCACCAACCCATGCTTCCAGCAGCTATTTTCCCCTAAATCTTCCCCCAGTATTTCCGCTTTTCCTGCTTCTTCCTGCCAACAAGGCACCTGCAAAATGAGATTTCAGGACCTGTCACCTCAAAGCAGGTCAGCACCTGCCCCAAAACGCGGGCAAGGACCAGACAGACCTGGCACGAGTCGCTCACAGCCCTGTTTTCACCGGCGCACCGAAGGCACCAGCAGTGCTCAGCACCAAATACCGGTACCGCAGCCCGAGGGAGGGCATTCACGGGGCACAGCTCATGGAACAGCTCCATAAAAACGGGGCCAAGCCCTTGGCAGGTACGAGCTGACCTCAGGGGGAAGGCAGGAGGCTTTCCAGCCAGCCCTGGGAGGGGAGCTGGCAAGAGCAGCGCGAGGGCGCAGCGCTGCGGGGTGCCAGCGCCTGCACCCACCCGCAGCCTCCCAGGGCTGCGCACGGGATCGGGGCTGCTCCTGCTTCCCTGGGCAGGAGGAGACAAGCAGGGAGCTCACAGAGTTTCCATTCTCTTCCCTGCTGTGGTGAGGGAAGAAAGCAGCGAACACTGAACAAGTCTGGGGCTGTCAGGTGCCCGGCACCCTTGGCTGCAGCCAGAGGAGAAGCCTCCCTCCTGCTGCCCCGGCTCCTGGCAGCAACGGCCAGGGAGGAAAACCCTGCACGGGGCTGTCCTGAGAAAGGTTGGATGGAAGAGGAGGTTCCTGGTGCTTCCCAGCTCCGTCACCAGCTCCCCACAATGGTTTGGGCAGAGCTGCTCCATGCAGGTCCTGCTGCTGGCAGGGACAAAGCCGTGAGCCCACCTCGCACACCTGGGTCCTGCTCTCTGCACCTCACCAGCCTCTGGTCACCATCAATGAAATCTTCTGGGTGGGAAGCTTTAGAGCCCGGCACTGCTCGCTCTGCACAGCTCAGCAGCAGGGAGAAAAGCCCTTAACTCTGCTCCCCAGTGTGGGTTCTCAAAACATCCACCTGGGACTGACCCTCGGCATCCCAAAGCACCGAGCAGAAGCTCAGGCACACAAGGGAAGCAGGAGCTCCACGCTGGTGCTCTGCACCCTCTAAAAGCCTTTTATTTCATTCATCTTGCTCTCTCATTCCAAGCTAGCCACCAATACCTTGGGAAACCCAAGCTAGAGAGAGACTCAGGATTTATTTTTGAGAGCTTAACATCCATTACGCTCTTAAAAAATTTATGCCCTTAAAGCATCTCCACGGTGGCTGCTGAACACCCATTAAAAAAATTTCATCCTTTCTTAAGCCTGACGAGTCTTACCTTCGAGAGATACCCACGGAGTCCTGGCAACGTGCTCAACTTGAGCCCTGAGCTCCTCAGACCCAACACAAACAACCCTGGGAAAGACGTTGTCCCCTCGGGAGGACGAGACCCCCGAGGAGAGGTTGAGTCCCAGAGCAACCGCTTGGCTGCGGCAGGACAGCTCGGTGTGTGGGTTGGAACTGCAATTAACTCCATGTGCAGGGGGATAAGGGAAAAATTGAGCATCCTACGGGTGGCTCCTAACTCCTCCAGCAACGCTAGCCCAGCGGTGTTATCCACGTTCCTTTTCTGCCCTTCCCAGAGTGGGAAAAAAAACCCTAAAGCCTTGGGAACGGCGGTGTGCTGGGGCAGGCACGCACCGGGAGCCGTTTGCTAAGAGCTTCACCTCCAGGACCCCAAACCCCAGCTCCTGCTGCCTCCCCCGGGGGCTGCATTTCACCCTTTGGGCCTTTTGCATCAAGACGGGGCTGGGCTCCATTGGGGAGCAGGGCGCAGGGGCTGTGTCAGAAGCAATCAGCTCGGGGTGCGCACCTCGGCACGGGGCTCCTCCAAGGCACCTGCTGCCACGCAGCCATCGCAACGCATTAGGCGGCCGGTCCGAGGCTCCCGAGCAGCAGGCAAGGGGTGAAAAGCAAGAAGGAAGGAGCAGCAGAGCTAGACAGGTGCCTGCAGGGGAGCTTTCCGTGCTCTCCCCCACCGTATGGCTCCAGCAGGTCGCCGTGCAGCCCGTGGTGCCCTCCCACGAGCCGTGTCGGGGCTCGGAGCCTCGCAGGTGGGTTCCCCAAGCAGCTTCTCCCACTCTGCTGCAGGTTCTGCAGCAGCCCAGATCTCTTTTTCCCCACCCTCAGTATGCCCAAGAGATCTCAGCTGCACGGGTGGCGATCCGGCAGCCGGGTCCTGGCACCACGGGTACCCTCTGCAGCTCCGGAGAGCTTCAGCCCATCTGCTCCCAGCAACGCCAGCCACGCAGCAGGAGCTCTCTGCACCCCAGGGGAAGATTTCGTCTGCTCCTGATGAGGATTTCACCCAGGCAACTCAAATTCCCAGCTACAGCAGGGCCAACGCGGGCTGGAAGCAGCACGGACACGAGCCTGAGCTCCCAGCAAATCCAGCTGGAGCCTGGGCTCAGACAGGACCCGACGTGCCCAACGCTGCCTCCAAACCTGCACCCGGGAAGGAAAAAGGAGCTAACGCAGCCCCTCAGCAAGCAAACACCCCCCCAGCACCCCAGGAGAGAAAGCCTGGGCTGCGAGCATCTCACGACACAACCCCATCCCACCACGGGGTCCGCACCCCAGTGCCAACCCCAGCCCTCGCCCCTCATCCCTCGCCCTCCAGGGGTGGGTGCCTCGCTCTCGGCTCCCCCCTAGGACCTCGCGAGCTGCCTGGAGGTAGCCGCTGGCCAGGAGCCAGGCGAGCCACGGCGGCGGCTTTCATGTGGGTGTCTGGCTGGGCACACGCCAGGGCCGGACTGGCTGGAGGCACCGTGGGCCTTACGCCGGGGGGGGGCAAAAATCCCCAGGTCACCGCTGCGCCACCAGAAATGCGCACGGCTGCCCACGGTGCCTCTCCGCAGAGCTTTTTATCCGCAGGGCTGCCGAGCGGAGACGTTCCCTGCGAGGAAACGGCCTCGGCACTGATTTTTCTGAGCCCTGGGAGCATCAGAAGATGCTCGGAGGAGGATGCTCCGAGGGGATGCGGGAGCAGCCCAATGGTGAGGCCAGCGGTGGTGCCCAGGCGCCGAAGGAGTTACGGCGCCCGCTCATCCCAAAGGCCACGCGAGTGATTTTTATCTTTAAAAAGCCCACGGCCTGGCTTGCATGGCTCCGCTAGGGAGCTCGCTCGGGCGCAGCCACTGCTCCTTTAAGGTATTTAACAACAAAGTGGGTGAAGGCGCTGGCTCCTCCCCGAGCCTGTACATCCCCTCCGGGTCCCCCGCCCCAGCCACTGGTGACAGCGGGGACCCCACAGCGGGTCTGGGGACTACCAGTCCCGGCATCCCCCCGGCACTTCGCTCCCTGCCGGGGATTGTAGTCCTCTGGCCATCCATCCATCCATCCGTCCGTCCGTCCATCCATCCGTGGCCATGGCAAGGCCACGCTGCTCCCCAGCTGCAAGGGCTGCGTGGGGAAAAGTTGGCATTTCCATGCTGCTTCACCACCCAGGAGCCCCACATCATCCGGCTGCACACATTTTGGGGCACTCCCCCAAAAGACGGGACCCCCGCTGTGCCCAGATCCAGGGGAGCAGGCGGGTCCCGCGTGCCGTCACAGCCTCCAGACCCCATCCGAGCCGTGGCTCCAATTTTTATGGGCTTTTCAGCTGGGGTAGGGGCTGTGCTCAGCAATTAAATGAGGTTGCTCTCAGGTACCACAGCCCTGGCTGCCTGGGGCACCCCAACCCTCCTGGAAGCGATGCTCCGAGGGCAGCAGCGAGTTCCTCGAGCAGCTCCAGGATGCCAAGAGCCCCTCCCCAGCCCTGCACTGAGCCCCCTTTGCTTTCTCTGCAGACCCCGTGCTCCTGCCCATAGCCTCCAGCAAAACGCCGGGGACCCAGTCTCAAATGCAGCAAACAACTCTGAGGGCATGGACAGCAGCACCCCAGATTTTCACCCCTGGGTCCAGGGAAGAACCCAGTCTGAGGTGCTCGCTGGAGGGCTTGGACACCAAGCTTCACCCCCCCCTTCCCCAAAAAGGCAGCTCCTAAACCTGCAGCACCCAGTTTATCTCATGGCTTTCCCACCCTGCAGTGGTTCCGCAGGGAACCCATGTCCTCCAAACACCAGGAACAAGGAGACGAGGCACCAGCAGAGACCAGCACAGCACCGTGGGCTCACCGGAGAGCTGGGGAAGCACCTGCAGCAGGAGCACCGCGATGCCACCCCTGCAGAGCATCACCCCAGCGGCTCTGGGTGCCAGGAGAGCCAAGCAAACCACGCAGGGACCAGCTGGGGTGCTGCAGGCTCCCCAGGAACACCCACAGCTCTGCTCACACCGACAGCTCCTTTTCTCCCTAGCAAGGAACGGAGCTGCTAACGCAGCCTGAGCTGTGGGGACAGCGAGCCAGCAGGAAAAGGATGCACGGGAGATGCCATAAAACCAACGCCGTGGGAGCTCGCAGGTTCCTCCCATGCCCTGCACAGCATGCACAGCACCAGGGTGCCGCACAAACGGAGGAAATGAGTCAGTGAAGTTGGGCTGGGACGGATCGGATCAAAGTGCTGAGCGCTTCTCCCAAGCCCCGTGCTGCAGCGGTGCTCAGGAGGCGTTACACAGCTCCTGGCTAAAAGCAAGGGGGGAGAATACTTAATTTAAATCGTCCACGGTACGACTTCCACCCCATTTTCGGCAAGATTTTAACCAGGGTATGTGACCCTGGGTAAGGCTGTCTTGCTGATGGGACCACAGTTGCAAGGAAGAGCTAACAGATATCATGCTGAGGTGCCAGCATGCCCAATAAACACAGACAGACACACTGCCACCGAGGGCTGGTGGCTTCTGGAGCCAACGTGCCCCGTGTCCTGCGTGCTGCAGCCCCCGCGAGCCCCACGCTGCGGTGCCACCAGGCTGCGTTGCTCCCGCTTGGCGCAGGGGATGGAGAGGGCAGCCCAGCACCCAGAGCTCAGCCTGCGCCCTTGTTCTGGCTTGTTTTCCCACTCGCTTTGGGTGCCTGACTCGTAATAAGCGAGCCTGAAAAGCAGGCTCCTTTTCAGACATGCCAGGCACCCGCAGCTCCAGCTCGCAGACGCGTCTCCGGGGAGGCAGGTTCCAGGTGCGCCCAAAAAAACCCGTGGTTCAGCCAACGCTTCCTCGTCTGCGAGCGGCTCGGCAGTGCCCGGGCCTGAGACCGAGGCTTAGGGGGAAATTGCTCTGTAGCAGCTAGTCTAATTGCGCTGAAATTACAAGATCAAGCAGTAAATTCACGTCTGCGTTCCTTGCTCGGGGTGGCAAAGCCACGCCAGGCAGCCCGCTCCCCTCCCCAACCGCTGCAACAACTTTCGGGCTTCGGTGGGAAGGGAAGGAAGGAGGGGGTTAACAGAGGAGAGCGTTGCCAGTTGGAAGTGCTACCTAAAAAGGGTTTCTCCTGGTAGCTGAAGCAAAATGGTTTCTCTTGCCAGCTTGTTTACTCTGCAGCTGAGAGCCGCGGGCAGCCAGGTTTGCTGCTGGAGCCCGCGGCAGCGTGGACGGGCGCTGGCACCGGGACACCCGCGGGGCAGCTGCGTCCTGCTCAGCCCCACGGCTCCCCCAGGACCAGCAGCAGGCAGGGGAAACGCTGGGCTCCAGCCCTCCAGGCAGCCCTGGGCCCGTCCTCCTTCCCTTTGGGGCAGCGATGGCACTCGCCCTTTAATGGCCAGGTGCAAGCTGCAATTAGGTTTAGCCGAGGTGGTTGCAGACCAAACGGCCCCTCCAGCAGCAGGGTCCTCGGGGGCTTTTCCCATGGGAAGGGCGTGCAAACCCCATCAGAGATCAGGTGCTGGGGATGTCGGACAGGACAGAGTGATTTTCCTGGGAGAGGCAAGCACTGAACAACCCCATCCTGCCCCAGCTTGCTGCTGCGGGGCCAGAAAACGGATGGGACTCGCTCCCCTCTTCCAGAAGAGCAGAGCTCACGGTCCTGTGCCGAGACAGGTAGCAGCCAGACTCCATCCCTGGCAGATTTTGGAGTTCCCAGGCCAAACAGGAGCTGCACAGCTCTTGCAGCACACAACCCGTCCCGGCTCCAGGATTAAAGCCACCGTGTCTGCTGCCAGCAGAGCCAGCCGGGAGGAGAGGCAGCAGGCAGCCGCCGCCGGCCTCGCCAGCAGCAACAGAGTGCCCAGCAGCCAGCCAGAGGATCGGGGCTGTGTTTTACAGCCTGGTATTAATTACCCAGAGTGGAATCTTATTTACGTTGTCGTCTCCCAGAGGCTCCTACTGTGCTCTTGGGTTTTCTTGGTGCCACGAGGCTTCGCAGGCAGCTACAGCAGAGGGCACTTCTCTGGGAGCCAGCAGCAGCATCTCCTGCACCAGGGTGTCCCACGGCACCCAAACAGCCCCGAGGATGCAGCACCCCAATAAATGCAGCACCACTGCACGCAGAGCCCTGCAAAGTCCACCTGACCCTTTGGTTAAAGCCACAACCTTTGGCCACCGGGGCCACAGGATAATTAAAACAAGGAGGGCCAGTGCCAGGCAGCGTCCCGAGGCCACGCTGCTTTCCGAGCCAAGGCAGGATGGGGAGCAGGAGCTCGAGGCAGAGGACACTTGCCAGGACAATGTTTTGTGGCTGGCACCGTGCACGCTGCCCGAGCCACCCCGCAGCAGCCGGCAGACAAGCGATCCAGGCTCTCAGCCTGGACCACCGGGGCTGGAGTTTTACAGCTGGAGGTGGTCCAGAGAGCAGCAAACGTGAGCTGGGTAAGGCACAAGCACTGCACGGGCCAGCAGCAGCAGCACTCGCTGCTTCCCTGCAGAGCCGGGGCTCAGCCCACGGGCACCAACACCAGCAGGGACAGAGCCTTTGGTCCCTCTGAGTGGGAGCAAACCATAATCCAGACACGAAAGCAGCGAGAATCTCAGCACAATTTTTCCCCACGAGCCAGCCCTGCTCCAGCGCATCACCTCCCGCAGCTGCAGCACAGCCTTGGGAAGGGCGACCTGCGGCCAGGAGGGTCTGCAAAGGAAGGAGACTGGGGGAAGAGAGAAAGATGCAATCCCACAGCAAAACACCACCCAAACCCGCTGCCTTTATCAGCCCCCTCTGGACAGGGCTGTGATTAGTTTCCATTTTGCAGAGGAGGAAAGCGCAGCAAGAGGATCCTACAAGAGCTCGGTAACCCTCAGCGTCATTCCCCCCCATTTGCACAGCTGAGGGCACACGATGAAGGCAGGTGCTCCACGAGCAAGGATTTACACCAGCTGCCTCTCAGGGAACAACGAGCTGCCCCAGCCCAGCTGGGGTCCCACAGACCCCTCCACAGGGAGAAAATCCCCCATGGTGCTGGGCTTGCCTCCGCTACCCATGGGATGAAGCCCACCAGCCCCACAGGAGGATGCAGGAGAGCCAAGCCCAGCCCAGCCCAGCCCCTACAGATCCAGCCATGACAGGGTGCCCCCAAAACCCAGAAGACCAGGGAGGGCAGCCCAGAGCCCACCAGCGCCCCTAAATTTGGGGGACTGGGCTGCTCTGGTGGGCTTGGGGATTTTTCTACCCAACACACTGCAGGCATGGGGGGGATCACCGCTCAGGTAGATGTTCCAAAACCAACTTTTCCATACCCCAATGCAAAAACCATCGCCCACCCTACCCCAGGAAGCAAAGGGGGGACCCCCAGCACTCCCCACAGCCCCTCTCCCACCCCAATGTGGCAGCCCCCTCCCCAAGCACCCCCTGCCATGCACCCACACAGGCTCCTACCTGCTGGCCAAGGGCAACTCCTCCGTGCCAGGACTGCCTTCCCCACGTACTGCTACCTCTGGGGGGGTCCCTGGGTGGCCGGATCCTACAGCAGCCAGCTCAGGGACACCCCCTTAGCCCCCAAAAACCCTACCCTAATACCCCCCAAATACCCCTCCTAGGGCACCCCTCAGGAGCAGGGGCCAGGCAAAACCAAGGCTGCCGCGTGCACCAGGGCAGGATGGGAGCCCTTAATTAGCAGACCCTGATTAGCAACAACCCCCTCCCACATCCCGGTCCCTATTTTGGGGTGAAAAGCGGCGGGATTGGAGCTCTTCCTAAGCAGTAACCAACGCGCGGCCACGCTCCCAGGAGGGGAAGGGGCGTGCAAAGGGGGGCGTGGGGCTGAGCCTGGAGACCGGGGGAGGCCTCGGGGTGAGGGGACAGCACCTGGGGGGGGTCGGGGGTGCAGGGGCCGGTACCGGGAAGGGGTCGGGGGTGCTGAGGGGCGCTGAAGGGGGGGATCACGGTGCCCCCGGGGTTTGTGTGTGTGGAGGTGCCACTGTGAGAACAACGTCGGGGCTCAGGTTGGGAACCGGGAGTTGCCGGGGCTGAGCCCCACAGGGGCTGGAGGGGCTCAAACAGCCGCCCTTGGGCGACGGGGAGGCGGCGGAGGGGGGCGCAGAGCCCGCCCCGAGGCGCCCACCCCGGGCTCCCCTCAGCCCGGGCCCCGCCGCCCCTGTCAGCGTTTGAACGGCGCCAAGCGCCCGCCTCCCTCCCATTGGCTCCCTCTGCCGCCCGTCAAGCCTCACGCCGCCTCCCCATTGGCCGCTCGCCCCGAGAGGGGGCGGGGCGAGGCCGGCGCCGCGCTATAAAAGGCGGGGGCTGGGCGGGCGGGCGCTCAGTGCCGCTGCGCGACAGGTACGGGCCGGGGAGGGGAGGAGGAGGAGAAGGGGAGGAGGGAGCAGGAGGGCGGGGAGGGGCGGGGCGAAAGGGGCGGGGCGGGCGCGCGCGCGGGGGCGGCGCGCGGGGAGGGCGGGGGCGCGCGCGGCGCTGGTGGCGCTGCCTGCACGCGCCGTGCCTGCTCGGAGCGCGGCGGCAGCGGCGGCGGCAGCAGCAGCAGCAGCGGGAGCCACCGGCGCGCACGGCGATGCCCGCTCCGCTCCCGCCGCTGGCCGCCCCCTGAAGACAGCCCTCTCTATTCCCCCCCCCTCCGCTCTCCAGCGACCTCGAGCTCTGCTGTCCCCTTCCCCTTTTTTTTTTTTTTTTCCCCCCCCTCTCCCTTCCCCTTCTATTTCCCTCCCCCCCCCCCCCACCTTCCCCCTTTCCCTCCCCTCCAATCCGCCTTTTTTTTTTTTTTTTTTTTATCCTCCTTTTTTGCAACCCTCCGCACCCTTCCCGGCTTGCCGTGTGGATGCGGCCCGGGGTGCCTGGCTGCGCGGGTGGCGAGAGCAGATGCTGAGGGGCCGGAGGAGGATGGAGTGCACCCTCGATGCGCAGAGTTTGATCAGTATTTCCCTGCGGAAGATCCACAGCTCCCGCACGCAGCGAGGCGGCATCAAGCTCCACAAGAACCTGCTCGTCTCCTATGTGCTCCGCAACGCCCGGCAGCTCTACCTGAGCGAGCGCTACGCCGAGCTCTACCGCCGCCAGCAGCACTACCCCGACGGCGCCCCGCTCCTCGCCATGCCCGCCTGCCCGCCGCCCCCCGCCGCCTCCGCCGCCGCCCCACCGGAGCTGGCGGCGCTCCCGCTGCCCCCCGACGCGCAGGACCGCGAGGCTCGGAGCTGCTCGGCCGTGCGGGGAGGCGCGGAGCTGCTGGAGGTGCCCGTGTGCGCGGCTCCCCCCCCCCCCGAGCTGCAGCAGCAGCAGCGAGCGCCTTGCAGAGACTCGTCCCCGGCTTTCTACCGGGCTTCTTCCACCGCTCCCGGTCCCGGTTCGCCCCCGGGGCTGCTGTACGCCGCCGGCTGTGACTTCGGGGCGCCGCACTGTAGCAGCCGCACCACGGTGCTGGATTTGGACACTCACGTCGTGACCACGGTGGAGAACGGGTACTTGCACCAGGACTGCTGCTCGCAGTGCCCCTGCTGCTGCCAGCCGGCAGCGGGGCTCGCCTCCCCGCCGCCCGCACCGGGCACCAAGCGCAAGTATTACCCGGGGCAGGAGGAAGAAGAAGAAGAGGAGGGGGTGGAGGAAGGGGAGCCGGGGGGAGGCGGGGTGGCGGGCGGCCCCCCCTTCGCCCCGTGCACCAAGCGCGCCCGCTTCGAGGAGTACAGCGCCGAGCACCCGCAGGACTCTAACAACATCTCCAACTTGATCTCCATCTTCGGCTCCGGTTTCACGGGGCTGGTGAGCCGGCAGCAGGCGGACTCGGAGCAGCCCCTCAACGGGCAGCTGTGCAGCAAGCAGGCGCTGGCGAGCCTGGGAGCCTGGACTCGGGCCATCGTCGCGTTTTAGAGAGGAGCGGGGAGCCGGCGAGGGGAGGGGAAGGGGGGGGGGAAACACCACCGAGGGGCTGGGGTGGGGGGCGCGGAGCCGAAGGACTCTCGAGGGGGGGACCCAGAAACAAAGGCGGGGAGGGAAGTGGGGGGGGGAGAGAAGAAGGTTGGGGGTGAGGGGAGGGGGGCGTGGGGGGGTGCCGAGGGGTGCGCAATGTGGGGGGGGGCGGGAGGGCAGAGCCACGCTAGTGTTTTATAAATTGTACAATAAAGGAAAAAAAGCTGAGATCTTGGGACTTTATTTTTGCAGAGATGAGAGAGAGAGAGAGAGAGAGGGGAGAGAAAAAAAAAAAAAAAAGAGAAAAAAAAAAAAGCAAACAAAACGCAAACAAACCAACAACAACACAACCCCAGCGCCAAAAGCACCCGGTTAAATAATCCTCTTTGTGTCCGCGCCGCTCGGGGGGCTCGGGGCCGGGGGTCGCCGGGGGCCGGTGCTGGCAGCGCCACGTGAGACCGGGGGGTGTCCCCCCCACACACACCCCCCCTAAACCCCTGGGTCGCTTTTGTGCGTTTCTTTATCCTGGGGTGGGGGGGGAGAAAAATAATTTAAAAAAATAAGAAAATTGAACTTTTCCTCCCGGCAGAAACGCGTGCGAGGGGTCGCGGTGGGGCTGCTGCTGGGGGTGCTGGGGGGGTCCCGGCCGCTGCCCCAGGTGCCCGAGCCCCGCTGCCCCCTCCTGAAGTTTCAGCCTTGCCCCCCCCCAAGAACCAGCATTGTTCGGGCTTGTGAAGAGATCTGTCTCCTGTAGAGTCTCTTGGTTTTGTGTTTTTGGGATTATTATTTTTTTTTAAGAACAACCTTTTGTTGTAAAAAGGTGGGTTTTCTGCTCTCCCCTTCCCCTTGTTTATTTTTTATTTTTTTCTTTTTTTCTCATTTTGTTTCCTTGCAGCCTGCCCCCTCCCAACTCCCCGGTACCAGCACTGTGTGTAACTGAGGATGCTTTGCCAAACGGTCTGTTGGGGTTCGTTCTCTTTTCTTTTTTGTTGTTGTTGTTGTTGTGTTTTTCTTTTTCCTCCTTTTTCTTTGTTTGTAAGCCTGTATTTTTGTGCATATGGAATTGTATATCACCGGGTAAAACTGTTCAGATTTGTTTAAATTTATAATCTTAATAAAAAGTCGATTATAAAGTTGCTGTGCCCTCACTTTCCTCCTCACCGCAGCCTCGCTCCCGACCCCCCCGCACCCCCCCCCAGGCACCGGGCAGCCCTCACGGGCCTCCGACCCCCCCAAACCCCACAGCGGCCCCCCCAAAACCCCACAGCCCCTTTTGTCCCCCCCCTCCTCAGGACCCTCGGCTTCCCCCTCACTCCCCCCCCCGGCAGGAGGCACAAACCCTCCCCTGGGGTTTCGGGGGGCTGCTCAGAGCCCCTGGGGGGGGAGACACCGAGGCTGCCCCCCCCGGTCCCTCTCGTTCCCCCCCCGGGGCAGCTCCTGCGCGCTCCCCGCGTCCCCCGGTGCGCTCGGGAAGTTTTTTTAAGTTGGAGTTTGTTATCACAGCGCTGTGCCACTTGGTGGTGCGTGTGGGTTTTTTTTTTTTTTTTTTTTCCCTTTTTTCCTCTCTTTTTGTGTGCCTTTTTTTTTTTTTTTCTCTCCTCTTTCCCTTCTTTCCCTCCCCTCCTCTAAACCGAATGAATGAACGCGGACGGGCGCTCCCGACCCACCTCCGGCCTCACCTCGGGACGCGCGAATTCATTTCAGAATTCTGATTTTATAAATAATTATTTTTTAAAAATAATAAAATAATAAAATTAAAACCCGACAGCTGCTACGTACCCCCCCCACAGCCCCCCAGGACACCCCTCCAACACCCCCCAGCCCCCCAACACCGCTCAGCCCCCACCCCCCGATTTTGGGGCTGCCAAAAATCGGATCCTGAGGGGGGGATAATAGGGGGGGCCCTCGGAAGAAGGCAGCGGGGTCGCGGCCGCTGCCCCCCCCCCAGCTCAGAGCCGGAGCGCGCCCCAAAACCCCCCCGCACCCCTCGCCCCCCCCCCAAACCCCCCCCCGGCCACCGCTCCGCGCCCACGGCGCCCCCTGGTGCCCGCTGCGGGCCACGCAGTGCCGGGGGGGGACGGCCCCGACCCCAGCTCGGGGCAGGGGGCGTCCCTCCTCCCCCCCCCCCCCCAAATTAAAATTCATCAATTTCAAATTCATCAATAACCCCCTCGTCCAGCCGAGCGCTCCTGCAGCACCCAGGGGTCGGATGCTTCAAGGGGGTGGGGGGGGTTCTCCCCCATCCCGGGGGGGGGGGCAGAAGCCCTCTCCTTGTGCCTGGCAGCCCGGGGTCTCGCTCGCCCCCCCCCCCAGAAGCTGCTGCCTGCCCTCCCCAGTGGGGAACCCGGGGGGCTGCAGGCAGCGCCTGGGGGAAGTTTCAGCAGGCGGCTGCTCCTGCAAACCCCCCCCCCCCCAGATCAGGGGTGCCAAAGCCCGAAGCCCCCCCCCCAAAAAAAAAAAAAAGCCCCCCCCATGTCCTCCTGCACCCCGCAACCCCAAAAACCCCAGGACGCAGCACCGGCAGCTTGGTCCCAACCCGCACCGTGGCTTCCAGGTGCTGCGATCACCTGGAGCCCCCCCACATCCCCATGGGACCCCCCCCCAGGCGCACCCCCCTCTCCAAACCTCCCCTCCCCGGGGTCAACCAGCCCTCGGCACCACTCCGGGGGGAAGTTTCGGGGGGCTCCCGTTGAGCTTTCAAAGCCCAGAAGGGACAAAAACCTCGCAGGTAACCACGCAGGGTGGGGGGGGGACACGGATAAACCCCCCCTGGAAGCGAGGAGCGAGCGGATCCCGCAGCTCCTTGGGGTCGCTGGGAGCCGGGCGCTCTCGGCAGCCCGGTTTTTTATTTATTTTCAGCCCCGGTACATGACATTTCTCTTCTGAAGGCGGCAGCGAGCCCATCACACGCAGCCTCTCCTGAAAGCAGAGCCTGGAAACCCAGCGCCTCATCTGCATATTCATAAGCACCTGATAAATTAATCATGATGGCAGAAGCATTCAGGCTGGAAGGGAGGTGACAGGGGAAGGTTGCACCCCCAGCACAAGCCTGGTCCTGGCACTCGCACACACACACGCTCCTCGCCTCCCAGGCACAAAAAAAATATTTTCACCCCTCCCCAGCCCCGGGAGCATCGCAGGGCAGCGCAGGGTCCCAGGCTCAAAGTACCGAGCAGATGGGCTGGAGCACCCCCAATTTGGGGGAACTTCACACATGGGACCCCTCCAACCCCACTCCGCGTCCCAAACCTGCCCTCCAGAGCCATTGGGCTGCCCCACCTCATTGCTGCTGTTCTATCCCCAAAATCCTTTCGTGTCTTTTATCCTTGCAGCCGTTCGTGTGCCTTGGTGAAGGGGCGTCAAAAATTTTGTCCCTGGCAGCCCCGGGGGTGGCAGCAGCTCTGGAGGGGGGGCCCTGAGGATGGAGCGGGGCTGGGGCAGAGCCACAGGAGGTGCAAGGGGAGCAGGGGAACTCCTCAGCCCAGAGCCTGCACTCAGCCACACCATAACAAAACCTTCTCCAAGGGCAGTTCCCATCCTCGGGGCCCCCTCCGTGTCACCGTGCTGAACCCCCTTGGTTTGGGGCCACCACCCCGCACCGGGGCAGATGCTGCTCCAGTACCGGGGCTGGTGCTGCCTCCCCAGCTCAGCACCCGCCTGCTTTCCTCCCCACCTGCCCACTTTGTTCGGGGCTGCATCGCCCCCAGCAAGAGGCAGCAACACCCCTCGGTGTTTGGAGGGCTCGCTACAATTCCACGCATCTCTCCGAGCGTGGGAGCTGCCAGCCCAGCCACGTCCTCGTGCCGCTGGGCTACAAAGAGCCCGTGCCCAGGGGGACATCGCCGCGCACCCCAAGGGCTCCCTCGGCACCAGGAAAAACGGCTCCCGTGCTTTACGGATCCCAGAGCAGGATCCATCAGCTCTGACGAGCTCCTGCCATCTCCCCAGCTCAGCCACGAACGAGCAGGAGCGCGTTTGGGGACCCGCACGTGTTAGCAGCTGTTTGAACTTCTCCCATGCAGAGAGAACAGCGCGAGAGCTACGGGGGACACGGCACCGCGGACCAGAGGCTGCTCCCGTCGGCAGCGTGTTTAGGATGTTCGGGTTGGTCTCAGCCCAGGTAATTAGCATCCGAGCGGTAATTATGCACATTTGGCCTTTCTATCTCCTGCTTATGGGGCTGGTGATTAACGCTGCTCCTCGCGCTCAGCCTACCCCGGATTCGCCGTGGAAGTGGTGAAAGCAGAAAATCACAGAAAAAAGCAGGAGAAGCAAAACCCCAAGCACCTGGCAGCCACCAGCGGCTGTTTTGGGGTTTTGGCAGCACCGGGCGGACACACGGAGCGCATCCCGCAGCAAGCAGAGGCGCACAGACCCCCCCCAAGCAAAACCCAACAAGGGGTCTCCAAAAAAAGGAGCTGCTGCCCCCACAGGCGAGGAAACAACAAACCCCAGCTGCTGCCCTCCCAAACCAGGGCTACAACGGCTTGGCCAAGCAAAGCCCACCAGCCTTTGGCTTACCTGCCCTCCTCGGCGCCTGTCCTGGTTGCCAGCAGAGGCTCGGGGTGGCCACCAGCGAGGGCAGGAGCCAGCCCAGAGGGAAAGGGCAGCAGAGGAGCCCCAGGTGCAGCTCCTGCAGGGGCAGGGAAGGGGAAAACCAGCTCCAACCCCGCTCTTATCTTTAATTTCCCCACCTCTGGCCCCAGCTGCGCGGTGGGCACCTGCCCCACACCTGCGGGGAGACGAGGAGCAGCGTTAACTCCGCAGCTGCTGCTGCCCAGGGGAAGGGCGAGGGCTTTCCCCGGTGCTGTCCCCACAAAATGCTCCTCGTTACCCCCCTCCAGCTGCTCTCACGGGACCGGAGCTGCCCCTTCTCTCCTGCCCAGCCCCAGCTCTGATGTTGGCAACGTGGCCGCAGGCGCTGCTGAACCTCGCTTCTGGTTCTCCCCGAGCAGGGCAAGGCAGAAAGGTGCCCCTGTAAGGATGGGGCCGAGCTCCAGGGGTTGTGTTGTGGCCCCACAGGGCAGCAGCAGCCCCGTGCTGTAGGACCACGCCTGCCTTTGCTCCGTGAATATTTCCACAGTCTCATTTTGGGGGCTTTTTTTTTTTTTTAACTTCCAACAGAGCCCCGTTTTCCCCCCTTTTCCTCCCTGCAGTGAGGCTTTTGCACAGAAACACGTGACAAGACGTTAATTTTTTTCCCTGTTTCCCCGGGTTTTACAAAATAAAAGTGGACGTGGATGCGAAGGGAGTTTTGAAGCGGGGAAGTCCTGCTCGGAGGCTCCAGCTCACAAAATCGCCCGTTCCCAAGCTCCCCAACAATTTTCTGCACAACCTCCTCCTCCTCACCCAGCCGCCCCGTGCCCCCCTCTAAAACCTAAAACAGCCCTGCCTGCTGCTTTAGGCACCACCACGGGCTTAAAGCTTGGCTCGGGAGCTGTCGACTCCGGAAAATCCCCAGATTTTTGGATTTTGGAGCAGGCGCAGCCCAAGGAGCAGCACCGGGGGCGAGGAGGTGCTGGGGGTCGGGAGATGCTGCGGCCGGGCAGAGCGGCGTGCAGGGAAGCCAAGAGATTTCGTGTAACATTTTGTGTTTTTATGTCACCTCCTGCCTGGGTTTGCTGGGTTCAGGCAGCGGGACCTGCTTTGATTCCTGGTGCACGGGTGGGAAACCGAGGCAGCGCCCGTGGGTAGGGCACGGGGGGGCTGTGGCGGAGCTGGAAACCCAACACGCAGCGTCCCCATCCAGCAGGACCCCGCGCGGATCTCACGGGTGTGCAGTTCGTGTTTTACTCTCCCCCCAGGGAGCCCTCTCCCTTCTTCCCCCTTTAATTATAAAAATTAGCGGGTTTGAGGTGTATTCGAGGGGGTTTCTCTTCCTGCGTTGACACAGCGCGCCACTTGATGACTCTAACCCCAAATTCTCCGTGCCACGGATACCCTGGCAATTATAAAACGCTTCCAAGCTCGCTCCATAAACCCCTTTGCTGTTGCTATTAGTATGCATTAACATTTTATTGGTGTTACAGGATGAAACATCCAGCCTTGCAGCTCCAGTGGGCTTGGGGATTTCCAGCATCCTGCAATATGTATCCGTGCAGAGGAAATTAAAATGTGGATGGATCAGCAAGATACAGGCAAATCCTCTCCAGTAATTTGGAGAAGACTAAACTCCGGTGCTAGCGGAGCATATTCCGAGCTATCTAATAGAGAGCTGATGATCTCTGTAACAGCCTTTTTGTAAGTTTTATTCTTGCCTACAAGGGAATTTGTTCAAAGGGGAGATGTAATACCTAAACTAATATTTTTAAAGGCTCTGCGCACAGAGAAAGGGAGGTGCCGTGCGGAACGGCCGCTTTCGGCGATCAGCCAGCACCCCAAAAAGGAACATAACCCATAACCGAACACCTGGCTGGAATTTCTCCCTCACCACCCCACCGGGTGATTTTACAGGGTTTGTCACCATCGCAGGACGTGTGGACGCTCAGCAATATTGGAAGTTTGCTCCTTTAGACACTGAGTTTTTATAGCTAGCAGAAGCGCCCACTCCACCCCCTCGAAAGCCTTTTCCAAGCCCCGAAGCCTCCGAGCTGAGGGCTAAACCCCGCTGAGCTGCAGGGGGCTTTGTTCTGGTTTGGATCCCCCCAGCTGCAAGCTCAGAGCCCAGAGAAATCCGCGTCTGCCCCAGGACAGCTGAGGAGTCAGGGGGAAGGGTGCTCGCCCCTGAAGGGGAGGCTGTATCCGACCCGTTAGAGGACCAAGACCTCTTCTTCGGCTACTAGAGCACCAAGTGACTTCCAAAAGCCCCGTTGAATTCTACATCTGGGCCAGGAGAATCCTTCCTGAAGCAGCACCGAGACCCCCGTGAGCTTCTCCATTGCAGAAAGTTGGCAGGGGTGAGGTGAGGTTTTATTAGCGGTTATCGCAGCCACCAATTCCGCCTTTTCCCACCCATTTCTGTCTCCCTGCCTCTCGTAGGACCGGAGGAGGTCAGCACGGCTGCAGGGACCCGGTGGCACCTTCATCACCGCTCCCTCCTCGCTCCTACCTCCCCTCTCCATCCCCTCACTCTCACGGTTTCGGGGTGCACCAAGACCCCATTTCCACCCAGGTGCTTCTGCACACCCCAGCCCCGTCCTGAGATCCACCGCCACCTCCTCGGGGCGTGAAGCTCGTCCTCGAGGCCACCAGCTCGGGTTTTGCTGCTCAACAAACGCCGGTCCTGCAGCGGGGACATCTCTTTGTTTATTTAATAGCAGGAGCCCAGCGCTACGCCATGGAAGCGAGCCGCACGCCAGGGACAAGCTAACACAGCAACAATGGCATGAAACACTTCTATTTTTTTTTATCCTTTTCCTACTATCACCGCACGAGGCTGCTTCTCTTAACTCTTACCTCGTTTATTAGGGGCTGTCACGAGCGGTCGTTTATAAAAAAGGGCTGCAAAGAGCCGGGGGGAGGCTGGTGGCGAGGGGCGAAACGCGCCCCACGGCAGGGCGACGGCTGCTGAGCAGAAACCTCTCACCGAACAGCCCACGTCCTGCTGCCCCAAAAGGATCCAGCTCTGAAATCCGGATTAAAAAACCCGGCTCGGCCAGCGGGCTGAGTGGGACGATGGGGAGGAAGCCACCGCGTGTCTGTCGCGCTCGCCGAGGGATGGGTTCAAGACGAACCCGAGCGCCTTCAAGGAAAAGATTTGGGGTCCATGATGACATTTTCTCCCCACTCTCCATCCCTCCACGCTGCTGCCACTTTTAGCAGCCTGCTCACACACTTGGCCTGCGTTGATGGAGAGGATAAAAGGGCGACAAGGAAAGCAGCCTTTGCTCGGCACATCTACGCCAGCTCCGGCCGCTCCCCAGAAGACCCAGGTAAAATTTTCTGCATAAATCCAACAACGCCGCCGAGCTCACCCACCGCTGGAAGTCCTGAGTCAGCACCTACAGCAGGATGGGGAAAAAACATCTGAAGAAAAAGGGTTCCCGTTCCCAGCCAGCCTCAGGAACAAGGCTCAGACGTCCTTTGGTCACGAGAGGCTCTGATCTTCAAGAAGAATTTGCTGGCTTGGGAGCAGGCGGCGCACATCGCCCACCTGCCAAACCCAAGCTGGGAAAGGGGGGAGGCATAGCACAGAAATTAAATAATAAAACACTGTGAGACAGAAAAAAAAGAGGCTAGCAAGGGCACAAAGAACATGCAAGATCCCAACAAACACGACAAATGCCCCCGCACAGCACCTGCCCAAGGCTGTGGCCAGCAGCAAACACCCCGCAGCGGGAGCAGATCCCAGCCCAAGAGAGACCAACACAGGCACCGGTGCAAAACACAGAGACTTTAATTAAAACCACGAGGTCGGCAGAGGTGGGGAGCTGCTCTGGGCACGGAGCAGCCCCGGGTGCTGCTGCTGCATGCGCGGACCCAGCGGGACAGGAGCAGAGCCCCCCAAGGGCCAGCGGCACCGGGGGAGGTGGAGGAAGGTGAGAGACCGGGTGCCACGCTACGGGGACGCGTCCCGAGTGGTGGGTGAGACTCAAAAATTAGCTGCTTGAAGTCCCAAAAGCCCTGGCAGGATCAAAGTGCAGAGTCGTGCAAGCAAAAGCTCTCCGTGAGCCCCGTCCCACCTCCTCGGAGGGTCCCAAGCCCAGGGAAACCATCCTATATCCCTTCAGGGGAAGGGAGCACCTCCCCACCCGTTTTTGGTGCTGAATTTCACATTTTTGGTGTCCCTCCCAGCATCTAGAGCATGGATGGACGTCAGCATTCCCACCCATCCTTCTACGTGCAGCCCCGTTCCCCTAAGACCACCGGGAGAGACGCGTTCCCATCCCTTGGGCAGCTTTGGGACCCCCCGGCTTTAGCTCAGCCCCCGCCAGCCAGACACCGTGCAGCCTCTAAAGCAGGGGGACATTTGCCAAAAAGCCACGCAGCGAGGCGCAGGGACACAGATGGAGGAGCCTGGGGTCCCTGCTCCAGCACCCCCTGGGCCCTGCGGACACACAGATCTCCTGCCCCGCTCCCGGAGTGGATCCCTTCGGAGAGCCGAGGTGATGGGCACACATCCTAGTAACAGCTTGGCAGTAAAACAAGGCTTGAGGCTGTCGTTTTCATTTCAAATGCGCCTTTATAAAGTTGTTCCGGGCAGCTCAGAAGGTCCTGGCCCCGTCCCCCCAAGCTGCCAGCCCAGGACCAAGCCACACCACAGCCAGGACAGAAAGTTCGGCTCCAGCTCTGCAGGGACCCGCATCTCCCTGCCCTAACCCAGCCTCTCCTCCTGCTCTGCTTCCCTGAGCTCCTTGGAGAACCTTCACAAGGAGGAGGGACCAAGACAAATGGACACAACAGCTCTGCTCAAACCCGGCACCAGCCACTTCTGCCCCCCCAAGGTGATGCTGGCCCCGCTCCGGATCCTGGCCCCATTCATTCCTCTGCTGCTGGTGGCACTGGGAGCGTGGTTCCTGCTGCCTGAGCACCAGCAGGCGATAAGAGGGGAAAATAGCTTTTTTTTTTCAGGTACAAGCCGCTGTCCTGGGCTACTTAACGCCTTTTGTTTCCAGCACAGGTAGCACAAGGCGTGCAAAGCCGCATGCTCGCCCCCACGCTGCCTTCGCTCCGGGGATGCCGCCCTGAAAGAGCTGGGACCGTGCTGCCTGGTGGGGAAAGCTCCTCGCTGGGGGCTGCTCTGGTTTCTGACCACGCAGCAGCAACCCCGGCGGCCACCTCGCCCCGCTGAGGCCAGCGAAGCAGAGAGGAGGAGATGGGGAGCGCAGCGGGGCAAGGCTGACCCCAAATGATGCCTGAACAGCGATGAGGGTGGGATGGTTTGTGCCCGTTCCCTATGGAGGGGAGGGAGCCTGGGCAGGCACAGCTCCAGCAGTGTCTTTGCACGGCCATTCCCACGCAGCCGGGGCCCTCAGCTCCAACCCAGACCCCGCAGCCCAGCAAACTGCTCGCTTCACCCGAGAGAAGAGGCGGTGGCGCGAAAGGAAGACCCAGGGGAAGCTTGCAGGAGGAGATGGAGGGAGGAGGGAGGTGGCTTTGCTTACCTAGGAGAAGGGAGAGGTGGCACCCTGGGCTTCCAGCAACCCGCAGCCCTTCCCTCCAGCTTCCTTTACCCACTCAGCAACCCCCCGTGCAAGCAGAGGTGGCCGCGTGCAGGCTCACCCCTCGCAGTGCTTTCCAAACCAAACAGCAACAGGAAACTTCGATGAAATTCAAAAGAGAAACTGCAGTTACCCCTGCCCAGCGCGTGCACGCGTGCCTTCCTCCCCCCCACCTCGACACCCCCTTCCTCCCGGGAAGGAAAAAGCAAGGGAGCAACCAGCTGCAAGGCAGCCCCTCGTCAAACCCCCTCGGTGCCCAAATCCGCGGGCGCAGCAGAGCTGGGGGCGTGCAGGAGGAGCTGCTCTGGTCCCGTCTCTCCCGTGCGAGGCCGCCGAGTGCTTGGGATCCGTGGTTTGCCCGATGGGGATGCGCAGGAACGAAGGGGCCGTGCGACGGGGCGAGGTGATGAGGAAGGGGGCGAGGGGTAGGAGGAAGAGCGCCGCGCTGCGCCTCCGCGGCCTCGGCTCCTCCCGCGGCCTCCTTAGGACGTCACGGGCTGGATGGGGAGCAGGCTGCCGAACTTGAAGTGCTGGATGACGGGGAACTTCTCCAGGCACTGCAGGAGAGGGGAAGATAAATGAGGGGTGAGTTCGGGAGGCATTTCCCACCTGGCACAGGCAGCCGGAGCTACGCTCTGCCCCCGGGCACGGGAGGAGGCAGCGAGCTCGGGGCTGCTGGCTCAGATCGGGCAGAGCAGCAGCTTGTGTGGGGGCCCAGTCTGATGCCCCCCACCCCATATTCCAGCAGGCTCTTCACCCCAGTAACACTTCGTACTGGTGGCACCCCCTGAACATCCCCTTTCACCGAGCCAGAGCCTTTTCCTTGCCGCAATTCAGGCCAGGAGCACGAGCTGAAGAGGGATGTTTGTGTCAGCAGCTTTCTCCCTCGCTGCCTCCCAGTGCTCTAGCTGCTTTCCTTTGAAGAGTTTCACCCTCCAAACCCTTGGAGAAGCACAGAAACCCCCTGGGGAGGAGGCTCTCCATGCCCAGGACAGTGCCAGCATTGAGGCACCACCTTGCAGCCACGAGGCGCTGCCCAAATCACGCTGCAGACTGGTTTTTGTCAGCCACGTCCCAGTGAGCCAAGTCACAGCCAGGCTCTGTGCTCACCTTCCTGCCAGGGGCTGTGGTCAACGAGCAGGGCAACAATTTTCCAAAACCTGCCCGACGGAGCCGCTCAGAGCTCTATTTTTGAGTCATTACGGATTCAGACCGCCCAAAAACTCAGGCAGGACGTGGAGCAGACTCATCTTCAGCCACACATCAACAAGGGCGCTGGGGGCACGGCGAACGAGATGGGAAGAGAAAGTGGCCACCAGGTAGGAGGCCAAGTTCTGCCCTCCCTAGGTTGCACAATCTAAAGAAGAGATCTCCAGGTCTTGGAAAGCCTCTCTCCTGTTCCCAGACGGTTCTGGGGACAGGACTCTTACTCCACAGGAGAGGTGAAGTTCCACCAAAGCACAGCAGCTACGAGCTAACAGGAGTCCAGCAAGTCCCAGCAAATCCTTGGCACCAGCAGCTCAGAGCCAGGGCAAGGGGGGAAGAGCTGCAGAGGAGCAGCAGGAGGGTGTCCCGACCCCACCAGCTCCTGGCCCTAACCAGCAGCCCCTCAGACAGACCTCGGGACAAAATTCAGTGCCCGTTCCTCCAGGCACTCGTGGCAAAGCACGGTTCTTTCTTACCAAAGGGAGGTGAGCTCCATCCCCGGACAGCCACAGCTCTCCTTTCCACGGAGAAGAGCCTCGAGCCCTGCCTGAGCACGGCTCCTTACCCCACGCAGGGCACAGGCAGAGGAAGGCTGCCCACACGCTGTCAGCACGGGCAAGCAGTGGGATTTGTGCTCAGAAGCCCAGGCCTGCGGCAATCCCGTTGGAAGCAGAGGTCAGACAACTTCCAAGGAAACCAAACCACTCGCAAGAAACAGGCTGGAGACAAAATAAGTTTGGAGGCGGTGAAAATACACCATGGGTGTATCTGCCCTTGGGGAAAAAAAGTCATAAAAAAATTCACAAGCCTCCCAGGCAAGGCACCATCAAGAAGCAAGTCCCATAACCATTGGGGCACGGCACCTTCGAAGCCTCCCCAACACTTGCAAGCACGCAGAGGGGCCCCAATCCCTCTGCACAACCACTCAGACAAACCCTGAGAGGAAGCAGCAGCGCAGGACTGGTGGTGATGTGAAGGAAGGACGGGGAGAAATGAATACTGGGGATGTTGACAGCTGGAAATGTCAGCCCAACTGGCTCCAAGGAGCCCCACGGAAGACCAAACTGGTTTGGGCTCCTGATGAAGAAACTTCACCAGCAGTTGGAAGAATGGGAAGGAATCCGTGCCAGTTAGCACATCGACAGCCCGAGAAGAAAGGAGCGGAGACACTTCTCCTCCTCCTCCCCTCTCCAGCAGGACTGGCACAAATGGTGTGGATTATCAGAGGTGCCAAGAGGATCCTCTCTGCACGGAACTGCCTGCAGCCAGCACCAGCTCGATGGAGGGGACAGGCTTTTTCTATTCTTCCCATCAGCCCGAGCACGCTGAAGTCCTGGCTTGAGACTCAACTGGGGAGTAGCTTCGTGCATCGAGTCCAACCTTTAAAGATGGAACTGGGACTGGATTAGTTACAATGGAAAGTATTTCCCGTCTGCCTGCAGTAGAGAAGGAAAGGTCAGGAGACTCAAAAGCAGGCTCAGGGGAAAAACATCAAGGCTGCTGCTTTAACCACACTGTTCTGCCGACTTCTTCTCTCGCCTTTGAAGGAGAGAACAAGAAAAGCCCTTGCACTTCCAAGCTAACTCTTCTTCACCCATTATATTTATATTATAAATAGGCACATTTGAGATTTCATAAACACGCAGAGCAGAAGACACGCTGCCTTGAAGCTGCTGCCTGTCCTCAGACCCTGTAGCAAGCACGCTGGAGGGCCTGGATCCAGGCAAGAGCACATGGCCGTGCCTGAGGCTCGTGCTGGCTGTTTAAAGTCATCCCATAGCGGGGATGGCCAAGAGACAAAGCGCCCGGACTGCGCGTTAAACAAACCAGGCCTGGGAAATGCCCCACTTCTGCCAAGTGAGAGCGAGCCTCCCATTTCTGCTGGTCTGCTCCCGGTGCCTGAGCCCTCCTCGGTCACCCCCAGACGTGTTAGGGAGCTGGACCATTGGAGCCTCCATCCTCGATTCCATCTGAGCTAATTGCAGACCATGATCAGAGGGTGTAGACACAGGTAGGAAGGAGAGGGTGAGGAGGAAATCTCGCTCTCACGCTAGCCAGTCAGCCAAAAAGCAGCCTTACAAACCCAAACCTTTCCCCTCTTCGCTGCCACGAACTCAGATTCCTCAGCAAGCCTCCCTCTTCTTCGCCCTTGCAGGTGAACGCAGGCCCCGTGCAGTGCCCAGAGGGGACTCTGCTACACGAGGGCCATCACTTGGGATTAGTCCTTGAAGACCCGCGGGTGTTTTTGGAGGAAAAAGCTAAATTTGAAGTCACGCAGCACTTTGGTTGAGTCAACGTTTCCTGTACCTTAGCCTAAATTTGTGTTCTCGCTCTTCCCAGCAGCTTTTGCATTCTCCCCGACACAGCTGCCTCTCGGGGTACTTCTAGAAACCCACCAGGTTCAGGTCCAGCATTTCCGAACAGAAAAACTCATCTGCTATTTAAAATAAATGGCAGCCTCCACAAAAGACCACGTCTTGGGTGTACCCAGAAACAACCAGAGCCTTTCCCACACCCTAGAAGGTCCCAAAGCTGCTCTGTCCCTAACGAGTCGGGTAAATCTACCAGCACGTGGTGACCCCATGGCACCAGCACACTGCACCCAACCACAGCAGGGTGCGTGGGGAGCCTGGGGAATATCAGAACCCATCCAAAGAGTGGGAAAACCAAGGCAGCACAGCAGCCCTTGCTCCAACCCCAGGATTTAGGGACCCTGTGCTTGATTTAGCAGTGCTCCCAGGGCTGGGGACTCTCTGCCAGGACCCCCAGCTCTCCCAGCAGAGCCTCCAGCTCAGGGTTTCCCAGCACAGAGGCACCCCTCAGGGAGGGGGTCGACCCCCAGCCTCGAACTCTCCTCCTCGGAGGCCGGGAGGAAAGCTGAGCTGGGGGCGGAAGGAGCCAGCGGGCCTGGGAGTGACACCTCGCAGATTAGAGAGGTATGTGGCCTGGAACCTAAACACAGGATGTGAAGTGCAGAGGAAGGGCTGGGGGAGGGAGAGCGCTTGGGTTCGGCACAGTTAACCCCTTTGTGCGCTGCTGCCGCCCGCCCAGCCTCTGCCCCACGTCCCAGGAATGGGAGCAGAGCCCGCAGGGCGTCGGAATAACTCCTTCGAGCCCTACCTGAGGGGATGTTACACCTCTAGCAGCGGGCAGCTGTGCCACCCCTGCTCCTCTCCATCGTGTTTGGCACAGCCACTGCCTCCCCTCGGCCGGGTCCTGCTGGAGACCCACGCGTTGCAGTTCCTGTCCCGCTTCCTCAAGTTCAGGGTTAGCTTCGGCAGGAAGGAGAGATAAGGGAGGGCCAGAACTGCCCGGTTCCCCGGGTCAGGGTTCGCCAGGAAAGCCTGCGGAGGCCGGCGGGTGGAGGATTGCCAAGCCCCGGAGGCCGCGGCCTCGCCAGTCTGGTGCGCTGCGCAGACACGGCGCGCGGCCAGGGGAGGCGGGCAGGAGGCGTTCAGCCTGCTCCGGGGCTTTTAAAAACGTGGGATGGGGTTAAACCGAGCCTCCTCCAGCTGGGAACAGAGCGGGGTGGGAAGGAGGAAGGTGTGTTAAGATGCTAGACCTCGTTTTGGAGGCCTTGCGTCTCGCACTGTGGGGAAAGATGAGAAATGGCGAAGCCACGCCTGCAAGGAAGGGCAGCCAGGGACTGGTTTTTGGGGCAAACACTGGGCAGGCAGGAGCCTCCTTCTGCCCTGCCCAAGGTCCCCGAGCCACGTTCGGCACGGAGCAGCTGCTGGGTGCGACGGGACCCCCACACCGAGGGGCACGAGGCAGCAGAGCTGAGGGGGTGAGGCTGAGCCAGGCCCCCCCTTGCCCACGGCGCTCACCTCGGCCTTGTACATGCGGATGAGGCCCTGGTTGACCTTGGACCAGGAGGGCACGGCGCTGATGTTCCAGAGCTGGTTGGAGTGCTCAGCGAAGGGACCCGTCTTCATCTGAAAGAGACCCAAAAGCAGAGCTGAGGCGCGGGGCCGGGCGGGATGCTCGCAGCCCGGTGGTGACTCAAGCTCACGCTCTCCCCGCCAGGCCCTGCGACCCACGTGCCGCCCGATCCTGCCCTCCTTCCCTCCCCTCCTTCCTTCCCTCCTGCTGCAGCCACATCGCATGAAGCCGTGGCAATCCACCCCTTACAACATCAAGCCTTTTTCTGCCGCTTTCCCCCCCAAAACCTCCCCACGCACACCTCTCCTTTAACAGCCACGTTAAAAAAAAAAAAAACCACCTCAGCCCCATTCTGCCCCCAGCAGAGCTCGGCTTAACGCCGTTCCTATCCTACCCAGAGCCCTCCCAGCTCAGCACCGCTGGGCTTTCCAAGAAAATAATGACTCATTCCCCCTCCAACTCAACAACAAGCAGCAGCAGCGACGGCCGCGCTGCCTTCCCTGTGCTCAGAGGGCAGCTCCTGCCTGGAGCACGAGGCCCTGGGGCGGGCAGGAGCAGAGGGAATGTGCTCCAACCCCGCTCTCCAACCAGGCTCCAAAGCTTCTTTTTGGTGTTATTTGTTTGAGACACTCCGGCGTTTCTCCTCCCAGGGCGAGGGGTTTGGAGGAGGGAGGGCAAGGGAGGGGGGGGGGAGCTGCAATCAGGGACAGTTGCAGGCAGACTCCCCGGGTAGCTCTCTCCCTTCTTCTCCGTGAACAAAAACAGACCCTCGGGGAGAAGAAGAAATATAACGCAGCCTCTCTGCCTGAGCGAAGTTCCCATGACATCAGAAACCACAAGGCCGAAGCTCACGCTAGAAAGGAACGTGGGGAGGGAGGAATCTCTTGGACTCCCGTTCTCCACTCGGGGTTGAACGACGAACTAACCCCTTCCCTCCACGCGGGCACGGGCTCGATCTGCTCGGAGGACAACGAGCTTCGAGCAGGCTGACCTCGGGGCTGGAGCTCTGCTGCTCTGCAAAAAACCTGGCCCTGCTTTTTCACGAGCTGGGCAGTGACTGCTGAGCCGCTGAGCCCTTCCTGCTCCCCTCTGCCGTGTGTTTCCCTCGCAGATTTGAGATGAAATGTGCAAAAAGCACATTTTTTTGCGATTTGAGATGAAATCCGCAAAGCGCAACAGCACCGGTGTGCCATGAAGTGTGGGATTTGGCACCGGTGGGCACCACGTGGCGGGGGAGCAGGGGGCACGCGTGTGGCCGAGCCTGGCGTGCCGGGTCACCAAGCACCCCCCGGCAGGGCAGGGCTGGTTGTGTGTGTTTCAACGCCAAACCTTCCTCCAGCATCGCCATCCTCGGTGCGGGCACAGCTTGCAGCAGCCCCCACAAGCGCGTTTTTTTGCTTTCTTCCCTCCTTCCTGAGCCGCAGAGGATGAGCGGGGAGCGCGCGGAGGCGGCGAGCTTCGGGCAGCCGGCCCCACCATCCAGCCCGTTGGCTCCCTGAGCCCCCTGGCACGGCCACGAGCGTGGCCCCCCTGGACCCAGGAGGGAAGGCTCGGCTATTGTTTCAAACTGGGGCGGGAGGAGAATGGGGAACAAGGGGGAAAATGAGCTCATTTCAGCCACAAAGGGAGAAGAGGGAGAAAGCGAGCGGGCTGGGGGGGGGAGCGAGAGCGGCAGCGAGCGCGCTGCAGTCCCGCAGTGACCCCAGGGGAACGGAGTGAGTCAGAGCAGCCATATTGAGCAGGAAATTACTCACAGACGCTGCGTTCCTGCCTCTCCGTTCCCAAGAGAATCAGCCTTTTGTAAATGGTTCCTCTGTCAGTAACTGGGGGAGGGGGACGGCTGAGGCTGTGCTTTCCTGTCAGCTCCTTCCCTTCCAGCCGAAACCCGAGCCCTCCCTTCCCAAACCTCCAAATTTAGAAGCCAGATTGGAGATGAAATTCTTGCTGCCTGCCCTGGGCTCTTAAAGCAACACAACCCCTGGCCGCTCCACGCTGCCCAGCCGCCCACGGAGGGGGCCCAATGTGCCCTAGGTGCCCCCCGGGGAGCTGGCGCTTGGAGCGGGCTTCGGTTTCAGCTGGCTCAAGAGCAGGCTCCGTGTTTTGCCCCCTACGAGGACGGTGCTGTTCAAAGAGAGCATCTGGGTGGCTTCAGGGGGTGACACACAGCACCCTGGGCTGCACTCACAGCTCAGGAACAGGCTGAGCTGGAGGCTCCATCACCACTCCTGCTGCGCACACCAGGACGACCCCAAACCAACCCCACCCTGAGCACCAGCCTGCTTTCTGCCCGCAGCACCTTGGAGAACAAGGCGACAGCCGGGGATAAGCTCAAGCCCCGGCCAGTCCCGTAACCCTCCATCCGTTCACAGCTCAAGCATTTGGGTCTAAAAACCACCCCCCCCAGATTTCCCAACACCACTCCGGCTTGCGTAAGGCTCGCTGCCGTGTCCATGTGCAGCGCGGGGTGGTGCTCGGGGAGGAGGTTGCAGCGGGTTCAGACTGGCCACCATCCCGCCGTGTTACTTTAAGAGCCCCGAGGTTTAAACATCCACGTGGCAAAGCACCACCACCACCACCACGGTGTACACTCACATCCCTGAGACGTCACCCAGAGGCTGAGAAAAATATCTGCTCCCGAGAATATTCGCTGGGTTGAAAGAAAAACAACCTACCCTGCTCGTAGCTGGCTGAAACAAAACCTGCTCTCACGTCAGTAAAACCTCCCAGACCCGGTATGGGAGCTGCTGCGGTGTTCACTGTTTGTTTTACACCTTTAAAGGAGGGCTGTTTTCAGCTGAAAAGCTCGGAAGAAAATAATATCATTAATGTATTAAAGTCGTTAATCCCTTCTATCGTTTCGCCTGGTATTTTGTTTTGTTGTTGATTTTGGAGAGAAAGCGAGCGTTCGGGGCTGTCTCAGCACCCCCTAGTGGCAGTACCAACCTTCCCAAGCGTTTTAAGGGAGAAAAATCACATCTTAGAGGCAACATTTTTACAAAAAAATAAAAGGGAACAGAGCTCGCAGGAAAACGGATTGAAAATATCATGCGTTTGACAGCTCAGGTTGTGGCAATCCCTGAGCAGCTCACACCAGGGGTGACCGACAGGAGGTTTCCCTGCCACCAGGTGGCACCGAGGAGCTCAGCAGAGAAACCATGATTCCGAATAAACGTGGGGAAAAAAAGAAGTGAAATTGCTCGTTAAAAAAGCCTCCTGAAAAGCTACGTTTCTGCAGGCAAAAGCGGAGCGACCAGAAGCAGCCTGGTGCTGGGTATTTTAACTTCACGTGTCATCTGCGTACTGCAGGATTTTCTGTACACGTAAGAAATGTGTTTTTATGGTTTTTAACAGGCTAGTACGCTGTCTTCACGTTACAGATGCCCAAAATAAAATAAATCTGAGAGCATCTTGGCTCCTGCTTGCAGCGAGGCCGAAGCAGGAGCGGATTTCCTGTCCTCAGCTCAGCCCCTTCAGGCAGTGCCTCTCCCCTGTCCACAGGCATGATTTAAATCTGCACCGAAGGTTAAATCCTGCGAGGTGCTCAGCACCAACAAGCCCTACTAGATTCAGCAGGGCTTGATGCAGCATCTCCTGGGGTTTGGGCCCAGGGCTCCTATGAAAATTTCCTCCGTGAAAGCGTAAGTTCGTATTCTGCAACCTCCCTTCTCATCTCATCACGAGATGAGAGAAGGGAGAGGGGGGAAAAGCGAAGAGAACAAAGGGGAAGAGCCGCACTCTGTCCTTCAAAATTAATCCCATCACCTCTCTCTTGCCAGAGACAGGAAATCCCTCACCACAACAGAGCATGTGGTTCTCCCCTCCCTACCCAGACCGTGCAGTAGGGGGGGGACGATAAAAACACAGGCAGGTCGCTCGCTGCAGCTGAGAGAAGGAAGCTGTGAGCTCCTGCTGCTCAGAAACATTGCCCGTGGATGGGAACAGGCAGAGCATCGCCAGTCCCTTGCCCAAGGACCCCAGAATACACGAGCAGAAGCACAGGTCCTGATCCTGGTCCTGATAACAGCTGGCTGAACCTCAGCACTCTCCCCCCTCCAGATCATTTGCAAGAAAAGGCACATTTAACGGGCAACTCCTGACAGAATCTGCTCAGATCTGGAGGAGAATGAGCTGCACGGAGGTATGGGAGCCTGCCCTAAGCAAGGGGAGGCCCAGGACCTGTCAGGCAGCGCCCAACGACTGGAGGCAAGGGAGGTTATCTTGGCAAGCCCAGCTGTTTTGCAGCTTCCACTTCATCTTCCTAGCACACTTACAAGCACCAGTCTTCTCCATCCAAGTTCCCACTGACTGATCCAAGCGATGATCCGAGGCTATTTGTTTGATATCCACAACCCATCCGGCTTAATTACGCTTTCCCTTCAATATCTCTGTTTCAGCTCATTCAAGGAGAGCACCTCAGACACAACAATGAATCTTCCGCGCACCTCCACGAGAGCAAACCAAGGAGGAAGAGAAAACCACAGCCAGAACTGTCTAATGTCAGGAGCACTTCCCTGTGGGACAAACCTCACCTCTGTAATGAAGAGGATGCACTCCAGGAACATGAAGTCTTTATGGTTTTCGTTTACCACCTTCTCATCAACAAAGTGGCGAGGCTCCAGATTCGGATGGTCTGAAAAGAGTAAAAGACAATAGGAAGTGAGCTGTATGGCACCCCTTTCTGAAAGCACGTTCAGTTAGGTCTTGTCCTGTCCCTCCTTCACAAGAAGGATTCTCCCACCATAGCTTTTCAGGAGTCAGCACAGAGCTGCTCCCTTCCATCTCCTCTCCAACTCTAATGCCTTAGCAATGAGAGCAACTGGTAAGCTCTCCAGGGCAGAAAATGTGTTTTCTAGCACCAAAAACAAGGCTCGCCTTTCAAAAAGCTTGTAGTACTGCAATAAAGACAGCTGTACTGCACAACGAAGCCTTCCATCTCCCAACCTAGGCAACCAGCTTTATTTGGAAAGCTGAGAAAAAAAATCCAAGCCCCAAGCAAACCCTGGCGCTGTATTACACAAATTCGACACATTTGAATTTAAAAGTCAGTCCCAAGCCCCATCAGCTTTGCAACCCAGACAGACAGGGCAGAGGGCAGGCTGGGACACGAGCAGATTTTTATTAGTACCTATCAGCTGGGAACTGCCCCATATGAAAGGTAGGAACTGGAAGTCATCCAAGCCCCAGACGCCCTGGCTGCCAGCAGGCTCCATCCTGTAGGTCTTCTGAAGTTTTCGCATCACTTCTAGGTACCTGATACGAAAGAGAGGAGTTAAGACAAGGCTGCCTTCTGGACTCCAAACACAAAATCCACACCTCTCCCTTTGCCAAACACATAGGAAACCCAAACAGACAGGCTATTTACTCTTGGAGGGTCCCAAACCCACTTTTGGGCACAACAGAAAAACCACAATTCAAATTTAGCAGCTGAGGGAGCACCAGGAGGAAGCCTTGAGACAGAGCAAGGGACTCAGGTTAACAGAAGGAAAATGATGAGCTGCCAGCACAATGCCCACTCGGATTAAATTACAATCAATGGGCATTCAGCATCACCTCTCTCAAACGAGATTTCCAAGCCTTTGTAGCTAGAGGGCTGCTGTAACCAACCCCGTTGTGTTCAGGCTACCTGAAGAAACATCAGCTACCCCCAAATCTACCCACGTTTGAGGACGAGGACTCACAGCCTGTTTCCATTACTCAGCTACAAACACCAGAACGCTCTGAGGGGATGGGAAACAGGATTTTGCCCGGGGGGAGAGGCTGGAAGTGGGTGATGCTGGCAGGGTAATAGGAAAGCAACAAATCAGCTGGGCCTCAAGCTCCACCGGAGAGAGCCGATGCCAATAACGTTCTGCATCACCTAGCCTTTCGTACCCCACACGGAATTTTCTCTCCTCATTGACTTACATGAGGATAAGAACAATCAGCTGGGCAAAGGACACAAACTGTAGCACTTGCAAGTAGGGCCCCCAATACGTTGCGGTATATAGGATGTATATTCAGCTCCTCTGCCACAGAAAGCAGCCTGACAGCAGGTATAGCAGCAAATGCCAGCACTTCTTAAAAACTGCGGCCTTGTTTTTGTTTTGTTTTTACACCAAATTCACTAAGAAAGCAAGTGACAGGCATTGATTTCATCTGCAGTGTCTGATGTCGGTGCAGATCTGTCCCCACCCCCACTGTTATTTGAAAACATTGATACCTCTCACTCCCCTCCGTAACTTGCAGAAGAGCTCAGAAAGCTTTCTGCCTTACAGCAACCACTACTTCCACTTTTCAGGTGGAAAATTAAAGCTGGAAGTACTGCTGAAGGAAATTGTTTCCATGCCACCAAACAGCGACGCAGCTGGGATTAGATCTCTGGGCTCCACATGCCCAGTCCGCTGGTTTCATCAATACCAACTCCAGCTCCTGGGCTGGAAACACATCTAGAGGAGCAGTGGAGGCCTGGTAGTTTCACATACTATTTCTTTTAATGCCTGAAGAGATGTGAGATCAGCTGATCAGATATTGTTGTTGATCACGAAGCACAGGACTTCACCCACATACCTCTGCAGAGCTCAATCCCTTGCACCTGACTGAACTGACTTCCCAGAAAGGCAGCCAGCCTCTAGAAGAGGAGGTGCTGTCAGCCCTTTAGGAAAGTAAAAGTACCTCTACCTCCTTATTTTGTTTAAATTTGCCTTCTGTTTTCTCATTCTGCCCTTCTGTAGGCCAGCAAGCCCTTCAGCACTCACGCTCTCTAATTACGCACACGGCTTCATGGCAGGCCCTTGATTTTCACAGCTCACACCCCAGAAACAGGATCTTGTTATCAAGATCTTATCTTCTAACTTCCAAATGGGTGTGGATGAATGGAAGAAAGGGGGCACGATCAGCCCAAAGCACAGGAAGAGTCTGGTGGACAGGACAGCTCACACACCTCAGACAGCTGCACTGGGACAGCATCTGAGGTGTGCCCTCAGACAGCCCGATGTTTCCAGCCCTTCTCCTTCTGTTACCTCACCTGTTAAATACTTTAAAGACAATGGCCATCTGGTCATCCACTCTGAGAACACCGATTTTGCAGAGGCAGCAGAGGAAGGCTGCAAACGCAGCTTCGTGCCCTGGAGTGAAAAGAGATGAGAGGTGATGCCGGTGCTCCTGATCCACCAGGACAACCCCTGTGGGCACCACAGCAGCTCCTCAGAAACCCCAGCAGTCCCATTCCCCTAGAAAAACCCCAGCCAGCTGTCCCTAAGGTGCTTCCTTATCCTATTAAGGACAAGAGATGACGGTATTTCATCCCTACATAGTACCCACCCAAAATATATCTGCTAGATAACTGTAGGGGTGCTATTAACTTTGAGAAAAAAAAGTTCCTATGGAAAACCAGCTCCAGCACTGGGTGTGCTGGGAGCAAGGCAGGAGCTCGGCACAGCAGGGGAAGCGGAGCGCTGCAGAGTCGTCTGCTCAGAGGATGTGAGCGAACCTCACATCTGCAAGTAAACAGATTTCCTCCCACTTCAAAAATATCTGTGTCGGAAGGATGCGGATCCCGTGACGCTGCCAGGAACAGGCCGTCCCAGAAGGTACCGGGATCTCTGGCTGACCCTCAGCAGCTCGGTCCTCCGGCTAACAGCAGGGAAAGCAACAACCAGCAAAAGCAGAGCGATGTTTTTTTGGTGGAAGGGCCCACAGAACAAGGAAGAGCACGAGATCAGCAGCCCCACGCTGTAAAGTGCAGCTCCCAGTGTACGAACAAAGTGTACCCAGGGTCTAGGCACTGCGAGTCAGGACACGGGACACAGGGTTGGGACACGCAGGAGGGGAGGAAAGGCTGAATTTCCTTCCCCAGGCTGACAAAATCCCAGCCCGTGGGTCCCTTTCCAAAGACAACATCTCCCCCTGGTGCTGGCGAGTCGCAGCTCTCCTAGCAAGCGCTGCTCAGCCTCCAGCTCTTCAGCCTTTCACCCACGTCCTCCTCCTCTTCCTCTCCTTGCCCCAGTCCGTGTTTCCTTGCACCCACAACGTCCTGCTCCCCTGCCGCGTGGTGGGAACTCCCCCGTCAGCACACCTGCCCTCCAGACAGAGGAGCAGAGCGTGGCTTCACACCAACGAGGCTGGATTTGCCTGCACAATCACTCCAGCCCGCAATTTGTTACCCTTTTTGGTGCAAAATGCTTCAACGTTCAGATTTTCAAGTCCCCTTGTAAGCAGTGACGTCACTTCAAGGCAGCACCAGACCTCGAGCGCTTCCCGCTGCCCACAAACTTGCTTCCCAGTCTGCTCACAACTCCAGCAATTATATTTTATTCTAAATGGCCCGTCGTGGATCAGCCGTGTGACACAGCTGGATGTGCTAAGGCTGCTCCTACAGCCCCGCTCCCAGCCCCAGCTCTCTCCCAGGCCCTTTGGTCCTAGCCCACAACGAACGTAGGGGTGAGGAGGAAGGTGTTTGTAGCAAGCTGGCACTATAAAGAGTTGCTAAAACACATTTAAATGCACGCAGGGCCAGGCTTCAGAGGGTTGCTACCCAAGGAAGACCAGCCGTGAGCCAGGTACCTGTGCCGTAGTCGATGCGGGTGGAATTCCCCACAGCCTCCTTCAGGTACACGGCCACTTCTGGGGCAGCACTGGCCAAATGCTTGGGGATCACCGCTGCCACCAAATTTTCTGCTTCCTGGAAGACAGAGAAGGCTCCCTGAAGTGAGTACAGACCTGTCACAGTCCCCAGGGGCAAGGCACCCCCCCTGCTCACACACAGGGGGAAGAGGCTGATCCTTCACAGCTCCCCTGCGTAACACAAAGTGCTGGAGCCATTCTGTCACCCCACCGAACACGCTGCCCTCCTGCAGGAGCTGCACTGAACGTTACAGGTGAAAGAGGCTCACCTGGTCTAGCTTGGCGTACCAGGTCCTGAAGGCTTTGTTCCCGAAGCGAGAAGGCTGATCCACGGGCGGAGTTTCATCGATCCATCTGTCGAGGGTGTTGAGGAGAGCCACCAGCTTCTCAATGGGCTGCAGGGACACGGAGAGGAAGGGGTCAGAGAGATGAAACAGAACACAACCCCTCAGGCGCCACCACCCCTGCCCTGTTCTGGGGCCTTTAAAGCCCACGCTGTCCTTCCCAGGGGTGGAAAGCAGGACTGGGCTGTGCCAACCCTCCCCAAAAAGCAGAGGCCAGGCAATCCTCGTTCCCCTCAGATCACCCAGTACAAAGCCCAGCCCCGGGCAGGCTCTCCAGTCGCCCACACAGCCTTTCATCAGCTGCAACAGCAACCGTGCTCTAAAACCTCAGGGAGAGCTGAAGCAACCTCCCAGCCGCAGGACGTGCAGGGCTGACGAGCAGGGAGCTGCTGCACAATTCGGGGATCTCCAGCACAAAACCCAGGCGCTGCATCTTTAGGGTCCTGCACGTCCCACAGGACAGAAACTTCCTTTCTCGAGGCCTCTCAGCCTTCTCCTGGGGTTTTTTGGGAGCCAGGAGCAGCAGAGAGGGTGTTTGCACTTGCACAGCACCCAGCTGGGCCCATTTCACCCTTTTTTGTGTGTTTTTGGTGCTTCAACCTCGTCCCAGCCAGGCTGCCAGGGCAGCTCCAGCCCCACGCCACCTCGCAAATACGCTCACGAGCTGGGCAGCACCACGGAAGCTCTGGGAATCCTCACTGCCAACCTCGGGAGCCTTCCAGGGGGGGGTCTGGGATTCTCCTCGGCCGCCTCCGAGCAGGCAGAGAGGCGGCAGCAGCCACAGCAGCTGGGCAGGCCCTGGGCGATGCGCAGGCTCCCGTCTCGAGAGGGGAATTCCTCCTTCAAGGGGGGACAAAGAGGACGGCAGCAGCAGGGCGGCTGCTTTGACTTTGCTGGAGGCATCGACCGCGCTGAAGCCGGCTGGGTCTCCTGGGCTGCGCTTCAATTCTGCCTGCCGGGAGGACGAGCAAACAGCCGAGCCCAGCAAGTTTGCAGCCCTTGAAGCGCCACTCCGAAGGGGGCAGGGAGGAGGGGAGAAGCAGAAGGCTGAGCCGCCGACCCTCCCCAGCACCTCTGCTCCCGTGGGTGGTGCTCCCTGAGAGCTGAGGGTGACACGGGGTGGGAGGAGGAGAGCCGAGCACGCAGGGAGCACAAACTGACCCCGCTGCAGGTGCCCCAAGGGATGCAGCAGGACAGAGGCTGATGCTGAGGGGCTGCACGCACCCCAAAATGCACCCCAGAAAGCCAGCCCCTCCCCGCTGAGCTGGGTCAGGTTGGGGCTCAGCCCTACCCCTTCCCGGCTGCTGCATCCCCCTCCAGTGAAGCGAGAGCAGCCCCGGCACTGGGCTGCATTAAATAATTAAATCCTGCTGGTGATTTATCCCCCCCTGGCACCAGCACTTCGTTATGAGCGGCTCCTGGATTCCCAACCCCTCTCAGTGCCAGCCGGGTGGTGGGGCCGGGCTCCTTTCCCCTCCCCAAATCCTCCTGCAGGTCTGGGGGAGGCCAAAACCTCCCCTTCCCCTTCCCCTCTCGCTGGCTTTAAAGGGATTAAGAAGCCCGGTGAACGCGGGGCGAGCAGGACCCAGCTGCTGGCTCAGCCGTGCCGATAAATAATTAAAGAGATGCAGCTCGTTTGGGGCACGCAGCCCTTTGAAAAATAAATAAATAAATAAATAAATTAAGGGGTTGGGGGGGAGGTTATTAAAAGCAGCAGCTTCCCATTGTCCTGCAGAGGAAACTCGGGGCACGCGGGGCTGACCCCAGCCCGGGGAGGGAGGGAGGGAGGGGGAGAGCAGAGCTTACGGGAACACCACCGTCAGCGCTGCCCGCAGCCCTGTTTTGCCTGGCTGGGTTTTTTTTTTAAGCTCTATTTTTGCTTTTACCTTTCCAGCGATCAAAGCAAGGGCAGCCGCAGCGCCCCCCCCCTCTCTCTCTGCTCTTCCCGTTGTGCTGATTTTGCATCCCCTTGACCCTGAGCCTGCCACGGGTCCCAAAGGCGAGCCGCCGAGCCTCCTGCCGACCCGTCAGCAGCTCTCGGGAGCAGGAGCCGGGCAGGAGGAGGTGCTGAGGAGGCACTGCAGCAGCCAGGGCTGCCCGCAGGGACCCAACCTGCTCCCCGTGGGCTCCTCGGGCCCTGCCTGGAGCAGGGAGCTGCTAAATCAGGGCTTTTGCTGCTTCCTTCCTAGAGCCAGAGCAAGTCACTGTGCTGGCCAGCTTCTCCCAACACCAGGGAGGAGGGTGGGCTGTGTAAAAGCAAGCCTGCACCTCTCAGGGCCAAAATTAACCTTCCCCTTGCTGCGCTGCTCCTCAGAGCCAAGTCACAGCCCTAAAAAGCTGCCCCAGGCCCCTCACAGATCCCCAGGAGCAGCACGCCCTCCAGGAGAAGGCAGCTCGCAGCCTGTCAGCCCCGCAGCCTCGTACCCGAGCCCCAGCCACCCTCCCACCCCTCGCTGCTCCTCGGGTGCTTCCAGCAAAGCTCCGGGCAGCTTCTGAGAGCAGAGCAAGCTCAGCACGGCTCAGAAGGGGCTCAGACCCCGGAGGATCTGGCTCTCGCTGCAGCAGGCAGCTCGGTATCAACACGCACCACTCCGGAAAGCACCAGGCTGCCTCTCTGCAAGCAGAGCAGACCACGCTCTCTTTTTTTTTTTTTCCTTTTTTTTCCCCTCCTCCCCGTGGCAAAGCGCTCGCAGGAAGCCGCAGAGGAGCCGCCGGCAGCAGGAAGAATTCCAGGAGGTCGTTTCCCAAAGAGAAGGCGTCCCCGGCGTTTGATCAGGGAGGAAGATGGGACGGCACCAAAGCACCTCGGCAGCAGGTACAGCAAAAAAAAAGAGAAGAAAGCGGAGCGGAGATGCAAGCAGAGGCCACAAGGGGCTGAGCCTTTAAAAGCCACGGCGAGCAGGCTTGATCTACAAACGGAGCCGAGCAGGCAGCCTCATCAACAAGGCAGCCCAGGGGATGCTCCACCTGTGCCTCGAGTCACAGGTTTGTGCTCTCCCCTGTGTGAGGGTAACGGGACGTGTTCCCTGCCACTTCCCAGGTCGGATGGGATCATGGCTCTTGTTTATTGCCTGCACTGGAGCCGCACGTGGAGCACGTTCGTTGCAGGAGGGATCCGGACACAGCCCGGACACAGCTACTGGGAGACGGCTGACGGCTCAAAGAGGTTGGAGGAAGAGGGATTTGTTTTCCTCCCCCTTTGTTTTGTTCGTTGTTCCCCTGGAACTGCTCTGTGAGCGAGCAAGATCGTGACAAAGACAGAACTCAGAGGTGAAATGCAAACAGCAGAAAGCAGGAGCGGCGTTTGCCGGCACATTCTGCCGAATTAAAGGGACAAAAGAGGGCCACAAAGCCTGCTGGAGAGGCATTCATCACCCCTGAGCCCCCCCACGAGCTACAAGCAAGTTTTTCATTCACACTCGGGTTCCTTGAAGGGGAGGCCGGACCTGACGTGCCCGTTTCAGACAGAAAGGAGCAGGGTAAAGATCGTGGCAGGCTGCCTTCAGACACCAGAACGGGCTCTAGAAGCACACAGCCCCAGCCTGCTTCCCATCCTGCCCAGATCTCCTCCAGGCAGGCCGCTCCCAGCTGTCTGGCACAGCCGTGATAAGCTCCAGCAGTAAAAAGATAGCTGAGAAGCTCCTCGCTGCAACACACAAAAAGGGAGAACTCGTGCCTGGGACAGCCCCAAACGATCCTGCCGTGCCCCCAAAAGGTGAACGGGCATTAAAAGTGGCCCAGCACCAGGCAGAGCCAGGCAATTGGCACCTGCACTGGGCAATCCTGCCTCACAGGCTGAATTTTCCCCCCAGCCCAGCTCCGTATCACGCTTCTTGTCCCTTCCAGCCCTGAGCAGGGCACCTGGGGATGCAAATCCAGCTGGGCACACCCTGAGCTCACACACAGCCAGACCTCACGCTGCTCAGCCATGGTGTGGGCTGAGATGGGCACTGGTAACACAGCCTGAGCAGCGAGGAAGCCCAGGGACAGGAAAAAAGCCTTGGACAAGGTCACACAGCTCCCTCTCTGGCAGCAGGAGAAGCAGGAACACAACAGACACCTCAGCCTTCTGGCTGCAGCCAGCAGGGAGGACCAGAACACCCCTGGCTGAAGCCAGACTGCAAAAGCAGGGACAAAACACGGCCCTTCTGCATCTTCTTTCCACCAGCAGCTTCCATCCGCCTGTAACTCGCTCCTTTTCCTACCCCAAAGGCACACGGAGAGCCCCTGCATCCTGCTGGGAGCACCGCAGGCTGACGTTTTGCATCCCCGAGCACAGCACAACCACATTTCGTCTCCCTGGCTGCCAATTCGACCAAAAAAAAAAAAAAAAAAAAAAAAAAAAAAAAAAAAAAGGCAGAAAAAAAAGGGAGAAACGAGTGGATCCAAACTCCCCTCCTACCTCTGAGACTTTGTAGTCGCAGGTCAGCTTCTTGCCTCTGACGCCTTCGTTCAGGGTGAGGATGAAGCCCATGTAGTCCGCGTAGGCCTGCGAGCACAGCCGAGAGGGGAGGGCGTGAGGGAGCAGCCACGGCCTGTCTGAGCCAGTGCTGTGGCACGGGAGCATCCCGGCACCCCGAGGGAGCCCTTCCCAGAGCACAGCTTCCCGGAGGCAGCTGGTGACTGCACCGAGAGCTCTGCTCTGAAAATTACAGTGGGGAGAGTCCTAAGGAAGCTCACGCCATCCCTGAAATCCTTCCCTCAGCTCCCTGCCTCTCATCGGGTCACATTCAAAGTCCCTGGCTCTGCAGAGTCTCAGCTGTGTCCAGACATCCTGCTCTGCGCTGCTTCTCCCAGACCTCTGCTGTTATCTCCCCTTTCTCCCTTCTGCTCTTCTGTGTGCATGTGAGATGGGAGAAATGGGGGACCAATATTTTCTTTACATGTGCTGCTTTCGAAGCATCAAACCCCGAGCAGCTCCAAGTCTCTGAACTGGCCAGACTCGCACGCTGCTACCTCTTCCTCCTCGGGACCCTCCTGGACAGAAATAATCCTGGTCAGGAGCAAGGCCTTGAGCCCAGGAGCCTCAGTAAAGGGAGCTGCATCCACAGCTTGGCTCGAGACCTGCCTAATTGCAGCTTCTCAGATCAGTCATCAAGCAAGAACTCGTTCCTAAGCAGCAGGACCAACAGGAGGGACGAGTCTGGGCCGTAACCCCAATCCCTCAAAGGCAGAGGGCAGAGAAGCTGCCTGCCCCACGCGTTATAAACAGAAATTACCCAGGAAATTGAAGGCCTTGGCTCCTTCCACAGAGCAAGGTGGGCAGGCAGCAGGAATCCACTCACCCTGACGCTATCAGAGGCCAGGCAGCAGGACCACATCCAAGCTGAGTTCAAACAGCGCTGGGGTGAACTCAGTTTTGATACAACTTACGGGCTAGGCGGGGTGAAATAGCGACCAGTTTCTACTCCTGCACGCTGGCAGGGAGCAGCAGCAACGCTCACACACCCCCAGCCTCCCCCAGCCTTTGGGCTCTCCCTGGCTCACACCTTTCTGGGAACATTTGGCTGCCAGGCTCCACACCGCCTCCCTGCCAAGTCATTTTCCTACAGACAGGCAGCGACTCTCCCTCTCTAACACGGATCAATTAATTTCTCATTACTTGCCCACACCTGGTTTTCCCCGGTGGCTGTTCCCAGCGCGGGCCTGGCACTTGCCAGGTTTCCCTGAACCCGGAGCCATACCTGAGAGCGTTTCCACTTGCCCATGTCAGAAACGATGTTGATCTCCTTCTTGGGGATCATGAAGTTCTGCTGGATGGGAGGAGCCATCTCCTCCGAGGCGCCTGCGAGATGCAAGGAAGGAGTAAAACAGAGGCAGTGGAGAATTAACCTTCCCCTCCTAGAAATCAGCAGTAATTTCCCAGGAGACAGAAGGCAAACAAACCCATCCCAGCCTGCGCCATCATCTCACCGTGTCCCACTCACACAGGATCGTTTTCAATCCCCAGAAAAATTCCCCTAAGGACACGTCGGGGCAGCAGAAGGCTGCGTTAGGTTTGTTTTCACTCCCAAAGACACGTTTCCAATCCAGGCAGAGAGGTTTGCAGGAGCCAGCACTGGACAACCCGCAGCCAGTTTCATTATTTGTGCCCAGGGAGGACAAACCTCAGGGTCATGCAGCACCGAACCTCCCTGACAAACTAACCCTGCCTGGCTTTTAGGGTGCGAGGCACGAAACACATTCCCCTAAAAGGGATGATTCCTGCAAAGACAAAGCAGGAGCGGTTCAGGAGATGGCCCCAGCCCCCAGCCCAGGGGCTTGATGGGACCCAGCACCTTCCAGGAGGAAGCTACAAAGAGTATTTAAAAAAATTTTATGATTTATTTTAAATCGTAAAGCTCTACCAGAGCCCAGTTAACATAAATTTTAGTGTGTGTGCTGATCCTGAACGCAGCTCTTCCCCTGGGCATCCCAACCCAAACACGTTCCTGTAAGGACAACTTTAAGCAGCACGATTAAAGCAGACCCCAATTAGGGAAACTGGGTGCCAATACGAATTTGGGAGTTCTCTTGGGATTAAAATTCATCATTTTAATCCTAGGAAACCTGCAGGTGTTTGTTCAGCCCTGGTTCTGCACCGGGCTCCTCCGAACCGGAGCTCCCCAGGACACCATGGGCTGTGTTGACATCGAGGCACTCGGCAGCAGATCGGGGGAAAAGGAACCCAAAATCCCAGGAAATGTGCAGAATCTGCTACAGATTGGTCACATAACCCTCAAAAATGATTCCCCACCTGAGAGCTGGTGTTAGGTTTGTCCCTGTCCATAGGTTCCAGGAAAACCAAGGGTACAGGGATGAGAGGAACAAAATGTGAGGGATTTAGAAGATGTGTCCCTGGCTTCGGGAAATTCGCCCCAGTGACGGAGCTCCTTATAACAAAAAAAGAGGATTTTACCCCAAAAAGGGGCGCTTTTCCCCCCAAAAAAGGGGAAGCTCCCCCCGCAAAAAGGGGAGCTCCTCCCCAAACGGGCGACTCCTCTTCCTCCAAAAGGGCACTTCTCCCCCCAAAAGGGCAGCTCCCTGCCCCAAAAAGGGAACTTTTTCCCCAAAAAGGGCAGCCCCCCCCTCAAAAAAAAAGGGTTTTTTTCCTCCCTAACTGCAGCTTCCCCCCAAAAAACGGCTTAGCCCCCAACCACCCCCCCAGAAAGCCGCCCCATCCCCAATTCCCCCGAGTCCCCAGGACCCCGTCAGGGCCCCGCCAGCCCCCGGCCGCGCTCCCCCCGTCACCTGCCCGCTGCTCGCTCTCTGCCATCTTCCCGGAGCCCGGCCGCCGCCGCCGCCGCCACCTCTCCCCTCTCACCCCCATGCCGCGCTGAAGCCGCCGGCGGCCATCTTTGAGAAGGGCAGGCCGCCTAGCACTGACGGGCAGCGGCTGGAAAACGCCGGCTTGGCCCCTCCCGGCCGCCGTCGCGCCCCCGCCGCCATCTTGGTGTAGGGCACGGCTTTTGCCCGTAGGGCCATGCTTGTGAAGGGCGCCGCGGGAGCGGGCGAGCGGGGTTGAGAAGCAGGAGAGGCGCTCCTCAGCGGGCAGAGAGCCTCCTCGCTCAGCCCTGAGCGGCTCCTCCCGCGGTGGAGCTGTTTCGCCCTTCAGAAATCCCCCCTCCTTCCCTCAGCGGCAGGGCTGCGCCCTTAAGCAAGATGGCCGCGGCGGCTTCGCCCCGCTCCAAGATGGCGGCGGGGCGGCCCCGCCCCTTGGCGGCCGAGCGGGGCTGTGGTGGTGGCGGCGGCGGTGGCGGCGCCCGGTGTCGCCGGTGTCCTTGTGGCGGGCGGGGGGACGGCGGAGCCATGCTGGCCTTCGTGGCCAGGGCGGCGGTGAGTGGGGGCTGAGAGGGAGGCAGCGAGGCCGGGAGGGGACGGGGAGGGGGCGGTGGAGCGGGGCTGAGCAGGGGGGCGCTCAGAGAAGGGGTCGGGGGGGGGCTCAGCCCTGTGGGGTTGGCGTTGAGGGAGCCCTAAAACCGTGAGGGGACAAAATTTTGGGAGAGGGGGGTGGGAGATGTGTGCACCAGCACTGGGAGCCCCCCAGGGACCCCAACACCCCGCCGTCCCCATGTCCCTGCTGAGGGGGAGGCAGCCCCCCAATAGGGCAGAGCTGGCCACGAACCCCCCCCAGACCCCACAGACCCCATAGGGAGGCGGTGGGGACCGCTACAGGGACGGCTTCGCTGCCCCAAACCGCCTCATCGGGGTGCGAGAAGGCTCCGCTGGCTCCTTCCAAGGAAAAGACGAACCCCCTGCCACCACCAACCCTGCTGCAACCCGACACAGCCCCAGGTGGGTTCCCCGGCCCCTTGGCAGGCTGTGGGACAGGGCAGCAGCCCAAGGAACAGGGGCTGGGCACGGCCATACACCCCGCACCCCGCTGGTGTCCGCTTTCCTTGGCACTCGTGAGGTAAAATCGGGGCTCAGCGCTGTCCCTGCCGCCTCCTGCCTCCTCTGCTCTGCTCCTCCCGCCGAGTGGTTTGACCTCGAAGCAAAGGGCGTGAAAGAGGAAAGATGCAAATCCCCCTCCCCGTGGCTTTTAGCTCGTGTTCTCGGCTTGGTTTGGGATTCTGCTGGTTACCCGCGGGGAAAGCTGAAGCTCTGTGCTTGGGATCATCCACCTTGATCTTCGCTACGTTAAAGGCTGCTCGTCTGCCCCGCAGCTGCTCAGACACAGAGCTGGGGTAACAGTCCTGGCCACAGCTCGGTTCTGTTGGTGCCCTGCTTTGGAGACAGCTTTTCACTTTTGTTTTTTTTAAGGGTTGATGGCCCAAGAGCTCCCCACAGCCTTGCAATAACGATCAGATGTGCGTGGGGGCGAGGGCAGTAGGACACCACCTTTAGCCCCCAGGGAACCTGCTCCTGTCTCCCACCGATTCCCCTACTGAGGCAGTCACTGACCCGTTCCCATCCGACACCCTCAGCCACCTTTACTTGAGCAAAGCACCAAATCCCCCGTCCCCCACAGAAGTGCTTCCCATGCAGTGACACCCCCTGGTGCCGCCTGCTTCCAGGACAGAATTTGGGATCCCTCCTGGACAGAAATATTCTGCTTTCCCTCCCCCTGGCCGCTGCCATTTGACTGCAGGCAGCCTCTAAGCGAGAAGCCCTTCACCCCTGCTGTGTGCTGAGGGCAAAGCGTGCCCAGCACCCTGCCTTCTGCCATGGCTGGGGGCCCAGAACTATCGATCGAAGAGAAATCAGCAGCACCCAACAGGGAGCGTGGGGCTGATGGTCAGGAGCAGAGGGAGGGCTTCCCGGAGAGCTCCCTTCAATCGGACGGTCGGATTAGCCCCGGCTCTCCCGGGCCTGCCTCTGGCCTTTAGCCCTCTGATCAGAGCAGTCATGTGGCAAGTTGCTAACGAGGTGACGCCCTGCCCGGGCAGCACATTGTCAGGGGGAAGAGGAAACCAAGACAGGCCGAGGGAGAGCTTTACGATCATTTCTGTCCTCCCAGCCATGGATAGGAAGCAGAAGCAAGCAGAGAAGGTACGGTATGCCCATGCTGCCGTGATTAACCCCCTTCGTTTCTTCCCAGCCCCTCTCCTTTCACGCTTCAGTAATTCCCCCTTCTCTGGTTCTTAACATTCCTTCCCCAAATCTTGACCCCGTAGTTCTTAGCAGGCCCTACGAGGAGCATGGAGCGTTTCCTCTGCGGGCTCAGCCCTGCCCAGCAGGCTCTGGCACCTCGCAGATTCAGCTTTCTTCTTCTCTGTGCTTACCTCCTGGGAGGTGGGGGCTGGCGGCCACCTCTTTTCTTACTGCTTGGGAAAGCAAAGGGCGCGTTCTCCCTGGCTGTGCATCCTCAGGCCAAGGCACAGCCCTGGAGAAGAGCATCTGGTGCGGGGCTTTCGCTCCCTGTGCGATCTGTGCAGCCTGGTAGCATCAGCCACAATTTCCCAAACAGCTCGCTCTGAGCCCTCTCCAAATACTCCTATAATTTGGCCAGTTCCATAACGGCACCACTGGATAGAGGTTCTAACAAGCAGCGTCCTCCACGAACTGGGAGGTTCACCAGCACATCCCAGCCAGTCCTCCCCGACCATCACTGGTGATAAACCATCCCTGGCCAAAGCTGGGGCAGGGGGAGCTGATCGTGCCTCAGCTTTGACTCGCCTTGACTACATTCTGCCTCCTCAAAGCGTAAAGGGCTGTTTGATTTGGCACGAGGGCATCTTACCACGCTGTTGTGCATCGTAAGAAGCAATGAAACAGTTTCTGGCTAAGAGGAAATTTCTTTCACGATTTACCTTGTTCCTGCTTAGCATGGGATGGAAGGGTTTGACGTTGTCAAACGCAGCTAAGACAGCGGGAGATGTTTCATTATCCCGGCAGTGTTTCCTCTAATTAGATGAGAATCGGGATCTCGGGAGTTCAAGCAGAGATTCTTGGGAGATCCTACAACCATCTAGAGCATGCAGCCAGCAGCCCTGAACCTTGCAGTGGCGCTTCGTGTGCTCTGCTCCCATGCTGAGACCTTCAATTAGGGATGGAGACTCCCAGATCCAGGTTTTTTGCTACCTCACGGACATCAGGGGGGAGCTTTTGTCTCGACATTTGCTCTGTGCTTTACAGGCCAGGCCTTACGGCCTGCTGAAGCCGACGGCTTTAGGCAAGATCCCGGGCAGGTTCCTGCTTCATCAAGAAGCGCTGCCCCACCTCCCCGTGCCGCCGCTGCAGCAGACGCTGGACCGCTACCTGCAGATGCTGCAGCCCATCATCAGCGAGGAGGAGCTGAACCACACGCAGGAGCTGGTGGCCGAGTTCCGCAAGCCGGGAGGCGTCGGGGAGAGGCTGCAGAAAGGCCTGGAGAGGAGAGCCAAGAAAACAGAGAACTGGGTAGGTCGGGACTTTGGCCCCAAGCGCTGATTAGGGAGGGAGGTGGTGTGCTGCACAACTCTCCCACGTGCTGGCTGCAGCCCCTGGGATCTGTGTTTTTATTGCATCATTTTCATCAGCAGCAGCCTGCTGCTGGCCTCCCTGAGCTGTGCAAGTTCACCAGGATCTGGGTGAGCAGAGATTAAAAAACAGGGAGTCCCTGACCTCGTTTGTGGTCACTAAATCCCTGCACCTGTTAGCATCACACAGCTGCCCTAAGAAGTTGAAGGAAATTCTCTGCTCAATCCCCTCTACCGTACCATAAGCAAAGCACAAACCCCAAACACTGCCTGCCAAGTGTGGGGCAGAGCTGGGGGCAGCGTGCTGAGAGCATTTACCTGGACTTGGGACAACCAGACACTGCACCTGCATGTTTGCCTTTCTCCATCCCAGCTCTCTGACTGGTGGCTGAAGACGGCTTACCTGGAGTACCGCCTGCCAGTCGTGGTGCATTCCAGCCCTGGCGTGGTCTTACCTAAGCAGGATTTCCTGGATCGACAAGGGCAGCTCAGGTAGAGTCCTTTTCTGCCTTCCCCTGGGCTTCAGATGGGACGAGCTACCTCCACCGGGCAGGGAGGAGGGTGTTCGGGCTGACTGGGAAAGGGAGTAATGAGCACACGAACACCTAATTTGATAGCCTGACATACTAAAGCCGAGAAGGCACTCAGGTTGTGTGTGCAGCTGAAGGAGGCACAAAAACCTGCCCAGGTGTGTGAGAGAGACCAAACAAACATCTCTGGAACGTGCTAGTTCTCAGGGATGGGGGAGGCTGCTGTCATTCAGACCGTTCCTGCAGGGCACTGTCCCCTATTTTGTCATTTCACCTGTGGATTTACGGTTTGGAAAACTAACAGTCTCCAGCCTCTCTCCGTCCCCAGCTCCCTTACAATCAAACCCTGCTTTTTGTCTGGCTCCTTTCTGCCAGCGAGCAGCGTCCCGCAGCCAGCCCCAGCCCACTGCTGCTCACACACGCAGCCAATTCCCTCACTCATTCCTGCACCAGCCTCTGAGTCCTCTCCTCTCTCTCTTGTGGGATCCCTTTAATTTTTAACCACCTCCACGTGTGCGTTTCAAACTCCATCTGCGATTGCCCTCTGCACTGACCTTTACACAGCAATACCTTTCCCACCGTTACACATCCCCACGGCTCTCCGCACACCAGAAGCAGCAGCCAGGGGAGCAGCGAGGCTGAGAACAAACCCTCCCCTCCCTTCCACACACCTCACCGGGGGCACAGAGGGGGAGCCTTGCAAGCTCAGTGCAAGATTACACAAACATCTTTGAAAACTCTTGCTCATATTCACTCACGTTATCTACATAGGAGGTAGGATTTGGAGTTCTACAGGTGCTCCAAGCAGCAGAATGGAGCAGCTGTGTGATAAGGTGGGCTCCCACGTCAAATACAGTTTAGAAGTGTTTGCACGGTTTGTGACTGCATAAAGAAGCTCGACAGCATGGCTTGAGGCTAAAGCTTCAGGTATCAGAAGGCAAGGTTAGAAAGTATTTTTCAATCCTCAGTCAGGCAACGCTGCTGGCTGACAGTAAGTCACCTAACAAACCTTTCCCCCGTCTCCCACTGAAGCCCTAACTCTGCTCCCGGGCTCTTTGCTCTCTGGAACAGAACAGAGGCTGTCCCCACTTCTGTTTCCAAGCGGTTTTACTTCTTCATTTTCTTCTCAGTATCTTCCTGAAGTAACTCCAAGTAATTTTTCATTGAAGACTGCTTTTGCGGAGATGTGCTTTATTTGTTTAATGGCCCCGAGCTTCTCAGCCTGCCTGCCTTTCATCTTTATGAGGGATGGAGAGGCTGAGCAAACCTAGGTGACACTGCCTGCAAATGCCAAATGCTCCTACCACGTGGAAGCCTTTGAAGCTCAGCTGAGTGCAACCTCTTGTCACAGTGACCTCTGGCCTCCTTCCTCCCGTGCTTGGGTGGCAGCTCCCAGGCTGGAGCGGGCCCATCTGTCGCTCCCAGGCTAAGCAGTTTGATGTGGCTCGTCGCAGCCTCCCTCCCTGCTGGGAGCTGACATTTGCAGTGTTTATGTTGATCCTAGTAAACACAGCGCCGAAGCGTCGGCGTGCAGCATACCTGCATTTGGTACAGACCCTTGGGTGCCAGAGGAATGCTCTTAGGGTTGCATCAGCAGCAGAAACGCGCAGCGGGCAGGAACTAAATCGGCAGCGATGAGTCTTGGATCCAGAGATAGTGCTGGGGCTGAACTTGAAACTCACAGCTGGCTCCCGGCCAGGGAGAGGCACAAGTCCCCTTTTCTCAGCACTGCCACGACTCTGAACTACAGAGCGACAAAAATCAAAAAACATCGTAGAAAATGCGTCTGTGAGAGGGCCAGTTATGCCTCCAGACTATGCCCTTTCTTTAAAGTTGTCCAGAATTCCCTGACAATGTAGTCACATAAAAAAAAGTGCCACATGGTTGGACTATGCAGCAATCTCAAACTAAAACCCCACAGTGGCTGCATCAGCGAAGCAGAGCTGGACACAACAAGGGCTTGGCAGAAAAGCTGAATTTCCTACGGAGCAGAGAGGAGCTCTGCTGCTCCTCATCAGCTAACCCCCCAGCCCCAGATACTCCGTGTTTGAATCTCAACTTGTTGCATTTGTTATTTTGCCAGGTTTGCTGCCAAGCTGATCGAGGGCATCCTGGACTTCAAGACCATGATTGACAAGTGAGTTAGCAACCTTCCTGACTTCTTGCACATTCCTCACTGTCACAGAGAGGCTGAGTCTAGCCAATTAATCTCCTTTTTAAAGAGAAAGCTGAAAGAAAACAGCACATATTTGAAAAGAGATATTGTAATCAACATTGCTGCTTACTGCCAAGGTCACCACTGCTAGAGAAGAGCAACTTTTCTTTCCTTTCTTCATGATCTTTGTTTACCTTAACACTCACTGGCATGCATGCACACTTGGAGGGATCGAGCCTGACAGTCTTGTGGAGTTGCATACTTGAGTTTGCCCACAGAACAAGTCATAGCTCAGGCAGCAGGAATTTCTCTCTCTCCTTTTGAGTTTCTGGTGTTCCTCATCTTCCAGCTGGCTTTGGAGAGACTCGTTCCTCCCTGCCCCCTCTCTTCGGAGCACCAACAAATCTCCAGCGCACATACATGATTTATGTTCCCGAAATAGCATCTGCTAACACGCTGCCAACACCACACCTTTACAGCCAAATTCAGACAGGGCTCGGGGCCAACCGCGGGCAGGGCAGTTGGAGGATGACTGAGGCCCAGGCGGGTTCACAAGTCATAGCAGATCGGGCACCCACCACCCTAGATTATAGCTGAAAACCTGGTTGTGCCATTTTACTGGAAAGCAGACGTCTCCCAGCAAAACATGCCCTGAATTCTTCTCTACAGGCAGCATGGTGTATGCTAAGCCACGTGGGAGGCTCACAGATCTATTTCTCTGGTGCTGTAGAGGGGGACGGTGTTTTTCCCCTTCACAAAAGGCCAGCAAACAGACACTTTCTGTGGTTCCTGTTAAAAAGTTAGTAGGAACGGGGAAGGATGGCCCTTTTATGCCACCAGCACCCCTATTTAGGTCTTACTGGAGGGGGATAGAGCAGCTGCACGGCTGATCCTGTGCCTGGTTTGTGGGGGAGCGCAGATCTTCTCACTGCTGTTTTCTCTCCCCGTCATTCCTTACCTTGCTGTGCCTCCAGTGAGACCCTCCCAGTGGAGTACATGGGTGGGAAGCCCCTCTGCATGAACCAGTACTACCAGATCCTCTCATCCTGCCGCATTCCTGGGCCCAAGCGGGACTCCATTGTCAACTACGCCAAAGGCAAGAAGCAGTCCAGGCACATCACGGTGGTTCACAACTTCCAGGTACGGCAGCTCTTGGGCTTTCAGGGTCTGTTTGAATGCACGTGTCCCTCTCAGCAAGCTGTGCTGCTCGAGGAAAGCAAACAAAGTCTCTGCCCACAGGATTTGCCTCACCAGGGATGCATTCTAACTTCCTTTATCCTCTTTGGCCTTAGCTGGACAACAGCTGAGATTGCCCCGTGTGAGCAAGGGATGAGGCAGAAAAAAAAGCTCTCTTCTTTTTTTCTTGTCCCTGCAATTCCCATCTCTCAGTCCTGACTTAGGAGATTGGGTCTCAGATTGGAAATTGGTAACAAATTCTACCACGGTGCACCCACCGTCTAGGAACTGGGAATTCCTCAGCTGTTTTGGCCCTCATTACTGTGGTTTCTGAGCTTCTGAAAACCTGGGCTGTATTTGTGACCTGCAAGGGAATTTGGACTCGAGTCTCTAAATTCTGAACATCCTTCAAGCATCTGCTTACAAGCTGCATTCTTAGGTCAGCTCTTACCTCCTTAGCGTGGCTGCTCCCTGTTCCTGCAGGTAGATTTCTATCATTTATTATATCTTTGTCTGCTCTTTTCTTCAGTTCTTCGAGCTGGACGTTTACAACAGTGACGGAAGTCCCCTTACCACCGACCAGCTCTTTATTCAGCTGGAGAAGATCTGGAACACCTCCCTCCAAACAAACAAAGAGCCCATCGGGATCCTCACCACCAACCACCGAAACAGCTGGGCAAAAGCTTACAACAACCTTCTGAAAGGTCTGTGCAGCCCCCGGTGTGCAAGAGCTCACACACACCACAGATGTTTGAATGCCAGCTTCACCGCTGTGCTCTGCTCAGTTCTTTCCTTTGGAAAGCTTTTGAAGCTTGGTCTGGGCAGATATGTGAATTTTCCACCCCTAAAGAACGTAATTTCATTGCAAAGTGTTGCTGTATCTGTTTTAGAAGGTACACACCTGAAGTCTGAAGTTTGGTGCGTTAAACCTGAAATCCTCGAGTTTGTTGCCTCGCAAATGGGTGAGATGTAAGAACCATGAAAAAACGAGGCTGAATGCAGCGTGTTTGCACCTGTAGCTACACAACTGCCTATAACTTTAATAAGTGATCAACCCCACAATGACAAATACTGCATTACAGCCCAATGGGGATCCAACGCTGCATCCTTCAGACTTTCTCTTTCAAATTCCAAGCTCTGACCAATTAAAATGCAAATATTTCAGCTCCCCCTTCTTACTTGCTGTTCCTTTTCTCTCTCAGATAAGACCAACAAGGAATCCGTGCGTACAATTGAGAAGAGCATATGCACTGTCTGCCTTGACGCCCCAATGCCACGGGTGTCCGAGGACATCTACAAGAGCCGCGTGGCCGCTCAGATGCTGCACGGGGGAGGCAGCCGCTGGAACAGCGGGAACCGATGGTTCGACAAAACCCTTCAAGTAAGTGCTGATGCTCTGAAGATTTTGAAGACGTGGGTCTGACAGAGATGATTTTTCCTGAGATTATAAGGGCCCAAAAAGATCCAGAAACTTTTGCAGGAAAGTTTCTCTAATACCAGAGTGCAAAAATAGGAGAGACAAGGTAGGGAAGCTGGCAGCGTGCAACCCTTTGGTTTCCCTTGCTGTCACCACAAACACTCCTTCCTGCTTCAGGGACTTCTCATTCCTTTCGCTGCCTCTGCCCACGCTTACTCAGTGTAGCTATTCTTTGTGTTCCTTGTAAATCAATTTTCTGCCTGCGGTGAACAATGCCTCATCTGCTTGGAGGCAGCCCAAACATAGGGAGGTCTGTTTCTTGTATTTTCCCTAGGCCTGTCATTTTTCCCATTTCAGCAGAAGCTGCCCAGGGTTGCGGAGTTTATTTTATATTTTTTTGGTTGTGGTGGTGTTCTCTTTCGTTGTTTTTTTCTTCCAAGCATCAGCTGCCATCCCACAGCATCCCTCTGTTCTCTTCTCCATTCAGTCTTGTCGAGAGCCTTCAAGAGCAGCTGTTACTCAAGCTTCTCCTTTTAGTTGATCTGTCTTGGCTCACAGATTGTCACAGTGGTGCTTTAGAAGATTCTCATCTCTGCTGAACTCTTTGTGTTTTCAGTTATTTTATTCCTATTTGGCACTCTTCATCGATGGGATAGAGCTGAAATGTTTCAGCTAATTGAAAAGTGAGGCTAAGTAAGCACACGGTGATATTATTCCTGTATTACCTGTGCATCTAAATAAATCAAATCCATTGAACCACGCTGTAGTGCCAGGGCACTGAGCACACCAGTAAAGCTATCAGGCACACTCTTTTCTCCAGTTAACTTCGTAAAACTGTAACAGTGCTCTCAGATTCTTCTAGACCTGCTCAGAGACTTCTAATGCTAAACGAGACCTTTGTGTTACCTTTCAAGCATGCAGGAAAAGGAGAGTTGTCCATTCTGGTATGGAGCAGTGAGATACTCAGAGCTCTCTCCGGGTAGCTCCTGCTTCACGTACTGGATGTCCATCCTCAGCACTCTCCTTTGTTCTCTCTCACAGTTTATCATTGCTGAAGACGGCTCCTGTGGTCTCGTATACGAGCACGCTCCCTCAGAAGGCCCACCCATCGTTGCTCTTCTGGATCACATCGTGGAGTACACGTGAGTCCTGCCTTCTCTGCTTTTCCTCAGCTTTGGAAATGGGTTTTAAGCCACCTGCTTCCCCAAGAACATGCCTCTTCCTTGCTCACCAAGTATTTGTTCTAGAAGAAGGGTAATGCTATGCTATGCAGTTAGAGTAGTTCTTGCATTTACGATGAGAATTGAGTATCCAAGCTCACGCTGCTTCCATTCTTAGGGAACTCTGTGGTTCAGAGTTAGCAGCAATTCTGCCTGAGAGAGGTGTTCCTTTTGGGCAGAAGGCACAGAAAGAGACTTCGCTCTTGCCCTTCAAAAACATTGTAATGTCACTGTGAAGTATATTTCAGCACGTGACAAGCGTCACGAAGTGCCAGGGCTGATTTCTTCTGGATTTCTGCACAGGTTCTACTGTGCTTAGCTGAACTTCGCATCAAAAGACTGGTTAAATGTAATCATTTCTCTGAGCAGGAAGAAACCTGAACTGGTGAGATCACCGATGATTCCTCTGCCAATGCCCAAGAAGCTGCGGTTTAACATCACTCCAGAAATCAAGAATGACATAGAGAAGGCAAAGCAGAACCTCAACATGTACGTATAAAGCACTCAGAAGTCTGCACTCTGGTGACTCAGAATAACTCATACCCTCATTTGAAACATGTCAGCCTTCCCCTGCTGCAACCAGGGGTGTTTCCAAGTAACTTCTTGGGTCAGCAGCATCAAACCTAGCTGAAAAGCACGCTAAAGCCACCTGTCAAGAGGAAACTGAGAAGAGGCAATTGCTTATCCATTCCACTTTACTGAGAAAGAGCAAGGCTTTAGCGGATCCAGCTAGGGTTACTAGATATATACAAAGACATAAGCCCATCAACTCAGTGCAGATTTTTAGCAGCCACCAAAAAAAGCTCATCTCCATGATGCTGTTTAAATGGCTCTGTATGATGGAGCTGTGGGTCCCTGTGTAAATCAGGTCCAAGTACTGTTCTCGCTCAGCCTCATGAAAGCCAAGTCATACCTTTACGTTACAAAAACAAGCTAAAGGTGAAGGAACACTTCCTCTTTCTTTCCTTGCAGAATGGTTGAAGACCTGGATGTCAAGGTCATGGTCTTTCATCAGTTTGGGAAAACCTTCCCCAAGTCAGAAAAGATAAGTCCTGATGCTTTCATCCAGCTGGCCTTGCAGCTAGCATATTACAGGTAAGCCCACTAACAGAGAGCTTTTCAACCTCTTCACCTTCAGACTCAAATATACGAGCTTGATAAAGGTGTCACAAACAAGTCTCTAGCAGGCTGACCTGGTCTAGTGGAAGACGTCCCTACCCAGGGCAGGGGGACTGGAATTAAGATGATCTTTAAGGTCCCTTCCAGCCCAAACTGTTCTGTAATTCTCTTTCTTCTCCCTCTCCCAGGATGTATGGCCACGCCTGTGCCACATATGAGAGTGCATCGCTAAGGATGTTCCGTCTGGGCCGCACAGACACCATCCGCTCCACTTCTGTCGACTCTCTTAAGTTTGTGCAATCCATGGACGACCCCGACAAATCGGTGAGGATCTCAAAGAAGTGGAGCGAGAGGACTCCACTGCAGAAAATAAGGAAAGCCACTCATTGGGCTAACTCTGACAACTGGTTTCAGCTAAGCAGAACTGCACCCGATAGGAAGGTTAAGCTGAAACACAGCTTGGAGTATGTAATTGCACACCTTGGGTTTCATTTGGCTGTCCTGTCACGTGTTATTTCCCTAGCTTTCGATACATGTGAAGTTATCTAATCCTACCGAAAAGAAGTCCCTCCCTTCTAGAAGTCTGCTTAGTCACTCGCATTAAGTTCTACTGCTGATGGATGGAGAACTCCATTCAGAGCGATGTAACACAGCCAAACAAAATAATGTAAAGGTTAACATTAGTTTAACTTAGATACACAAGGCAGAAATGCCTCCATCCAACAGGAACAGCCAAAATGAGGTTACCCATTCTCGGCAAAAACTTACAGCCAGATCTGTGTGTTCTCCTCAGGACCAGGAGAAAGCAGACTTGCTGAGGAGAGCTACCCAGGCCCACAGGGAATATACGGATATGGTAAGTGATCTCTGCAACTGTGTTTGGGGCTTTAACCAGTAAACGAGGGTTCTGGTTAAAGAGGAGACCTAAAGAGCATTATCTCTATGGCACAGCAATGTGGCCATTAGTGCTGTTGCACAGAGCTAACTCTGATCTGACAGGGCTCTAGGGCACTGCCTGAATGCCTTCTCTCTAGCTAGCAGCGCAAGTGCCCCTTGTGACAGGAAGAAAAATCAAATATCAAAATAGCTTCGGTCTTCACTGTCATTGTAGCTAATAAATGTGACAGCTGCATGAAGCCCCCTTAAACCACAAGCACATGGGCAGGAACTGTAAGGTTGGTTCCGCTGGGGTGTTTCATTGTCAGGCGTTTGAAACAAGACTGACTGTTGCTCCTAAAGGCAATACCCAGCTGTAGACTTGACAGATATTTAGAAATGTTCCCCCCCTCGTCCCCCCAAAGTTGATAGCGTTGCTCACTTTGATGCTAGACAAGCTCTCACCTACTCTTCCTTCTATACAGGCAATACGGGGGAACGCAATAGACCGCCACCTCTTAGGTTTGAAGCTTCAAGCTATTGAAGACCTGGTGAGCATGCCTGAGCTGTTCATGGACACAGCATATGCTGTTGCAATGCACTTCAATCTCTCAACCAGCCAGGTAGGCCTCATTTGAGCAGCGATGGAAGCGCGCTGTTCATTGTCTTTCTTCTCCACATTTCTCCCTCATCCCTTTCTAATCTCCACTTGAGGATAGAAGTTTAAGCCTGCTACCAATCCCATCGAGCTGCAGCTCTGATCTATTGCTGCCACAGTTCCCCTCAACCCCTGTAAAAACACCAGCATGACCAACGCCAAGATCACCTGCAGTGCTTGGTGTCTACATGCAATGGTATCAATTAGAGCTAGATGCCAAAATAGCTTTGTTTATCTGCCATGCTGTGGTTTTTACTGCGGAAGTTCTACTCAAGACTTACTACAAGCTCCTATTGGGGAGAATTCTCCTTTGCAGAAGCACTGCAAAATGGCAGAACCCAGTACGTGGGTGCTGGTGGGTGCATCTGACCAAAAAGGCCCTCTGTAGAGCAAGCTCATGAGATGGCAGTTTCTTCTGCTGTTGACACAGTTGTTAGCATTTGATAGCTGTGTTTCTGTCTGGCTAGTTAGAAGCTTAATTACATTGTCTCCACAGGTCCCAGCAAAGACAGACTGCGTGATGTGTTTTGGTCCCGTGGTTCCAGATGGCTACGGAGTCTGTTACAACCCGATGGATGAACACATCAACTTTGCAATTTCAGCATTCAACAGCTGTGCTGAAACAAACGCAGCTCGTATGGCACATTATCTCGAGAAAGCACTGCTAGACATGAGGATCTTGCTCCAATCCACTCCCAAATCCAAACTGTAAGAGGCAAATACGATGCAAAGTCCCCAGCTAAAGGAGCTGTCCCTCGTGCACTGAAGTTCCCAGTTCCTCAGAAAATGATTGAGGGGACAGCTTGCCCTGACTGGAACCCAGGAGGGCATCTACCATTTGTTTTCAGCAAGACCTTACAGAATTGCCATCCGCAGATACTAGACTGTGCAGTGAGAGGCAGCACTGTCTTAAACCAAAGTGGAGCTGACCTGTCCTCTCCCATCAATGCAAAGTGCACCTTCTGTCCTCAAAGAGGACTGAAATAGGATCTTTTTATGGAACGTACTGTAAAAGAATATAGAAAGCACAGTCCTTACCAGTATCTAAATCCGTTTGGTGAGGAAGGGAGTTCTTCTCCAGGAAAAGCAGGGAATGTTTGTTATGTGATGGAACTACTGTAAGACCAAGCCTTTTTCCGGTTTAGTCTTCTGGGGAGTGCAGCATCTTTGAAACTTGTCTGAAGAGTTTTCGTATACTCCAGCAAAACATCACCATTGAACTTCGGCAAGGGGAGAAAGAAGTTCTCAAGTCAGAGCAGACCCAGTCTTGTTAAGAGTGCACTTTATTAGCCACAGACACCTGCTCATTACGTGCTTTAGAGGCCTGGGAATGTTCCCTTCCCCATGTTTTAAGATGCTGAGATCTCCTTTCTGTTGCACTGACCCAGCTAACAAGAGTATATCACCCACTACAAGCTAAGGTAGTTTTTTTGTTTGCTTTGTTCTGGGCTTTTTGTTTAAGCTTGCTGTTATGGTCCTAGTCATACAAATCTTCTTTCTTACACAGGTTTTGTTAAGTTTGGCTTTAGGTACTTCAACATTTGTGGAGAGGAAAAGGGGTTGCCTATGCATTTTAGCAGAACAGTTGCTTCGTTGTACCTTTCTTTGGAGCTGAGGAAAAGAAAGTGATGCTGACGTTCTGTTTACTAGTCAGAGAGCCACATGCCTGTTCACCTTCAGGGCACACGTTACATCTAAGGTGGTTTTATACCTTGCCTTCAGAAACCACATTTATGCATAAAACGTTATGCCTAAGTTGTGGATAAATAGAAGTATTTCTGATCAGCAACTCGAGAATACACTTCTGATTTTGGCCCACAGAAATCAGATCTGTTAGAGCCAAAGAAAAATCAGCTGCAGAATATCCCTTCTGCACATCATTCTGCTTTAAAGAGGCAGAAACACCTGAAAAGAGGAAGAAAGCTGAGAATGTGCAGGCACTTTAGATGTTTGTCCACTTTAGCAGCCACTGTTCCTGCAGTAACAGTACAGCACCTTTTCTGGAATTCCTTTTTACTGCAGTGTTACTCGGATTTGTGCCAGCTCTATTCTGTGAAAGACATGGAGCTTATAATAGTGTTCTCATGTTCAGCTGATGGCCTTAAGACAGTAAAAGGTTATATAAAAAACATTAACATACAATTTTAGCATAGGAACTTTTGTAAGCATTACGTCCAATCAATCTGCCAGAATCCAGGCTCCTTTTATTTTTATTTAGTAAAACTGTATGGTAATGAAGAATTCTAGTGCTATTTCTGCAACAGGAATTAATTTAATATTTGAACTGCACACCCTCCAAGATGTGACTGTTGGAACATCACCATAAACAAGAAGCATTACAAGTTTGATGGCCTGTTTTATTAGAGGGAAATATTTTATCATAATTGCTACTTTTATGACGATAGACTAGCAAGGGACGTGATCAAAGTGCCTTGGTAAATGTATATGAAGAAGTTTGCACTAAACCAGTTTAGAGAAAATTATTATTCTGATCTGCTTCTTGAAAGACACGTGCGTATTGAGTTTTTTTTCTAAAAGGATTTTACTTTAAAACTTCATATACCTAAATAAACCTTAAAAAGGAAAATTTAACTGAAACTCACCTGCACAGCCAGTGATTGTATGAACTGCCACTTTCACATCATTTACATGGGTTTAGTTGATCTTTTAGAAGAATCCTGAATGGAGTAAGATAGTGGGGAAAACAAAACAAAAAAAACACGCACAGTGGGAGCACTACAAACCTGTGAACACACATCCCTGCTCTGTTACTCCTCTGCTGTGAAATAAGACTGAAAACTGCAAGAGGATACTTGGTATTATCAAAGTGCAAGCAATTGTAAATACTACATAAAAGACCACACCTTGCTGAAATAACAATATCTACTTTTATGGAGCCTTTTAATTTGAAAAACACTTGTCTTGCCAAAGTAATCCTTCCCCTGTACTGAATCAGCCTCTGTGCTAGGGGATGAGTTACTTTTGTGTCTGCAATGCCTTCAACCACCAATAGTACAGTATTGCCACTTAAGTATTTGTAACTGGCTCTTTTCTACTGTCTTATGAAAAGCAAAGGGTCTCAAAGGAAAGTGCCTATTAAAGATTAAGCAGAAGCACGCTCTGCTGCGAATATATCTCAGAAGATGGGATTGATCCGTCTTGGATCTAAATCTGGAAATCCCACTAGCTTCAGCAGAGTGCCTGCAAGAAGAGCAGTATCACAGTGAAAGACAAGATTCTTAAATCATTTTACGCATTCTTAAGGATATATGGAGGTGAAATTCAGATGAACAACTTCTTTGCAGTGCTTGAAAGGACACTAAAATCATTACAAGGTTTCTCCTTTTTTTAAAAAAAAGTCTTTTATTGTGCAAGTTCTAAAATGTGATAGTATTCTGATTCATACTTTTGATTTTTTTCCAGCGTTGGCTTACTGAATACTATTCTCCTCCCTGGTTTTGATTGTCTGATTGCTTTAGTGAGAGATGTCCATAGTCTTAAAGCCGCGTTAAGTACACAAAACTTAACTTCTGGAAAAACTACTGAGTTGGAGCAAATAAAGAAATGCATAGACTGAGAACATTCAACTAACTCCTGGGGTATAAGTGCAATTTCTAATAGAGCCTAGTAGTGTTTGCATGCTTTGCTGGTTAGCTGTATTAAGTTCTGTTTCGATAGTGTAATCCATGTCGTGCAAAGTTTTGAAATGTTCTTCGAATAAACACAATAAACATGTGCTACAAAAAGGCTTAAATCTTAAACACTGCAGAAGTTACATTACTACCTTTACGGGAGAACGTTTGTGTGTGGGGACAGCAACAACAGCGGACCATGACATTGTCACCTTCCTTTTATTGTCTTAACATCTCCATCCAGCCCTTGAGTACAGGGGAGGAACTTGAAAGCATCTGCTTGCAAAGCCATGTATTCCAGAGGAAGTATTTTAGAAACTAGTGGCAGGAGACTTCGTACAAGTATAGGAGAATAAGGCAGAGCCGGAATCTTTTTCCTGCACAGCACCATTTAGTTAAGAAAAATCCATGGGATCACTAACAAATTTCTACCACCAAGTATTGCAAGTATTTCTGGAAAGGTACAGGAAGAGTAGGCAGAAGATGCAGATAACAAACAGATCACAGAACATAGGAGAGTTTATTACAGAGTCTTACAAGAGCTCTTCTCCCTCTCTTACTCCTAAGCATTACTGTAGGGAGCTGGGGTTTGAAGGCAACGTGAAGAGGAACAGCTTTGTACCTTATGCATCTCCTCATGGAGAGCAGTAATCTCTTCCCTGTGCTCTGGTTCAATTGGTGCTTCTGCACAGTTTTTCCAGCTCTCTTTCAGAACAGCTTACAAGAAGCTGGGAAAGTGCTAGTCACCCTTTAAACAATCTTCTTTCAGCCTTGTCCTTGCGAAAGAGAGCTGTGATCCTCCTTCTTGCTTTGTAAGTTAATTTGTAAGAGATACAGGGAGAAAATAATTGGGTTTGCAAGTAGTCAGTGATTAGTACCAGCTTTCAGATTCAAAACATATGGTTCTGCCATGCCACATGGCCTACCTGATGTCCTGTCCCAATTTTAACAGAGCTATTTTAAGTCAGATTGAAATGTCCTTGTGAAAGCTGTAAGATGCCTCTTTATTCTGATACACCTTCCAGGCAGATCCAGTGCTCAGGTCCTTCAGATGTTAACAGAAACAGGACTGCTTATGTTATGGAGAAAAAAAAAAAAGCAAAACAACTAAACAGATCTTAAACCTGGTTTGATGCAAGTGAAAAACAGTTTACTATGCAAAGCTACCTGAACACACAAGCTTAAAGAGCTTAATTCCTGATCTCCTAGATCAGGATCACTACTTTCTACAGTTAATGCTCTGGTTGTCCAACAGTTTCTACAGCAGCCAACTCCCACTCCGTATGAACACACAAATTCCTATGGCAACAGGCACAGATGAAAACTTAAAAAAAATAATAAATTATATATATCAAAATCAAGGTGAACAGAAATACATCTCACTTCAAGCAGCTTTATAATGCAGGAGTCTGTTTAAAGTGAAGATAGTAAAACAGGCAGCAAGACTGAGATGTGACAGTCATTTTACCTCTGCTCACATGACTGCATCGAAGGCACACCGATGACCTTTGAGCCAGTTCAGAAGCTGTCCTTTATCTGTGAAAGTTCAAGTCAATTGTGCTTTGAATAAATATTTCTCTGTAGTTACACTTGAACTGCTGCATTATATACCAGAAATACAGAAAGTGTCCATGCACAGCCCTGAAGCACGTTGAGTATAGCCCTTGCCAGGTTAACTCATGGATCACTGAAGTTGGAGCACACACAGATGGCAGGCACACTCCCACAGAGACACAGCATCCAGAGAGCTGACTGGCCAAACGAGGAATCAAAATGGAAGAAGGATGGAAAGCAAAACTTGCTTGCAGGAGTTTGGCACTCGAGATTATGCCTGCAGAACCCCAAACAACCCCCTGTAACAACTGGTAGGGGTATCTGCTAAAGTAAGCTCACTACTGAGTTCACAGCTGGACTCTAACAAGACTTCAGAAAATTCAAACAGCAACTGAGCTAGTTATTAGTTGTTCACCTTATTATTTCTTTATGGTTGTCACTTTGTTCATTCTTAAAAAAAATCCCTCCCTTAAGCTTTAACAAAAAAATAAAAATAAAATAAAAATCCAGTGCTTAAGACAGAGACTAGCAACTGAATTTTGTAAGGCTTTGGGCTGACTTATTGGAGCATAGCATTGCTTAGAACCAATGGGCCTTCTAGCGCCATCGGTAGCACACCAAGTACAACAACAGAAGCTGTACAGATCCCAGCAACCCTGAGGTAATAAAAGAATAAAAGGAAGAGATGAAATAAACATGAGATACGTATGGTAATCTTGCCACCTAGAAGAGATTCTGAGAAAGACAGCCTTGCTAATTACACACCAGGAGCAGCAGTGGAAAAAATATATATATATCAGTGTATTTCGGTTTTCCTTCGTTGTTTTTTTTTTTTTTTTTTTTATACACACACACTCCCCTTAATGGAATCCGTGCAGGCTTCCCCACAGAACCATCACTAGTGTTAAAAATCAAATCTTTTAGTGCTTTCTTTCTGTCTATACAAAGTGCAGTTGGAATTGAATTGGATCTCCCAAACTGGTGGCAGAAAGGAAAGAAAACCTTCCTCTCCCTTCTACCTATGTTACACCATCTTAGTACCCCTCTCCCCTCTTGAGAAATTCTTCAAAACTAAAAGCCCTAATTAAGCATGATCAACTGGAGATTAGTTTTGTCATCTTCTTCCAAAAAGAAAAACCCAAACAAAAAGCAAAAAAACAAAACACACAAGGCCTCACCCACCCCAAAAACAATAGCTCCGTTTAAAAAAATAAATAGTGTGTATATTTCATGCTGAAGAAAAAAAAAATAAAAAGAAAAAAGTCACAGAAACGATTCATTTTTGGTTTTCCCTCCCCCAAACATGACACCAGACATTGTCTCCCCCCTCCCCTGACGTAGACATGATGGTACATTCCAACCGGCAATGTGCATCTGTGTTGAAAATGAGTTTCTACTCCTGCACGGTCCCACATGCATCAGGGAGCATCCAGCTAGCTGCTAAAGCAGAGCAAAGGCTTTCAGGTTTTGGGTATGGTCCCTGCCTGTTCCTTTGGTCCATCTGTTAAAAGGCTCCTTGCTGCTCCCAGGTCTCTGCTCTTGTCTGTCTCCATCCAAATGCGCACGCTGGTCCCCAACACCTCCTGAGTCACTGGAGCTTCGTCCCCAGCTTGCGCTGTCTGTTTCTGCAACGCCAAAAGAGAGGGCAGGGTGAGGGAGCTGGCCCCAACTCTGTATCAGTGAGCTGTGACAAATCAGGGGGCGAAAGACAGGATTAAAGTCAGGCTCTGCTTAGATCCACACAAAAATAAAGCTGCCCTGCCACACTCTGCAGGCAGATCAGTCCTTCCTGCCCTTTCCAGTCCCAGAAAGGCCACCACATCTGGAGTACCCACAAACTGACGTGTGGACATGAGGTTAGCAACACCTGCTGGCAAAGAACGCGGGCTGGGGAACTGAAATAGTGATTTTTTAAACAAAATGCTAATCTCAAATTCTCCCGAACAGACTCACCTTCCAGACCTGGTACTTAACTCACAACCTGGTGTTTCTTTACTCCACACCATTCTATCCACAGCAGCTCTCTACACATCAGCAGACAGTAACGACACCTAACAAGTCACACCAGCTCCAGCTCTTCCTCCCCTCAGATCACTTACCTCGCCTCTGCTCTTGTGACTGTATATTCAAACCACAGGATGTTCGGAATGAGGCTGGTGTCTCGGATTAAAAAGAACTCTGAAATTGGCCTGAAAACAGACAAAGGGGTGGAAAAAGGTGAAATAATTAGGCTTTTTCTCCACCATAATTTTGATCAGTATACAAAAAAACCAACACAGCCACACTGCATAAATTCTTGTAAACATTTAACATTGCTTTCCTATTATCCTTCCATTTGTGAAGAAGGCTCCTTGTTCAATTTCAAAGAAAAAATACTGTTTTTTTCATTCCTTATATAACATTTCTGGACTACATTAAGTCTAAATGGCTTTACAGTCTCACTTGGTTATTATTAAACTGATTAAGGTCTGTTATGGTTCCAAAGTTACTCATAACCAATACTGTGCCACACCCCACAACTTTGCTAGGGCCTTAAAACACACATTTCTTAAACGTCCTCTCTCTCCTACCCGTACCTGGCAAGGGTGTGTGCTTTTCGGACAGGCATGCACAAGAAAACACGGAGGAACAAGTTATAGAGCTCACAACAGTTAGTACACAAAGCTGGAACAGAACCCAGGAATTCCCATTTCTACCATCAGTAACATAGTTCACAGAAGTCTGAACAACTTTTATTTTTTGGTCAGGGAGCTGTGCTCCATCTGTGTTATCAGATTATTCCAAGGAGCTCATTTAATGAGCAAAATAGCGATCCAAGAAATGCAGACTCGCAGGAATAAAACCTTCACTGAATAGCGAGACTTACCACGCAGCTATCCTTGGGAAGAGAGGAGTTAATATCTCCTGTGTGAAGGCAAACCAGGCTATGGCCATAATGCTTCCTGCCACACCTCCATATAAGACTTGGCTCCAGGTGTGGTAAAGCAAATAAACCCTGCAGCGGAAGAGAAAAGTCACCAGATAGACTTTAAAGCCAAAGGAGGCGTGATTCAAGGGCTGATGTCTCACTGGACCCTCCAAAGTTCTGAAGAAGTTATCCTCCAGATGTTAGAAGTGGATGTTTGACTTAAGTTTTCATTATTAAAAATAAAAAGGGGGAAAAATTGGGAAACAGTCTTCCCTGCTACAGCAGTTTCAGCTTAGGGCACTCCTAATTTGAGTTTAACTCAATAATCCTCCACGTTCCTCTTCGCATATATTTGGATTAGCTAAAGAACTGCTGCCCTTGGTTCCCACAAGAGACTTCTCCAAAGCCAGCAGCAGGAAAAGTCCCCCCCAAACCACCAGAGCTGGAGCTTAAAAACTTTTAAGAACAGACAGCATCTTTGCCTTGATGTTGCAGCTCTGAAGCGTGACAACACAAAGGCTGCACTACTACAGAGCAGCTACTGTGACTGCAGCCAGCCAGAAAGCTGTACTAACGAGTTTTAAGTTATCCCTGCACAAAAGCTACATGAGTCACATTCAAATTTCTTTTCACCCATTTATCATGGCCATTAAGATCATCTTAACTGGCCTTCTCCCTTGCACAGGCCAATGAATTTCCTCAAATTACTTTTTATTTGAACCAGACCAACCATCTTTTATGAAATTGTCCTGACAATTTTAAAAATACCCAGTAATAAGGAATCAGCTCTAGTACACAGTCAGCTGTGCCAACAGGTAATTACTTTTCTGGGGAAAACATGGCCTGATTTCTAGTCTGAACCTGTCTGGTTTCCAACCACTGGAGCTCATTATGTTGTCTACTAAAGGAAAAAAAAAAAATCATCAAAACTTCATTCTCCTTATTCATCACGTTAATGTAACTGAATCCTGCAAGTCAGACAGCTAAACACGTCTGTATTATCTACTGCTCAAGCAAAACAAAATCAGTTTGACCAACTGTAGCAATCCCCATGCTGCAGATGCTGGTGTGCCAAGGCATGGTGCGATGCTTTCATGATTAGTGCTGGAAAGAGGGCCAGGCAGCGAGGCTAGAGCACGGCAATGGAGCCAACGGAGACATGGTACAGGCTCAGCTGATCCCGGGTTTCATAAAGGCATCGGTGAAGCACCAGACATGTAGCACCTTTGTTTGGGCATTTAAAGGGGCTCATGGCAACGCAGCAACCTCCGCAAAGCTCTCGCTTGTGCAGCGCAGTCGTTGAGAATTAGATGGGAAAGGCGGGATAAAGAAGGGCAGGGCTGCTGGCTGTTAGAGGCCGCAGGACTGTATGAGAGCATTAAGACAAACGATTGCTCCATACCTACTATATGAGACTAGCAAAGCCACTGTGACGAGGCAGATGGACAGCACATGTCGCCATAGTAAATCCAGAAACCTCGCATTGTTTGTTTGGTGCATTCTGAAAGAGATGGAGAGCCATTAGCACAGTGGCAGGAAGCTGAGCAGTCCTTGTACCTATTCTCGCTATCTCCAAACTCCTAGGAAAGCTCTACTCCGAGGGATCAAGGGCAGCTCGGTATCATCCCAGCATCAATCTGTCCTGCTGGCAGCGCTTAAAGAGAAGCCAGAAAGCCACACTGCTTTCTCCAGCTATTATCAGCGATCGGTGTGATGGAAGGCAGAATGCTCGCAGCTACTGCAGCTGATGTGAAAGACACATGCTGAGCATATGCAACAGGGAGCAGAGACAGAGCCCTCCATCACCCACAGAGCCAGGAGGAACCGGGAGTTTTGTCTTCCTCCACGCCTGGAGCCACAAGACAGAGCCATGCCCCAGCGAGAACTGCAGGAAAGCACAGCACAGCAGAAAAGGACAGTACTCGGTACAGGAGATGGACTAAGAGGGCATGCAAGGGGGCGAGAGGTATTACCTAAAAGACTGCAGACAACCCCGCTGACGAAACCGAGTAGACACATGAGAAAGCAGCTCTTCTTTCCTCCTCCCTCCACGCCCCCCCGCCCCTTCCTTCACCCTGGTGGGTCGTCGTGGCTTATAAAAGCAAAATCGGGAGAGCTGTACCCAGAGAGGCAGCAGGAAGCCCACCCCGATCCTTCCCTTTGGGGCAGTGGGAAGCACAGTCCTACAGACTGGGAGAGACCTGCTCCACCCGCCCTAGTTACAGCACGCTGGGCAGGGCCTCGGATTTCATTCTGCCCCGTGCTGAAGTGGCAGCGAGGGAGCCATCTATTTGAGGTGTTTCAAAGTATTAACAGGCAAAAACCTGACAGTGAATTTTTACCTTAAATAAAGGAACAGAAATGAATAGACTGAGAAAAACCACATGAACTGGGAGTGGCTGGACGGCATCCCATATTTTGTGGTCACTGTTGAATGGGCTTCTGGGAAGAGAAGAAGAAAGAGTATGGTCAAGGTCTACTCTGTACATAGCAGCTGGAACACTCCAAAGGTGAAGCCAAACCACTCCACCAGTCTGTGCGCACGAGGACACATCTCTGCCAGCCTTCTTACACCCAAACATCCAAAGCCAACACGAGGCAAAGGGGAAAACGCCCTCCAACACCCCATGATTCTCATTCCACTGGAAAGGAACCGACACCGTGGCACCCACGGGCCATACCATACCTTCACAAGGCCGTGGCTCCCGGATAACGTTTTTTATTAACCAGTTCACTCCCTCGTTGAACGCCAGCCCTCCCAAGAAAGAGATCTGTGAAGGCAAGACAACTGTGTCATCCTATTTAAAATATCCACCTACCTACCAGGCAATCCCTCTGTTAAGAAAACCCCAAACCGTGCATTTCTAATATTCAGCTCCTTAGGTGATAACCAACAGCTTCACCATTCTCTAGCAGAGGAAGAAAAGCTTTTGTTTTTCAGCCTGCTTTGTGTATCTGGCACCACGTTGCATAGGCACAGCTTTTCAGATGATTCACAAAGACAGACAAAAATGACACTGTACAGCAATAACATTTCCAACAGCAAGTGCAGAAAGCAAAGTTTTGGGACAGGGCAGAGGTTTCTAGGGATTGTCGCTCACTGCCGACCAACAGGGGGAGCACACACCCCATTATTCGAGTAAATAGCTAAAAGAAAAACTTTCTAGGTCTTCTCTTTTCCCTCTACGGATGTTTTTTTCATCCTGAAGCTCCTGTAAATGAAGGCACGTTGTGAACTGACACAGCCTGCTAGCATTTGTTTACGCTGTCATTCCACTGTCCATCCCCCTCCCCTACAGCAGTCCCGCTGCTGTGACCGAATTCCCAGCTGGTGCTGATCCTCTGACTCCTTCACACTCGGTCCCATTTCAGATGAAGCCATTTTCCACCCTGTGTCCTGAGCTACGGGTAAGGCTGCTGCAAGCCAGCTGGCGCCTCACCCCAGCTCAGCGAGGACTTCTCCATGAACTGGGAACCAACCTCGATGCCACATCACTACCATCCCCAACAAGCTGGGTACTCAAAAACCCACGAGTTTATGACGAGTTCCTCTAGCTTATTCTCTTGGGCCGACAAAAAACCTTCAGGCTGCCTAGAATTAAAGCTGCCTCTCTAGCCAGCAGCAGTTCAGAACCTACAAGTCCCATTCCCAGGTCCCTTGGGCCATTGGTTCCCATGACACCACGGCCTCGTGTTGGAAATGTGCTGCCAAAAGCCTTTTGCTGGCCCTGTTTTATCTGTTTACCGAGGGCAAATGTCACAAATTTGTACCTCCTGAAGGGAATTTAGCTGTGACACTGATTCCCAACTACCTGTCAGAGCAGACAAAGCGTTATGCATCAAGAGTCCCTCGTTGCTCCCTGGGACAGAAGCAAGAATCAGTTCTATCCCTGCCGCTCAGTGCACAGCTGGGAAGCAGCCCTTACAGACAGATCCACTCCCTTGGGAACTCGGAGGCTTTATTTTGGACCCCATTTTGTGCCTCAGCAAGGTTCAAAGAAAGCTCATCCTGCTGAATTACAGACACTTTCCTGCACACACTGCCCAGCTCACAAAACCCACTCACGTTGGGATCCTGCTGGATCTAAGGACAAGGTAGAAATATTATTTCCCACCCTGCAACAGCCGCCTTCAGTTTCTCAGGCATCTCCCACTGATGTTTGTAGACAGCTACTGCCCAAAATACACCACGGAGTAACAGAATGTCATCAAAGATGAAACCTGTTACAAGTGACAGGGTCTCCTGCTGCTGACAGGAGATCACCTTCCCTAAGCTGGCTCTTTAAAACAAAAAGAAGTGTGAACACAGGAGCAGCGAGCCATAAATGAAAAGATTTGTGTCCAAAGGAGAAGCTGGAAGGGAGAGGAGGACTCACCGTGTGAAGCTCTCTCTTGAATATAATGAGCGTTACAAAGCCGACGATAATGAATATCGGACCAAGGCTCAGATAAGCTAAAAGCTGACCCGAGAAATCACCTAGGGAAACAAACGAGAGAAATAGATCAGGTGGCTCTCTTCCCTCCCCTTCTTTCACCATTGCTTCTCCCTGCCCCGGCAATTCCCAGCAAACACTCCCCAACCAAATCCTTCCCAAAGGGGTTCCTTTTCAGCTGGATCAGCCCCCTCATCTGTCTCACCGTGTGTCTGCACCACCACTGCCATTAGCAGCACAGGGAGGAAATAAACAGCTAAACATTGCAGGAGATGAAAGAGAGAGAAAAAAGGAGACTGCTTTTTACCAGCAGCCCACTTGTACCATACAGGAGAGCCTTTGGGCCTCCAACCTGACTAGAAAATGTCCAGGAGAGAACTGGGGAGCAGGGCCAGGACCTCCCAAGAGGACACGAGGCACCTCAAACCCACCTCTTTATCCTCCACTGTCACAGAGGCAGGAGGAGGCGAACGTAAGTGAATAGCCAGACATTGCAGCCCAGCTCCTGGCACAGCAAACTTTAACCTCAGCCTCTGAGCACGGCAAATGGGAAAAAAAATGGCATTGCACTGCTCCAAAGTTCACGCTGCTGCTGCTGCTATTGCCTCACAGCTGTGGTTGCATCAGGTACAGCGTGCAGATTCCTCTTCACTTCCAGGCTGTGTTAGATTTGGGAACCGGCAGCACCACACAGCTCTTGCAGTAGTTTTAGTTCACAACCCTGGGGAAATGAGGAAGGATTGGAGGACAAAACCCCCAAGAACAGTAGGTTTCTGCTGGAGTGTGGTTGCATTTCGGTTTTAAGTGTTGGAAGACCCCGGATTGGAAACTTTTCTTCCACCCTGCGGCCGGTTTGCCCTGCGTCCAGCAGGCTTCACGCTGCTCCTCCACCCGCTGGGTGCTGCTGCCCCAGCTACACAGAATCAAACCCCTTATGGCTCTGCATGAATCCCAAACACACCACAAAACCTGGCTTAAACGATGAGGAAATTCACGAGATGAAATGATCAAAAGCAGCCCGACAGCTTCAGGAGTATTTCCTGTAGTCTGAGTCCCCGAGGCATCGGCGAGAGGTTTCCTCACCGAGGCACCAGCGTGGCTCAGGTCATTCCCGCTGCTGATCCACGGCACGCAAAGATTTTGGTCCTTTATACCAAGCCCTGATTTTGCCAGGCAATAACCAACCTGATGACTGGCACAGATGGTGGAAGAGCACATAACGAGACAGCCTTTAATTTAAATAGCACTGGCAGCACCCAGCTCCAGACCCTCCCTTACCTTACCACCTAGCACACCCCGTAAATCCCTCCCCAGCCTCCAGCAGCTCACATCCCTCGCTCCAACCCAGCCCAGGAGCAGGAACCATCGCCCAGATGCCGCCTCCAGGCGCAGCACCGCGTCCTTTACTCGGGCAGCTGCCAGCTCTGCACACCATAATGCCCCAAACATTTCAACTGTCCGCTTAAAACAGCGCAGAGGTGGCATTAATGGTATTTCAGATCACTGTAGCCAGCAGCAACCAAACACAACCGCATGCTGAAGCTGCTTTTTCTGGGTGAGGAGGCAAATAAACAGCCATGCGTTAACTGGAGGCTCAGCTCTGCCCTGGAAACTCCATCAGAAAGGCACTCACACCATAAATGTGCTCTGAGGTGGCTGCAAATCCCAGGGAAGGCAGAGCAAGCAGGAGGGCTGGCAGCCCTAAGCCCACTCAGACCCAGCAGCAGGTTCCCCTCTACCCTTCTATAAAGTTATTTATTTCTTCATTTTGCTTGATTTTTAAAATAGGAAGCAATTCCTACAAGCAGTGAGAACAGAGCCCACCAAAAGCACCCGAACCTCTGGAAATTGCAAGAGAAAGATCTGTGTGATGGACAGTCCGGGTTATTTTTGTTTGTTTGTTTTACTTCTGCTTATTTCAAGTCCAGCCTTCCCCGGGCAGGGCATTATTTGGGCATGAAGACGCAAAGCAGAGAGCCTAACCACCTCATTTTAGGGTTTCAAGAGATAAACGGATGAACCAGCACCCGCAGATCAGAGGCACGCTGTTGTTTCAGCCTCCATTCAGCTCCTACTTCTGCTCTAATTCAGCATTTCCCTCAGCAACCTTTTAGGGGAAACGCACAAGGTTTACCACACCAGCTCAACCTGTACACACCAGAAATATGAATCGGCAGCGCTACCCACATCCTGCCACAAGGTCTGGCTCTGCCACCGCCGCTTCCTACTGAAACATCTCTCTGCGGCGCTGTCGCAGGCCATACTTTGTGTCGAGGTGCACACACAAGGACAGCCTCCTCGTTTCACGCCTGTTTACACCAGCAGATACTCCTGACAGGTCGGCATTTCCTCTCCTCGCACGTATCCCGATAGCACGAGCTGGGGAACAATAAAAATATCTTCAGGAAGCTTTAAATCCCAGCCCGCGGAGCGCAGACTTGAAGCTTCTGCTGGGAGATGAAACACCCGACGCAGCTCTGAAGAAGCCAAACATCCGAGCTTCTTTCACCAGATATTGCTGAGGTGGGAAACGAGCCCCAGCTGGGCAACCAGCACCCCCAGCAGAAGTCACAGCGAGGACTGAGCATGAAATACACGCACAGAGCGAGCTCCTTTGCTCTGACACATCATTTCTCTCATCAGGAATGGTGCACACTTGCCTCTCCAGCTCTGCCTCATCCTAGAAATCCTCCAACATGTGAGGAAGAGACGCTGTCGCCCTGCAGAGAAGGGCTTTGCCTCTCCAGGGTTCTCTCCTTGCAGAGTTTGTCCGAGGTGAGAAGGCTCAGAAGGTGGCAGAGCTTTAAGAATCCCAGCTGCACTGAGGAGAGGAGTTGTGTTGTGGTTTATTTTTTCTCCAAATAATAATAAAAAACAAACAGAGCAGGAACTCGGTGTCTCTCCAGTGAAACTCACCCTACAGACAGGAAGTCCCTGAAGATGAGTTTTAAGCCTGCAGCACCAAGTCATGCCATGCAAAGTAATGCGTACAGGGAAAAAACAGCCCTAATTACACAGCCCTGGTGATGGGACTTAGTTTAACTATTCAAAATAAAAAATAAAAAGTCATCTCTGGCTTCGTGTAAGCACAATACCTCCAGAGCAGCATCCAATGCTCCGCAGTAATGAGCCAAGAAGAACGTTTTTAAGAGCAGAACAAAAGTTACCGTTACAGCACTACCACAAATTCATCCCGTGATTCTTGCCACGCCATCTGAAAAAGGAGCAATAAACACAGGAAAGGCAAACAGAAAGGAGACGAAGACAGCAGGAACGGCACCGCAGCCGCTCAGAAAATATCAAGTAACTCGGATTTTCAGCTGAAAAAGGAAAATGAGAAACCAGCAGTTCTGTAAGATCGCGAATGACACGGGGAAAGGGACAGCAAACGTTTGTCACCTCTCACTGAACATGAAATAGCGAGCGTTCAGTGGAATTACTGAGCAGGAGACTTAAAAGCAGAGAAGAAACACCATTAAATCACAAAGCTCAGCACCAAGGGTAGAGATCCAAAGCGGAAATAGGTTCAAAGAGCAATTAGGCACATTTGGAGTATGGCTTTTACATACCCATAAAGGACATAACAATCCTGCTGCCATCACCAGCTCATTACTGGAAAATAGACAGAAGCAGCATTATCCCTGCCTACCTAGTGCCAGAGGCCCCACTCGATGCCAAATCTCACAAAAAAGCGCAGTTGCTGCTAAGAAAAGCACTAGGACCGACCTGTTTCCCAAAGTGAGAGCATTTTTAGAGCCCCCCCCCCTCTTAAGCAGCACGGTTTAACGCCCTGTCAGGTAACGCTGCAGTGAGAGTTTCTTCTCTCTAGGTTTGATGTTGACATTTTCCATCAATATTTCCCGTTAGGTCCCAAAAACACCGCTCAGACCATTTGCGGGCAACCCCTACCACAGCGTTTATCTGCTGTTTCTCAGCTGCTCTCACTGAAAGCTGACATTGCAGAAAGCCCTGAAGACCAAGCGCTAAGGATGGGTGCTTGGAGTGCCTGGAACACCACGGCCGACAGGGGAACACCAGACGGGGATGGGAAGGACGAGCACCCTCCTGCAGGCACCCGTCCCTTCCACAATCGCAAGCAGAAGCCCGAGAAGAGGGCTTCGTCTGCCAGACAGGAATCAGCACTGACTGATTTTCAGCTGGTCGCAGGGAAAGCGCCTGTCGCTCGAGGCAGATGAAAGCAGGAATGACAACTCTTCCGCACTGCAAGACTTCAGAGAGGAGAGATTTTAAGAGCCAGGTGCCACAGCGGGCCAGCAGCCTCAGGGACCGGCCAGGAGGCAGTCGAGTTCGCCACCCAGCTGAATACATCATGCCGAGACAGCTTAATAATTGATGTGGGTAAAAGCAGGATCCATTTCTCATTCCCTCCCTCCCTATTAGCACGGGGTTACATTAATTCCCCTGCACCGAGCACGCTGCCAACATCGTTATTTTATAAATGTATTATCTAGCAGCTTTATGGACCTGGCCAAAAGCCCCACACAGGCAGGACACAAACAGCTTTCTAAATAAAGTTAGAGTGCTCTCCCCAGACCCAGTGGAAAGTATCAGACCTACCAGCTTGCTGTAACTCATTTTTCTAGACGAAGGTAAAATTAAGACTCTTTTGTACCTCCAGCTGTTTTAATTGTTAGCCTTTTTTCTCCGTTTCACAGCCTTCCAGCATCAGGTATTTTATCCAAGCCAAACACAACGCTCCGTAACACAGAACCCCAACCTTGGTGGCGATTTACCTGCCCTACACAGTTACCTGCTGTGTTTGCCTGTATAAAAGCAGCGAATGCAGAGAGAAAATAATCGATTTGTCCCATTCTTTAAGATCTAGGCAGACAACCCTCGTGCAGTGAGGTCTGCAGCACCCTCACTTCCCAAACCAACCCAACAAACAGCACATAGGACACGCTGTGTACAACCCCAGGTTTAAATAAGGGCATAAGAGGAATCTACCAGCATTACAGGAGAGATTTTATAAATATTCCGCCTTCTCTCCTAAACTTTCCTGTCAATAACCGTGAGGAGGGGCAGCAGAACCTACAGGGGCGAAGGCAGACACAAGGCAGGCGAGGAAACACCAGCATTTCACAGAATCGTGAGGCAAAAATGCCGCTGTTTCGACGAAGTGTGAGGGAAAACCCTACAAACCAGCCGTGCTGGTGGCACAGGGACTGCATCTCCTGCTCCAAAGCCTTTTGGTGCCGCCGTGTCCCAGGGCTCCTGGCTGAGGCGTTACCTGTGGTGCCGGAGCCCCCTGAGGGCAGCTCCCACAGGACCCAAACCCACACACAGGGCTTTTTAAGGCTGGTGAGGGAGCAGCGAGGCACCTTAACCGCAGATTCGAGTTCCACACCCCACAGGCCGTTTTTTCTCGGATTTTCCACCAAAATCACCAAAAAGCAGCCCCCCCACACAGCAGCACCGCACGAGGAGCCTCGACTGCGGCTCCCCGAGACCACCAGCACCGCCGAGACCGCTGTGGCGGCCGCTGCAGGGCGGGTAGAGCCTCGCCCTGTCACACCATATCGCCCTGTCGCCATGTCGCCGACAGGCAGCGCCCTGAGGCACTGCCCCCCCCCCCCCCCAAAGCCCCTCAGCCCCCGGGGCACGGCGCCACCTCGCAGTGCGCATGCGCGGCGCCCCGTCCTCCTCCCCCCCCTCACCACATGGCTCACTATCTGGCAGCGCCCCCCACCGCGCACGCGCGCCTCGCCGCCTGCAGCTCGCAGCTCAATGGCTCACTATTTGGCAGCGAGCGGCCCGGCCCTCTCTGAGGTGAGGGGGGGGCCTCGGGGCGCCGCTGAGGGGAGCGGAGGAGCAAGGGGGGGCGGCGCGGGGCTTTACCTGCCGGGTACTCGACGTGGGTGAGGGAGAGCGGCCGCCACGGAGCGGGGAGCGAACACTCGCCGACTGCGGCCATCTTACCCGGATACCGGGCCGGGGCCGCCGCAGCCAATCGCCGCCGACTTAAGGGGCGGCGCGACCAATGGGCGGGGGAGGCCAGAGCGGCGGGCCAATAGAATTGAGCGGCAGGTGAGGCGCCGGCCAAGCGGCGGGCAGCCAATTAAAAATCCAAGCCGGGGAGCGGAGGGGCCAATAGGCTACTAGGGGAGGTGACCAATGGGAGAGGGGCGCAGGTAGCAGGGAAGCCAATCGGGAGAAAGGCGGGCCTCGTCGCTTTTCCTCATTGGGCAGGGGAGCGATGCAGATTAGCCAATCAGCGGCTGCCGTTGCCGCCCGCTCTTAGCCAATGGGCTGCGGCGCTGGGGGGGATGGCGGGGGGCTGAGGAAGGGGCTCGGGGGGCGCCCAAGATGGCGGCCGCCGCCCTGTGAGGGGCTGAGGCGCTGAGGGGCCGCTGCCAGCGGGAAGCAGCCAACAAATAAGGGACAAATCAAATCGCCCTCCCCTCCGCGGTGGGGAAAAGATAAGTTTTTGGAAGGTAACGGTTCGTTTCTACAGGGCTGGGGCAGTGGGCTGAGGGTAAGGGCTCTGCCCTCACAGGAGGGGAAGGGCTGAAGCAGAGCGCTGCTGGAAGGGGGGGGTGGGAAGGAAGGGGGAACAGTGCACAGAGCTAAAGCGTGAAATAAAATCCTCACAGATTCACTGCTAAAGCAGCTGCTGCAGGTCCTGCGTCTGTCCTGTTGGAGCCCGCTGACAGCTGGTTCAGGTAATAAGTTCTGTTTCCACTCCTCCCACCTCTGAGTATTGCAAATGCCCCCTCTGAAGCCCAAATCTAAATAAACGTTTCCCCATTTGACCACAAGACTTACCTAGGGAGCCAGAGCAAAAAGCAGAACACACAAAGCACAGCGCTCCGAAAGCTGCGTACGCAAGCACGATTACACAGAAAAGCCCCTAGAAGGCAAATATAACTCCAGAGTAAACCACCAAAATTAAATCAGGCTTTTTAAAAAAAGTATGCAGAAGCTGCGCAGGAAGTAATAAACTTAAGTAAGGGACAAGGGTTTGCTTTTTGCGTGCCAAGATAGCGCACGCTAGGGTTTCTGTCCCTTAACGTATTCACCATAAATAAGATTTCAGAATCGATAAAGCACACCTTTTCTCGCAGCTGTAATCCACCATTTTTCAGGTGGTAATTATAATTATGTCCAGTTAACTTAAAAGCCTTTCCAAAATTGGCGCTCTTCTCGGCATTTCAAGGAAAATAGCATTGAAGTCTTTCTATTGGGAAAGAGAAAATATTTACTGCAGAGGTTCAGTTCATTTCAGAAGAGTGATATAAGGTAGCGTGAGTGATTTACTGCTTTCATTATTCAAGTTAAGTAAGTCTCCTCCTTCCTGAGCTGTTGAATATAGAGTTATGCTGGCAGAGTGGATTACATTTGATCTATGTACCATGACAAGCACTGAAAATTGTGGGCTTCATTGCTATATTCACCCACTCCTTCCTGAAGATAAGAAGAAAGTGTCAATACACGGAGCAGCCTTTGCTCTGCTCCTTCAGCATAAGAAAGCTGAAAGCTGCTCTGGAGATGTAATGAGTATACAGTCTGACACCATGGAAACCAAGATAAACTCCTTTTTAACTCTTTCAACTAATGTTCTGGGTGGGGCACGAGACAAAAATTTTCCTATTCATGCACATCTTATTTGCATATATCACAGTTCATGACAGGTTTGCATTAACACTAACTGAAGCTTTTTATTTTATTTTATTTTGAACGTATGGATGAAATTTTAATCACTGTGGAAGCAAACAACATAATCTGATTCAATCTGGTTTCTGTATCATTTGAAAAGGAAAGTATTTACATACTGTAATTGTTTCAGAAGAGTAAGATGCGTTTCCTGCATGGCTCAGCAGATAGGCATCTCTGATATCAGCCCAGTCTTTACTCTGTGTTTATTTCACATAGTTTGGGAGGCTGGTGAGTATACTATAAGAACGAGGACAATGTTTAATAGATTCTGTTCCTTACTGGGATTTCTGTTATCAGTTCATTGCAGCCAGCTAGCCTACCCACCCCACACCCAAACACAGTCAAACCACCAAGGGAAAAAAATATGAAAGAGTAAAACCCCAGAGTTTTCAACCACTGCTCAAAGCACAATGAGTTGTCTAGTTTAGTTTATAGCTTGCTTATTCTCAGGACTTGTCTGCTGTAGAACCAGGAAGACTCCTCATACCAACAAAACCCTTCACATTTACTTGCTGTAAGTTTAGAATTTTGACCCTAGGACAAAGGAGCCTTGCTTTACAGCATCACTCTAGCATGAGAGGTGTCACCACAGCTGCAGCCTGTATTGGAAACCAAATACCAAGTTGCTAGCACATTTCACCAGGAAGTTCAAAAACAAAACCCACGGTCGTGAAGGAAAGTTTTATTTTGCTTGTAATGCCCACAGTCCTAAGGTTAGAGGTAAAAAAAAATAAAATAGCTGCAAAGATGAAGAAAGAAGCAAAACACAAATAGATTTGTACACCCTTAGGAAATCAAGAACAAAAGAATAGGCACAAGTTTACATTCATTAGTTTGATATGGCAGAGGAATGTTCAACCGAGGAGGGGTAAATAAAATCCTACTTTCCCACATCCTTGTATAAGACAGCACAAGTCGTGCTTTTCAAAGCCACGCTGGTCTTGTAGATACAAGAAGGCAGACTTTTCCTCATATATATTTTTTTATTAATATATTTTGGCTTTAAAGATTATAGAGACCCTCCTAGAGCCACGTGGCGTAGTCTCTGCATACATACTAACGTACCCAGTATGTACTTCAAGCACTACTGAAGCTCATTACAGCATCCTCCACATAAAAATGAAAGTCATGCATATTTGAAGTTCTGTTTAAGCATCAGAAACTAGTGAAGGGTTTTATTTCATAGCTGGTAAGCCATCTCAAATCCCCATCAGTGTTAAAATCTCACAAGTGGCAGCCCAGCAGGATTTAACCCCTTGAGAATAAGGGTTCGTTACAAAAGCGGCAAATATCTTCTCTCTTGAGATCTATCCAAATACATCTCATCTGCTGCTAATACTCAAGCACTTCCTTTGTTAAGCACAAAATGTGAGGGAGAAAAAAAGATTTTCAAGTGTCCCCTTACTAAGCTGGAGGGGAAACAGTTGCTGAGTCCTAGCCTTTTACTCTGCCCTGCAAAGCAGATGAGTTGGTTGCCGCTTTCAGCCAAGCACGGCTCTGGAAGAGATGAGTGGGAGCAGCCCAAACCCCTGCTCAGGTTCACATCCAAAAGGAGCTGAATGCAGCTGGAGACAGACCAATGCCTGTAAGGTCAGAGAGCTGCTGGCACAGGAATACCTCCTCTGAACCCACTGATCTCAATGATCCCCTCTAGAAGCTGCAAGGATCTTCCTTTTGCTTTTCCTCTCAAGTCACAGTGGGGATTGGGGAGGGAGAAAGCGCAGTAATGGAACAGGAATGGGCAGCGCAGAGAAGTTTAACCTTGTCCCCAGGAAATAGCAAGTCAGTTCGTCTCCGCAGACATCGGTGGCTTGTGCAGGAACAAGTCAGTCACGGTGGGTGGAAGGGGCTACAAGAAGCTGCAGATGTCCTTGGGGAACATCCACCTTTACCTTCACTGGAAGGGCCGTACAGCCCACGTGGAATAAGGGCTGAGGGAAAGAATAAAACTGCAGTACAACTGTCTTCCATGTCATTGATTAGGAATTTACAGTTTTAATTTAAAAAGCTACAATGCACGTTAGCATTTGCTTCACGAGGACCCTGTTGCAGTGTCCTCTCCTGTGAGGATGCAAAAAGACCGGGGGCAACCGTCACCGCCCTCGTCCGTACACAGAGGGCAGGCGGCCCCAAGCACCGAGGCCTGAAGACACCCAAAGCACTAAATAAATACACATAAAACAACACTAAAACTCTGAAGTGAACAGCACTGATTGTTTAGAATTACAACCCACCTTGTTACATCAATCTTCGCATTTTAGCATCTTTTTTAACCACTGTACAAAGCTGCTGAAGTTTCTCTTCCTAATAAACCTGCCATACGAGAGCACAGAGCGCTATGAAATACTTTTGGCAAAGCAACTTGCTTCCAGAATTGAGCATACTTTCACATCACAGTTTACACAGGTGTGCCACGCTTACACAACATCCTCCGTTTCCTCTCTCACTACATGCTGCCAGAAGCCAGACACCTCAGAGACCTTTCCTAGTTCCAGTTGCTCTCTTAAATCCTTCCCATAACAATTTATTTCATGCAGCCTCGCTCAGCTCAGCTGCTCCTCGCTTCTGCCTCAACATCGCCTTGTTTATTGCATTAAACCTGGTCGTCAGCATAAGACACACTGGTCGGATGTGCTTACAGAGCAGCTGTTACGTGCTGTGCGCTTGCCCTCTCGCAAGCATCCCAGGAGCATTATTTACTCCTTTTACATCCTCTTGTTTACTCTTTCCCTGCTTGCTTCCTTCCCGCTTTTACCAGCGGAATCCACGTTAGGCATCCGAAGAGGAAGGAAGAAGAAAACTATTCTCCAAATACATGCACTGATTTTTCCACTCCTGTGGAAACTCCAGGTTCTTACTTTTTTTTTTTTTTTTTTTTGCCCCTTGCAAAGATAGGGCTGGGCAAGATTTGTGCTTTCTGTCTGGGACAGCACAAGGGATAACAAGTCAATCTGGAGAAAACCAGCATAGCCCATGTTTTTGTGCAAGTCCCCATTTTCTCCTCGTTCTGAGCCTGGGGTTTGGAGCCTTGTGTGGGCTCAAACAAGAGAAAGGACACGAGGGCCGAGGGCACAGCCTCTGAGGCATTACAATCACAGAGGACTCGGAAAATCTCTGCAAGCTTTGCACAAAAGCCAGGGCTTCCAAGTCCACGCTCAAATGCTGCTGGTATCCACTTCAGCACACGATCCAAAGCGGGCAGACTTCAGGAGCCAGCTGCACCTCAGCACACACGGTGTGAGAAGAGCCCATCTCAGCACTACGAGGACATAGGTGCACATGCATTTGCTATATAACCAAAACTGTATTATGTTTCTCAGGATAAACACAATAAATAAAAGAGTTTTTCCTCTCTAGCAGCTTGATCCCAGTTCCCCAGCTACCTGGGCACCATCTCCTGTACATCCCATCCAGCTGTACATGTCTGCCTTGTGCGTAATAGGAAGGAGCACCACAGAGCACCACTTCTACACCAGTTCCCTCTGCTTGTGCACTTCACACCCTGCACTTCCTACCCAGTGAAAACTACTGGCAAATTCTGAAATACGGCAAGGCACTTGGAGGGATGTTAGAGACTTTGTGCACACACAGGCAGGATGCAAATCCTCCCCCTCCTCCTGCCAGCTTGCCTTAAGGGCAAACGTAGACCTCAGCAATCTCCTAAGGAAAGGTGACCGCAGCACAGAGCGAGTCACCTGGCCTGTGAACAGCCACACAGAGGGAACAGACCAACTTCCTCGGAGCTTCAGACTGCTTACAAAGGTCTGCATTTTACTTCAGTGCTTTACAGAACTATTTCTTCCTCCCTGGGAAAAAAATAAAAAATAAAAAAAAAAATCCTTGCTTGTCACATTGCATGTGCTAAAATATGTAAAGTAAAATCAGCAGTAATGTCAGTGGAAATACAGCAGAGAAATAGTGATAATAAAAATCCCAAAGCAGAAGAAACCTTGAGAAGCTACGGGTCAAGTGGAGAATTTACCAGTGATGTTCCTGCACCCCACACAGTCACGAACAGCAGGGATCAGCTATCTGCCAGGTAACACGCAGGCAGCACAGGTACGTACGTTGCCCTTTTCATGATATTTGGGCAAAAATCTCAGCCCAGACGGTTCGTGGGTTATGACACATTAAAAATAATAATAAAAAGGAGGGTGGAACAAAGAAGAAATTCAAACCATAAGCTGGCAAGTGGTCCTGGATCCATCCCAGCAAACAGTACTGGCTACAGAAAGCAGAAGGTCCCACCAGGTTGCTGCGTGTTGAGATAGTCTCGTGGCCACCACTGAACACTGCAGGTCGTTTTATCCAACTCCGGGAGGAAAAGAGTCCTTGTACAAAACCGTTTTCCTCCTGACTGACATCAGATGAGCTCCTTCAGAGGCTCGTTTTCGCCAGGAAGCGTGCCGTTCATCTCGGGGGCGCTCTCGGTGCCCAGATACCCCAGGAGGATCTCGCTGCGCCGCCGTGACAGCTGCAAGATGTCTTCTGCCAGCAGCTGCACCGTCGTGTACCTCACATTGTCGAAATCAAACATGTCCTTCAGGTACTGCACTATCTGGTGCTGCAAAGAGAAGAGGGAGGCTTACGGTAAGGTCCTGCCAGCAGCGCCTGCCCGGACGGCAGCAAGCAGAGAGCCCCAGAAGGAATTTTGTGTCTGCATCCAAGCAGATCTGCCTCAGGCTGGGTATTACTTTTGTGGCTATCTCCCCTTTGCCTCTGGAACAGGACAGCAGAGCTCCTGAAATTTTGAGTGCTGATGTCCATGGCAATATCCGTGCAAACATTTAATGAATGCAGCATCAGCCCCTGATGGTTTTATCCACGGGGTTTAAGACCGAGTATGGAACCCTTACAGCACCGTGTACTTGGGCAATGCATTCTCTCAACATATGCACCCTTAATCTCTTCCCATAGTGATTTATCAATTTATATTTTATAAAATGGATCTTCTCACACATCTTCGTGCTATCAGTCATGGCAAATCACGTTGGGAGTTCTGTCAATCTGCATTCAGTGATCTGCATCTCAAAAAGCAGGGATTTTTTAGAAGGCTTTTGTACCGAGCCAAGTTTCTTAATACCACGTCAGTCAAAGCCAGCCGCCAAAAGCACACAGCTGCAGCTTGAAGCCGAGAGCCTGCAGGCCTCCCCCGCAGCCCAGGTCCAGAAAAGCCACCACCTTACCTTGAAAAAACCACAGACTTCAGAGAGCTGCTGCTTGGGCCCCAGAAAACCGAAGGCTAGGACAGGGCTGACATGCTCCGATACGGAGTAGAAATGAGAGATAAAGCCATCTGGTACCTGTCACAAGGAGGGGAGGAATCAGTTCTCAGGCAGAATCAGCAGCTTATTCCGTGTTAACTACCAGCTTCTGTGCCAAGAAGCGCTGGGCTTTGGTAACTAAAGAGCTGCCTAAGAACAGCTCTGCCTGCAGAGCTGCATTTATGGTCCAGGGTCCGTGAAGGAGGACTGGAGCTTTCTATCTGTATGTTTCTAAACTACTCTTTCAGGAGAAAAATGAAGATAAAGGATGCCTGATGGCCGGGAACACTGGCTTTTAAATCCTCATATTAATGATGCGTGAGAATAAACTCAGAGCAGTAAAACACTGGCATTGCACCGGAGCAAAGAAACGGCAGCGGGACCCCAAAGCATCAGAGGGGATGCAGCTCAGTTCATTCTTATACCACTAAAATTTTGTATTTCATCAAGATGTAGGTGATAGCTTTTCAGCTTCAAATGTTTCAGATTCTTTCCCTTTTAATCCATTTGGCTTACCATCAGAAGCCTTCTTTTTGCTTTCAGAACCGACCAACAGGCAGTTGCCAGGGCCTACAAATAAGAGAGAGAGAGAGACCATCACTCGCTGGGATTACTTCCAGAAGAAACCAGTTTACCAACACATCCCCAAAATACCAAAGCAGGCCCTCTTGTGCCAACAACTGAAGTGAGTTAGAAAATCTGCGTGAACTGGAGGGCGATTTGTCCACTGCAGACAAGCAGAAGTGTTTTTGAGGATTGCTAACACGATCTGGCACAGCTGCCAAATGCCCCAGAACGCAGACAGCTGGTGGAAGGTGCCTCCCAGCCATCTCCTGTCTACAAAACTCATGTCCTACATCCACAGTTGGTGGCCAGGACCAGAGGAAAGCGCTGCTATTTGAGCCTCAGCGTCTGCTGAGGTGCCCCCAGAAGGGCTGAGCAGCTGGAAGCAGACATCACCCATGTCTCTCCCTACATTTTGATCCTCCCGTCCTTACTCATCATTTACGCTGTCATCCTTTAACATCTCCACACCATCACTGCTAACAGCCGCTGCAGACAGCGGTTTATCGGCAGCAGCCAGATGCCTTCAAAAGAAGGCAAGCTTTCCTCTAAACGATTTACGTGTGCCAGAAGGCTGTTGCTTAGAGTTTCAGGAAAGGGTGGCATTTCCAGAGAGAAGATGCAGCTGAGCAAGGCCAGCTTTTCCCTAGCTGTGGCAGCCTGAGCTCGCAGCAGGTAACTCACCGTCTCCTTAAAGCTGTCCGACAGCCAGCGGTTGCGCAGCACAGCCAGCACGGAGGAGGGCGGATTCTCCAGGTCCTCGAAAGCATCCATGAGGATAAAGTCCAGCACGATATCAAAGAAGCTCATGCACACCACCTGTCAGAGAGCGGAACAGCGTGGGAAGAGAACGGGCTTTAAAACAAAAGCAACTTTGAAGTAACAAAACATAATGAGCTGAGTTTTGCCACCAACACAGGACTGAGCTGGGTTCATTCGGTTCACTGGCCTGATCCCAGAGAGGGGCAGGACAACAGGCTCGCTGATCCTGAGCCCAGAAAAAGCCCAGTCAAAAGGGCAAGCAAACCCTACAGAGCTACAGACACCAGCTTGTGCCCTCTACAACGAGATGTTTGGGTTTCGATTGTTTTGTTTTTCTTTTTGTTTTGTTTTTTCAACACAATGGTGCTGACATTGCTGAAAGTGTGCCATGAATTTAACCCCCCGCCAGCCAGTTTTCCCCTTGCCCTCCTTCACAACATACGCTTCCAAAATAATCCCATTTTCAGCAGTTCTTTCAGTCCCGGGCTGTTCCCCCACAGCCATCATCCTCCAGCTCGTCTATAACTTTTAGAGAGAAAGCCTTTACCGACCCCTCTTCCCTCCAGCTCCTGCTGGGTGGTTGGCCAGGTCTCTGGCTTCAGCGCGTAGTGCAGCATCTCCTCGTAGCTTTCCAGAAAAGCTTTGGGATTCTGGAAGAACAGAGAAACAAAACACTTCAGAAGGTAAAGCAGCTGCAGGCACGTTACCCCAAAGGCTGAGCACTATTTTGAGCTAAAACACCAACACGTGCAACACCCCTATGCTTTGTGCAGGAAGAGGTTTATTTCTGGGAGGCAGAGATGCCCCAGGCTGGGACTTAAAACACTTAGGGTAGAGACACCCATCTTCAAACCAAGTCCAGGAAGAGACTGGGAAGTGACTCTCCCTTTTTAGGGAGTAACCAGCGGCTAAGGCAGTGAGCTGAGCAGGGGTATGTGGTTGATGGCAAAGGTTTCGTTATCATTTCCCTTTCCTGTGTTTCTTGATGGTGCGTTCTGATTCCTCTGGTGCATTCTGTAACCTCTGCTCTCTCTATAACACGAGTGTCAAACTGTGTTCAGGCGCTGCAGAGAGCCTCTTCCAATAGAATTTGGTTAAACAACGCTAAAAACAGGCATTTTGTTTCTCCCGATGACCACCAGCATACAGATGAAGCTTTCTCCTTTCAGCACACTAGGCAAATTGTGGGCTGGGATGGAGCAGTGAGCATCCACGCATTCACAAGACACAACTGAAACACCACCAAGCTCCCTACCTTTTCAGCCTTTGTCATCAGTCCTATCACCATTTGCTTCCCAACCTCCCCAAAAAACAGCTGATTGCTTTCATCCTCCAGCAGCTCCTGCAAAGGGAACAGAAGGCTCCGTGAGCGGCAGTGGCAGCTTCTGGGCAGCTCTGGACTTCCCAAATGTTCACTTCCCAGAACTAAAGCAGCAACGTGGCCAGGTAAACACCACCAAAGCTGGCCACAGGGGCCAGGGGATGCTCTTCCCCCCAGATCAAGACAGGATTACGAAAGTTAAGCAAGGGGAGCTTGAGCTGTTTCAGCTTTTACTTGCTCTAGAGGGGCAAAGACTTCGTTCCTGCTTGAATGCAGGAGAACACGCTGCCAGAAACGTGCCGTGGGAGTGCAGGAACCACGAGGAAGGCCAGCCCCAACCCATTCATCCTCACCTGGAAGGCCTGCCTGACGCAGTGCAGCTTGGCAAGGAAATCCTGGTCACTGTAGCAGCCGAGGAGCTCTGTCCTAGAAGGAAAGGGGAAGGACTGCATAAATGTCAGTTCTCCTGGCATCCGTGATCCTAACAAAAATTCTCCTCTAAAAAAATATCCCAGTCTCTGCCTAGGAGAAAGTAACAACTGCGTTCCCTTTGTAGAGCTCCTTTGTACAGGACCACAGCACCCCTACTACGGCTGTTAGAGCACAGGACTGCACAAGCCAGCCACAAAGAACAGTTCCACTTCTCCTCGCTAATTTCCTGAGATAATTACGCTTTCTTACCATACGTGTCCAAAAAAAATTTAGGGATCGTTCCCTGGGAAGTCCAAACAAGCAGGAAAAATACTAAAAGCTTCCTGCCCCAAAGGGTTATTCTGGTTATAGGGCTGCTCAAAAGCAAATGAGACGGTCACAATCAAAGGGGCTGTGACACCACGGCCCGTGACTCCAGGTGGCACTCACCTCAGCGTCCGGCACGCAACCTTCCCTTCTTTCACTAGCTGCAGAGCTTCTTCATAGGCTGCCACTGGCTTCGAGAGATGGAAGGGTATCTCCTCAAAGTGAAGGGAGTCAAAGAGCTGTAAAGGTGGCAAGAGACACGAGAAAAAAAAAAAAAGTGATCTCTGATACCTGCAAATACCCAGAGGCTGCACACAAGCACGATGTACCTCCTTCAGCTGGGAAACTTTTGTTAGTGCCAATTATTTCATGCAAAGATAATTCTTTTTCCACCAGTTTCAAAGCTGCCTCAGCTCTGACAGCTCAATATCCCCTAAAATTACCCAACCAAGCCACGTTACATTAGATTTACAGTATTTTCCTAGCTGTTGTGGCATGTTTTCTACAGTAGATGGGAAAACGACAGGTAAGTGTTGGTTGGAGAGGACTTGGAGTCACACTTGGAGTCGGACTGGTGCCCACACTAGATCAGGTCAGATGTGGTTTGTTCTGGGAAGTCCTGAAAGCCTCCAAGGAATGAGATCCCCTGACCTTCCCGGGGAGGGCTGCACCGTGCCCCTCATGAAAAACCTTTCCCTAATATCCACCCAGCTCCTCGTTTTATCATCTTCTTCTACTAAGATGTGTTTAACCCTGCTGTCTTTGTGGCTCCCCTCCAAGCAGTTGACCTGCTATGCACCACTGAAACTGAAGTCACCTCTGCTGCAGAGAAGAAGGAGTCCTCGGAAATGGAGCTGTCCTCATCGTCTGTCCGAAGCCGTAACGACCCGTCCGCTAGCGGCAGCATTAAGGTCTTCTCTGGAGGTGGGAAAGGAGCTGCATGTGTTGGAGGTTACAGACCACCAGTCCTCACAGCCACTGTGCTTTCTCTTCCAGCCACCCACCCCCCAAAAAGCGCTGTCACCGCTTCATCGCCTGGCTGATGGAAAGAGACAAAAGCATGGAAAGGAAGCTGCCGGCTCACCCAGATCCAGCAGCATGCTGTCCGAGGGAAGCGAAGACCCAAACTCTTCCTGGAGGTGGTAGGCTCGATGCAAGAGGGACTCCAACTTCTCTGCAAACTCCCTTTTCTGGGACTCCTCCTTGAACAGACATAAATGGCACGCTTAATTAGTCAGCTGGCAGGGACAGACTGACAGCACAAACACGGGAGGAAATTTCAGTCAAATAGGATTTACAGTTTGCAGATTAAATGGTGAAAGAGAACTTAATCCTACGATACAGCTAATAACGCAAGGGAAGGAAAGCTGCTAGACAGCCTAATTCAAACCCTCCGGCATTTTTAGCTTCACTATTTCATTTTCATTATTTAAAAAAAAAAAAAAAAAAAAAGTGGAAGAAAGAACTTTAACCTGCCATCCAGAAAAACAGGTGTCTTTATAGATCACTTAATTCTCCTGACTTGTGACTTTAGCCTAATTTCAAGAGGGAACCGCATCAGAAAAGCCGTGTTGAAAACAGCAGAGTATCCAGAACTGGATAACAGAGTAAGAGTCCTTGGGTTAAGGTGCTGGGCATAAGCAAAGTTTGCTGTAAGCACGAGTAGATAGACAAAAAGGAGGAGAAAAGTAAGACTTACACAGCATCTTGCCTTCATGCCCCTGTGTCTGCATGAGTATCTCACCCAGTAGATAGAAGCATTAACAAGAAGCACAAAATCTATTTGGATAATGAATCAACTGTTTGAGTCAGTTGCAGAAACACCATAGGACAGTTCAGGAGGAGACAGCAAGGAGAGAATCCACATTTGATTCGGGTAAGTTATCCACCACAAAAAGGCCATACACAGACTACACCAGGACCGAGCTCCCACCAAGTTACCACTTGGCTTTAGTGATTAACACAGGCAGCTGGTCCTGCTTCTGCTCAGCTCCCTCAGAAGTCCTAGGGACTACCACAATCTCCACGTTTAACACGTTAAAGAGATACAGGCACAACAGTGCCAGGCAAAAAGCTCCTTCTTCCCTCCTCTCAGGTGCTGTGTTTGTTGCAGCCTTTTCCTGCTGCAGCCTCTACTGCTCGAGAACTTGCACGACAGTGACTGACATGATCTGGAAGGTGGGCAGAAAGCTGAAGAATGAGGGGGAGAGACTTATTAGAAAGAGAAAAAAGAAGAAAAATTAAGAATTCGCCCACTCAGGCTACATAAGGAAGCCAAGAATATAGACAGCTCTTAAACATCGTCTAACCCAGCTCTGCCCTTGCTTTGCTCTTCTTCTACTGCCCTGCAGTGACTCCTCCTAGCAGCCTGGCTGGCCTTCCAGCATGTTCCCCAGCTGCCAAACACAAGAGGGAAAGGCAGGGACCTACCTCTGCGATGCTCTCAGACAAGGTGTCCTGGTGTTTCTTGCCGTCCCAGGGCACGGGGGTGCTCGTGCTAGCGCTGTCCCGCTGCCGGATGGTCAGCGCCTGCTCCCACTTCTGCAGGGCCTCCTCGAACAGCTCCATGCCTGGCAATGCAACCAAACAAGCTCAGATCCTCAGGCCACGTAGGTACAAAGCCATGCAGCAAGAGCCTGCTCGCTCAGGTAACCCAGCGAAGAGGGAATCTTCTCCCCAGGAGAAAGAATCCTTGCCCTTTAAAAGACAGTTTTATTTTCAATAGAAGTTAACAAGAACATCCCCCAACTCATTAAAATATCCGCCGTGGTATTTTCAAGGTGCCGTTCTCCACAGCAGATGAACCTGACGCTCAGCGAGTAGGAATTGGGAAGTAAATTGTTCACTGAGAAGGAAGAAAAGTTTCTTTAAGTTCTTGTTAACTACCGAGTGACTGAGATCAAGGAGAGGACAGAAGAGAGCTGCCTTGGAGAGCACAAAGGTGCAGCCACACGATGCTGGTGATGCTCTGTGTAACTTCATGCTGTGTATTTGTTCTTGCAGTGCCAACCCCGACCCGCTGATGCTCCCCTCGTGCTCGTTTACCTTGCACGTAGAGGCTCTCTGCGCTGGAATCACCCCCGGCTCCGGCGTCCCCCATTGCCTGGGCCTCCCACGTCCCTGCTGCTGCTGGTGTTGGACTCGAAGAGTTCACTGCTACCATCTGAGGGAAGGGAGCAGAGCAACAAACGCCCGTTGAAATGCCGATTGCCTTGGGGAGGTGAAACCCCTTGCCTTGGAAGGGGAAGGGATCAGCAGGTACCACCCGCCTCCCACCTCGTTTCACACCACGCTGCCAACTGCCCAGAGCTGCAAGGTGCAGAGTGCTGACCTTCCCCACCCAGCACCAAAAAAACACCTTCCCCACCAATTTACATCGAAAGCTTCCTCAGGAAACTGCGAGGTGTGCAACTGGGAGCCTGAGCAGGACAGCACTGGTGGAGGAGACAGCCTGAGAAAGCTCCACGGCACCGCTGCAACAGCACCAGGGGTTGGGTGCAGCTGGCACGTCAGGCCCCAGCCTTCTGCACAGAATAACATTGGAAGCTGGGGTAGCAACCACAAAAAAAATTAAAAAAAGGAGCAGTTTATCAGCAAAAATACAGCTGAGGACTTTGGCCAAGGGAAATTCCAGTTTGTTTTGTAACCAAACCTCCTCATAGGAGGGCTGAACACCCAGACCACATGGTGCAAGTGGCCAGCTTTCTCAAATTTCGCCCTAGTGCACGATGTCTTCTCAGGTCTGACACTAAAGTGCTGGGCTCGGGCACTGCCAGGACCAGCGTTTCATAATTTTTCCATACAGCTTTGAGAAAGGTGCCCAAATGGGAGTACTGACGCTAGAGAAGAAGCTACAGTAAGTGGCTGGGGGATGAGCTCTTGCCCTGCCTCATCTCCGTGGCAGGGCAATAAATCACGCTGAGATCCAGGCCTGCAAACCAGTAACTCGCTGCTGCTGACTTATTTACTAGGTGACAACGCTCGGGAAGCCAGACAGGGCAGCAGGGAGAGCCTGCAGCTGCGTGAAGGCTGAAGGATGTGCCGTTTTCCCATCAAATAACAACAGCAACGAGGACAAGGTGGCAGCAGCTCCCTTCCCACGCAGTAAAGGGGATACAGGAGCAGCTTTCTCTGCGTGGATACGATCCCCAGCAGTGGAAAAAGGAACGTAGGCAGCTTATCTCAAGCGCACCAGCCCTCAGCAGCACAAACCCTGCGGCTTCTCCTTTCCCACAGTGGGCTGGGAGCGGGAATGGACACAGCAGGGTCTGCACCTCCCATCGCAACCAGTAACCCCAGGGGAATACTGGGGCAGGCTGCACGCCCAGCGCCGTGTCAGCACTGCCGCCTGCTGGAGGCACACTTGGACCAGCGCAGGGCTTTTTTGGGCAACTTTCTGCTGCTTGAATCGTCCCAGCACGCTAAAATCAAGTGATGCCTTCCAAGGGGGGATTTTTCCCCCTTCCTGCTAACTAGACACCAAGAGGGGGTCTGTGGGACGTTGTGGTGGAGGAAGCTGCTGTTCCAGCAGGAGCTTTGAGCACTGGGGATGTAAAACAGGCCTTGAGGGCAAAAACACTCCCCTGGCGCTTCTGCCTCTGGTCTGTCAAGAAAAGTGGATATGAGCAGTGAGGGCTTCTGCTTGGTACAGCCTGAATTACCTGTATTCTGTGCTTGGGAGGTGGCAGAACTGCTGGGCTGTGTGCTCACCCTGCACTGTTTCATTAACAAAAATACCTGGTTTTGGCAGTTCACTTGGTTCAAAGAGCCAAACAAGCCGTGAGCAGCCTGCATAGAGGCAGGAGGGCTGCTGGACCACCCAAACCTCCACCACAGGGGGAAGCCAACGAGCTCCCCGTTGCTGCAGGACCCAGCCACAGCCCAACCTCACACCTGAGGGGGGCACGGAGAGCCCCGAGGAATCACAGCCACATCCCACACCAGCCCCTCAGTGGCCGAAAACACCGGATAGACCTCGGGATGCTCCGATTTCAGGTGCACGCCTGCCCCAGACAGCTCCAGACCATCGCTGTTCAGTTTTATCAGAGCCTGCCCTCCAGTTACACCACACCTCGTCTGCTCCCAGCCCACCTGGCAGACCCTTACCGAGGCGAGGCTGTGGGAGGAACTGGAATGTTTGCTGGGCTCGATGGACGATATCCCGCTGAGCGTGTCATTGCTCTTGCTGCCGGGACTCTGGACTCTCTTGCTGGAGTACCCTGCGGGTGGGAAGGTCACACAAAAACAGGGTTTTAGCCGTGCTGGCCTCTGAATGGATGACAGATGGAGACAGCAAGACCTGTTGGTTGTGAGGTCCCTGCAGGCTACAAAAAAAGTGTGGTCCAGGTAAGAAACTACAGCAGTCACAGGAAAACCTGATACAAAGCAAAACAGTTTCACTGCAGCTGTGAAGAAGGAGGGGAAGAGCACCCTGTCAGGTGTGACTGCAGCTAGGCAAAGCAGCATCCGATACCTAGGAATGAGTCACAGATCTCCTCCATGCTCTGTTTTGCTCTCAGACATTAAAAACCCGGTATCAGCGGGGGCCTGAGGCTGAGGATTGAATATTCATCCACTGCTGTGGATGGAACAGGATGGAACACTCCCCCGGTGCTGTGCCGAGGAGCTGGGTCAATCACACCCCAAAATCCATACGAGCAGGTGAAGCTGCCCAAGATGCCAGGAGCCCCAGCAGCGTGGGACGGACGCTGCTGACCCCAAAGCTTGGCCAACGGACACCCTCCCCTCCGCCCTCCACCCTGGCAGCACGCAGCAGCCACGATCAATACGCAGCCAGGTCACGGCGTGCCCCAGGCTGTTATCATCTGGGCAGGGTGACGAAACAGCTCCACGCTCCTCCTGGGGCAGGGGGATGGGAGCTACAAGCCTTGGGGCTCGTAAAAACCTCCCCACACACAAAGGCTTCGAGCTCAGGGTCTCTCCCGTTCCTCCGGTGACCTCGGCACGGTGCTGCAGGTCAGTAACCCCACTCCTCATCAAGGCACTGCGCTAATTGTTTTGCTTTCCTCCCCACCCACTCGCTGGGAACGTCCCCTGGTCCCACTGCCACCTTTCTCTTTCTTTGGATGCTCTTTTAACAACGTTCTCCTCGCTACAGGGCTTGGGGGCCTCTCCCTTTTCACAAGACCAACCTTTCTTCACGGACGAGACCCTTCTGGTCGGCAGGATGGGCACCGTGATGCCTCCGGGCTTGAAGCCACACTTGTCTGGAGCAATCTGCTTCTTTCGACGCCGACGCCGTTTCAGCTGATGAGCTGCAAGAGCCAACGCAACCGTCCCGAGAGCTGTCGCGAACAGCACCTTACGCAGGCCTGGGGAGAGCCGCAGCTGAGAGAAGACAGACTTTAAACACAAAAGATATGAAAGAGCAACAATGAAGAACCAATTCCGCCGCCCGTTTTCCTTCTAAGCAGTTGTAAAAAAAAATTCAGGTAAGCTGAAACATTTCCTGGCGCTCCCCCTCCCAGCCACAGCACAGCTCCCGTTGTCTGCTACACGACTTCACAGCAGGGAAACTGCGGAGCACGGATCAAACCTGGAGAACTTGGTCTTGGTTCTCATCAAAGCGTGCTGCAAGATTTGCATGCACCCCACAGCAGATGAGCTCTGAGATACCCGAATTGAGCTCCAGAACCCTGATGTGTATCTGAGCTGTATTGCTCCAAGCGTTGCGTTAATACAAAGCAGGAAATATATTAATGATCTTAAAATATATATATTTATATTTTTTGTGTGCTTTTGAAAAAGGGAAAGGTCACAGAGGGATGTGGGAAACCCTCCTCTCCCTACTCCACATCCATCCCCACATCCCGGGCCTCTCAGCAACTCTTCCAAGCTGCCACATCCCCCCCAGCACCACCCCCTCGTGCCTCTGCAAAGACTCAGCTAACGCAGGTTCTTCTTTCTCTGCAGACAGCCCTCGGAGAGAAAACCCAAGGAACCACCTAGGAAAGCCTTTCCTGCTCACTGTACCTGCCCAAACGTCGTGTAAACGAACACGGGGATCTCTGCCACGGTCATTGCCAAGGCCTGGATGATGGACATGCCCTCGGTCCTTCGGAATGCCATGGCTGAGCCAGGACCTCAGCGCCTCCGGGAGCCACAGGTGGGAAGGGCACCGGTGGGTTGAGCTCACGGGGAAATGCAGCTTCCCTCCGCCATCGGGCTCAGAGCCCTGAGGTCAGCCTTCGTGCAGCAATCCTCCTGAAGGAAGAGGGGAAAAAATGAGGGCGGTGAAGGGAACACACAACCCACCCCTCCTCGTGCTGCCCTTCACAAACAGCACGCCAGCTCGCTCAGAGCAGCAACGCTGCTAGAGCCAGGAGATTTAAAGCATCTCCTCCCCAACAGCAGCAATTCTTGCTTCTCCTAAGCTCAGGGGCAGATTCCCAAACTGCTCTAAAGCAGCAGCGCCATCCTTGCACTCAATAGCTGCAACCGTGCCAGAGATTTCCACATGCCCCAGAACTGGCTGCACACGGCCGGAGGGACTTTTTGTCAACCCATGTATAAAAAAATATATATAAATAGATAAAACCCTGCTGCCCCTCAATTTCTGTGGCTGCAGCAAAGCTCCGCTCACGAGCTCCCAACCGAAAGCTACTTCCCTGAGAGGCTTCAAAGCTGCCAGAGTTTACACAGCGCTCTGCTGGGCAGCGGGGACGCGCTTCACGTCAAGGACAGAGCTCCAGAAGAAGGCACTGCGACGCGGGAGGCGTCTTTTAAACGCCAAACAAAGTTCTAAACGCTTCGGCCCTGCTCTCCCTGCCAGCCCAGCTTCGCAGCGAGATTCTTCTGCTGCGACACGGAGCCGTGCTCCAGCCCGCAGGGCTCCGGTGTCTCCGCACACCGAGCAGACGAACCCATCCCATAATCCAGAGCCCACGCATCGCTCGCAGCGACCTGGCACCCCGCAGCCCCGCTCGGGAGCCGCGTTTGGCAGCGGTCTCCCAGCAGCAGCACCCGCAGGGAGCAGCCACGTGTGCCGGGCTCGCAGGACAAGGTGAAATGCAGCAAGTTTGGGCTGGAGGTGAGCAAAGCGCGAGAGATTTTGGGGACAGTATCAGGTCTGGGGCTTCCTATCCTTGACGGGTCGGGGGAGCACGCAGCCAGACGCCAAGGGAATCACCCCCGGGGAAAGCACAGCCCTGCTCAGCCCGGCTTCTAGGGGCACCCCATGGGGACGTGGAAGCATTGAGCAATGCCCTACACCCCGTGAGGCTCTGGGATCCCAATGGGATGCCCCATAGCAGCACCGCAGCGTGCTGGGGCTCTGCAAGCGGGGCTCCCCGAGCTGCCTGAACCACTGCAGCAGCCCCCTAACCCCATACATCAACCCCCCTAAGCCCCCTTAACCCCCTGCACCCAGGCAGCAGCCCCCTTATCCCCTGCACCAACCCCTTTAAACCCCCTTCAACCCTCTGTACTCCTGCAGCAGCCCCCTAAAACCCTGCGCTAACCCATTTACCCCCTCTTAAACCTCCTGCACCCAAGCAGTCCCCTCCTTAAACCCTGCACCAACCCCCTTAAACCCCATTAAACCCCTTTAAGCCCCCTGCACCACCCCCCTACCCCATACCCCAACCCCTTTAAACCCCTTTAACCCCCTTGTACCCCTGCAACACCCCCCTTAAACCCTACACCAACCCCTTTAAACCCCCTTAAACCCCTTTAAACCCCCTACATCCCTACAGCACCCCCTAAACCCTGCCCCAACCCCCCTAAACCCCTTTAAACCCCCTTAAACCCCCTGCAGCATCCCCCTACCCCATACCCCAACCCCTTTAAACCCCTTTAACCCCCCTTGTACCCCTGCAGCACCCCCCTTAAACCCCCTTTAAACCCCCTGCATCCCTGCAGCACCCCCCTAAACCCTTCCCCAACCCCCCTCAACCCCCCTTAAACCCTTTAAACCCCCTGCAGCAGCCCCCTTACCCCATTCCCCATCCCCCTCCTCCCCCCCCGGCAGCGCAGTGGTACGGCCCAGCCCCCTCCCTCCCTACCCAGCCCCCTCCCGCCCGGGCCGCACCACTCACCGCGAGGGGGGGGGGGGGAGCAGTGGGGTGGCCCCGCGCGCGCTGCCCCCCTGCGCGCCCCGTTCCCGCCGCCGCCGCGCGCCATGGCCGCGGAAGGGCAGCGTCTCCTTCCCCCGCGCCGCAGCCTACCCTGCCCGAAGCCCCGCCCCCTCACCCCCGCTCTCAACCAATCAGAGCGCAGCCCGGCCCTCCGGCGAGCCAATCGCCACGCTTCCCTTCCAGCCCGGCCTCAGGCTGCGGTGGAGAGCGGAGGGCGGGGCGAAAGGCGGGGCGGCCTCCCATTGGCCGGCTCCTGACAGCTCCCCCCCCGCCGCCCCCGCGCGCCTTAAAGGGGCCGCGCCCCCTCCCGAGCCGCCCCCGCCCCCTGCGGCGCCGCCCGGTTCCCGGGGCCCGGTGCGCGCCCCGCGGCCTCCCACAGCCTCTCCCCACCGCTCTCCCACCCCTCTCCCTGCCTCTCACCCTCTCACCCTCTCCCGGACCCCTCACCCTTTTGTGGGCCCCCCCTCCGCCCAGCCAGTGCCCTTTTAAGAGGCCGCGGCGCGGTGCTATAAAGCCCGGCCGGCGGCGGCCGCGGGGACAGTGGGGGCGCGGCAGCGGCGGTGACAGCAGCGGCCCCGGCCCCGTCCGCAGCCATGGACTTCAACGTGAAGAAGCTGGCGTCCGATGCGGGAGTCTTCTTCTCCCGAGCCATGCAGGTGGGGGCCGGGCCGCAGCGCGTCGCCATGGCAACGGGGGGGGCTGGGGGGGTGACAGGAGGGGGCCTGGGGCCTGGGGGGGGTCCCAGGGGGGTCCCAAGGGGGTCTCCGGGGCTTGAGGGGGGTCCTAGGGGGGTCCCAGGGGGGTCCCGGGGGGTCCCAGGGTCTGAGGGGGGGACCCTGGTGTCTGAGGGGGTCCCTCAGAGCTTCACATGGGCCTGGGGGGGGGTCTCTGGGGCCTGAGGGGGGGTCCCAGGGTCTGAGGGGAATCCTGGGGGAGTCCCAGGGGGGTCCCCGGGGCCTGGGGGGGGTCCCAGGGTCTCAGGGGGGGACCCCGGAGTCTGAGGGGGTCCCTCAGGGCTTCAGTTGGGCCTTTGGGGGTTCTCTGAGGGTGATGGGGGCCCCCCCCAAGGACAGAAGGGGGCCTGATAAGAGGGTCCCCAGGGCCTCGGAGGTCCCCAAGGTCTGAGGGGGGACCCCGGGGCCTGAATGGGGGTCCCAGCCCTGCCCCTGTCAGCCCTGCAGCATCCTCCTCCCTTCCTCCCCTCCTGTCTCCCAGGCATGGAGCATCCCTTGCTATGCCCTGGGATCCTGGGGGGAGGATCCTTAGAAATATTGTGGGTTTAGCACGGTTTTGTTGTCATTTCTTTCGGTTTCCAGCTGGAGGAAAAGTTGTAAATAGGCATTTTGGGGGTGGCACTGAGCTGCTGGCTCTGGCAGCGCAGGCTGGCCTGAGCTACAGCCCCCGAGCGGGGACCTCTGGGTGCTGAGGGCTCGGAGCCAGGCTGGGGAACCCCCAGCAGGAACCCACCTGAACCCCACTGCTGCTGCCACTTCCCTGGGGTGACAGGGGAGGGTGTCCAGAGCTTCCTGAAGTTGGTGGTGCAAACGGACCCAGAGATGCTTCTGACCCCTGCATTGAGGGGTTGGGGGGAAAGAAGCATACAGAGGGTAGGGCTTGCGTTGTGGTGGTCGTTATTTAAAGTACAGATGTATTGCAAATAGCTGCTCAGCTAACTGGCTGGGCAAGCGGCCAGCCCTGTTGAGGACCTGTTCCTTTTCGGTAGGCAGATGTGGTAGAAGCCTTTCACGGGTCGCCTTTCAGTCGTGCAGGAGCTCCAGGACCCCCCCCAAAACACAGCGCTGTTAGAGGTGGGAAGGAGCCGCTGAGGCTGAGCAGGTAGCACCTCGCTGGAGTACAGCGGCATCAAATCATCCTTCCCTAGCCTGCTGGCAGCACCTTGCTGGGGCTGCAGTGCTGTCCTGAAACCGTAGACTGAAGAAACTTGGCTACCCGTGAGGAACGAAGCGTGCAGCAGGTGCTGAGATGTGGCTGCCGGCTCCGTCCGCTCCCCAGGCGTAAGAGCTAGGAAGGAAAACTGCTCCTGGCCAGGCAGGGGAGGAGAAGGGAAGCAAATCGGAGGTGGTTGGGATCCTGCCTGAGAGCTCCAGTCCAGCTGGTGGCTTCAGGACCGGGATCCTCTTCTACCCGAGGTGTGGGGGTTGACAAAAACAAAGCAGCGCTGCCTCAGTCCAACCCGTCTGTGCCACGGAGTAATCCTGGCTCGTTTAGGAATCGCTCTCCTGTAAACAGATCGCATCTCCTGTAATCGTGCCGGTGAGTCATGTGTTAGGAACAGAGACATATTAACTACAGGTGCAAAATCAGGAGCAGATGGAAGGCTTAAAGATGCTGTTCTCATGCAAATGACCTTGGTGGCAGAAGAAAGGCAGAAATGCTGCACAGAAATCGTGTGTTTGGAAGGCTCATTGTACGACTCTGATAAGTGTTTCTGAGCTTCAAGGCGTAGGAAGGAGACAGGCATGGGAACAGCGTCTGCACGCCGCTTCTAGAGCAAGGAGGCGTTTATAAATAGCGGCTTCTGCCTGCTACACCTACTCCACATCATCTTGGACGCGACGATTCGTGTGACTAATTAAGGTAGTAATTACTCGAAACAAAATGGTCAAGGGGGGAGATGCACCTCGCTGAGGCAGAGCCCCACCTCTTGAGATGTAATCCTGAGCAGAAGTGGGGCCTGTTTGGGGCCGTCCCACACAGCCCTCACCCAGCAGGGGCGAGCATCGCCCCGTCACCACCTCCAGGAGCCAGAGGTGACAGCTGAGGCCTGCAGGGATCGGGTTTGTAGCGTTCTCCTTGCCCAGCAGATCTTCCAGGGGAGGAGAATGGCCTGGCTGGAACGAGCTGCGTTGTCTGTAGTGCCGGGGATGCTCTTCCTCAGCTCCAGGCATTTCACAGAGCGATGCTTTACGGGAACTGCGGCGAGCGGGAGATAAATGGACTGGCCATTATGTGCGGTGCTGCTCAGACAGCATTAGCTGTTGCTGTCTGGTGGAGACGTCTGGCCAACACAAGGAGAGCTGGCTGGCACTGCAGGAAGGGCTGTGGCTGTAGCACTGCTCAGGTCAGGGGAAAGGAGGCAGAAGGTGGTCAGACACCCCCCTGGGGTCGCCTCCCAGAGGTCCCAGAGCTGTCCTGGTTTGAAGCCTGTCGAGTACAGCCTGAGGTGAAGAGCAGGAAGGATTTTAGGCCTAGGTTTAACCTGGCTCATGACAAAACTCAAACCATCACCACCTTTACGTGGCTTTTTGTAGCTCAGGCAGCAGGAGAACACAACCTCTGGTCACCTGCTCCTTCCAGCTACCAGTAAGCGGGCTCGATCCCTCAATCCCAAACCTCTGGAGAGAAGGCGACGATGGCAGCTGCAGCCTCCCTCCAGGAACCGGCGTCTCTTCCTCCAAAGTAACGGTCCGGGTGCATCTGTTGCAGCCAGGCTCTCTCAGGGAGGTCTGGCAATCACTGTGGGTTTCTGTCTCCTGTCACTTCTGATGGAAACTTGCTCCAGGCAAAATTGCCCGAGCACCAGTAGAGCTTTTGGGTGCGTGTCCCCCTGCTAATGCAGTTACCGCTGGCAGCTGGAGGTTGACTTGTTCTGGCCTGAAGCTCCTGAGGCAAGGCAGCCTTCCCCAGCTCTCCAAATCTGGTGATGAAAGAGACCTGTCCCCTCTGCTCGCTGCCCGTGCCGGGGTTAACGCCTTGCCTACTGGACACCTTCAAATTCAAGACCCCGGGAGGTGACTGAAAGGAAGGGTTTTGAAGTCAAGAGGTACAGGCCGGGTCCTGTTTCCGTTTGAAACACTGTCTATGAATCCACAAGGGCAAGATTTTTTTATTTTCCTAAATGCTTTGCTCCTGAGTTAACAAAGCTGTCCTGCTAATGGCTTCCTCCTGTCCTCTAACACAGTTCTGCTTGGCTCGCAGCCTGGCTGCCCTGACTCCCGGTGACCAAACCCTTGAAGCACACCCTGTGTCTGTTCCAAGGCAGCAGAGATCCAGGTAGTTTTTAGATGCTGACTAAGTGGCAGTGGCTTCTTTCCTACTGCAGCCCTGTACAGGGGCTGAATCTGCCTCTGAGCACCAAACGAGCGATGTTCCAACAGCCTGGGCGCGAGGGAGCTGTTAGGAGGCTCCAGCAGCCCCAATCTAGTGGCAGAGGCAGCAGACATCTCCCGGTTTCGGGTCTCCCAGCCTGGGCCTGCTGAAGGGGAGAGGCGTGGAAGGATCACACAAGCCTGGAAGAGACAAGGCAGGGAGGCTGCTCTGCGTGAAACAGGCGTGGAAGCAGTGGGATTTCATCCCCTTGGCTTAGAGGGAGGAAGGCACCAACGCTTCCAGCAACAAAAACAACGCGTGTGGGATCTTCAGCCCTAACCTTGGCGGCCTCAGGTTTTCTGATATCAGAGCTGTAGTGCAGAGGGACGCATCCAGCTCTGCTCTGCTCTCTCACCCTCCTGGCATCCCAGCTGTGCCTTTACCAACTCATGTGGGGAAAGAGCAGCTTTCCCCCAAGCTGTAACTGCTGGCAGCTGCCCTGACTGCAATCCGGCACGGCTGTGGCTTTTGCAATCCGTGCCTGTTGCCCGAGTGTTGCTCTCCTGCTCCATCAGCCTGCCTGTCCCCTCGGTCCCTGAGAACGCCTCCAGCATTCCTGCTGGCCAGCCAAGCCTCCCGGAGGAAACCCAACCTTTGGCTGAATTATTGATGCCCTGGAACGCAGCGTGACTCTCCTCTTCCTGGAGAGTGCGAGTGGCACTCAGCTAAAGGCTGCCCTGCATTATTAATCGCTCCTTCAGCCTCCCTGCACAAAACCAGGGCTGCTGCTCAACTGGGTCAGCTTCAGGGACCAGCAGCAGCCTCTCCACACCCTGACCCAGCCTCCCTGAGCTGCTCCTGTGGAACCAGAGGAGTTTTGTGGCAGCAGGATCGAGGAGCTCGAGGTTCTCCCCTGGCACTGTGCTCGCACAGGCTCTGCCTGCCCTGACTCTCCTGGGTGGGTATGCACCAAGCCATGCAGTCAGCCTGGTACTGAGCAAACAAGGCTCCCACTTGTAGGGTTTGGGGTATTTGGAGCTGTAAGAACCATCAGTGCTTCGGGTCTGGGAGCAGCAAGACAAAATATTTTTAATCTGGCTTTCTACAGTCAGGAGGAGGGACTGCACGGCGAGCCTGGCTGTTCCCCTGCATCTCCCAGCCTCACAGGGGAGCTTATTTCTGTCCAGTGGGAAGCAAAAATGCAATCAAATCTCTGAAAGTGTTATGAAAACAAATTCCTAGCAACAGAAATCCTCTAAGTGCGGAGAGATGGAACAGGGTGGGTTCTGCTCGAGCAGGCAGACTTCATCACAAGCTGTTCTTCCACCCTGCTCTCCCCTGGGGACGTGGACTTGGGCAACCAGCTCCGAGGATCAGCTGAGACCTGTTGCCACCTGAGATCTCAGACCTCCACTGGCAGCAGCTCGTAGGATCAGGCAGTGTAACTTACCTCTAATCCCCTCGGCTGGCTGCGTGTTCATGAGAAGCTTCATCTAACCCTGCTGGAAGCTGCTCCTGGGAGCCGTGGCTCTGCTCATCCCAGCACCTGAGGGCAGGTTCCCAGCGACACGGCGTGGGCGAGCGAGGTCTCTGAGCCCCCTGAAAGACACGTTAAGGGACAGGGGAGCTGGGGCAGCATTGAGCTGGGTGAGGGAGGCACGAGGGGAATGAAGTGGGAACGGAGCAACAGCCTCCTGTGCCCTCGTACCCACTCCATGACCTTCAGGCTCTGCCTCGCTGCTCTGAAACTAAGCCTGAAGAGGAGATTTTGTGACCTGCCCAGCTGGAGCTGCGGGCTGTGACTCACGTTCCTGGCAGTGAGCACGATGTGTCCTCAACCCTCTTGCAGGACAAATGGCTTTGGTGACCGAGTCCTGGCCCAACACTCTGAATAACCACATTTCCAGGGCACCGGGAGAAGGGCTGGGCTACGGAAAACTAGCAGCAAAGTGCAGGGAGGCTTGTGAACATCACAAAGCTCCCCAGAACCGAGGGATTCAAGAGCCTGCCGACGGCCCTGGGGAGGGCTTCAGCAGCGATCTGCTTCTGCAGCAATGCTGCGAGAAGCTGACTCGAATCAGCTGCTAGGAAATTGGGTTTAAGCTTGACAGCTCCAGGGCAGATGCTGGTGCAGGACGTCAGAACTGCAGGAAGAGGAGCTGGACTTGAAAGGGAGCTGAGTTCTCAAAAAAAACAAAAAAGCTGCCTGGGAAAGGGGGGCAAGGGAGACTGCTATGCTCGCATCAGAGAGGCTCGGCGTATTTAGGAGAGCTCTAAACCAGCTGACTCGAGCCTCGGTGCCAAATACCTGGGAAGCCCCAGTTTGCTGCATGGCAGTGACTCAGCCCAGCCTGGCAGAGCCTGAAAACAGCCCTGGGCTTCCCACAGCCACAGAGGAAAAGATGCTTCAGCTGCTCCCTCGGGTCTGATAGCTGCATGTGTCCCCCAGAGACGATGGCAGGAACCAGGGACCGAGCAGCACAAAGCCCTCGCCTCCATCACCTCCTAACTGCCTGCTTCTTACCCCACAGCTCACGGTGTAACCATACCTGCAGGGCTCACGTCTCTCTGACCTCCAGCAGCCTTTGCACGTGGCTGATAACGCGGCTCCTGAGCGCTGCTCCTGGCCTGCTCTGTCTCCCTTTGTCCCCAGCGCTGTGCTGGGTGCACACAGGGCTCAGGGGTAGGCTTTAATCTCCTGGCACCTGGCTGTGCCAGGTCCTGATAGCTGAACGGGAGCACCTGAAGCCAACAACAAGGACTAACAACAAGGACTAAAAGGACAAACACGACCTCTGTGAGGTCCCAAGGGTTCTTTTAGCATGATCCAACAAGATTCTGGCTCCATCAACAGCAGGAAACTGGGCTTAGAAAGATGCTGAAGCTGGCCAGCTTCTTGAGAAGAACGAAGAAGGGGGGTTAGGAAGAGAGGGAGGAGGCTCTTCTCCCAGAAATCTCCCAAGGAAGCAGCAGGTGGTGTCCAGGCCAGCCGACACTGCCCCTCCAGGCTGGCAGGTTGCATGTCAGAGGAGTTGCACAGCCTGCGCTTCTCTGCTGCTGATTTCAAACTGCCAAGAAGCAGGGAGGGAGAGTCCATCTGCCAGCACAAACCTGAGGGCTGAGAGAGGTCTGACACCGTCGTATTTCTCTCAAGAGCCCGTGTCAGAAGCTGTCCAGGCCACCACGTCTCCTAGAGGAAGCCTTGAACCACCACTTGCTGCAAGCATTTTCATCAAAAAGATGAGTTTGAGGCTCCTTAAAGCCCAGGAGCTCAGTCAGCAGCTCGGACCCTGTCTCAGGGCAAGCACAAGCCCTGCAGGTGTCCTCTGTGTGCTTCTCTAAAGAGATAAGAAGTCGGATTTGGGCATTTCTGATCCCAGTGGGTCTGCAGGACGTAGAATTGCTTAGGAGGAGGTAAAAGGAGGCAGCCCAGTGCCTCATTTGGAGGCTATCTGTTGCTCTCCAGCATGAAGCCACATGTGTATTTAAATAGATCCCTCACAACTACAGCATTTTTTACCATACTACTTGCCTTAATAAAAGTTACTTATTCTGGAACACCTCTCAAACCCGGCCTCTATTTTTAGCTCAATGTTTGTTCTACTCATTGGTAAAAAAAAAAAAAAAAGCCTTCTTCCCCTGAAAGATGCCTGGGAACAAAGAAAGACGCTTTGAAGGCTTTTATCTTAATTTTAAGATAATTGCATAAGACAGAAGCAGCCTCTCTAGCTCTTAATGGCTCTGTAGCACATCATCATTTTGCTGTGGTAGAACTGAACTTCTAACAACTACCTCCTTTCTGCAGTTTACAGAAGAAAAGTTGGGCCAGGCTGAGAAGACCGAATTGGATGCCCACTTTGAAAACCTCCTGGCCAGGGCAGACTCGACGAAGAACTGGACAGAGAAGATCTTGCGCCAGACTGAGGTCCTGCTGCAGCCAAACCCCAGTAAGTCCAAACCTCACCGCTTGAAGGACAACCATTGTTCCTATCTCACCGTTAAGTCGTGCCCTCTGGCAGAAAGCCTTGCTGATTGGGGCTGCAAGGAGTGCGTCTTTGTGCCTGTCCTTCATCCCCTCGTGGCTGAAAGGTGACCGCTGCTGCCCCACACAGCTCCCGAGGACAGGGAAGGACAGGGAAGGTGGCCAGAGGGATGGGACGCGTTCTCCCAGTGCTGCTGTTTGCTGCCCAGTACACGACTGAGGACTGCAGGCCACGGTGAAAAGTTCCCCGGGCCCCTCCTTCACCTTCCTCCTGTAACCACCTGTGGTATCTTGGTTCCAGGTGCCAGAGTAGAAGAATTCCTCTACGAGAAACTCGACCGCAAGGTGCCCTCCCGGGTCACCAACGGGGAGCTGCTGGCACAGTACATGACAGAGGCAGCCAACGACTTCGGACCGGGGACACCTTACGGTAAGCCAGCCTGGCTGAGCCCCAAAAATCATCCCCCCAAGAGGGTACCCCCACTGCCCTTCTGGTTAAGACTTCCACGGCAGAGAAGGGCCTAGCACAGGGGCAAACAGACCACCTGGAGGAGGAAGGCAGACTTACTCTGCAGCAAAGCATCCTCCAGCCTTGTGGGGGACAAGGGACAGGGGCTCCCCAGCCCTAATGCAGTCCTCAAGGCTGGCAGAGCAAGAGAGGAAGCAAAGACCCAGGGTAGCCAAAGATCCAGGGGAGCCAGTGGAACTGGTTACAGGATGCAGAAACCATTGTGTTATTGCCATGGCTTTCTAAATTACCCTGAACAATGACTTGCACTGAATGGTTTTAGCTGTGTCAAGTTTGAGAATTACTTTTTTTTTTTTTTTTTTTTTAAATCTGAAGTGGTATCTAGTTGTAGTTTCTCTAGGCTGTGAACAGAACTGACCTTTAAGTGTGGCTTGCAATTAGAAGGGAAAATCATTTCTCCAGCAAGGGAACAAGAAAACAGCTTTGGGAAGGTTGGTGCTTGGTTACAAGCTTCAGAAGGCCCCTTCCTTATCACGCAGTGCATCTTGCTGCTCATAAATCCTAGCAGTTCCCTCTTCCTAGGGGAATTTAGGGCTCCTTTAAGCAGCATACCTGCACAGAAGCACTGCTTGAACTTCCAACTGTCCTTGCTTTTGCCATAAGCTTTGTTGCTGCTCACCAAATCGATTGTTGTTCAATAGTGAATCCTGTTGCAGGCAGAACAGCTGTAACTGCCTCTATAGGCAGCACTGCCCCAGCTGAAGCCTGATCGACTCATTTTTTCTGCTCTGGTGCTTTTCAATTTGCTGCTCTGTTCCTGTGCCTCTGGTTTATGAGACAAAGATCATACTGCCCAAGCAGGTGCAGCAGCAAAAGAACAGCAGTGGAATAAGTGCCTCAGCAGGCAGATAAGATCAAAGCTGCACTGGGAGTGGTTGAGAAGAGGCCAGAAGCTGAAGGCAGGCTGATGGTAGGACTGAAGCTGCTGTGGTACGGGCACGGTCACCTTGTCCAGGCATGGTACACCGTGCCTCCTGCTCCCCAAAACTGGAGCCTGGTAGCACTGGGGGAGTTGGCTTAAGCCAACACAGCGTTAATCGGTTTCTCCTGGAGTTGAAGGCTGCCATCATTGCAGGGAAGACCTTGATAAAAGTTGGAGAGACTCAGAGGCGCTTAGGTGCAGCGGAACGGGACTTCATCCACTCTGCCTCCATCAACTTCCTGACCCCACTGCGCAACTTCCTGGAAGGGGACTGGAGAACCATTTCTGTGAGTATGGTGGCAGGGAAGGGACGCTCATCACCTCACGAGGGAGGAGGAGGGCAGGGGGAAGTGGAGACAGTGCTGGGAGAATGCGTCCTCCCTCCCTGGGAGAAAGGATGAGCCCACATCTCTCCCCTTGGGGAGCACAAGGAAAGGGAAATGCCAGTCCTAGATCTGCTCAGGGCTCCCTCTGGGTTGTTGTCTGATGTGGGTGAGGATGGCACCTCCTTTCCTGACCCCTGCAGCTGAGTGGGCACTGCAAGCCCTCAGGCTCCCCTGTCTCCAGAAAGTTACCCTGTATCCCTCACAGCCATGCCCCAAACTCCTGTTAGCAGGATGAACACAGCAACTGCTTCTTTCTCACAAGCACTTTTTGCTTAGGAGATAGATTTGATTCCCAGATGATCCCTTGGCCCTTTCCCTCCCCAACAGTTCCTAAGCAGGCTTCCTCTTACCCCATTTTCTGTCTCTTCCAGAAAGAACGGAGGATCCTGCAGAACTGCCGCCTGGATCTGGATGCCTGCAAAGCCAGGCTGAAGAAAGCCAAAGCTGCCGAGGCAAAAGCAGCGGTAACTCTTTCCTTCATTCTTTTCTGTCCTTCTGACCCCAGGGTTTGGCTCACACAAGCAATGCCACGAGCTCTCTGGATAAAAATCAGGCTGCCCTACGACCTCCTGGCTCTGGCAGGCATGGGTGGGAGGATTCCTAATCTGGTGTGCAAGGGAAACTGGGAGCAGGAGCCCTGTGCGTGTTCCTCAGATGCCCTCCCATGGGAGAGTTGTTGAAACAAACAGTTCTGAGCTGCCAGAGGCTGGAAACTCACACTTACCACGCTTCTGCCACCTGACTGACAGTGATTCCTGGCTGTTCAGTTACTAGCTGGGTGATTTGTGCCGGTAACGACGAGGCTGTATCCTCTGAGGACTTGCTAAATCTCCCTGGGGATCTGGAAGCAAGCCAAGAGAGAGCTGAGCTGGAAGGTGCACAAGAGGAAAGCACGCTGGGGCGCTGCAGGACTCCTGGGATTTCAGCCTAGTTGTCATTTGGCCAACCAGCTCCTTCCCAGGTGGAAATGCTGGGGGAGCTTGTAAGGGGTGGCGAGGGTCGGGCTGGCCACCAAAAGCCCCTCCTGCAGCCTCCCCATTCACATAGGTGGCAGTGCTGTCGGGTTACCTGCTGCCTCGCCCTCTGCCTTTGGAGGATTCGTGGCTGGCAAATCAGCAAAGCTCCCAGGTCAGTGCAGAAGGGACAGGCAAGTCAAGCAGCGTCCCTGTCCCCAGGCCTGAGCAACGGGGGTGTGGGACAAGCTCTGCAAAGTGCTCTCTAAACTGAGACCTGCCACCTCAGGAACATTCCCCGGGCCAGGTCGGGTCAGACCCACCAAAGGTACCTTCAGGAAGCCCTCCCAGTGGAAGCAGTGACCCTTATTTTATCTTAGGCTTAAAGTCAGAGCAGGAATTCAGGCAGCTTGTGCGCTTCCTCCCTTTCTACCCTCTTCCTCCTCAACTTGCTTCCAACATGAAGCGATCCCAAGGGCTCTCAGCTGCAAACAGACCCTTGGGTGAGGGACTTCGAAGTAGCTAGAAAAGCAAACCCTGGTCTCCCACTGCAACTGCAGTGCTGGAGTGCTCCAGGTAGGACGCAGAGCCAGCCTCAAGGCTTCCAAGCCTTTGAACAGCTCCTTGATATAGATCACCACAAGAGAAAAGCAACCTCAGCTGCTTTTTTTGAGCACCCAGCTTAGCCTGAAGGTGAGGTCCGTGTCATCAGGGTGCCTCACTGACTACCAGGGGACAAGGCAGGAGTGGAAGCTCCCAGCACGGAGGGGTGGGCTGCTGCCTCGGCACCAGACGTGGTAGCTCATGGTTAGCCCACGGTGCTCCTGCAGTGTGCCTGGAGTCCTGCGTCACCTCTCCATCCAAGCTGCCTCTGATATCGCACCTCTCCCAGCTCACCTCTCTCTTGCTGCTCCTCTCCTTTGGGTGCAAACCTGTGTTCCTACAGCTTCTGTCTCCGAGTGTGCTGCTGCCCAGCCCCCTGAGCTGCTGTCCGATTGTCTGGGCTTGTGCATTTCCCTCTGATTTTTGTGCTTTGTCCTTCCTGTTGATGCTGTTTTGTTTACTAACCTTTTTTGTTTTGTTTCTTTGTGATTTGCTCAGTGTGAGGGAGATGTGAGTATTGACTGTGCTAACGGTGCTGTGATTTTCTTTACCACCTCTCATTGTCTCTTCCCCATTTTAAATGAAAATTCCTATCTTATCTTCCCTCCTCCATCAGGACCGGCCCTGCAGCATGTACTGCTCAGGGCCCTGGCTGCCAGGGGAAGCTGCCCTAGAAAAATGGGAGCACTTATCAGCTGCCCACAGCCCCTCTGGAGCATGCACCCAGCTCCATCATCGCTGCTTGCAAGCAGTGCTCGAGGGGCTCACCTAAAAACCCCCTCAGGCTCCTCTGGCCCCAGGCAGGAGGAGGTTGGGCTGGGCGGTGAGTCCCTCCCTGGAGGGGAGGCAGCCTGGAGACAATGACAGGCAGGTGGACCTGGTTGTGGTGCTGTGCTGCCCTTCAGGCTCAGGGCTCTGCCCATTTTCACCATTGGAAGAGGGAGAGGAGGAGGGAGGGAGGGAGGGGTTCTTTGTGCCAACTGCTTGCAAATACAACTTGCCCATGCACAGGAGCGCGAGAGTAGCTTGCCTCCTCCATCCCATGTGCTTTGACTAGTTTTGGGACTCACCGGAGAGCAGGGAACGGGAGGAGAGGTTTCTTAAGTTGCTCGTGATTTAAAACTAACAAATATCACTGTGGAACTCCTCTCCCCACGGGGAGGAGCCAAGCCTAGCCACTGCACTAGCCTCAAATTTCCCTGGTGCATTCCTCTCCCTGCACTCAGGTGTGACTTGTAGCAGGAATCCCTCCTCCTCATTCTGTCCTCCTGCTGTTCCCAAAACTCCCAGAGGGTTTAACCATTTCTTCTGGCTGGGACCACAACGCCTGCACTTCACCCATGGGTCGCTCATTCCAGCAGGCTGCTCGGGGCTGCTGCAGCTCCCAGCAAACCGGGGCAGCTCGTATAAGTAGATCTGGGTGAGCTGCAAGGAGATTAACCCGGGAGAGGAAACGTGGGGCCCGAGAGGCTTAGAGACCTGTCAGGGGTTACAGCGGGGTTGTGCGCCAGCCTCGTGCCCCAACCCACTGCAAAATAAAGGAAGGAGCAAGCGCGCTGTGGCCTGATGTGAGCTCTCAGGTTGGCTGAGCTCTTTGGGGGATGCTACAGCCAGGGGCTGGTCTAGGAAGAGCTGAGAAGCGTTACAGCACAGGGCAGGGGCTTAGCTGTCAAGAAGCTGGCTTGTGGGGGTTTTTTCTGGCCTCTAGGCTGAAAGCTTGCACCCTGCCTTTGGTGGCAGCCAGGCCTTGGGTTAGATCTGCTTTGATGGAGCCGTGCCCTGAGCTGAAAAGAGCAGCTCTGAGCCTGGTAGGGAGAAACGTGCTGAGAGGCTTGGTGAGAGCGAGAACAAGTAGATGGCTCTGTAACAGGCACCGTGCAAAGCGTGCTCTGAAAGTCAGCACACCCAGTTCAAGGACAAGGCCCTGTGCAGGGACATTTTAGGGCTGTAGGTGGGAAGCCAGGGAAAAGAAAGCCCTGCCCGCTGGACTGGGCCAACGTGAGAAGAGCAACCTGCTGGCTGCCAGGCAATGGGGAACATTTGGGATTGTGCTGCCTCATCACTGCTCCAACGGGCTGCTGTAGGAGCAGACAGCTGTAAGTACAGGCAGAGTTTCTGTGAGTAGAAACTCCTGCTGGTAGGTCCCAGGTGTGCCCGCATGAGCCAGTCTCCTCCTCTCGCTCTGTTTCCCACCTGGGGAGAGTTTCCAAGCACCCCTGCCCTGACTGCTGGGAGACTTCCCTCCTGCCACCTGGGAATCTGAGCTAAGTTCCCAGAACCGAGAGGGGAAAAAAAAAAACAAGAGCCCCTCTTACTCCTGTCGACTCCTCTGCGTGACTTGTACATGAAACTCTATTCCCCTACTAGGCTGTGCCTGACTTTCAGGAGACTAGACCTCGTAATTACATTCTCTCCGCCAGCGCATCAGCGGTAAGATTGCTTCCTCCTAGATGTTGCCTCTCCAACCTCTTCCTGCCCCTCTCTGCACCTGACAAACTTTAGCCCCAGCGCTCTGCTGTTTTCAACATTTTAATGTGACATGGGATGCCTGGAGTTCCTCTGCCTCGATGTGAAGTCACCTTTCGAGGGTGCACTGGTAGGATCTGGCAGTTCTGCTGCTTGGGTCGCTTCACTTTCTCTCCCAGTCTGTTCCCACATTTCTAGTGGCGATCTTCTGACAGCATTTCTATTGCTAGAGGAGCAATTGAAAGGACAAAAAACCTCACAGGTTGGTCTTTCTGGATGGTCCCAACCCTATACTGGCAATACCACGTGTTACTGCCTGCTCAGTGCTGTGGCTTCAGTGCTCAGAGGCTTTCTAGCCAGTCAAGAAACGCAAAGGTGGAGGCGTCTGTGCCACCCTGACTACAGGCTTGTCTGTTCTGCAAACAGAGGTCCTTTATTTTGGCTTCCAGTTGGGGCCTGCCCTCCTGCTGGCAGCTCCTGGTGGCTGCCACCCAGGCACGTGCTGGGGGTGGGTGAATAGCCCGTCGCATCTCCGCTGCGTGGTTGTGCTCCAACAATCGACTTGCTGTGCTGTGTTCAGTGGCTCCCCATTGCACAAGGTCGCATTTCTCGTTAAAATGTTGAAAACTCACCATCTCGCTTCCTCGGCAGCGTTCAGAACAACACTGATGCCTGTTCGCAGGGCGATCTGGTACTGGGAGGGCTGGGGAGGGCAAACCAAAACACGTCCCAGCAGCAGGTTGGATGTGGTTAATGGGCAACGCGTCCTAGCATCAGTGTTAGTTCCCAGGGGTACCTGTCCTGACCTTCTTGAGAGTGATGCTGGGATCAGAAATAGCTCTGCACAGAGCAGAGAACTGCCCCACCAGGCGGCTGGCTTCCTCGGGAGGAAGCTGGTGCTGAAATGCTGCAGCAAGCGCTTGCTCCCAGCTCTCCCTAGCACGCGAGGAGCAGCCAGGGGCTTCTCTGCTGGAAGGGTTTGTGCCAAGGACAGCGCAGGAATTTAGTAACGGACTAAAACCTGAGCCCTGGGAGAATCAGAGGAGAGAAACTGCACTCTCCTCCTGGCCTCCCAATAACTCTGACTGGACCAGAGTATCCTGACTGCCCCCTGAAGGTCTCCAAAGCAGACCTGAAGGCATTTTCGTATCGTGTACTGGCACCTTGAAGGGTGCCCAGATGCTCAGCTGAACACATCTAGTCCTCACCTAGCTGCAAGCCGGCCAAGTGCAGTAACGCGACTGGGGAAGCAGATTTGAGCTCTCGCTAGCCCACAGGTACCTGGCACATCCGTGCCTGCTTCACTGCTCCCTCTTCAGAGCTCTGCTGGGGAGGCTCTGACAGCCAGGATGACACCACGGGACACAGAGCCAGGCTGCAGGAGACACCAGCTCAGGGTAAGCAGCCAGCCCTGACCTCAGATCCCATTTGCCAGCTGCACAGGAGCACCTGTAGCAAGCACTGCCCCTGCCAGCAGTGCCCTCGGGGCTCCCAAAACACCTCTGAGAGGTTGCAGCTGGTGTCTCTGACTCACAGAACAAGGGCTAAGCCCGGGCTGCTCCCCAGCTCAGCCCTGCAGCAGCCCTCTAATCCCAGCATTCATCCCAAGGGGTCAGGCGCCGCAGCGAGCTGGGAGCATCTCGTGCTGTTGCTGTGCTTCTCCTCCAGGCCAGAGGCTTTCGTGCCACTTCACTGCCAGCAGGCAGGCTGCAGAGCAGCTGCTGCTCACCTCGCTTTTCAGCTGGTCTCTTCTGGGGCAGGGCTTGCTTGTGGCCGGGTAACAGCTTGCTCTTGCAGGGGAGCAAACAGGTCAGCTCTTTCCTGGGCCATAGATCCTCAGCAGGGCCTGAGGAACTCTGATCGTGGTTTTAAACTCACATTGTTGTTTCGGAGAGGTGGGTAACACGGTGCTTCTATTTTTCCCCTTCTGTAATGGGGCTGGAATTAGAAACAGCCGGAGCCAAGCCCCTGGGCTCAGCCTGCTTTTGTATAAGATGGAAGCTGAGGAGCTTTCTCCTCTCTCCCACACTGACCTTTTGTTTGTGTGTAAGGCAGCCGTGGGCTGTGTCGGCCTCCATCTCCCTTCCCCTCAAAGCCTGCCACTTGCCACGCTCTGCCTTCCCAGGAACGACTCCGAGAAAAACATACTGAGTACCTGCCAGAGGGTTCCTCTGGCTCCAGCTGGGCTTTCTTTTGCCCCCTTCGTGGTCTGAAGTGTTTCTGACTAAAGCTGCGTGGTGCCTTCGCCCAAGGCCAGACCTGGGCAAAGCTGGACCCCCGAGCACCCCAGGGTCACAGCTGGGGAAGGGGACTGGCTGCCCAAACCCTGCCCGAACGGGGAAAATGGGGAAGAGGAGCCGGCTGGGTACTCACCAGGCAGGAGCCGAGCCTCAGACCGGGCAGCAGAAGCTAGAAAGGGACCAACACCCCCAGCAGCTCCTTATATCAGCTGCTGAGGCACCACACCTGGGGCCCAACCAGCCCCAAAACACCACGACACCCAGCACCTGGCCCAGAAAACGGCTCCCAGGTGCTTTTGGGGCAGGTTGAGCCGTGCTGCCTGGCTGCCGAGGACCTCTGGGCAGGCCCAATGTGTTTTTCTACCTCTCCCCTCCCTTCCCCAGTGCTGTGCATGACCCCATCACTCGTTTCGTGTCCCGGAGCCAGATCCCAGCAAGCAGCTGGCGGGGACCGTGCTGCCCCAAAACGTGCCCTGGGGGGGTGCTGAGGGAAGAGGGGAGGCCTGGGGGGGAGCAGGAGGAGGGTGGGGAGGAGAAGGAGCCGCTTTTTGCCTGGCTCAAAGGCAGCACCCAGCCATGGCTGGCTGGCTGCAGGCTGCCTGGATTACGGTCCCATTACCCTGAGCTCTTTGAACCGGTGGGTGAGGAACTCTGCTTTAGGCTCCCAGCAGCTCCCAGGACTTTATTTGTGAGCTGAGCAGCCTTCCTCCCCGCTGTGAAACTGAGCTCAAAGGTGCAGGACCGAGGCCGAGGGGCAGCAGCCCGGCCGCTGCTGCTGGGTGAAGGGCGAGCTCGTCCCCGGAGCCGGCCCGTGGTGCGTCCTCACCGCTCGGTGTTAACGCCCGGTGCTTCTCGACGTCTCCAACACTGATCTCCTTTCCTGTTGCTCTGTGGCCCCCACAGCTTTGGAGCGACGAGGTGGAAAAAGTAAGTACCCGGCCGCGACCGCGCTCGAAGCTCTGCGGGTGGCGGGGAGCTGCCGGCTCCGTCCCTCCCCGGTGCGCCCACACGAGGGAAAGGGGCACGAGTGCTGCCAGCCCCGGCACCCTGCTGTAGCTGCGTGGTTTCATGTGATGCTGACAGCAATTTGGGAAGGGGAACCCCAGCCCCATGGGCCAGTCGGCCACACCGAGCATCCCGGGCAAACTGGGAGCGTGGGACGGGATGGGGGCAGCGCTGGGAGCCCGGCCCTGGTGCCTGGGAGCAGAGGTGATGTGCTGCCACGTGGCTCAGCTCTGCTCCACCTCTGCATGTGCCTCGTGGTGGCTTCTGGCAGCCCCTTAGTGCTCCATCTGGGGTCTGAGCAGAGCTGGAGCAAGGACTGAGGGGCCTCATGAACAGCCCCCGCTGATGGGAGGCTTGGAGCCTGTCGTGGAGCCCACTCTTAACCCTCCTGAGTGGGTCAAGCCCCAGGTCCTGCTCCTTTCCTGGGCTCCCCGAGGGGTGCTGACTCCTCCAGAAAGTTGCTGGGGGGGCTGCCAGCGGGCTAGGGAGCAGGGTGAGCGCTGCGGGGGGCTCCCAGAGGCACCTTTTGGGATCCCGGTGCCTTTCTTAGCGCAGATCCCCCCAGCCTGAGCTGCGAGGTGGGAGTTTGGCACGCTGCTGCATGCTGTGCATGATGGCATCCCACTGCTGCCCCGCTGCGCGCATCGGCAGGGCAGCCTGCCTGCTTTTACCTATGCAGCCCCTCGAATGAAGTGACTGCGGGCAGCTGGAGGCGTGCAAGGCTCTGTGCCTCCAGTCCTGGTTGGAGAGACCCCGGCGTTGCTGCTGGTGGCCACAAGTTTCAGGCAGCTCTGCTGCTGCTGAGGGCTCTGCTCAGCGGAGCAAAACCCTTGGTGTTCCATAGGGCATTGCACTGCCAGTTCCTGCTATCTCCCCCTCTTCTCCTTTAAATAATCCCTTTTATTCAGGGGATGCAAAGAAACAGATCAGTTGTAGCTTAAAATAGATAAATCTGATTAAAGGCCAGTGGAAGCATCTCCTTGGTGTAGCCGGTGCGTACCCCAGTGCTGGTACACACTCCCCGTGCCCAGGAGCCCCCGGGGACGCTGCTCAGACACAGCAGCAACCTCACCCCGTGTCATCAGCCCCCTGGGGACAATTTTAGCCGTGTCCCTCCTGTGCCAGCCTGCTGGCACCGGCACATCAGGCAGCTCGGGTGCTGGGGGAGCTCGGTGAGCTGCAGGTTCTCCAACCCCACTGATCCTGTGATGCAGCCGGGCTATCCGGTACTGCAAAATTGCCACTGGAAAGCTGCTGGTTGCTGCTGGGGGAGGAGATGTCTGCCTGGGGAAAAGGTTTTTGGGTGTCAGTCTGCCTGGAGGGGGGCAGGGCAGCAGCCCCTCTTCTTGGGACAAACTGCAGGAGGCTGCCACGTCCCCAGGGCCTGCGTGGAAAGGAGAGGAGCTCTTGTTCCCAGAGCTCCACCACTGCGTTTCGGAGCAGTCTGGGACACGCTGGCAGCGGGAACGGTCCTGCTGCCGGTGCCACCCCAGCAGGGCACAGCCACGGTGTGCAGCTCCGGCTGCCTGGTTCCTGGAGTCCTCCCCCAGGCAGTAGGACAAGGGGGTAGCACGGGCCTGGCTTCCTGCCCCTCTCAGGACTAACAAAACCTCTCCAGCTTCACGGTCGAGTCTTGCAGGAGCAGGAGCATGCTGGCTTGAAGCATCAGGCTCGGGCTGCCCTTCCCTGAGCTGCAGCGAGCACTGTAGGATTTAATCTGGTTTAAACACAGCCAGAGCCCTCCGGGAGCCCAGCCCAGGGGGTCCCGTGCCTGCTGCTCAGTGTCAGAGGTGCATGGGGAGCCCACCGAGCACCCTCATCTCGGTGCCAGAAGGGAGGGGGGTGAAGGAGGAGGAGGAGGAGGAGGAGGGTGTTCCTCTGCCTGGAAAAGGCAGAAGAGGGGCCCGTGCCGTGGCTGCCTTGCACACCCGGTCTTGTTTTGCAGGCAGAACACGAGCTGAGGCTCACTCAGACCGAGTTCGACCGCCAGGCAGAGGTGACCCGGCTCCTGCTGGAGGGGATCAGCAGCACCCACGTGAGTCTGCCGGGGGCCCTGGGGAGGGGGCTGAGGGGCACCTTGGGGCCCTGCAGCAATTCCAAACTCGGTGAATGAGCCCACCCCACCCCGCTCAGCCATGTCTTAAATCCTGGGCTGTGCTCCTCTGCTCCCCTTGGGGCAGGAGCTGCAGGACCAGGGTTCTGTGCTCCGGCCCCCAAACTCACTCACGCTCCCTCCCACCCAGGTGAATCACCTCCGCTGCCTCCATGAGTTCGTGGAGTCCCAGACCAACTACTACGCCCAGTGCTACCAGTACATGCTGGACCTGCAGAAGCAGCTGGGCAGGTGAGACTGGAGGCTGCTTCCACCTCCCCAGGGGTCACGGGCTTCCTAGTTCAGCCTCCCTCCTCTTGGAGAGAAGCTTCCACAAAATGGGTTAAGCCGCACTGGAGACAAATTCCTGATACCAAGCGAGGGGCCCGAGGGGTTCAGCCAGCAGTAACCGAGCTGGAGCTGCCGGCTGCACGTCCTGGCTGCGGGTAGGGCTGCCCTGCTGCCACGGCACGGTGGGGCTGACCCCAGAGGGGCCTCTGCGTGCTAACTCACCGCTCCTGTTTCGTTCTTTTCCATGCTTGCAGCTCCAAAGGAGAAATGTAAGTATAACGTCCAGCTCTAAGAGCTCTACGCCTCAGCCAAACTGCATGCAGGCTTGCTACGATGCCCAGAGCTACACTCCCCTAGCACAGGGGCAGACAACCACAGATAAATACGACCTAGCTGCATTGCTGGCTCTATCTGGAGAGCACAGAAAGCCGGGGAGCCCCCAGTTGTGGTATCTAGCTTAACAGCAACAACGAGCATCCCAGTCCTGAAGAACAAGCAGGCTGAACACCACGTGAGAGCAGGGTGAGGGTACGGCAGTGCAGAGCCTGAAGTGACACCTGCCCAGCCCCCTGGTGCCACCCGACAGTCTCATCCTCTCCACACGTTAGGTAGCAGTCCTGTACCAGGGAGCTGGAAGAAAAGTAAGCAGAGAAATACCTGCTGGGCAGGCTCAGCACCTGAGCATATTTCCCCACTTGAAGGGCAGCGTGGATATGTTACAGTGCTGGGACACTGCAGCAGCAATGCTGAAGGGAAGAGCTGTCCGGGTTCCTCACGCTGGAGCCTAACTGAACTCTTTTTCCTCCTGTGTAAGATTTTCAGGCACCTTCGTAGGGAACGCAGAATCCTCATCTCCTCCCCCAGCTGCTACCTCTCCGCCAGCTGTCGGTGCTGCCACTCTCCCTGCCGTGCCCACCATCCCGGTTGTGCCCACAATTGTCGGGGTGCCCAACACCGTGGCAGAGAGCGTACTGAACCCCAATGAAGTCAAGCCTCCTGCCAGCGGCACGCGGAAGGCCAGAGTCCTGTATGATTACGAAGCAGCTGACAGCAGTGAGCTGGCACTCCTTGCAGACGAGGTTGGTGGTTTTTCTTTGCATCGAATGTTGTTGTTAAGTGCCCAGCAGCAGCCTCTTGGTTACTCTGCCTGACCCTAAAAGCCCCGTTTTATGGAACTGATAACAGAATCTTTTCCTTACCCGTAGTATCCTTTGCAGTGAGTTTGCACTCAGGGCCATGTCCTGTTTAAGACTTGTACAGCCTGTTGTACCCAGCTAACAAAACACCCCGTTTGGTATCTTCACTGAGACCCTCACACCCAGCTAGTTTATGGGATAAGCTACTGCCTGGAGACCTGGTCTAATCCTGCTGAGAACGAAGGAAATTCAGCAAGCTGCAAACTGTTTTAGTGACCAGCCTGAATTTTTGTGTCCAGAAAGGATGGTGACATAGCAATATCAAGCCACCCGGTATGCAAAAATACTTTTAAGTCAATTTGGAGAATGAAAAGGCAGCAGGGACATCGATGGGCAATAGATCTTCTGTTAGAGCTGCAAATAGTTCCAGGAAGGCTCCAGGGGAAAAGTGCAGATGCCTGCTAAATAAACTTTAGGAATTAACTTGCTGTTCTTTTGGGTACACATCTGACTGCACTTCTTGGCTCTGCGTGCAGAAGCAGGTCCTGTTTCATGCTGTCTTCTCTCCACAGATGATCACTGTGTACAGCCTGCCAGGCATGGACCCAGACTGGCTCATAGGGGAAAGAGGGAACCAGAAGGGGAAAGTTCCTGTCACTTACTTGGAACTGTTAAGTTAAATGTCTCCGGGACGCAGAATGTACACGCGGAATGCACCCCTCATCTCCTGGCACTTCTAATGCGGATTTCTTCATCAGAGCCCATTGCTCTCGTCAGGGCTGACACTCCATTGCTAACATGGGAATTGCGGGAAAGAAGTGGTAAAACTATGACAGGTTTTGGGAAAGGGCTAACGGCACCCGCGACTGAATTCATTAACGACCAGTGCAGCCTGCTTTGAGGTTAGTCTTGTTGGCGCAAGATTCCTTGATTACTTTTTCTACCCTGCCCTAGTCTTGTTTATCACAGTGGCTTTCCCAGGGCCAGCAAACTGTCTCCTTCAGCAGCTGCTCATGGAGTTTAAGTTAATTTCCCTTGTGTTTGGTGTGGGTTAGTGCCTGTCTGCCCCTCCCATCCTCTCTGTTCTTCAGCAGTAGAATTGCCTGAGTCAAACCATCAAGCACTCCGCTGGGGAAGCGTCCCGCACGATCCCTCTGAGATAGTCTGGCTCTTAAGGCAAAAAGCTGAATTTAAGAATTAAGAGCTGGTTAAACCCAGCTGGGATGCCAGTAACGCGAGGCTTTCTAGGAGCCATGCTTACTGCAGCACTGCCTGACGGCTTCCATCTAGAACTGTCCTGTGAAGCTGGAAGGAAATCCCTCAGTCGAGACCAACCTAATAACACAGAGCCTGTATGTCAAAAAATGAAACCTCAGTACAAGGGACCATGCATCTTGCTTGCATTTCCTCCGAGAAACTGCTCTTGGACTGCAAAGAGTTTACAAGCCTTTTTACAAGCTTTGCTCCCTGTGTTAATTGTCCAGGCTTTTCTTTCAGTGCATCTGTTCCAGGCATGTTTTAGCCTGACCTTATTTTCACCCGAGATCACTGATTTAACTAATACCTTCCCCTCCCGTCTCCGCAGTGAACAGACTTGGTGCATCGCAGTACAGGAAGGAGTAGCCCCACTTGCTGTTATCTCCAACGAGCCACATCCACATCTAAACAATTCAGGCTGCCCTTGGTGTGTGTGGTGGGGTAGCTCGAAGGGAGCGGTCAGGCGTGTATGCATTTTAATCCTATGATGCTCTTTTTAGCTAGAGCTCCACTAAGGGACTGCTGTTGCTGTGTAAGTAGTTTCCCACTCAAGCTGGCTCGAAGAGAAACTCACCGGCACCAGGTTCTCTGTTCACTCCCTCCCCTTCGGTATGTCAGAACTACCCTTGCTTGTTTATTGATCTTTTTGCACTTTCCCCCACTGGTATTGTGACCACTCTAATGTAACAGGGCACTGAGCGCCTGTGTATGTAGGGCTCATGGTTTTCTGCACTTATTTGCCAATAAACAAACTGCCTGACCTCCTGCCTCCGGTGTCTGGTGTGGGGTCGGGGCTGCTTCAGCCGTGTGACTGCAGCTCGTAGGGACAAGCAGCGCTGTGCCAGGGGCAGAGGGATGCAGGGCGGGTGGGAGCTGTGCCACGCTGTGATCCCAGCCCTGGAAGCTGGGTGTAAAAGCAAAGCCAAGCTCCTGATCCTTCCTGAAACTCTCAACGTGCCGTAAGCTTGTTAATGTCTTTCACTCCCTTGCCGGATGACACATCCGAGTTGTACTACAGATTCGTGAGTTTTAAGAAACAACAGCTCCTCCTTAACCTGAAGCAAAAACAGAGCAGCAGCACCACTTTAGCTGCTGGGAGACTGCAAGCACGATTCTAACTCTACCAGCCCTTTTTGTTGTTATGGAAACCAGATCGGCTGCTAATTTAAAATCCTAAAGCCTTGTCCCTAGCACCCAGCTTGGAAAGGAGGCATGGAAGGAACTCCTGGGAAAAGAAGCTGTTAAAATGCTCTGCAATGTAGCGATAGCTCTGGTTTTTACTACTAACAATCTCAAATGGAGTTCATAGAGAATCAACCTCTGCTGCCATTTCAGGGAGCTTTACAATAGCAATTACAGTTTCTGTAGATCTTGCACCTGCCCCTTCCCCTCCTACTGTGCGTACCTCTCCCCCAGTACGGTGGCATCCATCCCTGTTACCCCTCTCCCTTTTACATTACAGAAATAACAGCTTTAGCACAACCAGCAGCGGCGCTTAATGATGCAGAAAATGTTGTCTCTTCCCTCAGAACAGCCAGGAAGCCTGCCCAGCATCAGCAGCTCCTTTCCTTCAGCGGCAGAGAAAGCAAAGGAAATCCAGTGCTGCTCCTAACGGGTTTGGCTCTCTGATAAAGGCTACGCTCCTGTGCTGCTTACAGGCAGGTGCACGCTCTGCTTAATGCCATTCCCTGCCCCGTTGTGCACGATCAGAGCACTGCCACAGCACGTCCCTCCCTGTCAAAGCAGCTCACCTGAGTTTTGGGGAGGTAATCAAGCCCCTCTCCCTTCTAAGACCACTTTACTCCAGCCAGTTAGTTCAAATCTCTCCAAAGCCTCCAGGGCAAGTAAAACTAGATCAAACAAGTGCGACAGAATTTCACTATCACTTAAAAGCTTACAAGGAAACTAGAACAACCCTCAAAGCAGCATCATCCAATTTCCTCACTCTGGTCTCTTAAAACCAACAAAATTAAAAAGGTTCTGACTGGTGAAGCAATCAAGGGTCCCTTTAGGAAAGAACTGGTAGATCAGTAGCTCACAGCTACATTCAAATTTAATTTCTTACCTCAGAAAAGTCTGTCTAAATTTCAGGCTTTATTTTAAGCAGCAGTCACTGACCTTCTCGTCCGGCCTCCATCCCGTGCTGAGCCTTGGAACCTTCAGGAGTTTGAGGGAGAGACGAGAACACGACAGAACTTCGCTGTAAACACCTCCAAGGCTTTCTTCCAGCTGGAACCTGCAGCCTCCCCAGCTGCTGCAACAGATGTCAGCCCCTTGGAGCTACACAGAGCAACCTGTGCTCATGGCCCACACCGCGTGCAGCAGCATCAGGCCTGAGGAGTAGTGGTGCTTGTTTAAAACCTCCTGTGAGCTCCCCAACGGGAGAGTAAAGAAGGAGCGGGTGTGGGAAAGCCAAAGGAATCAACCTCGGATTATAAACTCTTCAAATGGTGCCTGGATTGTCACTCACCAGACACAACTCACCGCTGTCAGCAGCTGGTGCTTGACTGATGCAGAACTACTACGCAGAAGAGGCAGAGACCGGTGCTGCAGGCTGTGACAGCAGGTACAAAACCACAAATCCAGCTGCTGTCTATAAAGGTTTTAATATCAGTATAAATAGGGAACAGTTACAAAAAATTGCAAGACTGGAGCAATGGAATTTTGACTTAAAAACCTTGAGTGAGGCCTTGCTCTTCAGAAACACACACAACACACAGACTGCAGGGTGGAGGGGAGGCGTGAGCACACATACACCATCTTGCCTTGAACCATTCAGTACAAAAATAGGAGTAGAAAGATGGTCTCTGAATTGCTGGCTGATCCCTAGGTTGTGCCTTAACTGGACTCTGACTGTGAGGGAGAGGCAGATTGCACCTTGTGTTACGAGCAGAGTTAATGCCCAGAGGGAAGTCTGTCCCCTCTCTCCATCCAGCCACAGCTGCCCCAGCTGGGAGGTACAAGCTATAAAAATAAAGGTTTTGACTCTTCAGCACTTGCACCTGGGCCAGGACTGCTCCAGCAGGTGGAGCGTGGGCTGCTGAGTGAGGAGCCCCTCTCAGCTCTCCTTACATTCACTCTGCTTCTGCACCGCAAGAGTTCAACGGGATCTGGCTGCTGCTGTCACAGCTCGGTTCACAACGCTGCCCGGACCAGGCCTCCCTCCCGCCCCAGTCCTCGTTACAAGCTCTGCCAACGGTGATGCCTTCTGTGGTGGACATGAATCGTTCTGGCGCAAGTCCTGCAAAGGGAGGCAGGCGGCAGGATCCAATCTATCTCTGCACGTGCCGGACAAAGGCCTGCACGAGCTGAAACAAAGGCTCCTGCCCCTCAGGCCCCAGCTTGGAGGCAGACTTTCCCTGGGGAGAGGGAAGGACCCCGCTGGCAGGTGAAGAGGGACCACCACGGCGGAAGTAACGAGACAGGCTGGAGAGCAGGGTACTCTGAAATCAGAAGCACGTAACCAGTTAGGTTCTTCCAAGCACGCAGCCCTCTCCCTCCCCAAACAAGGTGGCACAGGACCAGCCACCACCGTGTGCAGCCTCGGATACCTAAGGCTGTGAGCTCACGCAGGGGAATGGCTGTCCTGGGCAGCCAAGGACAAACGACCTCTTCCCACAAGACAACTCAGAGCGAACAGTGAGAAGGGACGGTACAAACTGCTCACCAGCTCAGAGCTGAGCTCCTGTTTCATTCGCTGCTTATCGCGGGGATGCACAGCCGGGTCTCTCAAGTACCGCACGGCCTGGGAGATGAGCAGGTAGAAACAGTTTTCCATTGTAAACATAAGCAGAGACCTGTGCAAGGAAACGCAGATCAGCAGGAGCCAAACATTCTAGGTTCAAGGTCACACGCCCTTAGAAAGGCTTCACCCGCAGAGTACATAAGACAGAACGCTGCTGCAGCTCAGATTTTGCTCAAGCAGTGATAGCCAAAAAACCACGACACCTACAGAGTACAAATCCCCAGTGACCAACAGGAAACTCTTGCCTTAAATTTTCTGATAAAAAAAGCTTTAAACAACTCTTCACCTGCATCTTCAGTGGCAGACTTAAAATGGGATGGCTTCACACAGCCTCCCCAGAACATCCCTCCTTGCTTGTTTGGACAGTCTCTGATGGGCTCCCTGAACTCCTTTGACTCAGAATGAGAAGCTCTGAAGATACACTAACACATCCAAATCTCAGTTCTGATCTGAGGAACACTGGGTTCTGCTCCTCAGCCATGACTAAATAAAAGGGTTAGAAAACTTACTTGAGGGTTTTGGTTCCCTCTTGCATATTCAGCCCTGCAGCTTGAGGGAAAGGTTCCTTCTTCTTATCCAGCTGCGGGGAAAAAAACAACATTAGAGACAGCAGATAGAAGGGAATAAATACTCCCATTCTTCAAAATATTAGTTGAAAAGTTCTCTGAGGTTACTGCAACAGCTGTGCTTTCCCAAACAGAAATGCCAGTACCTCTCCCAGCATGTTCAGGGCCACGTTGACCGTGGCAAGGAGGGTCCCAAAGGAAGGTGCCACATCTGAATCAAAAGCAGGTGTGGTGAAACTCAAAACAAAGAGCACGTTGAACTCAGCAAGGTCCAGTGACTGTGGAGAAAAGGAAAGAGGAGTGAATGACCCTTGAGGCCACGAGTATGCTACCGTCATGGTAACAGCAGTATTTAGTCCCTGTATCATACTTTTTGTATGAAGAACTCTAAGCACTGAGGTCACTTCCCAAATCTCAAGTGTGCAGCCAGAAGAGCAAAGAGTGCTCTGCAGAGTACTGCACACGCAGACCGTACAGCTCTGCTCGCATGCATGAGCAGAGCCACACAGCTCCCAAACTGTGTAGCTGTGTAGTCTGCCACTCTGTGGCAAGCTGAAGTAATGACTGCAGGTAAACGTAACCTGCAGGCAGCACAAGGAAAAGGAAGTAACTATCCAGAAGAAAGCAGCAGGACACTGCCAGATTCAAGGATCACACCTTGCTTGTCTGCACTTGGAGACCAGCCACTAGGTCACACCTACACAGGAGAACAAGAGGTGAAATTCTCCAAAGACTGACAGGCTGAGCACACAAACCCAGCTGGGTTACTGGGCTTTTTTTTCAGACCAGTGCCTGATAACTAAGGGGAATTCCTTGCGCCCCGCTTTCCTGCTTTGTGCAGCAGGACAGCAGACAGATGTAGAGTGAGGTCACTGTCTCAAGCAGGACAGGCTGTGCCTCACTTCACGGACCCAAAATGTCACTTGGGATGCTGGAAGCTTCCCCACCCAGGTAGCAGCATCTCTCCTCTTCCCCTACCTGATCAAGGAGTATCTGGCAGACGTCGGGGGTGAAATGGCGCAGGGCAGCAAGAGATTTGCTGAGGATCTTTAAGAGGCTGTACTGCACCATGAGCAGTGCCTTCTGCTCTGCTGCCTCTGACTCAGGGCTGGGATGTTTGGAAGAGGCTTGGGGATTACGCTGCACTCGTGGAGTCACACTCGATGGAAGGGAGTCACCATTTTTCGTCTGCAGAGAAAGAAAAAACTGTCTTGGACACAGGCGTGATTGTTTTGCACTAAGGCTGATGCTTTCAGGGAAATAAATGCAACAAACAAAAGCAATGAGGAAATAAGGTACCCAAATTCTATCACCTTCTAGAAGTATGAGAATCTGCACTTAATGTGCATCAGGGGAAGCATTGAATTCTAGGGAAGCTGCTGCAGAGGCTGTTCAGATCTCACATTCTGGGAAAAGAACCCCTAATCATTGCACGCCAAGCCTTAGCCGTGCTGAAACAGCACAGCAGTAGCAATCCATTACCTCCACCTCATATTCAACAAAGGATTCTCCAAGAAAAGAGCTCTATCTCTTAACCAAATTAAACCACATCAAGGACACCACATCAGTAGCGTCTTAATTAATGGCCCTACCGAACACTACAGCAATGCAGCTTTCCTGCTGCATTAGGCAGCTCTAAAACTGATAACAGCACCACTCAGGCACTGGCTGCTGTTTCTTAAGGACTGGATTTACACAATACAGAGTTTGTGAAGTCTTAATTTGAAGGTATTTTTTTTTCTATGTAAAGATGAAAATCCTAGCTATTGACAATTGTTAGTAATCACTGCTGGGAAGAGAGCCTGGATATTGAATAATATTTGCCATTTAAGAGGGAGCATAGGTGCACAACACTCCTAACTTGGTTTAGGATCCCCATCTCACCTGTAGGTAATGCTGGAGCATCTTGCGGCTGTGCAGGAGGGAGGTACAGGCCTGACACAGGTAACACAGATTCACCTGAAATAAATAAGAGGAAGAAACTTCGTAAAAGATCAAATCCCATCCTTTTATTGCCATTGGTGGAAGCCAGAAAAGCCCAGTTAAACAGAACAGTGTGACCGTAAAAAATCATGTGCTTTCTAGATTTCCCAGTATTTTCTCTGAGTCACCACTGGGAAATGGGAGTCAGACATGGAATTCCCCAGGTCACTTTTCCAAGCTACCATCTCTCTGTCCCCAACACACCTTTCCTTACTCGATTCAGGACAAGGCAGAATCACGTTACAGAACAGACATTTAAATGACCTCAGTGATAATTCCTACTAAAAGAGCATAATAAAAAGGCAGTGAAGTGCCACTTTCTCTTACCGCATCCAACTTCCTGCACTCCAACACAATTATTATCTACAGCAGTACCCTGACCCCTACCTGCATGTCCCTCATAAGCTGCGGCAGGTGGAAATGCCACTCCTTTGTGAAATTTGAGAGCTGGAGAATGAAGCCAACAGTGTGATCAGCCTCTTCTAGACAGGCCAAACTCTGTACTGTCCGTACTGCGTTCAGGCACTGGAAAGGACAGAGAAATACATCAGAACAGTGTCAGCTAATGCAGGGAGTCCAGTCCATTCCCTTCTCTAGAAGGAAAAGCTGAAGGTCCAGAGATCTGCCCTTAAGAACAGAGAATGCTTTCACAAAAGTAGTCACGCAGCATATGGGTCAGAGACTCAGAGCACTTCATATTCTTATCCAAAGGTCAATGCATTCCAAAACTGTGCTGCCATATGAGAAGACCGTTATCTGTCTGGGGAGCCTGCTTCTGAACAGGGAACTCACCACCTGTGTACAAACAGCACCTGACACAACCCACCCAGTGCAGCTATTTCAGTACTGCAGGACACAAGAGCTTGCCAGCCTGAATGACAACTGAACTCTGACTGCTGCATCTTCCTTACTTGAGCAAGGCTCTCACTCTCTTCTTTTCAGAGCAGAGAGTCACAAAGTGAGTTCCCATCAAACCTTCAATTCTGCTGCTGTGTTGTGTGGGTATATTCAGCACCTGTAGCAAAGTTATAACACCCCCAAGCATGAACAGCACCAACAGATGGTGACTGCCCGGCTCTAACACCACCACAACAACCACCCCTCGCCTCACTGTATGGCTTGTCGGCTTTCTGCCTTCTCCCACTATTTAATTCTACCGTAAATCTTTCTGAGACACGAGCGATGTCTTTTCAGTGCTTCTACAGTTTCTGACACGTTTCCACTGCTATTTCAACAGAGAAGCCAAGCGAGCCATCACAGAGGAAGTACATGACATACCTGAAGGATCCTCTCCTGATGGACACCAACAAAGTCCATTGCTTCCGTCAGGAAGTTGTATCTCAGCGTCTTAAGAAGGCGCTCCATCAGGGACATGGAGAGACGATACACACCAGGCCAGGAGGGAGCATCCAAAGACTTCCGAGATGAAGCAGATGTCTGAAGAAAACAGATGTAAGAACAAATGACCTATTTACACTGCTGTCCAGCATGACACATGCCACAGCCCCTTCCCTTCATTATGGAAGCCTCCACGTTCTAGGGGAGCTGCTGTCCTCCCACACCCCAAGGGCTCCTCTCCAGCCACAGCCTGCAAGGTAGAGCAGAGCAAGCTCTCCTGGCACATTCCCACAAGCTCTCCTGGCACATTCCCACTCAGAAGCACCCACCTGAATGGCCCCATTACTGCTGAGCTGGTACACGCTCAGGAGGGGCAGGCAGACACTCTGTGTGACACCAGCTCCAGCCACTGCTGCTGCTCCCTGCAAGGCACAGAACAAACCACCATTAAGATCTGTATGCATCTCCCCTATGAAGAAAGAGGCTTCTTCTGCATTACGTATTTCTGCCCTTTGCACTGCCACCACCCTTTTAGAAAGCCTTCATCACACATGTCTATATTGTTAAAAATTCAGTATCGTGAAAAGCAACACTGTTCTTCCAGTAAAATCTGATCTGCATAACTCTACTATGAACTCTTTCTGTATCATCTGATTTGGTAAATACCTAATCTTTGAAAAGAGCTGGCTACGGAATTATCTTGCTTTCACCTTAAGTCCAACAAAAAGTTGATTTTGTAGTAGAAAAATAACATTTTATTGCAACTAACGAGAAACTAGGTTCCAACGTTTAATACTGCTTTAAATAGCTGGGATAATTTGCATTGCAAAAGAACATGTTGAGTGAAAGTGCCTGCTCTAAATTACAGGTCTGCTCTGGCTGGCTCAGCTCGTCCATCCTCGACATATCACTATCTAGAACAAGGCAAACTAAGCAGGCATACAAACAGGACCTACTGCTTTCTAGTCTCTAAAAATCCCTTTAACTATAGAACACTGTTCAGCTGCAACGCAGACAGAATAACAAGATATATGGCTGCAATTAAGATGTATAGCTCTGTGCTTTCATTTCTCAGCATATCTCACCTGTTGCGTCCTTGCTAAAGTCAGCAGTAAATGTAATGAGGCCTCTGTGAAGTGAAGGTTTTGCTTAACTCTCAGACTGATCTCCAAAGTAGCAAAAATTGTAGGAAGTACAGGGACCTTTCCTAGTAATCTGTAGCCAGTAGTCTCCATCTTCATCAACTTCACAGAGCTCTTTTGCCAGATGCAGACCCAAAACACATACCTGGAAAGGAGAGCAAGATAGAGGCTTGACATGTATACCAAGACAGAAATATATTTGAAAGCATTTCACAAGATGATCTAAAGCTCAATCATTCTCAGAATTGTAAATTAAGGCACCCGGTGTCCCTTATACTCTGCAAAATTCCTCGCTCTAATAGCAGTTGTGACAATGATCCTTAGGGCAGATCTGAAGGAAAGGCAGCAACAGTCAATTTCCCAGACTGACATGTGCCAAAAAGCCATGGAGTAATTCTTAGGTAGAAACTGCCAAAGCTTCCTTTTTGGAGGCAGCAGGCTGCGAGGGAAAGTTGTTCCAAATATACACAAAACTTTTATTTAGAGAAAGACACTGCAAATCAGGTAAACAGGTCTTTTACCCCATCTCGCTGGTCCTTGTGTTTAACCCGGGAGACATCATCTGTTTCCATGCTGTCCTTGTCATCTGCAGCATCTCCCAGGGTGAGGCTGTGCCGAGTCTGATCAAAGAGGGCAATGACCTCGTCTTGGAGTGTTTCACACACACTGAGCACCAGCTGGGAGTACTGTGGGATCTCATTCACTGTGACATTCACAGGAGAGACAACAGTTAACACTGCAATTCTTGTACTTCGGTTTCCAGTTTAACTGATAACATCATCAGTACACCTTCCTTGAAGGCAGTATTTACTATTTTCATTTCAAAACCTACAAAGCAGATTGCCAGGAACTGTAACTAGGTTAGACGATTAAACCTAGGAGGATACAGTCAGTGATAAGATTACCACTGGAATAATAAAAACCATACAGTATTCCCAGGAAGTCAAGTAAGTTCATGACATTTCAAAGCACAAAGCAAGTACTACTATGGACAGATTATTCCGTAGCTGCTCACTGCAGCATTTCTTACCCACTTCTCCAGACTGCTGGTACCAGTCCATGCATGCAGCCTATGTTCCGTGAGGCATGTAAGTACTACGTTCTCATCAAAACCATTATAGGAAATTGCACCTCCTTTTACCACCATGATCGAAAATTCAAATTCATCAGCAAGAAAAATGTTTAAAAAATAAAATATTTCTCCTTTTTATTTATTTTCTGAAAGATATGGGCTTGCAGTGCCCAAGCAGTGGGACAAGGACTACGCTCAGGTAAGCTGACACACTCCTCAACACCACAAGTGCCTTTATTGCACAGCACAGAGAAATAGTGCTCAGATTTCACTGAGGGTCTTCAAGTACTACTGCAACATGAAGCGTCCCACATGTGACTGGAGTCATGACCGGACTATTTTTTTTTGTTTTGTTGTTGTTGTTGTTGTTTTGGTTTTTTTTGTTTTTTGTTTTGTTTTTTTTTTTTAACAAAATGTACCCTCTTAAGATTTTCTTGTGTTTGCATTTGTTATCTCTAGCTAGAAATTACCATTAGGGTTTAAGCTCTACATTCAGTCTGTGAGATGGCATTACTGGGGGGTGCCTACCACACCTGCCAAGCTATTTTCAAAAACACGCAGCAATCCTACCTTCATCTCTATCAAACTGATCAAATGTAAGGGTTATTGGGGGAGAAAAGACAAGACAAGGGAAGACATGCATATTGTGACCAGTAAAACTAAAACTAGCTAAAACAAACCAGAAAAAAAGCAGAGTCCCACAAGCTTCTCTACTTTTTCTCCTTTGTTTTATCCAGCCAACATCCTGCTCTACAGCTAGCATCACACACACACTGGAAACACGAGAGCATTAGGGTGTATTCAGCCACGGCAGCCCTGCTCTTGACACTTGTACATACACCACCTCACCTTTCATCTCCTTCATTTGCAGCACAGTGATAAGAGCTGAGAACACTTTGGCTTTTGTTTTCTCCATCATCTGCTGATCTGCCTGTAGTATTCCCTCCAGAATCTGCGTCAAGGAGTTTATGATTTTATCCACAGAACCCAACTCGCTGACAACAAAAAGGGAGACCTCTTCAGATTAGACAAGATCCCTCAACAAATACACTGGCTCAACTGAGCTGTGTGGATCATAGGTTCTATGAGACACACAAATAAAAACAGTTCCTCCAAGCAAACTTTAAGTCACTACTTGGATCTCACTAAAGACATTCCACAACACAGTCAGAGTGCAGGACTATCACAAAAGCTTTTTGATACACTTTTCACCAGCAAGCAGGAAGCCAAACCATACATTTATTGCTACAAGTTCTTTCAGCCACAAACTACAGATATTTGCCATCCCAAAAGAACAGTCCATGATAAGGCATCAATTTCCTCCCCAAATCACTAAGGGGAGCTCACTAGAACAGACACTCACACACAACCTTCTTTTATATTTAGCAGTGACTAATAACGATCCATGCAAATGCAAATACCTACCTCTTCCACTGCTTTAGCAGGATCAGAAGAAGGGTACATAGCATAGACCCCAGCTGCAGACAGGATACTGACGTGGGAACTAGAAGCTAAGAAGAAACATTACAAGAGTTAGAGGTGCCACTAGTTACATACTGGAAGTGCTCAGCCCAGTACTCAAATGCTGAAATGCTCAGCATCACCAAACGGCCAAGCTGCATCTTCAGCAGCTACCAGCGACTGGGGACCAGAGTCAGGACCCTCTGCAGAGCCACCCACTGATGACAAGAATGGCACATAGCAAATAAAGATTTATAAGACGCTCATCAATTCAGGAGAAAGACGTTGTTTCAGCCCAATTTCACCAGATCTAAAACAACCTCTGATGGCAAACAACTGCAGAAATAGAATTCCTCATAATATGGAGGAGATGAGCAATTGGGAAATTCAAGAACTAAGAGGAACAAACACCTACCAAAACCTTGGTTCCATTTAGCACATCCAGAAACAATTGCTGATGAACCGCGGAATCAGTCAGATGCATTATATCTGCCTAAAAACCACAAAGATACAGAGATCAACCACATATAACAGAAGATACACACTTTTTCCAGTCTAACATCTTTGTACTGTTTTGTTACTTTAAGAATTCACCAATTTTGTCATCTGCTAAATGATACAATTTTACAGAGCTCACTGAAGTACATGATCAGTTAACAAAGTCAGCAATGGCTAATTTCCCTAGTGGGGTATCCCTGCCTCGCTTGATTCAACAAAATCTAAGTAATTCTATAAACCTGAAGAGAATTGCCATAAAAATAATAGCATACTGCCCCTCTCTGCTGAGAGGGGCAATATGCTCAGTTCTATTAAACAGCAAACCACTACCTACTCTAAATTCATACAATGCTTGTACCAACCTGTGTAGTAAGCATATATACAACATAACTAAAAGAAAAGAAACCAGTTCATTTTCAGTGTGGCCTAGCTAGCCCTTAGAAGTTGACACTGTGTTATTCAAAATGTTAATTTCAGATTATTATGAGATATAAGAGGAAAAAGTACAATGGTAGCTCTTACGTGGCTCGTAGAAATAATGAGCAGCATCCGCCAGGCTGAGATCAGCATTTGATACTCTGTCGCGGAGGCACAGCTGCTACCCTCTGTCTCTGCCACATGATATGCCAGTAGCTTCACATATTCTGACCAGTAACCGAAGCGCTTCTTGTTGGAGAAATTCTTCAGCGTGTCTTTCAGGGACTGATCCAGTGAGCCCCTGACCAAATCAAGAGCACAAGATCAGCATATTAAAGGAAAGTTACGTTCAGAAAAACAAACTTGGTAGGAGAAAGCTACTAAAATGTTATTCAGCAATGACTGCAGTATGTATAACTTATTTCACAGTTAATTTTAATAACTACTGTACGTTCTTATTCTGGCATACAAGGAAAGTAGAGAAGGGACTACCAGAGACTCACTTGACAACATAGTAGATCTCCAAGCAGATGATTTTCATGATTAACGCACAGGTGTCCAAGACACTGAGCTGCAAAGACAAAAAAAAAGCAAAATCTGAGCCCTTTGCTCTGCAGAGCGAGTGGAACTCTGATTTAACCCTACCAACCCACTCGCAGTGACTGATCATCCAGTTTTTCAGGAGATAGGAGTAGTTATGTCATTTGACCAAAGACCAGCGAGGATAAGGAAAGAATGCTGGGTTCAAAGCAGCAGTCAAACTGAGCGAGAGCACAGGCTCTTCATAACGAAGAGGAAAACTCCCACAGAAAAGAATGCAAAGAACCTAATCAACTCCTCTGGGATACCAGCTAGCCTGAGGTATGCCTTAAAAAAGATCTTCTATCAAACAGCATACGCTGTATGGATACAGATACACCACATACAGCACACCTTCCATAGAGTGTTAACACAGGTGCCAGATAACATCTATTTTTGCTTCACTTGTGGAAAAAAAAAAAAAGAGAACTTCAAAAGATTGTCCGTTGTTATACAGCTAGTCTCTGCAAAGCCAGACAGTGCATGCTTCAGCTGCTGCATGGTGTTTGAATTAGTTGATCACACTTCTTTTTAGAAAGCTGCGAGCACAAAGAGCCACAGCCACTCTCAGAAACCCGCTATGAGAAGAACATGCATCTACTCAAAATGAAGGCAGTTAATTCACCTCTGATGTTTCTGAAGGTGGAGGAAGGGTCCCGAACAGTGGATTGGTCAAATTTTCCCAAAACTTTGGCCTAAAAGATACATGCAGAAGTAGTATCAGTTATCTCCCCCACACCACATGCCCAGAAGCATTTTGACTGTTCCAAATGTCACAGAAAATACCCTTTAGTGCACAGCTATATAATCTTGCATTTCCAAAAGAAACAGAACAACAGATATTTGCTTCTGAACACACACACGTGGGCTTCTCATCTTTCCCCAGAGACAGTACAGGTCAAGCTCAGAGCCCACAAACTGCATACTTTTACCAAGACACGCAAAGACTGGGATGCAATTGTCCCTGAAAAGTCTGGTGAACCCAAGAAAAGTGTTATGGAAAAAAGGCAGCAAAACACACTGTAGGAAAACAACAACTCACTTTGTCCTCAGAACCAGCATGGCACTATCTCGGCGGTCCTGCCACAGGGCATGCAGGAAGGCAATGGCAGCACGATGTAAGAGGGGAGGGCACCAGTACCTCTCCTGTTGTTTGGAGTCTATCAGCTCTAAGACTACTTGGAGGCAACTCCACTCCCCTAAGCTGAACTCCTAAAGCAAAAGGAAATGAGAGAGGTTACAGCTCCACAATGCAGGCACCTATTAAAGCAGAATGTGCTCAATTCCACTCAAAACACACACGCACAAATAAATCTTGAGTATGTGATGCAGAGACAAACTTTGTAAATGACTACAAGGAACATGCAACAGGAGAAAAAGGATGTATATTTGTAGGGGTATAAAAAAATGAGCTAAGCTAAGACTTGGTAAGACCAAGTGCCTTATAAAAAGTCCCAACCCAAGACAACCTCCAACTGCAGCACACTAGAGACTGAGTGGGTATTCTGGAAAACTGATACCATCCATTGTGTATCAATCTTCCCACTGAATGGCCACTGTCAGGAGTCAAGAGAGAAAGTCACAGGTATCTTTGGTCTGACCTAGTACAGATGTTCTTATGTTAACTCGGTATCTTCCTTGAAAACTGGGGAAAGTTTGTCTTCAGTTGTAGGGAAAAGTGAAGCTGGGACAACAGCACATCCATTCATTGCAAGCACATGCTGAATTTACATTTATGTTAGGCACATCAGGCTACATATTACGACCTTTTGGATTTTAGAGACCAATGCCACAAGACTCCTAGGAATATTACAATAAAAGACTAGTGAGTTCCCAGGCAAATATCTGCTCTTCTACCTTTGACCCATCGCTGCCATCCTTGACTTCCAAGTTCAGGAACAGTTCAATGAGTCCAGGCTGTGTCTCCACTGCAACTGTAAGGAATTCCAGTATCATGACCTTAATACGCATGTCCTCAATCTTGCTCTGCAGGCGGGTGAGGAAGGCATCACGGATAGCAGCAGCATCGCTGCCAAGACAGGCATAAACAGACATGGGAGCAACCTGCAAGAGGAAAAAAATAAAATCAGAAAAAAAGGATAACTTCTCTATTCATAGAAGTGACCTACATTTTACATTGAAACTCCAAAATGTTTGACAGTGAATCTAGGAATATACATAAGGGAACTCAGAAGTAACAGTTATTGTTGTTAAGATGGAAGAATCTTGCAAAGTGATCTAAATTTTCTTCTTTGTCAATTTTGCTTTATCTATCATCTGTTTGTAAGGGAGACCGGAAAGGACAAAGAAAACAGATTTTGAATAATGCTTCTTGAAATTAAAAAGAGATGGATTTAAACGCTTAAATAGAACTGCAAATACAATCTAAGAAGTATAAGCAGCCAAAAAGAGCATGTATGAAAGGCAAAGTTGAAAACTCCTCTTAAAAACTTAAATTAGAGGAATTAAATTTAAGGTGTAGAAAGAGCATCTGAGGGTGTACCTTGAGAAAGTTTTTCAAAAAAGTGAAAATAGGTCAACTGGAGGTGAAAATATTCTGCAGGAAACACCCCACTCGTGAAAACTCTCACTGAAATGCAGAGAGACTTCTGAAACAGCAGAGTATTGTGTTAAAAAACCTACGGGCTCTTTGTGTGATACTTTATGTGCTCTAACATACAACTTTCAGTCCACGCTACCTTCAAATGACTTGCACTAAGCTCCCAGATACAAACAAGCCTGAAAATATCTTGAAAGAATTTCAGTGGTGGAATCAGTCACAAGGGGAGAAGCAAAGGAGCTCTTGTGAGGCTCATCTTACCGTAGCCAGTCGCTTGAGCAGCTGGATGGCCAAGCGTGGAAGTGCAGGGTCATGCTTGTGGTAGATGTATTTGGCCAAGACCGCAATAAGGTTGTTTCCATGAGCACCTGAATTGAACACAGTTAAGACCGAAGAGAAAAAGCTGCAATAAGATCCAACTATTTAACAGAACTACTTTCATAACAGAAGGTGAGAATTAGGTCAGCCTTCCAGAAGACCAAGGCATGGTCCCAGTCAGATGATTACTAATGGCAGATGATTTACTATATTCTGTAACTACACCCATCCTATTACAACGCAGCAAAAAATTAGCCATGTTTCCTTAATACTAATGAAATTCCCTCGTGGAGAATAATGCCTCAGAGGATGGAGAATTCTCCCATCACTAGAAAGCACTTTTTGGAACCATCACAAACTCTGTTTGTAATGAGAAACTCACTGACTCTTTGCACGTAACAAAACCCACAGCTTCCCAGGGCATCCCCACGAGGAAATACATACCATGCTGAGTAAGGGCCTGCTCTAACGGAGACACCACGCTGGAGGGGGGCTTCAACCGTATGACGTTATTGGTAACCGAGAATGCCAGCTTAACTGTTTGTATCAGCAGCTGACCTTGGCCTTGTGTCTCATCACTGCATTTCAAAAATGAAAACAAAGTAATTGTGTCAACAATTGTCATTTATTATTTGCACAACATTCGAAGAGTAAATACCATACTCTTGTCAGTCACAGGTTGTAAGACACTGTCATGTCACCATGTAACAGTTGCTGAAACGCAAACCCCAACATAAACCTTCTAACAACCCCAAAAGACCTTCCAGCAACCTTCCAATAAAGGGGGCCTCCAGGAAAGCTGGGGAGGGACTCCTAACAGACAGTTTTGTAATAGGACAAGGAGTAATGGTTTTAAACTAAAAGTGGGTAGATTTAGATTAGATATAAGGAAGAAATTCTTTACTCTGAGGGTGGTTAGTCACAGGGACAGGTTGCACAGGGAAGTTGCGGATGCCCCATCCCTGGAAGTGTTCAAGGCCAGCTTGGATGGGGCTTTGAGCAACCTGGTCTGGTGCGACATGTCCCTGCCCGTGGTAGGAATTACATGATTTGTAAGGTCCCTTCCAACCCAAACCATCCTATTATTCTACAACCACACGAAATGGAGAGCGTGTAGTAAAAACTAAACATGGATCTGTAACAAATAAGGCTTGCTCCTCCTGAACATACAAAACAGACTCCCACAGATAGTCACTGTGCTGATCCCTAATTAAGTACAATCCAGTTAAAGCTACATCTCAAATATTATCAAATATCTGTTGCTTCTTCCCTCACACTATTGAAATAAAAGAACTCACCTACTAGGCTGGGAAGCCATTACCATATCAATAGTGTCCACACCGATTCCCATTATGTTAATGACAGCTTGCCCTGCTTCAGTGTTGGCCAGGCTGAAGATGCACAAGGACTGAAGGCTAGGGGCACTGCTGGGAGACACAAACAACACAGGACATCATCACATGCAGGACTTTCCCACCCTAGCACTTAGTAAACTACTATAAAGTGACTTCTGAATTTCCTACTGCAGATCTGAAACCCGTCATGCATCTTACCTACTCCCAGGATCCATTTCAGGGAATAAATTCAGTATAGCATGAATCAACTGCAGAATTAGGCATCCTGAAACAGAGAGAGAATGGACCACTCAGTTTTCAGGAAGATCTGTTGCCTAGTCTGTAATATTTCTAAACAAATCCCAGCATCTAGCAATACTGGTAAATGCAGAAAGCAAATCCTAAATGTCTGCTAGAAAAGGTATGATAAAAAGTGGGAAAATTTCACAAATTCTCTCCAATAAGACAGGTGATCCTTTTTAATCTCTTCAACTTCTCCTCTCTCAAATATCCTTACCAATTTTCTCTCTCACTCCATGAGAGTTGTAACGCCATTTGTGGTAATTTGGTAACATCTCCTTCAGGACAAATACAATGCAGGGCACAAGTCCTTGGCTCTGGGTGCTACCAAGTTGTCCCTAGGAGAAACAGAAATGTTAACTTTCCCCTTCTGGTTAAAATAACACGAGATCTTTGGTAGGAAGATAGGTCACATGTCTTTGAAGCATGAGAAAACCACTGAGCTTGAGGACACAGAATTACCAGCTATTTTTATTCTCTTGTAGATATGATAAATCAAAGCCGTTTTTCGAAATAACCACAGGAAGCACAAACTGTAGCATAGCAGGAAGTGTCAACCAGTGATTACTCAGACAGACCCATTGCCCAGGGGATGCCAGACACTGCTGTATTTCACTTTCCTATCATAACAGCCTACAGCTGACTTCACAAGTAGACCACTCCAGAAGCACTCACCCGGACAAGAGTTGTTATCAGGTTCAGGAAGGAGATGGTAACGCTGTACTCCCCTTGAGGCTGTTCTATGCTCATCAACAGGTTTCCATAGCCCCCAGCATTCATCCCCTCTGCACTGTGAAATGAGCACCAAGGTTTGTTGTATGAATAGCAGGATTTTGACATGAGTGAGAGATGTTGGATGCACAGATTCCACAAACCTCAGATTTCACACCAGCAAAAAGGTCTTATGTTATGAACAGTTCAGGTCAAAAAAAAAAAATAAAAGCTGGGGTTGGGGGGGAGGATGTGAATACCTAATCATGTGATTCATACTGGACACTGGATTGGCAACAAATGGTAAGAACCCCGTATGGTGAAGGTCAGTCCAAACCTGCAAGAGAAAAAAGTAGAGATATTCCCTCTCATTCACATATACATGTCTACTAGTTCTCAAACCTAGAAAGCCCAGAAGATTCTTACCTTGGCTGGCATCCGAGCAGCCAGTACTGTCAAGCAATTGACACAAGAAGCAATAACGTCCACAGGGGGAGAGATTACAGTTGTCAGCCTTGAAAAGAGAAATATTACGCATAAAATGCACTGCCATCTGTGAGCTAGCCTATCTACTGCTGCTGTGATTCAAAAAGCATTTCCTTCACTGAAGCACACAAGCACAAAACCTACGCTCTGGTGCAGACACCAGTCTGCACTGTCAGTCTAGACTTGACAGCTCTCCCTCACACCTGAATCAGATCAATTTACTGCAAGAAGCAAGGCTCAGCAGACAGCAGGCTGGCACAGTGAACAATGACTATCCAGCAGATTGACTGGGGGGGATAGTTAATAAGTGTAACTCTTTTATTACCTGGAAGTTACTGCTCTAATTGTATGCTTTATTCCCCTTTTATGTAAGTATAATTACCAATAAAAAAGCCTTTAAATGGATAAACTTGTACAACTCATGAAAGTGAAAGAGGGGTCATTCTGCTGCATCAAAGCATTCAGCAGTGTGTAGCCAGAACAGTTCTTACTGAACACCTGCCTCGGGGAGTTGAAGCACTGAGATACACTTCTTTCAAATCTTTTGGCAAAATAGGTAATTAACTGTTCTTCCAGCTCATTGTACTACTTCTCAGGTACTCTGCTGTTAGCTCCATGCTGGTCAGTGACTTACCTCTGCAGCAGCATGTAGATTCGCGACGTGATCGGCAGAAGGCAATCTGCTATCGATACATCAGTGCTGATGACTTTATGAACCAGATCAATGATTGGCTTCACCCTCTGGCAATGCTGAATCACATCTGCATAAAGCAAACATCAGAATGCAAAAACCATACTTACGCAGTAAAGAAACTTAGAATAATGCACATTAATCTTACCACACAACCTTGGGATCGTTCCCCATACCAAAAATCATTTATTTCTTATATCTCAGCTTTTCTCTCATCTAAAATTCACATAATCTCACTGCAAGCTCTTGACCTTTTGCAGTGAATTATCATAATTTAAAACACACACAGGTTTCTGGGGTACTACTCCAAGCTCTTCCAGAAGTACTCAGAGCTGCTCAATCCTGCTGTTAACCTCAAGCTGATACCAAAGAACAATTATTTATTCTCTTTTATACTCCCAGCCTATCTCACCTGCTGTTGAAACAACGTGGAGCAGCATTTCAATCTCACAGGTAAACAGTGTCCAGCTGCTGTACGAATACTCCCATCGTACCAAATAAGCTCGATCATCCAGCATCACTTGGCCCACTGTTCCCTGAGGTATCCGCAGATTTGTCTGACCTAGTCCTAGAGATAGAAGAAGCAAGTGAAATCAAGCCACAAATTTCCCCACGAGTTAGAAAGCAGGTAAAGAACTAAATTCCCCAAAACACCTGAATAAGAAAAGGTTAAGTGCAGTTTCCTTACCAAGAGGATAGAGGAGCTTTGGAGCCTGTCTTCGCCAAAGTGTGCCATCTTCATGAGAGATCACATCAGGAGGTTTATGCTTGTACAGTTCAATATAAAAGGACATTTTATCCAGGAAACTGTACACCTGCATAGAGAAAGAGCTTAAGCAATATAACCAAAGAGCCAGACCCTCTTAAAAATTAATCAGTGAGGTCATTTCCAGGAATAGGCAAGTTTCCCTTATGTAGACAATAACCTTCTAATATGTCAACCCTACTAAAACATTATATGGTTCGCACGTCCAGACAAGTCTGATCTAATGAATCAGGAACTTCTAACAAGTACAATAAAACCCAAAAAATTACATAGAACTTATCTAATTTTTTAGAATTAATGGCTGAATTTATCTTCAGCCAGAGTTGGAGAGTTTACTAAAGGCCAGAAAACGGTACCCTGCAACAGAAAAGGACTTAAAAGGTGCCCTGTCTTAGATAACAGACATAAAGCTTTTATCAAAGATTGTAAATGAGATATGCACTCATAGTGGGAAGAGAATCACACAGCATATCACATAACATGTTATGCCTGTCTTGAAATAAATCATCTCCCAAACACCAAGAGAGATCCTGTACCTTTTTTGCAGTAGATTTATCTGACACAAGGGCCTGGAGCAGCTGAAGAAGAGGAGTAAGAAGATGGGGGAACATCCCACACACACTGTCCAGGATAATGCCCAGACCTGCAGTTGGTTCCTGGTGGTAGAAGCAGCAAACAAATGTCTTATTGTTACAAAGAAATGACAAAACTTTCTCAGTACAGCATAAGGATATAGCTTCTTTAAGTTGTACATTTGACATTAATCATGCACAAAAGTATCACTCCAGTCCTTGTACAGACTAAAGCATGAGGCATTGTGCAAGTAATAAGGCAAGAAGTAAGACTAATGCATTACACATCACCCTATTTCTGTAACAACAACAAAATAAGCATGATGCTTTTGCCAGCAGTTAGTTCAATCTTTGCAATCCCAGCCCTGGTTTAAACTATCACCTATATTAAAACTTGTTCCAGTATCCTTCAAGAGTAAAGCCAAGGATGTACCTAAAAGGCAGGAAAGGGCAAAGGTAAATCAAAGATAGATACAAACAAACACTGGCTCCTCAGGGCCTTCTAAAAATGAGCTAACTAAATATGATCAGTCTGTTCTTTTCCTAAAAAGGAATCTTTTATCAGGTTTTTGTTATAAGCAAGGTAAGTCAAAGAAGTTGCCAGCACACTCACCGTCTTCCAGAAGAGCTGAGGAATGCTGGAAGCCGACAAAACTTCACACGCAGCATCAATTATATCCTTCAAAGGAAGAGAGGAAAGAGAAGTTAAATGCTAACTTTACATAAAAGGTTCACATCCCAAAGAAATTCTGTCACATCTTTAGAGTTTAAGTTTCCGTGCTTACTAGCTAAGATGGAACTAATCCCTCTAGTCAGAACAGAGGGAAACACCCCCCACGCACAAACTCAGACCACATGGAAAGTCTAACACCATGCTCCTTACCAAGGAGTGGACTGCCCAGGACAAACATGCCCACTAAATCTGCAAAAGGCTATATGATGTCTTCTTAAACTTAAAATGTATGTATTGAGTATGAAATAATACATACTACGAGTATGTATTATTTCCATTGCTTTGCACACAACACATCAACTACTAGTTCCAAATCCATAGGACTTCCAAGGGCAAGATATGCAATGTTTCACTATTAAGCAGTAAACACCTCTGAAGACTGGTTTACACAATGCAAATGTAGCCAGTCTTTTAGATCGATCTAAATCACAAGGTTTGCTATTTCAAATGCAGGACTGAAATTTAACAACAGTAACTTGCATCACTTATGCAAAGTTCGATCAAATTAGATAACAGATGCGATGAGTGTTGGATGCTTACCTGCTGATTGCCCAACGTATGTAACTCCAGTGATGTCAGGACAAAGGAAAGAAGCCCATAAATACACATACAAGCTGTGCTGACAGTACACTGGGAAGAAAGAATACACAAGACCATTAGGGGAAAGATCATGAATTACAGAGCATGCTGTGTAACAGTGCTTGGTCTCCTTTACAAACTGTGGGCACCTCTGAGTAACTGCCTCTTTTGTACATCCTTGCTGCAGTCAGCAAAGGGGCAACAAAATAGGAAGCAGTCACCACTGAAGCCACAGACAGCACAAAATATTTCACTGCTTCTACCATTATCATTAAAAACACCTTCAAAACACAGAAAAAAAAAAAAGAAGCAGTGTTCAGAGAAATCAAAACGATTTGCTTTCACTGGTGTCTGCCTACGAGGTCATTTATTCTCATACACTGTGTTGTCTCATGAAACTGTATACAGAGAACAGTGCAGACTTAGATCAGCTAGTACTCAAGACCTACACTGTCAAGTACACCTATGGAGGGAAATCAAAAAATGTGATTAAAGTAGTCTATTCTGTTCAAGGAGATATAGCTCCTCAACTTACAAAAGTTTCTTTTTTATTATTCTTTTCTAATTATTATTTCATCATAAAAATCTGTTTAGTATCAGTTTGATTTTTACTCTTCACTGAAAGAATGTGACATGACAAAACATGCTCTGTTGCATGCTCTGGTTCAAAGCAGATTTAGTTTGCAAGAACGTTGGTTCAAAATCATCCACTTCCCAAGACACCTTTACATCATTAGTAGTTAAGAGCCTTAAAGAGCTTACATATACGACTGTAAGAACTCACATTCTTGCCCCCACTGCTCAATGATCGCAGAAGTTTCGTCAGATACTGGAACACATTCAGCTGGATAGCATTGCTGCCCATTCTCCTGATAACGTTAGTTGACTCCTCTGGGTTTATGGTATGACGGAGCAGCGCCCAAGCCAAAAGCACTGGAGCATGATGTGAGACATCTCCCAGCTGCAGCAGCTGACTGTCCATTTCCTGCACAGAGACAAAAGCAAGACAAGTGAGATCCTGTGAAAGCAGCTCATGCTCAGCAAGCATGTAGCTGATTGCACCCTTCTGCTAACACTCAGCTTTCTCTTGCAGATAATTATTTCAAATATACAACTGTCCAAATTACACAGTTGCAGTCTTGGTCTGTTTTTGTGTGTGGTTTACTGACTTACAGCTGTTCTAACCTCAGATGTCCTCTGTCCTAAAAGCCCTGATGCTGAAAATCTCTCGTTTCACTCCCATCTCATGGCCTACTTCCCTGTGCACACCTCTATTTAGAGAAAGGCCCAAAATCATCAAGCAAACCTAAGTGGGAAAAGAATCAATCTCTTTCTTATTTGTCCCAAATCGTTATGTGGATGCTAGCTCTTATATTTGGCCAACAAACACAAGAAACTTACAGATGTAATATTTTTAACAGTGCTGCTCGGGTAACCAAAGTAAATTCTATATTGTTAAGCCAAACAGGGGGTTATTCTGCTACTGGTTTACCTGGTGGATATGTGAATTATTGGCTAATTTGTGCTCCTCTGTCCTATCATCCAAAGCTCGCTCATGGAGGGAGTCAATTTCCATGCCTTCCACCAGAATAAGAGCACTAAAGTAGCTGCAAGCAGGAAAGGGGAAAAAAAAAAAAAAAAGTAGGTTAGACACTTTAATTAAGAATTCAGTTTTCAAAAAGACATTCATAAATGGTCAAAGAACAACCTGTAGTTCGCATGGGTTCAGCTGTTCTTTGAAGCAATAAGAAATTAAAATGAAATTAACAGCAGATAATCCAAATTTTGTTTTGAAATGCTAGTATCTGACAGATTAAAATCTTCAACGCCACCATTCCTGGTTGAACAGGAAGTCTCTGAAATTTGAAGATAGCTTTTCCACCTTTGAAACTTTTTATCACTCACCAGGATTTTCATTCCTTCTGGCTGCAGCTTGAGTTATGTCCCACAAAGCAAAACGAAGACGTTATTACCACTCTTCCAAGCAGACCCACGATAGCTTGTGCTGAGGCAACACAGTTAACAGCACAGGGCTAACCTCTGCCTCTGAGCCAGCCTCTGAGCACAGGATTGTGAAGATGCAGTTTCACTTTAATACTAGACTATTTAAGAACAAATGGCACTGTCTTCACTGCCATTCACACCAGAGACAGCTAGCTTAAAGCTAGTATATGAATGCCTCTCTATTGTGCAATCACACTTATTTTGCCACAAACTTCCAATGTGACCAGAAAATATATTTCACCTTCATCACAATTAGCTTAGCTTGAAATAGTCATATTTTAAGAGGCAACAGAAAGAATTATAAAATATTTTTTTTACTGAGAATTGTTTTGTTCTGCACTCACTTGACAAATACACTTCACTTACCCGATACGATCCACCAGGTGATCCATGCTCTCATCTACCAAGTGTCTGTTGGTTTGTCTAGTGCCAAACCCCTGTTCTTTGAACATCTTTGCAAATTCGAGAAGCTCATCTGATGCCATTTCAAAGTATGCATAGTAGAGGAAGATGACTTCCAGTAGCATGGACTGCTCACGGAGGCATTGCACAAACCAACGAGAAACCTGACGCTCTGTCTGCACAAGGAGAAGTCCTACTGTCAGACACAAAGCTCACTGATTGATCTAAGCAATTAGAAACCAAGACAGGTTGGAGCATTTCAAAGTTTGCACAGTCAATGTTTTGCACCAACTGCAAGAAAAGCCACTATAAATGCAGAGTTTACTGATGCAAAGAGATTGTAAAGAGCTGCACAGAAATGGATCTGCAGGCCTAGTGCTGTCAACACATTTCTTACAACGAAGAATACGTTTCTAACAACTCGCTTTGTTTCTGAGCAAAAGTGTGTTCTGCTAAGGAGAAAACAATTTTTATATTTCTTGGGCCAAGAGAACCATCCGTTCTAACTGCATCTGCACATACACATTTTCCAGTACTTTCTATACCAGGAAAGACTTTGTAAGTTTATTAAAGAATAGTATGAAGGAAATACCATGAGATTTCCATGTGTTTCCCATGTAGGAGCTTCTGCTTTGTACAGTTCTTCATATTTTTTCCGGTAATTAGGAATTAGTTCTTTTTCCAACTTTTCGACACACTGGAAGTACTGCGCCTTAAACAAATAAAGAAATCAACTTTTCACATGCACATCTATGTGCTTTTTACAATCTCAGGTGGACAACTTCTATATATAACTTAAGTATTTAGACTATTTCAATGACATCATATCCAGGAGAAGGTTCCTGTACTCACTGTGTAAGGGTGCCTCTCATCCTGAAAATAAGTGAGTAGATGGAGGACACAGCGCAGAATACACATCCTCTCTTCATAATAATAGTCAGCAAGCTGTGAATACAGAACGTCACCAATATCAGTGTGGTATTGTGACACCTCCCATTCACCTTCCTGCCCCATACACAGCCCAGGCCCTCAGCACCAGAACACGTAGGGCTCAAACACTGCTACAGATGGAGTATCAACTAAGCAGTTTTAAGTTATCTGAAAAAAAAAATAATTAACTTTACAGAATTCAATAAAACATGCCCATAGGGACGTGTCTATAATTACACTGCTAACTGAGAAAACTCAGGAAAGGAATGCAAAAAGATACAGAGGTCACCTCCCATTCTTAATCTTCAGTAATCTCTACCAGCTGTGATCATCACTCTCTATTTCGGAGTTGACACTTCAGACAGCAACACATAAGCCTACAAGCTTTGGAAAATGTGGGAGCATACATCTGACAAGCTAAATTCCCTGACATTAAGCCTACAATTTGCTTTCCACAGCAACTATTAACACTGCTCAAATATATGTATGTCCATCCCTATTTCAAAAGAATCTTCTAAAATTTGTTCGTTATATGAGGGAATACTTCAATCATTCCAAGGTTTCTGAATCCATAAAATAAAATTGGTTCTCAGATCAATAGAAAATACAAATGGAAGTGACTAACCTTCAGCATCAGAGCCTGACTCTGCCTTTCATCCTGAAGAACTGTCTAAAGCAAACCACAACAAAATAAACAATTATTTACTGCAGAAATATCAACGGACAAAATATTCACACAAAAAAAGACTGAAAGAAAAGAGAGAATTTTTCTGTTTCTTTTGGAAAGACAGATTCCAAAAGTACTAAGTCAAAACATTCATTAATAACTATCTGTTTGTTCATCTCCACTCGCTCTCTTTCACAAATCTGTAGCTTTGCTGTATTCCTGAGACAAAGAAGCTGAATCCCTGCAGAGAGATTCAAGCAGAAAGAGCTACTGGAATGTTAGGCTTGGATATCTGCTATCACATTTCTGTAAAGAGGCACTTGAGCATTGCAGGTTCAGAGAAGAACAACTACAAAGTCATTTCCAAGTCAGAACTTGGGCTTGCATGTGACCATAATTCATCAGCAAATTACTGGTACTAAGGAGAGATGCAGAGTGAACAGAAAATATATGGGAGCTATGGACCTTCAGAGAGTCTCTTGTTCCTCTGTAATCTTCTTGAAGATAACACTGTAACAACTGCACACTCTGCTCTTCATCCAAACCCTGAAAAAAAGAGAGATGCTCTGAAGTGAGTAAAAGGCAACTGAATTAATTTGATAAAGACTCTCTCCAAATACTCAGGCAGCCTTTCTCTTCAGAATAAATAATTTCCCAAATACACCAATAGAAATCTTTTTACTTTTCGGGATGACATTTGTTTAAGTTAGCAATTCCATTTAAAGCAAACTACGTAAGTTTTGATATCATTTAGATGTAGCCAGATTTAACTTCAGTGAAAGGAGCACAACACATTTAAATAAAGGTACAGCCACCAGTCACCTATTTTCTGGCTTGAAGGAACATAATCTTGCAGCAAACAGACATATTTTCAAACACGGCTGCTACTTTAAGGGACATCAGTTTTAGCTGAGCAGTCTCAGATAGCTTGAAAGAACACAAGACCAGATGAGAGTGACTGTTTTTGAAAAGCTGAAACCCCTTTCTGGCAGGAGGGTTCGTTAACCAGGAAAATTGAAGCAATTCAGGGCCACCAACAGCTTTAAAAAAATGTTCACCTAGAGCTCCTATGGGTACTTATAACATCCTTTAGATTATTTTTAACTGAGATAAACTTAAGTTTGCCTCTATTCAACATCACAAAGCTTTCTGAAATAACAGAATCTCAGTAACAAAGCAATCCAAGTGCAGGGATAAAAAAAAGTAATCAGCATAGCATCTTCACTCACCAAAAACTTGCTGACCCTCAGACCCAGTTCTTTTAGTGGAGCAGCTACATCTTTATCAGCTTTTATTTTTTCTGCTGAAGTTGTACTGAAGAAAAAAAGAAGTTTTCATTGCTAAAAATGGAGCAACACCAAGGAATGAGCAGAAGAGACTTAATTTCAAAGCTCTCAATTTTATCAGTTTGAACTTGACATTTCTTTTCCCTCTCAGTGGCCTTTCAATGCTTCAGACAGCAATATTCAGTAATCTTCCTACCAGATAACACTCAACATTGTTCACTATCTTATTAATACAATAAACACAGGCTATATTCATTCTATCTTTTCCAGTGAGAGAGTCTGGTTATCTTTCCTGCATGACTAAGTGTCAAGAGGAGTCAATTCTCTGCAGGCTGCACGCTTGTACTTGATCACTGCAACCCAACAGAGGCAAGGATTAAGAGCTACTTAACACTGGTAATGAGAGCAGAAACTGCTGTTACTTCTTTCTGATCTTTATTTCATGTCCCAAAATGTTATTTGGATTAAGCACTTTCTACTGTTCTTCCTCTCCAGAAATCTCAAGTCAGTTTTTTTTTTATTACATAAAAATCTGTTTTTATGTAATTAGAGAGAAATATTCAACATGTTCTCAACTTATTAGTAGATCCCATTTTAAAGGTTAACTTCTAAAATCAGGCAATTACCATACCTTGGAGGTTTGTAGTATGAAAGTCCCTCTAAAAACCTCTGCCAGTGCTTGTTCAGTTCTGCCGCAATCTGTGCCTGAAAAGAGAACCAAATACTACTGAACAGACTCCTCAACATCCACCACTGAGTATCAGATTTGTTTAATTTGAGTGAAGCAAAGACATTCCACCACCAAAACCAGACAAGAACACAAGGCAAACAACAACAGCATCTATGATTCAGACTGATTCAAGGTGTATATTGCATGAGAAAGCTTGCTGCCTTGCCTAATATTGGGAAGGGAGAGGAAAGGAGGCAACGGACTAGGTTCAGATACGTTTGCATTTCCAACCTCTCGGCACATTCTTGAAAGCACGGGCTCCATCCCAGAAAATAAGGAAGCAGGCTGTACCACTCATGAATACCCCAGACCAGTCAGTCTAGAAAGTAGCACTTGTGTCCACTCCAGAAAGGGCACCAGCTTTTCACATACACCCTTCCAGGCAGCAGTTCATGAAGCAGCTATAAACAAGGAGTGGAAGAATAAACAAGTAGCGGGGAAAGAACAACAAAAATCCCACCAAGGAAAAGGGAAAAGCAGCAAAATTCATATTCAAACAGATGTACAAATGATGTATTTGTCCATGGAGTCCATTCAGTGACAGGCAAACCTGCTTAGCAAGACATGGACTTACTGGTTCTCTTAAAGCTGATCTGCCGAGGAGAATTGTCCACAATTCTCTGCTGCTCCTGTTAAAAAAAAAAAAAAAAAAAAAAAAAAGGTGAAGATTGCTTTAATAATGAACACCAATTCAGGCTTCAATTTAGTGCACACCTTTTCAAACTTGCAGTTCTTTTGGAGATCGCAATGCAATATAAGCTATAAGAAAAAATAATTAAAGGACACCAGTGTTTAGCTGAGCAATTTCAGACGTGCTGGAAGAACCCAGGAAAGCCCAAAAGAGTGACTGCTGATATAACAAAACTTGTAAACTCATATCAAAGAAGTATCCTATTTCTATCAGCTTATCAGCTCAGTCTGATCTTGCTACTTCTATGTTTGGGGGTTATAATAAACCCAATTACAGAACAATTTTACTCAGTTTCATTTGATGCCATACTCCAAACAAATCCTTCTTTAACACTTTCCACCTTCATGCAAAGTGGAATATAAAACCGGGTGAAGTGAAAGAATACAACACTTTTCCATAGGGCAGAGCATTTGCCTCTGCTCTTCAAAATATTTATCCTGAGCTCGTTGTTTCTTCCTGCTTGCTGTGAAACTTGTAGAAAAACCAATCTGCTAAAACGTAAAGATCAAATCCGCTCCTTAGCACATGCATCTAGGAAGATCAGTCTCCCTACAACAGCCCTGCAAAGGATGCTTGCCAACAGGAGCAGTTCAGGAACTGAGCAAGCTGATGATTTCTAGCAGTGTAATACAAACCAGGAGTCAAACGCCACAATTCCCCACGCAAAGCCTGTCTAGGAAAGCGAGCACACTCATTAACTCGTCTTTAGATTGGCAGCACTGAATCAACTGCCTGTGGCAGCGTAAGTCACCTGGCACTTCTGACACACGGTGCCATTTCAGCGGCTTATAAAACCTATCATTTTTATTACACCTGTCAACATAATTTCTTCCCTCGAACTCCTCGTCCCTGCAGGAGAGCTACGGGACCTCTCCTGACCTAGCCAGCAACCAGCTGTGGGTGCAGCCTCCCCAGCACACCCGGAGCACTGGAAAGCCACTGAATTTTACCAAAAAATCGCTTTCCAGGACAGAGCAGCAGCCGAGAGGAGCCAGCCCTGCTCCTTGCCCTTCCTTCCTAACCCGGGGTTACAGCAGACCAGTGCTCCTTGCCAGTTCATTAACTGGGCAGCCAGGGAAGGGCAGCTCTGCACATGAGGTAACAGCGGTGTTCCTGTCCCGTTAGGAGGCATTATTTTAATAAAAAATTAAGCATCTAGCAACAAACAAGTCTAAAACGCCACAATAAATGTCAAAAAGCAAACAAAGGCGCTACCCTAAAGCCATCACTGAAGCAGGGGGTCATCAAATAGCCTCCCTTACACACCTCCCACACCACTATTATCTAAGTTTTATGGTCAGCAGCTCTCCAAGAAGGGAGAAGCCGAGTCCTGAGCTCTGTGCTCTCCGTGAGGACTGCTCTGCACGGACACCTGACAGAGCCCTGAAGCTTTTAAACAGCGGTGCCACATTAGTGCTCCATTTTTCACGGTACCACAGGGCAGAAAAACCCCGAAACACAAAAAATATACATCCCGGGTAACACCCGCTGCCTATTTTGGACAATCAAGCCTCAACCCACAGAAAGCTTTGGCGTTGGAGCCGAAGCCAAAGCCATCCATGAGGGATCCCCTCAGCGACCCCCCCCCCCCCCCCCTCAGGCACCTCAGCCCCCGCTCCCTCAGGGGGCTCCTGAGGCGAGGGGCTGGGGGCGGGGCCAAGGTGCAGGGGGCGGGGCCAAGCCCCATATTTGGAGGCGGGGCCAGGCAGCGGGGGCGTGGCCTCAGCGCCCTCAGGGGGCGTGGCCATACGGCAGGGGGCGTGGCCAAACAGCCCAAAGGGGCGTGGCCAACCCTAAAAGGGGGCGTGGCCAAGCCGGCGCGGGCCCCGCTCCCGTTAACCCTCCCCTCCCCGCTCCCCCCCCCCCCTTCTCCGCCGCGCTCCCCCTCCCCTCGCCCCCTCCCCCCGCGGCGAGCGCGCGCAGCCCCTGCCTCCTCCCCCCCTCCCCCTCCCGTTCCCGTTCCCGCCGCCGCGTCCCCGCACCTCGCGCCCAGCCCGCCCGCCGCCATCTTCGCTCCCCTCTCACGTGACCCGCCGCGCGCCGCGCTCTCCGCCGCCGGCATCACGTGGTCTTTGGGGGGGGGGAAGGGGGGGGGCTCCTGGGTCATGTGACAGCGGCGGCGCCAAGATGGCGGCGGGCGGCCCGGTGGGTGCGGAGCTCCGCGGAGGGACCCGGGGGTGAGGGGGGAATGGGGGCCGTGAGGGGGGTCCCGGCCCCGCGGGGACACGCGGAGAGCTCCGGGGAACAAAGGGAGGAGGCTGGGGAGGGGGATTGGGGGTCTGGGGAGCTGCCCCGCGCTGTTTCCGTGCCCCTCTGCCCTCAGCGTAAGGAGTTTCTGCCTCGTATCCCGTCTGAATCACCCCACGGCCTGCCTCGTAAAGAATTCCTTCAATATCTCCCGTCTCAACCTCCCCTCCACCCTCATCATCAATGATTTCTTCCGGGTACCCAACCCAAACCTCCCCACCGCCCTCATCGTAAAGGATTTCTCCGCTATACCCCATCCAAGCCTCCCCTCCACCCTCACCATAATTAATTTTCCCTCTACCCCTCCAAATTTCCTCTTTTTCAGCTCAAAGCCCTTGCCCCGTGTGCTGTCACCACACTCCCCGAGGAGGAGCCCCCCAGCAGGTCCCTCAAAGCCCCCGTGAGGCACAGGAGGTGCCCGGGGGGGGGCCCAGCAGGCCCAGAGGCTGCTCGGGGGGGAACTGCCTCAAAAAGGGCACCCGGGGGCTTTCAGGAGCTGCTGCAATAGAACAGAAGGTCAGGTCGGCATTTCAGCTGCTGAAATTCTTCCTGGTCCTGTGGCCCAGCTGGCAGGCTGCACCATGTATTTCCTGGTGCAAACGCCGTGCTGCAGCCTTAAATTTGCAAGGCAACGTGCAAGAACTTTCCCAGTCTCTGGCCAGCATCCGTTATTTGCCCTCCCTTTTCTCAGACACCTGTTGTTTCCCCTTCCCATGCCCACAAACTTAAGGGATCCCGAAATCATTACTGGTATTAGGCAGACGTTGCCCACACAAGATCTTTTTTTGTTATCTCCATGGTTAATTCTTTCCCTGTTGTATCAAAAAAATAAATGGCAAAAAGATTGCACTTGGCCTGATTTAGCTGTTTAGCAACAGGACACATATCGTAGGTGGTTGGTAGTCAAGTATTTCAGGCTCTACAGATGCCAAAAAGTGATCTAAAAAAATGTTTTCAATATGAGGTCATAAAGAAAACTCTCCAGATGCACAGTGCAAGGGACTTTGGCAGTACAAGTGTTGATAGAAACCCATTAATAGTCCTGCTAAGATCTCTGAATGAAAAACAGGATTTAAAATAAAGTGATAGCCTTCCATATCAACTGATAGGATGTGATGAATGCACTCTCACGGCTACAGGCAAGACAATTTGGTTGATTTTTCTGTGCCAGGCTCTCCAATTGAGCTTATCTTGACAATTCTGATAATAGATCAAAATCAGGTCAAGTACACCACTTGACTTTTTTTCTCTCAATTATTGTTTTTTTCCTTTCCTACTTCTGTTGTAAACACTACGTAGCATCATAAAACCACTCTTGCTGTAGGGGAAGTGTTCAATCATTACGCCAAGTAAAGAGAAAGAGGTGGGGGGAAGCAGGTTGCACAGCAGGGAATTAGAGAGAAATATTTACTAAAAGAAGGATTCTGTAAAACTGCAGTGAAAACGGTATACGAAAATAAGTTCTAAAATTACCTTTAAGCTATTTTACATCAACTGTATTTCCAGTTTACACTGTCACATTGAATCCTTCTGGGAATAGATATGGCTTGTGTGCTTCATATTTCAATGCAGGCACAATATAAAGTATTTCTGTTGCAGTGTAGCTGAACAGCCCTGTATCGAGTGGTTTGCTTCACCACTGCAGACTGATGTCTTGGATTCTAAGACATCATTCTTTGACTAATCCCTTATCGCTGTGGTTTTATTGGCTTTATTCACCTGTCTTGGCATTAATAGTTGGCACATAACTATCAGCTTAAATTGAGCTTAAAAATAAGACAGTTGCACAGAAGCTTTAGCTCTTCTATCATTCACTTTAATTGCTTGTTTGTTTTTTAATAGGAATTGCAGTAGCATGAAAGGGAATTCTGTCTGGTGGACCACAACTGAGAATATCAGGACCCGCAAGAAGCATCCTGAACCCCCGAGCCACGCGGGACTGGAATCATGTTAAACAAGCCTGTGCTGGTGGAATCGCTGATCGTGTTCACCATCGTGCTGTGCGTGCACGCGGTGGTGTGGGACCGCTACTCCTGGTGCTCTGTAGCTCTTGCCATCCAGGCTTTTTATGTCCAGTTCAAATGGGACCGGCTGCTGCAGCTGGGGGGGGCCGTCTTCCAGTTCCGCGCAGCAGCGAACAGCGGCCTCCTGCCAGCCAGCATGGTCATCCCCTTGCTGGGGGTAACGATGAAGGAGAGGTGCAAGGCTGCTGGCATTGTGTACTTTGAACGTTTTGGCATAGTCGTAGCTTCCACGGGCATGTTGGTTGCTCTCTTTTTGTCTGTAATAGCGGTGGGCATCACAAAACCCGTGCCCACCAACACTTGCATACTCACCGGTGTTGCTGGCAGTATAATTATCTATACCATGAAGCACTCTTTGACTGTTTCAGAAGTGATAGAGGTCCTAGAAGTGCTGCTCATTTTTGTCTACCTCAGCATGATCTTGCTTTACTTGTTGCCTCGGTGTTTTACCCCTGGAGAAGCATTGCTAGTGCTTGGAGGTGTGAGTTTTGTTCTCAATCAGCTCATCAAACGCTCGCTGAATGTCGTTGAGGGCAGAGGTGAGCCCATAGACTTCTTCCTTCTGGTGGCGGTTATCGGAGTTATTCTTCTTGGGCTTTTCTTCACTGTTCTCTTCATTTTCATGGATTCGGGTACGTGGATCTCCTCCATGTTTTTCCACATGATGACAGCAGTGCTAGGCTTAGGGGTCATCATGCCTTGGCTTTACCGACTGATCCAGAGGAACCCTTTGTTCTGGCTACTCCAGTTTTTATTTCAGACACAGACAAGAGTTTACCTTCTTGTATTTTGGACCTTTTTGGCTGCTTCAGCGTGTGGCATAGTTTTCTACCAGAACTGCTAAGAGATCATCCGAATCTAAAAAGCACCAGGCCTCAACTATAACCAGGAAATATTTCCATTTCATTGTTGTAGCTACTTATGTTCCTGGACTGATTTATGACCGCCAGCTTCTCTATGTTGCTGCAGTCCTGTGTCTGGCAGTGTTCATATTCTTAGAGTACATCCGGTACTTCAGGATCAAACCATTTGGCCAAACTCTTCGGCATTTGCTGTCTCTCTTCTTGGATGAAAGAGACAGCGGGCCTCTAATCTTGACTCATATTTATCTTCTTCTTGGCATGTCCCTCCCAGTGTGGTTGTTTCCTAGATCTTGTGCTCCTAAAGGCAGCTTGTCTGGGGCAGGAGCATTGGTTCCCTACGCCGGGGTGCTAGCAGTAGGGGTAGGAGACACCATTGCCTCTGTTTTTGGCAGTACCATGGGAGAAATCAAATGGCCAGGAACAAAGAAGACCTTTGAAGGGACAATGACAGCTATTTTTGCTCAGATCATTGCTGTGGCTCTCATTCTGATCTTTGACAGCAATGTGAATCTGAACTCCAGCTATGCCTGGATTCTGGCATCTGTGAGCTTAGTTTCCCTTTTGGAAGCTTATACTACCCAAATCGATAACCTGCTGTTGCCTCTCTACCTCCAGATAATGTTCATGGCTTAGAAGCACTTCCAGGAACAGAGATTTCTCCAGTTCTAGAGAAAAGTGGAAACAGAATATGCACTAGAGATGAAAGCCACTCTAAACAGTGGTTTTGGTACAGCAGATAAAATTGTTAAAAACAAATGGAAAATTTGTTTTCCAAAACAAATGGCTACTTCAAATAAAAGTTTTGGTTTGGTCTCTTTTTTTTTCCTAGTTTAAAACAGCATGAGTTGCTCTTTGGCCTCACAAGAACCCAACCCTGACTGATAAATTGGATTATTAAATAAAAATGATCTTTTTAAGTCTCTTCTGGGTGCTCGGAAGCAGAGGAAGAAGAGGTAAGTTAATTACAGAAGGGAGATTGTGCCACTCCTGTACTGCATCACAGCCAGAACTTGTCATACTGTACTGAATGCTGTTATCTTGTACTGCTGCATACGTGAAGTCACTCCTGTATAAGCACGGTTTAAGCATGTTTTGTGAGGGTCACTGCTCTCTACCTAGAGTGAACATGACTGTCCAGCTGTATCCAGTCACTATCAGCTTAGCCCTATTAATGCACTGCACTGCATGAACACAACTTCAGATAGAGGAGTTACAGAGCTGACTTTATCGGAGGGGTTGAGAATGTAAGAGACTGTTCATTCCAAGCAGTGCTAACACAAGGGTTGTAGTTTCAGGCCTGGATATTTCCACAAGAAAAACGTTTCTCAAGATTTTAATCTCTTTTAAACATTATTTCAAATAATTTAGAGTGAAGAAAAAATAAGCAAGCTCATAAGAAAAAAATTGCACACTAACTGTGAACGCAGGAGGTCTGTTGAAGTCAATAAACGTCTCTCATACTACTGCAGTCTTCCACTTCGCACGTTTTTTCAGCTTAAGTTACCGTTAGGAAGTTTATCTGGAGAGCTGCTTAATCAAATCATTTATGAAAAAATGCTTCTGTTGACAGAATGAGTAGGACTGTTTACTTCAGTCTAATTAAATCCGTAGCTGCCATGGGGGGAATCTAGTTTCTATATATTAAACACTTCTGTATTGACTGTCTTTTCCTGCCAGTTTGCCAAGCATCCATTAGAACAGGACACGTTAACTAATCTCCTCCTCCCTGCCTCTTCCATTCCCCTGAGAAATGCCCAAGCAGAAGATCGTCTTTCCAGGCTCCTTGTTTGAGGGATGAAGTTACATTCTGACACTCCTTTTGTTCGCATAAAAGGACTGCAGTACAATTTTGGGAAGAGCTTAGTGCCACCCCAAGATCCATTACACAATCCTCTCCTGCAGTCCTAACTGTGAGACTGTTAAGAGAGCAAATAAGGCAGGGTGGAGCAAAATTCATGCTTTGGGCTCACAAAACAGGCCCCAGGGTCCAACAGTGCCTGTTCCTGGGACAAGCCAGGACCAGCCCAGAGGCAGCATTGCCCAATTTACCACCGCCTGGGCAGGGCTCCTGAGACCTGACAGTGCTTTTCCTGAGCACCACGGAGTCATTCAGCTTGTTTGGGTTAATAATTCAATAAATGATCAGATAGTGTTTGCAGGAAGCAATTCAGTAACCCTGCTGGACTGCTTACTTCACATTTACTGGTAAATCCTGTAAATTCAGTCTAGCTTCTGGCTTCCACTTACACACTTGAGGTAGATGTTTTTGCAAATTGCAGGTAGCGGTGCGTATAACCAGGGGACAAACTATCATCCCTCAGCAAAAAGGTGCTATTCTAAATTATTAACTCTTGTAATGGAAAGATACAGAAAAACCTTTAGCTGTTTCCACTGCTAAGATCCTCCACCTTCACCACTGAAGTTGTAGAGTAGCACGAGCTTAAGAAGAGTCACTTTCCCTCCATCCCACTCACAAGGGCACCTGCAAGGTTAAATTTGTTTTCCTTGCAAGTATTTAGAAGTGAGCTGAAGTTCTAATTAGTCTAATTTCATAGTTATTGTGCTTTTGGCCCAACCCCTTGCAGTCAGGCATTGATTCCTACAAAACACACACAGCTTTGCCCTGGCCACTTATGTTGGGAGAAGGTCACATGCTGACTTCCTCAAAGATGATGTGAGGGAGATGAAAAGGAAGACTTCCAACCTTTTATTTAAATGTTAGTTGTTTTTTTCCTCGTAATTTCAACATTAATCTTAAAGAACTAATAATTTTAATCAGCAAGTCTATAGTTTAAGTGTTCAGCTGAAATTTGCCAGAAATACCTAGAAGAATAATTATAAAAGTAGACTTCCCACTTCATTTTGCCCACAATAGTATTCTCTTTAATTATTATTCAAACAATGGACAGAGATCTAAGGCTAAAAGTTAGATATCTTCACATGACAGGTTCACTTGCATTGCTGTGATTAACAGAGCCAAGCATTAAACCTCTTTGCTTGAATGGAAGAAAATACTAAAGATCTGCAAGGAGAAATATTTATCTGCCTCTATAGGCAAGGTGGAATGGTGTTTAACGCTTCATTCTCAAGGCTGAAGAAGTTTCCTTACCAAATGGGCTGGGTGACTATTCTCAGCACTAGTAGGGTTCATGCATTAGAAGCTTCTGACTACTGCAGGTGTGTTCAGCTGCATGAAAGTTCACTCTGAGGACAGGATAAATTAATCTTGAGAGCTGATGTAGTGACAGTTACGTGTAAAGATGAGCAATCAAAGGAATAACGGTCAGCTACTTGACTCCAGAAGCCAGTCACTGGCTTCAAGTGTAGAGCGGTGGAAAAGGCAGTTCAGGAGTTGGCTGGAGCCTAGGAGGTAAGGAAGAGTTAAACAAACTTCAGAGACTATTCCAGGTCTCGGGTAAAAGGACAAAACCTGATACAGCAAAAATAAAAACATTTTAGAACCCTTCGGTTTGAACACCTACGGTTACCTGCACTCATTAGTTTCATCTTTCAGGCACTCAGCTGTTTTATTTTAAATTTAGTATAAATTACTTTAACTGAGAGGCATCCATGAAGAATATAAGTAATTGCATGTTTTTTGTGAGGTGGAAGCGCACTGAGAATTGTAAGTACGGAATTTTCTCTAGCTCCAATATGCTCACTGCATATGACCTAGAAGGCTCATTAAATGCACTAAGACGTGACAACTTGAAAGCTTCCATTAAACAACATCCTTCTAAGAATCACGCTTCTCATTCTGTCTTATTTTTTTTCCCCTCTTCCCAAGAGACCACTGCCTGCTGTGCTGCAATCCAAGAATTGCAGATGAGGTTTTTTATTGCTGGCTGAAAATGAGCAGATCCAGCCGTGCAGAGCTAGGGAATCCTGGTCAGTAGGTAGACAGCACTCATCTCCCACAGGAACAGACTCTGAACTGTTGGGAACTGCTCCTGAGCTAGAAAATTTTAGGATAAACCTGCAACAGTGCTGGTGAAGAGTTGTTCTTCAGAGCATATGCAGAGGTAAATACAGAGCTACAACATTTATTTCAACAAAATTGTGGTTAGCACAGCTCTGTACAATGCAGAGAACTTGTGCGTATTGACAGGATTGTGCCACCAGCATGCAAGGAGACTAATAAAAGTTTTATCTTGGTTATTGCACAGAAAAGGCTCTGCTTCAGGATAGCAACCTTACCAGTTTTCCTTGCTCCAGCTGGTGTCCTTGGCTTCCATTATGTGGAAGGTGAACACATGGCGAGAGAACTCCGAGCTGTTCAGTTCACTCTTATGGACAACTTCCCCGTGGATGAGAATGAGTCCACCTGTTGGAAAGACATACCTGTACTGCTTTTTTCAAATTGTGAGTGCTAGTTTAGGAATATAAGGAAAGTACAGGTGTTACAATGGTATCTCCCTTGTTTTTTCCTCGAACAGTGACGCATTTCTGTTTTGGGGCGTGTTTTTACCTTTACTTATAGGCACAGGTATGAACTGGCTGTCGTCATAGGTTGGCTCTGACCCTACAAACTCCACGCACGTTGAGGCACCTGAAGCTGCACGCACCATTCTCCGTGTAATCCCATCTGTAAATCCAGAAAAGAAGTGAACACCCATAAAAATTAAAAAACTAACCAGATTTTGCACGATGGAGGAACAATATAGTATTTTATCTTAGCAAAGACAGAAATCTTATTATTGTGCATTCAATTCTTTCCTTAGAAATTTGGGGATTTTTCATCAAAGACCTGGGATTTTCCAGACGAGGCAGAAACTGATGAATAGCTCCTTTTTGTTTGCCTCTCTGACTTTCTGTGCGTTGCAACATAACCATTTAGGAATACAAATGGTCAGGCACTTAGGCACAACCAACCTTTCATCCATTTTTCCTTTCTAGAAGAGTATAAATTGCTATTGGAGTGCAACCAACTCCAAAATTTATGAAGGTTGAGTACTTTAAATTAAGAGTACTGTGATTACTCTGAGTAAACACTTAAGTTGGAAGCCAAATGGTGCCCTAGAGGCAGCGAAAGGCAGAAGACTGCACCCATAACCCAGCAGTGGTTAGAGACACAGCAGCCACCACCCGTCACTGTGACATGAGCCTGTGCTGATCTGGTCTCACCCCTGTTCTAGGCTGCCTGGGCATTGTCCAAGAGATCCTTGCTTAAACTTGGAGGCCCCCCTTGTTTACAGAAATTGAGCCCGATGTTTGGAAGTAGTACTGTGGGAAAGAAGACTTTTGTTCTCCTTACAGATCACTGTCAGGAATAAAGAGGTTATTGGCCGGTGGGAAAAAAAATTAAAAAATCCATCCTTTGCTTCTAGGATGGATTTCAATTTAGAACTAAAACAGTATCAGCTACATATGGTACCTATTTTCATTAAGAAAATATTGTACATTAAACTCCTTTGATGGACAGGTGGCTAAGAGCAAAGTGAGGCAGTCAACAACCTGCTGAAAAACTGAGTGTAGGTTTGACAGCAGCGTAGAGGAAGATCCCTGTGCAGTAGATTGTTATCTTTTTGACAAACAAAGCCAGTAGCATGCTTCTGCAAGCATGCTGCAAGGAGAACGTGTAACACCACGGACCTTAACTCCTCAGCCTTAAGCAAGGGAGAGGGCGAGTGGGTTCTGCAGCACACACCGAATACCGCGACCCTTACTGGTGTGGGAGCCAGGAATGAACCACAAGCAGCCGTTCTCCTGCGTGGCGTCCTCCAGCGCGATCCAGAAGCCCATCACCCTGCCCAGAGGCTCCGTGTGCAGAAATGTGGCGTCCTGGTGCGGTGTCACTGCAGCAAGAGGCGCTGGTTGGGGGCTTGGAAAGCCCCTGGAACCCAGCACCACGAGGACAGGGCACTTGGTGCTCTTGGATTTGACCTACCCTGGCCTCCCACCCATCACACACATTAATTCAAACACCAAAGCGTCACCTTTCAGCCTGCTGCAAAGGTCAAGCTAGCCCTTTGTTCACGTTGCATACGATGTAGAAACATTCTGGAAAATGCAGATGCCTTTTCTTATAGTTTCAACAACATTCAGAGCACAGAATTCATAAGCTCAAGACTGAGCCTTTTTCCTGGTAATAATCCTTTCCCCAAGGAGTATTATCTGCAGTGTAACAGACACGGGATGAACCTCACCTTCCCCACCAATGCCGGGTTGCTGCAAGGAAAAGGAAGATGTGTGAAGAGAGGAGTCTCACAGCTTCCCCCTGAGCAGTGTCTTACTCCTGGGGTGACACGGAGACCCGAACTGCCGTACCTTGAAGATGTACATGCTTTGCACAACTACTGGTCTCTCCAGGCCCAGTTTTCTTCCCAGTTCCTGTTAAAACAAAAATCCAAAAATTGTATTTCCTTTTTCCTCGAGCTACAAAACATTATTACTTGAAGATATTTAAATTCTCTTTTATGGACAAAATGACTGCACTTAGTCTAGAATATTAAAATAAATTATTCCAGAATTCAGGGTCTGTTTTTTTTCCCAGACAGCTCTAGGGACAGCATCAGCTTACCTGCACCTTGGGGGAGTGAGTGATTTGCTTGAAGACAGGATCATGGGCATGCAAGGCTAAAGGGAAGAGACAAGCTCAGGCTGAAGATTTCACAAACAGAAGGGAACCTGAAGGCTGTCAGTGATGAGCCAAGCAATGCAAACTGCAGCCAGAAACTTTCACATCCCCCCAGGAGTGGCCACATGTGGATGAGCATCGTGCCTGAGGTGACACAGCCCTTCTGGGTTAGTGCCATCTTCTTTAGAGACCAAAATACAGTGGCAGCAAACCACGGCTATATAAAAAATGCCATATAATCAAGTTTACAAAATTAACATGATGTGATTAAGCATTATATTATGCAAAACACATGAAAAACTAAAGACACTGAGTTGCAGCTCCCTCCCTGCGGGGATCTTGTTTGCAGCTAGGACCCGTCCCAGCAGGGGCTGCCACTGAGCAAGGCTCAAAGGCTAAAGCCTCAGTCATTACAGAAAATAAATCAAAGAGGAGCCTCTGCACTGCTGAGTCAGCAGGCAGCTGTAGTGGTTTTCGTTTCCCAGAGGAAAAGCTGAAGTGTGAGAGCACAGCGGAGCAGCAGAGGTTGGTTTTTGTGGGGGGGATGTGTTGTTTTCCTGAGAAAACCAGAGAGCCAAGAACTCGCAGTACTGATTTCTCAGTACTGATTTTTCCAAGTTTGCTGAAGTTAAATCTGACCAAAGTTCAGGCGGCGGGGGACGCACTGAATCACGCTCTTATTTTCCACATATTGTTTGAAAAACAAAAAGGGATCAAAATGCAAGTCAGGTAGGTGGGAGAGAGGATATGGGTCACCAACTGAAACCAGCAAGAGCAAAGAAAAGATGCTGGCAATGGCAAAGGAGCAAAGACAGCTTCAGCGTGGGCAACACACTGTGCAGGAAACAGGAGCCATGGTTTGAACTGTCCTAATGTAACCAGCCTCAGGTGGGGAAGTTGCTCAAGCCACCTCTGATGTAAGAGGGGCTGAAGTCCAAACTTTTGCACTTCGCTGTTTCTGTGCTATGCGTAACCCTCCTGGAAGTGTTGTTTTTTTTGCTTTGAAAAGGTAACCGAAAGCTGTGAAGTCCTTTGACATAATGGAATAAAGGGCAACGTGGAGAGAACCACAGAGGTAGTGATGGGGTGATGTGGGAAAAAAATGGACTGCTGTGCCAAAATTTAACGCAGAAATCCACAGCAAAAGAGGCCAGGGGTGCAAAGAAAGGAGTTATGTGGCCACATGGGCAAAATGGGGTGAGGTTTGTAGTATTGGAGGTCCCCTGGAAGCACACTGAGGAGCAGCAGAGCAGGGAGGTTGCACCCAGGAAGGTTGAAACTCCAGTCCTCGTGTCTGAGAACTGCCTCCCTTTTGCCTGTCCCTCTCAAAATACCCTCATTTAAACGTACCGTGGCCAATCTTGCTGACAGATCTCTCCTTTGGAATCAGAAAGTTGCCTACGAGCAAAAAGCAGAATTTAACATGGCTTGCACAGCAGGAATCGTCCGCAGAGCTGGAACTCGCCCCTGCCTCCTCCTGTCCCCTCACTGGGGCTAACTCGGGTCAGAGCTTACCTCTCTCATCCAAAACACCTTTCTCAAAGAAGAATCTAATCTTGTCTCCACTGGTTAGGAAATAATCCGAGCTGCCCTGCCAGGGATAAGAGCCCAGTAAAGACAGCAGCCTCGTAAATGCACACAGGAACCTTCCATCACAGGGGTAACACTCACCTGCATCTTTTTCCCCACCGAGCCGCAGCATGAACAAAGCACAGTCAGTAGAAATCATGTGTAGGTTTCCCCCGATATTAAATCTCTTGGCCCTTATTAGGACTTTACCAGAACCCACTTCCCTCCCGGGGCTGTAACGGGGCCAGCCCTGCCCCTTGGGGTACCTGTGCCTGGAGCTGCTCCCCTTCCTTGGTGGAGAACTCCGTCCGGCAGTGTGGTGGCACTTCCATCTCGGCTATGATGCCCTGAATCTGCTCCCTCATGCTGTCGCACTCCTCCGGGGTGAAAAAATGCTCCAGGACGAGGAAACCATCCTGGTGGAACTAGAAGGGGGAGACGGGGTGGGTGGCTGCCCTCCTTCAGGGCAGCTCTGTCCCTCGCTGTGCCTCTGCTTAGTGTGAAAGGCACCCCAGGCTCAGCAGCTGGGTGATGTAGTAGGCACGAGAGACACCTTGACTGCCATACCATACACTTAAGGTATGATTAAGTCACTTTTAGTGTCTCTAATCTAACACAAATTAATTTTTCTGCTGCTCCCGGCATGTTCTCTCATTATGGTTTCATCCACATAGGACAAAACCTAAGGGGTGGGTTGGTTTTGTTCGTTTTTTTAAAGTTCAAGAGGAGTTTCTATTGAAAAAAGATAATAACTAGTTAACAGGTTTAGACTCCACAGAGTTAAGGAGAACAAATTTGAACTCCTCAGCCCCAAATCAGAGAAGACATCACTGCTAGAGTCTCTGTGGCTTAAGGGTATCTTATCTAAGATACGTGACCAGCAGCTATTGAGTTACAAATCCTGCTAAGACGAACAGAGAGCTCGTACCCAGAATCAAATAAAAATGAGATTCCTTCGCAGAGAAAAAAAAATAAAAACCTTTCCTGGTTTAAGGGAAAAATCCGTGTGTGATTTCTCATGGTTGGCTGCACAGCCCCTTACAAAGGGACATGAACCCTGCTGGCACTGCTGTGTCCTCATATAGAGCACCCCGGAGATTATCCCCTGATGGGCAGATTGCAGCCTCGCGGGTGACAGCTGAGCAGCAGACAGCAGGGGACGAGAGAGATTCCCCAGGGAGCTCTGCAGGACAAGTGGCTTTCAGGGAGAGTTTGTGGCCACGACAGGGTCCCCACACACTCACACAAATACAGTACAAGAAGCTGAGCAGAATACAAAGTGTTTATAGGAGCAAATCTCCGCTAGACCCAGCCAACACTAACGAGTAGCAGCCATGCCTTACAAGCAGCCTCACTGCCCGTGCTGGGGACACGCTCCTTTTCCCCAGGAACGCTTCCCACCTGCTCCTTACCTTCTGGATCTGATGCTGGGTTACCAACGCCATCGGGGCAGAAGCTGCCAGGATCCCACCAGCAAGACCACGGTGCCGGCCAGGCTCCGCACGGCGGCCTCCCTGCACGTGATCCTTTGGCAGCCTGTGATAAACGCAAGCGCTGGGACAAACCTCCCTGGGCTGCTCCCCCCTCTCCGGCTGCTTGTTCCCAGCAGGAGCATTGGGACTGGAGTTTTGCTTCTGCTCCTGGTGCTGTTCCACGTGCACAAATTCTGCTCAATTTAAAGAGTGCGACCGCAAACCTGGTCACTGCTTGACTCCAGGGAGAAATGACTTAACCCAGATTAAAAATGGGAGGGGTTGAACTCATAAACAGAGTTGTAAAAAACAGGAGGTAAAATAAGATTTAAAGTAGGATGAGAAGATCTCAAGGGCTGCTGCAAAGAACAATAAAAAAAGAGATCCAGACGTGGCAATCCAAGCTCCTGCAGAGCTCCCTTCACTCTGCCAGTAACCCCTGAATCCTCATCTGAAAGGGAACCCGGTGACCCAGGAGGTGCCAAACGCGAGCCAGAAAGGTGTCAAAGCTGGAGAGCTTTCAGCAGGGATCCAGCAAAATTCAGAGAATTCAGAGAACGTGTCAGCTGTTCTCATCCACAGCTGCTCTTCGGGGATTGCCACTTTCAGTTGCCTTATTTGCTCCGAGCGTGCATGTAAATAGGTGAACTAAAAGCACAGAGCACTTACCAAAGAGAGAAAATGCAATAAAGGGGAAAAAGAGCAGTAATTGGGTCTAAAAAAATGAGGCAGAAAGGAGCGAGTACCAGCAGGCAGCCCAGCGGTGGCGCTCGCTGCCAGCGCATCCTTGAAGCCCCTGGGGAAGGTTTTGTGTGTTATTTTTTTTCTTCTTCTTTTTCCTCCGAAGAAAAATGCCTGGCTCCCTCGGGAAGCACCTCGAACATCCCTGCGGTAGCACTCCGAGAAGGGAAGGCAAAAAAATAACATCACAGGGACGCTTTTATGCATCAGGCGTCTAGCAGAAGAAATATATAGGGAGTAAAAATGACTCCTGGGTAGGTGATTACTTCCAAAAGCACATGCTAGCAAGTTAAAATCCATCTTAATTAAATGCTGTTTGGAAAAAATCAAGTCCTCTACTCTGTAAGGGAATCAAATCTGGATTAAAAATCCCTCTTCATCTCATTCCATCTTTTTCTTTTTTTTTTTTTTTTATGAAAAGCAAATTAAGTGTTTTCACTAGAGAACACCTCATTTTGAGCATTAACAAGCTTTCCTCCACACCCAACAGGATGAGTTTGGTACTTAGAGCTAAATTTCACAGGAGAATTTAATTACAGGGCTATAAAGGTGGAGGGGAAACAACCTCCAGCATGGCAAAATTCAGAGAATAATCAGGTAGTTCCTCCCTCTTAGGAGGAGTTTCTCCAGACAGCAAAGCTGAACTGTTCAAGAAAGCTGGGTAACCAGCAGGGAAAATAAAATAAAAATAAAAACACCCTGCTGCAGCTATTGCCTGTAAGGCAAATCTTACGAGGACCAACCCCTCCACTCATGAGTAGCCCTGCTTGGGAGGTAGCAAGCCTGATAAATATTTAAAAAAATAAATAAACAAAAAACCAACACTGCCATGCTGTTCCATGGGTCATTCACAACGTCACTCGTCGTTCCCAGTAATGTATTTCAGCAATTTAACACGTCATCTCCTCCACTCCCCGCGTGACGCACACCCAGTGACTTCAGAAGTTGTTGGAGTTCGTGCAGGCAGCAGGAAACCACAACTTTCCTGGTTTGTTTATGGAAAGTGCTGTAAACAAGCACCACGAGCTGCAGATCACAGCCCAGCGAGTGCACGAACAAGAGGCAACCACCCGAGGGACAGGAGCCTCAGGAGTCCTCCGGGCCTTTGCCATTGCAGCCGTGCTCCTATTTTGAGGCTCAGGAAGGTATTCTCAGCAAGAGGAAAACCACCACCCCTACGTAATGCCTAAAAGGAGGCAAAGAGGACGACGTAATCTTCGTAAATATCTCCTCTTCCAGTAAGTTTAAATAAGGAAGGTAGAAAGCACTGGGACAAAAGTGGGAAGTGACCCCTCTTTCCTTCCCTTCCTCCCCCTCCGAGAGCTCCGTGCAGGCTGTTAACACTTTCTCCTGCCAGCTCGGCAAGAAAACTGCTTTTCTGGCAAAAATAAATAAATAAATAAATAAATAAATAAATAAATAAATAAATAAATAAATAAAAAAAAGCATTTCTGGCAAACTCCTGGGAGGCTGCCAGAGCCCAGCCCCTGCCTGAAAGACAGGTACAGGAGCGAGCAGCATGTGGGACATGAACAACCCTGCAGCAGACAAAGCACGTGTTAAAAATGCCATCCTGATCAGTGCAGTTACCCCAATTTCTTCCTCAATACGAGGTCCTACTGATACCACCTGGAGCAAAGCCAGGTCGCTGGTTCCCTGCAGCCACTTTCAGCAGCTCGGCGCACTCACCGAGGTTGCTGCTGCTGGAGCTGCCAGGACTAACAGGCAGGCAGCAGTTTCAGCTGGATCTCTTCTCTCTCCTCAAGTCTTCAGTATGAGCAGTGATGGAGTGTTTCATGAGAAACAAGGAGCACAGGAACAAATATCGTGTTGAAATTATATTAAGTGGTCTATTAGTATACATCGAAGGTGGCATTGATACAGGACTACTACTCTTTTCCAACTACCCCCACTGCATCCCCACTCTATAGTGAGCTACAGAGAAAGTTTGGAATTTTGGGAATTATCTGGATTAAAAGTGCTTTTTCTAGCAAAGACATCAGTTTTTACCTTTGGGCTCTTTCCCCATCCCTTTAATAGAGGCTCCCAGGAATCCAGCAAGCATCAGTTCTCTGATGGCACCTTCCATTCATTCCTTTTGCTCAACTATTCAGAGAGTTGGCAAACGCTTGCCAAAAGCAGCTTCATTCCAAGAGGGCCTTAGATGACGAGAGGCATTTTGTCCTCTCCTCCTTTAGTTCCATCCTAGTGACATTTCTTTAAAACTCAATGCCAATAAATGGCATTACAGACTTGCACCCTTCACAGCCTGCTGAAGTGGGTCTAATGGCACTGTGGTCAAGCAGCCTTGGACAGAGGAAGAAAGGGAAGACAAAAAGACAAGAAGCACCTTTCTGTGCAATAAATGAGCTGCACAGAAACTAAAGCTGCCTTTGAAAGTCACAGGCTGATTCTCTGTAACACATCGTGAAGATGCTCAATGAGGAGAGGTTACCTGCCAGCATTTTCCAGTTGAAAGGAAGAAAGGTAGTGCGTGGGGTAGGCAGACAGCTAGGAAACACAGACTGTTTGTTACCAGTAGCTGGCTGAAGGCACCATTTCTATGGCAACTGCAAGTTTACTCCATCCACTTCAGTGCCTACCTTTCTCCTGAGGAAGGAGAGCACAAGATGCGTTCTGAAAACCCAAGTTTCTACAGGTCCAAGCAGACAATCCTCCAACAATCTGTGTTTGGCAATGTAAATTGTTTCAGCCATTTCTTAAAGCGATGGTGAAACATGTAAAGCAGTCCAGGCTTGCCACTGAGCAGAATCTTTCACTGCGCATCTTTCTTATTCATAAAGTGCTGTAATCCACAGGAGCTCAAGCAATGAGTAAAAAAATAATAATTCTACACAATAGCTAGAATTATTAACATCTGTCTTCTGAAGAGTGAGATCGTCAGAGACTAAGTGCCTTTGCATACAGGAAACCAAAGAAAACAGACATAAAAGGAAAATGCAAATTAAAAATTAATTTTTTTATTCTGTTAAAGTGTCCAGTCTTACAAGTCTTTCCGAGAAAACAATAGCAGCCTTCAGTGCTTAAGGTGGAGGTGCTGTTGATCAGCTGCCCAAACAATCCCACGTACAAAGTGAATGTCATGATTCTGAAATGTTACACCAAGTTGCAGGTCTCAGATGCCAAACCACAACCCTGCGAGCACATCTACAAAATGGGAGTGAGCAATGTTTAAGCCATGAGTAGTGTCTTACTTAAATGGATGCGTTTGTCAGCTTTAAAAGTGACTCAGGCCAATTAGCCCCCTTCTCATTAAGTTGAAAAATTTTCCCCATTGTTCAATAAGCTTCCTTTAAAGGAGACAGAGAGAGAAATGGAAGGGTATTTCCAGAAATTCCAAATTAAGCCTTTCTTTGTGCAATTTCACATAAAGTTCATCTTAGTCATTGGAGTCCATCAATTCAAGTGCAATTACTTTTGAAAAGGGATTTCAGACAAAACTTCTGATGGATTTTACGCTTCCAAAGCGGTTAATATTAACCTGTCACTGCAGCTGGAGCAATGGAGAGAGAGAAAGGTTTGAGACCAACAGTACCTTTGTCCAATTCCAGTTCTGCTTCGTGCACTGCCACAGTGCAGGTAGGACAAAATCCATTCTGTTTTGGCACGTGCTTATTAAGACTACAGGATCTGCTGTGTTGCCAAACAGCAATAAAAAAAAAAGATGCAATGAGGAGGAAAAAAACTCAAAGTGAAACTGAGAGCTTTAGTATTCAGCACTGACACAGCCTTACCTTTGGTAACATTTCAGAGTAGATGGTGCTACTGTTTATGGTATGACACGATTGTTCAATGAGAAAAGTCATGCCGGCACTTAAATCTTTCCATGCTCTCCACATTTGAAAGGAAAAGAATCAGAGGGAAGAGCTGGCTTCAGGCAGAGACAATTGCAAATACTCTAGAAGAAGCAAGTGCCTCAGCAGAGCAGTTACCTTAGTGTCTGGAGAAGGCACAGCTCTCAATGAAAAAACTATTCCTCCCCTGAAGGGCTGAAGAAAAAAATCCAGAGAATTCAAACCATGTGAGTCCCTTTCCAAAGAGGAAAGAAGGTAAGGAAGGGAAACGATGTCACAGCTGTTGAATCAACATTCAAGCCTTTTTTCCTCCCCATACGCAGCATCCCCTGAAAAGGATGCGATGTTGTTCTGAAATTCCTAGAATTGTTTCTTAGAGCAAAAAGAAGAGGACCCTCGGTGTGGTTCAGCAACAGAAAGCCACTTAATACTATTTATGGTAATGAACACCAAGATCTTGCTTTAATTAAAATGAAGCGAGCTAAATGGAGTGTATAAATGGTAATAAGAAAAATAAAAAATGAGGTAGGACATTCTCCGGAAGTGACAATTAATACCAAAGAACACCACATCATGAAAGATACCAGTAACAGCTTGTATTGGGCTTCTGTTTAACCATTCAGACCAGCAGAGGACATTAATTTCAGCTGCTGAATTAGCTAGGGACCAAAGAGTAAATTCAGAAATCTTAAAGAAAAGCTCCAACTAACATTCCAGTGCATAGTTTGAGATACAGCAAGTTTTAACGTATTTAATAGGTTTGGTATCCCTTGCCTTACAGTTAGTTTAAAAAATCGGTTGCAACTTACTACTTTTTGGGGTATTTAGCAGGAAAGGTAGAATTCCATTTTACTAACCTTCAGTCCTAGCATGGGATGATCATGCTTGTGATCAACAGGGGCTCCAAGAACTCATTCAGCTCAGCAGTGCTATTAAGGAAACAGTTTTAATTCAAGTTGCTTTTATAGTTTAGCAGCTAATAAATCTGTTTTGCCATTAACTAGAGTGCTTTGAAAAGACAGGCCAGGAAAATAAGACGCTGACCTGTTGATTGTCTGCTTCAGTTGAACTTCTTTCTGAACATACAGATCTGTGTCAGAAAAAGCTAAGCTTCAGACTTGAAAGAATATCCACTGACCGAATGCTTGCAAATGAGGAGGGATTGTTGACGTAAGCTCATCCCTCAAACTGAGTGATCCAGGCTGGTATGGGAAGTGGACTGACTCACTGTGCTGTGGGTTGAGTTTTGCTGGAGTCCTAAGCAGCAAACATGTTCAGGACCTCGTGGTTTAGACCCTATCCTTGAAGTTTTAAAGCTTCTTCCATTTCATCATTGGAAATTGATACTCTGGAACCAGTATCTATTTCATGGAAGACCAAAAAGCACATGTCAGGAGCAGATAAATAATGTCATCTTCCAGAAAGGCGATTTATTTTCGTGCCACCTATGTTTGTGGTACAGGAACTTATCAGACTGCTTATTCCAATTTTGCCACCCAGGAATCTATCTCAAGCCCTAGCAGCCATGATTGAAAAATTGAGCTTGGAATATCGAAATAGGAGCCAAAAGCTAGTGTTCCCATGCATGATCAATACTGGCCTATCTTAAAAATTGCTTTGTAGACCTCAGGCATAGGACAGTCTACTCAGCAAGCAGCAGCATAGCTCTGTTATTTGATAGAAGTTAGAGATTCTCGCTTCTAGCAGAATATTGCCCACTTCTCCAATGAGTTCAGCACTGACATACGCAGTTCAGGAGACTTACAAGCTTCTAGAAGCACTGCAGCACATAAGCAGGGGCTGCTTATAGAAAATTCTAGCCTAGCTGCACAGAGTTTAATTGCATAATTAGCATCGTCCCTAAAATCAAGAGTCAAAGCACTCATCTACGATGAGCTGGACACACAGGAGAAATCTCTCTGCTCCCATAAGCTAGGTTAAAATTCTGCTCCTCTAAGCTAGGTTAAGACTCTGCCAGGTGCAATGCCTTTTCAGCCCTGCCTAGCCTAAAACGCACACGTTGTAAACCAATTACCCAATGGCCTTGAATACAATACAGAGTTCAAGCCTCTATTCTGTTACAATTGCTCTCCAGCACAATATTTTGGCACCAAATAAGGAAGAAAAAAAGGCTTCCTTCACCCTCCAATACACCCTTCACCCTGCCCCTGCAGCCACCACGAGGGACCGCCTGGAAAACAGCATTACCCTAGCTAAGCCTAAAGCCACTCCTGCCTTACTTAAGCAGCGTTAAGCCCACCTCACAATTCCTCTCCCATCAATCCGAAATGCTCGCGTGAATGAGTCCAATCCAAGAGGCATTAACGCTTCTGAGCGCCAGCATCTGCCCTGATGCAGTGCATTTTGGAGTAGCTTCCTTCCCCCATTGCTTCAGCAGCGGCCCCAACCCTAACAGGATTTCACCAGGCTAACCCTGTTACAAACAAGAAGAGCTTTTAGAGTGCCTTGCCTTCCAGATCAGGAGATTTAATTATTGTTGCTCCCCTGGACTGTTTAGACTTCTCATGATGAACTAAGGGAGGCAGAATTTGCATCCTCCTTAAAAGCAGTTTTATAAACAGATTTCCTAGATTTTAATGTAGCTTTATTTAAGCGTCTGAACATCAACAAATCCAGAGCCCGTTTAACATTGTCCATGGTTTCGGCGTATTTAGTGTGCATATTTCATATCTTACATCTGATGAAGAAAGCCATAGCGTGTGCCCTACTGCACCAACATCCAAGGGATCACCGGGATTTGCTAAAGCCAGTGCTCTCGCTGGCCCTTTGCCAGGAAACCGCTCTCGGAGCCGGCTGCAGCTTCCCCCTTCCATACACACGGGAGGCCTCCGAAACACTTGGTGCCTCAGCTTGCAGCACTCCACCTCGCAGACGACCTACCAGCTCGATGCAGGGTATTGCAACCAGGGCCTGCAAGTCCACGAGCCTCTCCTCTTCCTTCTGATGGAAAAGCGCAGACTTAGGGCGTACTGCAGGCACCCACCTTCACCACCCCGCCTCGGGGACACGATTAGCAGCAGCTATCGCGAGTTATTCACCTCTGCCAGCGCAGGGTTTCGTCAAACGATACCAAACAGGTCAGGCTTGTTTCAATAAAGGCTGCTCTGTCCCAGGGATTGAGAGCTCAGTCCACAGAGGGTTCTCAGGCTGCTCCTTAACAATGGGGGAACGAAACAGGAGGACAGGTTACTTTTCCAGCACCAAGTTCAATTGGGATTAGCCTCTTATGTAGTGCAAGAGGTGTAACAGGAACTGACAGCTGCTACAGCGAGCAGGGCAACGGGATAAAAAACCAAAATCAAGCAGGTTTGTAGTTTGTGCTCCTGAGGAACACTTGGCAACACATCTAACGACTTCATGGGGTGGGGGCAGAGGAAAAGTGAGCATTCCTCTTCACTACAAACACCATCAACCCTGGGAGAGACCTTGACACACTGGTCAGTTTTGCATTCGCATTTGCCACATGACAGAATACCAGGAATTTAAAAGCAGATTGAAAACTTTAAAAGCCAAATCCTGAAGTAACTCAGTGCTTCTGGGAGAAGGAATTAGACAGTCCAACCGCTCTTTATCCAGATCTTCTCCCGCTTACACTATAACCATCCATTTCAGACCAGGCTTAAACTCTGGAATTATTTCAGTTAGTGCCTCCAACACCTCAGCTGGAGAAGGATGCTGTGTGATCTACTCATCAGCACAGGTGACTTGAAACAATTAAAATAGTGCAACCTCAAATGTGCAGACTGAGTTTTGGGGGAGGACCGATTCCTTCCCTAGGGGCAGAGGACAGCATGTCAAGTGCAAGAGGGAAATACAATTCGAAACAAAAGATGATCCTGCATCCAAGCTGATGTCTGAGATAAATTTACCCCCCCAAATCCTAATGCCAACATCTAGATAGAAATCAGCTGTCTGTGTCCTATCTTACCCCCACTGCAGGGCCTCACTTACTGAATTGCTGAGCTGGAGGGAAACTGTACCAGGTGTCACAGAGATGGAGGTTCAGGAGGTTTCCTAGGCTCTTGATTCTTGCTTGCAGGACACTGGACACTCTCAGTCCCTGACACGTGTAATCCCCATTTGAGGCAGTGCAGCAATCCCCATGTTTCCTGTTCTCCTCCACTCAAAGGAGATTTCTTCTCACCAGCACCATCCACCTCACCCCATCTCCTGTCCAGAAGAGCAGCGACACCTCTTATCCCACCGGCCCTCGCTCAGAAGCCATCTAACCTGCCTTGATCCTCATCCTGATCCCAAGCTTTCCCCATCCTGCGTCTGAGGCAAGAAGCAGCCTCAGTCAGAGTCATGATTGTTCAGGGACTCCTTGGCTAGTCTGATAGTGATTGGAGAGGAGGAAGGGGAGGATCTGGGAAAAAGGGGACTGGAATGGCCTTGGGTTTCCTTCTAGCTGGTCAGAGGTTTTTCCCCCTTCTTTCAGGGGCTCAGGCTTGTTCTTTGTCTGCCCTCCACAGCCGCTCTTTGACTTCCAAGGGCAGCGTGTTGAACAAGTCCTCCTCCACCACCAGCCCGCTACGTTTCAGCAGAGGACACTCTCCCAGCTCCACCGGCAGGCACTCCAAGCGGTTCCCCCGCAGCTCGATCTGGGAGAGGTTTGTCAGCTCTCCAACCCGGGAGGGGAGGGACTGCAGCACATTGTTTCCCAGGTTCAAGGTTCTCAGCTTCCTGCACTGGAACAGCTCTGGTGGTAGACTCTCGATCTGAAGGGGAAAAAAAAAACCAGAACAATCAGAGGCAAAGTCACCAAACAGAACAAGCTCAAACAAGTGCACACAATGTTCCAGGCTTTACAGAGTTTTCAGTCATCCACTTCTCCCTCAGGTGAGCTCCTGCTTTGCACCACAAGGACTGTTCCCAAAGCAGGAGGCACCACACCATAAGGCTTCCCACCACAGTTCTCCCACTGGTCTTTTCCAGCTCTTCTTGGAGCACTGCCCTGCAAGCAAGCCTCACAACTGGCACCTCCCAGCTTTGAGATCTTAATATATTAACTGCTGTAAACCAGATCATTCTTCAGTCTTCGTGCTGTCCACTCCCAATTATGTGCATGACACACTGGATTTTCATGCATACCCTTTCCATTTCCTGAAGCAGAAGCTACGTGGGTATAATTCCCAGGCCCTTGGAACTGCGAGTAGTCTTCCATCATTTCTGCAGGGCTTGGAAGTGTTGCAAGGACCTTCTAGGCTCCAAAGTGCATGGCTTTTTTTTTTTGAGGGGGGGTTTGGGGACAGTGACAGTGCTACAAAACACGAAGGTGGTGGTGGGAAAGCTAACAGTTGGTGGCTTCAAATCACTGATTTAGTAAGACTTATTTCTATCAGCCCCATCCTCCTTCCAAAGGATTTCTAAGAAAATATAGCTAAGGTTTAACAAATACTAGGCCAGGAACTAAATGCACCAATTCAGTATTCTCTCCTTAAAGCCTCATCATGAAGACTTACTTGCCCTTAAGCACAGACATGCCTTTTTACAACTTGAATTACGCACGATACAGCTGAACCGGGCTGTAATCAGTTTTGAATGAGATTGAGTCCAATGAAAAGCCACAACAAGACCAATTAAATGCAGTTAAATTCAGCCACTGGTACTGTCAAGTGTTATACAAACATGCAACCAAATGTTCACAGACTCTTTAAAGTAATACAGTTATTTAAGGGACAAGGATTGGTTTAGGAAGGAAGCAGCGTGCTATAACATGGCCTGCTTCCCAGAACCCTACACTGGTACCAGCCAACTCCAGGAGTATTTATTTGCTAAGAAAGGATATTTGAGATAACTCCTGGCCCACCAGCTCTTTTGTTTCTTGCTGTCATTGTTCCCCGTAAATAACCAGGCTGTCTGAGCCCCAGGGTAATTGTGGCACTGCCCAGGCACCTGCAAGGGATATAAGCAGCTTAGCTGCTGCACTAGGTCCTCACCACCTTCTGCTTCAGAACACGCTGGCACGAATGCTGCTCCACCTTCCCTGCTGCATTAGTATTTTTGCAGAGAAAACAGGGTGGTGCCATATTCTGATGCAGAAAATGAAGCTGCCTCCAACTCCTTTTCCTCCAAGAGAAGCTCCACCCCGAGACTGCAGAGGCTACGCTGCAGATTAACTCTCAGGAAGCTCTGGTTGCAAGGTTGCCAGAAGACAAATGGGACAGAGTTAAGGGCAGCAGCTTGAGAGTTGTTAAAAACTTCCCCCTCTTCACTTAACACCACCCTCAGAAGCTCCACCTATCAGCCACACTCACCCTGAGAAAATATTTTAGCTTTTAACCTAACATGAAGCAATGTGTGCATACCATGAAGTTCAGAGCTTAAGCCATCGATGCAAGCTGATGCACAGCCACCCAGGCCATGAGTGCTGGGAAAAAATGAGTGAGCAGCTATTGAACTGGGACAGTCGAGTGGCTGCTGCTTGCTGTTACTCCTCAGGGGTGCAAACAGGCTTGAACCTTCAAATATTGACCTGAAAAAGCTGGAGTTTTAGAAACCCTGCATCATACTGAATTGCGTTAGAAATTAAAAACTTAATCTGAGAATGTTGGCCTTGCAAAAGCCACCCAGTCCTGGAGCTGCTGTGTTTGCTTCTCTCAGAGAACATGACAGCATTTGGTTATGGAGACATCTCACCAGTAAGGGTCTCGATATATGGCAGTGAGACCAGGACAGTTCTACTGCATGCTCACTGAGAACCCAGCAGCCACTCATCAGTCTGTCTGCATTTTGTGCAGTTCTGTTAGAGCCTTCTGCATGGCAAACTTCAGCAAACAGAGCGAAGGAAGGCCTCAACAAGTCCTTCAGCTCAGCACAGCCCATGCAGTCACAGGTTGATCTTTGTGCTGCCTGGTAAGTGGAGCCTCCTTCATCCCAAACGCAGAACAAAGATGCAAGAAAGCCCATGGGTACATTTGGCTTTAAGCAATTAAACTCCTTCCGACACAAGGGCATCACAGCACACAGCTACCCCTTCTAACCTGCCTTGTACTTGGACACCTAGGGCTCAGACTTCCCCTACATGGAATTAGGCAAGAAGGCACGCAATCACCAGCGTGAGGCACAGCAAGGTGCCACCACACCCCCTACCCTCAGGATCAAGTTCACTTTCACATCCAGCTGAACTATAGAGTATTCCCCAGAAACGAGGAGTGCTACATGCAAAGTTGTGAGCCACACACCCCCTAGATGGCTGCTGTCACAGTGTACACACGTGGCTTAAGGTGTGGTGCTAAATTAAGACTATGGTTTCTCAGACCTTCATTTTAAGCCCAAAGCTGATGTCAGTCTAGAGAGTACAAGCTTCCAACTGCAGAGAAACAACCAAGACAGGATTTATGAAATAGCCTCCAACTGCCACTTAAAAGCAATTTCACTGGAAGATAAGAAACAATACAAAACAAGAGCTGCTCAAAGAAGGGCCCCTGGAGTTATTTGTCTTAGATAAAACCCTCAGAGAGGAACAAAAGCCTGAGAATTTAAACAGAACAGCAGTGCCAGGAGTATTTCACACACCAGGGTACCATGTTTAATCACAGAGACAAAAGAAGTAAGAGCTACTACTCAGGAATGCTCAGGTTCTCTCCCACTTACCCTGTTGGCTGTCACAGCCAGGTTCTGCAGATTTTGGAGGAGTCCTATGTCTGGCGGTATGAAAGTCAAGTTGTTGTGGCTGAGATCCAAATACCGAAGTTTTCGGCAATAGAAGAGCTGGGTAGGGATCTTCTCGATCTTGTTCCGATTCAGGTAAAGGCGCTCCAAGTTGGTGAGGTTGCCTATTTGCATGGGGATGTAGGCAATGTGGTTGTACCACAATTTAAGGCAAGTGAGACGATGTAAGTGCTGGAAGCTGATGATTTCCTCAATGGTCTTAAGGTTATTGTCCTTCAGGTCTATCTCCTGCAGATTGTGGAGGCTAAAGATGGAGTGAGGAATGCGTTCTAAGTCACAGCGGATCAGCTCCAGCTCTGTCAGGTTGACCATCTTCTTAAGGCTGTTGAGAACAATGAGCTTGGTGCCCTCATTGTTGATGGAAAGCTTCTGAAGATGCACGCCAACATCCGTCACCACCTGTGGCAGCTTGGTGAGGTTACTCTTCAACCTCAGCACCTTCAGCCTCTTCAGCTCCCTCAGGCCATCTATCACGATGTACCGGTTGTTCTCAGCGCTCAGATTCCCCGTCAGATGAAGCTCCTCTAGTGTCTTCAGGCTGTAAATCCAAAGAGGAATCTCCTTGATGTCTGTGAACTTGATGTGCAGAGACTTCAAGTTCTCCCTCAGGAAGGCAAGGGCTGGAGCCTCAATTTTGGCAGCGGTGTGGTAGAGCCATAGTTCCTTAAGGCTGGTGAGCTGGGCGATGCTTGGGGGAATAGTGACATCAGGGATGAGCTCCAGCTTCAAGACCTCCAGCTCAATGAGGTCAAAAACCGTGTCGGGAATGCCACTCAACATGAAGAGATGTAGTTCCAGCTTGTCCTGGGAGTTCTTGGTGATCCTCTGGCGCAGCTTCTCCAGAGTCCACTCGTTGTTGAGGTTCAGCTGCCGCAGTTTGTTCTCACTCACCTCTGACAGAAAGACAGCAAAGCGCTTTGAGTACAGGGGGTCATACTGGTCGATCAGGTGGAGCATAAAAGCAAAGTCGTTTTTCACGTCAGGAATGTCACTGTAGCTGCTCTCCTCCCGGATAGACTCGAAGGAGTACTTCTTGAGCGATCGCCTCAGCATCCACCAGAGCGTGTACATGCAGATCAAGCCGTAGACTATCACCAAACTGATGTAGAAAGACGCCAAGATTTTGAAGAGCGTGGCCAAAGGATGAGCACAGCGGTACATCCTGTAGCCAGTCAAGCTCTCAATGTCCACTTTACAGTCAACGTCAAACGTTATGTTGTTGACGTAGTAAACGGTATAGCAGATGATCAGGATGAACTTGATTACTTTGATGATGGTCTGCCTCATGTAGAGGCGGTACACTATATCTCCCTCTTCCACGTGCGTTCGGAACTTTTTCACTTTTTCAAAGAGTGCTTTGGCCTGCTCACCTTCCTTTTTGTCTAAGACTCCCGTCTCAGACCGGTCCACGATCCCTTGCTCGATTCGAGACTTTGTTCTCTGCAGCATGGGAACAGTGGCTTCCACATCCTCACTGACTGTGGAGGATTTCTTGTCCATGGAGCCATTCATTTTCCCAAATGCTGGCTTGGTATCGCTCTCTTCCACCACCGTCTCAGATAATGCCCTCGTTGTCCACGGAGAATCAAAACACTTAAGCAAAATAGACACAAAGTGCTCCAGCTTGGAGCTGGTCCGTGGGAATTTGAACCAGAAGTTGCTACAAGCCAGGAAGATGAGAGTATGCAGCAGCACCAGATAAGGAAAATACTTGGCAAACCAGTGAAGGCGGTTTTCATAACACACCGCGTCCACGTAGTTATACTGGTGCCGGTCCAAATCATACCGGATCCCCGTCGGCCCCGTATCAGCAGAGGGAACAAGACTGGAGTTAAAGTAGGTGCGCTCCGGGGCTGCGGCTGTCCAGCCTCTGACAGAGTCATTGCAGGAGTCTTTGGTAACCCATTTACAGGGCAAACAAATCATTTTGTCCTGGGTGACCTGAAGTGTCCCTCCAAACACTGCGATCATCAGCATTACTATGGAAATGTAGTCCGTGAAGACGTCCCACCATGGCTTCAGGATGCGGTACGCTGGCTGCGTGTCAGCAAAGTATCGCAATTCAGTGACTGGAATCATGATTCACCTGAAAGGAAAACACAGGCAGGCATTACTAACCTCACCTCTTTTGTTCTGCTTCTCTAGAGGGTATCAGGAAACCTCACGTTTTAAGTGCTAGCACAGCAAGAGTGGAATTATTTGAGTCCCTGTTTCAAGTCACTCAGACACCAATAAATGAAGCTACCTCTGAGTAATTTGCTGCAGCTGAGGCTGTGAAGTTATTTTGTTTTCCCTGACAAATGAGCTGTCACAAGCCATCAGAACTGATACTTGTCATTAGGAGTCTGCGGTTAAGAAATTCACACCTACAGCAAGCTCCCAGTAGCAGTCTAAACTACGCTGCCAGAGCAGGATCTGGGAGCTCGCAGTTTTATCTGGGGATTTTATTTCAGGATGAAGGAATTTGGCAGCATTGTTAGGAGAGAAAACCCCCACACACGGCATAGCGGTCATGAGTCTGTTACTCTTTAACAGAGCTAATAGTTCTGCACTGCATGACTCAAACAGCATTAGAGTTATACTTCCTAGAACCACTTGACGGATGCAACTCAACATGTTTAATCAAGAAATCTGGGAAAGAGAACAAAGTTGCCCAATATTATGCCTTTTCCTTCCACATAAGTTGTGGCTTTCCTCTCTCCATCAATTCCCCAAGGAAAAATTAATTACCTGCCCTCTGATAGATTCATTACTGAAATCCTGTAAAAGCTGCTCTGTCTTATTCACTTCAGAAGTATAGGAAGGGGGCGACATACTTAAATACAAACTCACTTCCTTGAGCAACCACTCCCACCCACAGTTCATCTCAGCTGGGATTTAAAGTGTCACAAAGGAAACCAAAAGGTTCTGGGAAGCGGGGACCTTGTGGCAGTGCTCGTTCTGTCTTTCAGACTTCCAGAAGGAACTTCAAACGCATTCTTCCTCAAGCCACAGAAAACCCAGAAGCCTGACCGATTCATGGAACTGCAAGCTCAGAACTTTCCATGTATCTGATGAATGATCAGCACAAACTGAGAGTTCACGAAATCGTTGTACCTTGTTCTCATGGTGAGCAGTGCTATCACATCACACTTGCTGGCAAAGTTCAGCAGCAGAAGCACAAAGCTCTCGGTCATTTTGAGACTCCCATCAACTCAGCCAGAACGGAGGAAGACCAAAGGTTCGAGCACGTTTCCTTGTAACGCTCAGACACAGTCCTGACAAGCCCCTGGGGGCTGAAGGCTCAGCAGTGGGTTTTTATATAGCACTGGCTAGTCAGCGTGCCCACACCATCTGCTTTGGTTGAGCTGAAGTTTTTATTTAAATTTAACTTCCAGCACAGAACTGCTAAGGAAGCCCCTCCTAATGTGAGCTCCAGAAGCACCACATGCCCTAGGGACACTGAATACAGAATGCTGTTCCCTGGTTTGCCACTTGCAACAATAAATAAACGGCAGAACGCCAACATAGTGAGGCTGGGGTAACCCTAGATAGTTTTTTTTTTTTTTTTAAGAAGGGAATGTTGGAAGAAAGCAGCAATGTCTGTTTTGGAAGTTCACTAATACAAGGCACAACAGCACATCTATGAATTTACCAACGAGTAAACTCACACGATCACAAACCACTCAAGCTTCTGGGTTTTCTTCGCCTTGTGGAAGAATGGGTTTGAAGCTCCTCCTGCAAGTCTGAAGATTACACATTGACAGGGACGAGCAGGCAAAACTGAACAGCCAGAATAAGAGGGCTGACCAGGAATGCAGAGCCCCCCTCGAGTCTCATTGCTAGCTTGCTGCAAGGCCCAGGTAAGGCATTTCAGCTGTGCCTCAGCTTCCTTCCCTGCATACATCCATCACAAGGAAAGCCCAGATGTGGTGGAGAGTTTCTGTCGCGATTCCTTCCAAACTACATCTAAGAAGTAACAGATGCTGCTGCACCACTCGTTGCTCTCCCATAGGGCTGCGTAGGTTCCCATCCCTCTTTTCCTTACAGGAATGTGCAGTGAGGACAGAGATGCTGTTTGTTAGACAACTGTTCCCTGCTGAAACAACTCCTTACTCCGGCCCTACACCAAGAAAAAAAAAAAAAAAACAAAAAACACAAAAACAAAGCACTTCTCTTGCCTGGGTACAACTTGTCCCCAAAGATCCTTTCGTTTTCCTTCCTGTGCTTCACTACTCTTGGTAGAGAAGCTTCTGTAGGAATTGGTAGGTCACTCGCAGCTGTCCCTGGCAGGGTTATGAAACAGGGAAGAGGTCTCTTCAGGAACCAGTCTCACGGTGAAGGCATTTCCAGACTTGAGCTGTAGGTTGGGCTGCTAGTTCTGGTCAATCCAGGAAACACTTAACTACTTCTTGCAACAGTCTGACTGTGTTTACTTTGATTTGTACCTCCAGACAGCTGGGAAGGAAAGCAGCAAGCAATTAGGGCAGCAGGCTCCCTAATTCTATTTACCAGTCACATGGGGTAGGAAATCTGCCTGTACATTGTGCAGTTCCAAGGCAGCTCACAAGTCATCTCTTTCGATGTCCCACGGCAGTCCATCACCGCTCAGCATCAGCTATTAAACCCTGACACAGTGGAGCAGGAAATCCCCTGCCCTCCAGTAACAATGATAGGGTCACTGGAGGAAGAAAAAGACATTCATAGCCAGTCCCCACTCCTCCTGGCAGTGGCAAAAGCCCTGTTCAATTCCCAGATGAGCAGCAATAAAACAAGGGGTCACTTCACAGAAGCTGGAGTTCCCCGTGTCTTATCTTATCTTACAGCATCTGCAGCGAAAGGGAGAAGTGACCACCAAAAACTGGAGAAAGCAGGAGGAAAAGCTGCGTCCCTCCTCGCACAGCTTTCCCACGTACGCAATCCAGTTCCTGAAAGGCTGATGAGTGTTCTGCATCGAGATGCAAGTGTTGTCTTTATTTTGTAGTCATCCATTTTGTAATCGCCTCAGAACACGATTCGTGTTGCAACACTCCCTCCTGGACTGGGGCAGGCAGTTTCACATCAGATTCTCAGGGGCCACCTCTGCCACTTGATGCTCCCCTGCACCACAGGATTCTTCCCAGGGGAACCAAGGGTCCCACCACCATACAGAAACGAAGCAGGTGGCTGAAACCCAGACCCTCACCTAGTACATGGGCAGCAGAATAGTGATTTAGGAGGATATTATTCTGGTTTAGGACTAGGAACAACCCTCATATGAGAACAGCTAGCCAAAACAAAAGTTACCACCCTCATGACCAAAACCAGACCAAGCTCCTTAAGAACAGCAAGAAAACTGCAGAGATCTCAAGCCTCTGCTCTTTAGGAACTGAACCCCAGCGTGCTTTGTCAGCAGGAAAAGCGTTTCCTGAGAAAAAGCGCCGTTCTCTAAGTCACTTGGGTCACGGAGCCTCACTGAGGGCTGAGCACGAACACAGGAGCTGAGTGGGATGGGCAGAGGGAGCTGTGTGAGCAGTTTGCTGCAGAGGGCAACCCAAAGACCAGATGATGAAACTTCAGCCTGCGTGCTGTGTAGCTGGAGGAATCCCCAGGCAAGACATGCAAGACAGTCGCAGCGGTTTTCATGGTGCTTCAGAGTGCCACCAACTTCAGCGTGTAGACTACAGGAGTTTATGGGCAGGAACAGCCTTAAAGTGGGAAAGAAGTGCTGCATCTGAGCATTCTGGGTGAAGAAATTTGAGCTCAGGTTGCAGACCTTTTCAGCTGGAGCTCAGGAACAGGGGATCTGCTCCAAACGGAGTTACCTCCACCACATGGAGGGCTGATACCGAGATTTTGAAAGAGTGATTTCTTCAAGTTTTAAGGTTGATTTCAAACCTGCATGAGCCAATAGGTAGGAACATGTGTGCTTCAAGCCCTGAAGACTTATCAGAAGCAAAAGGAAGCTTTCAAAAGGCATAATTAAGTAGGCAGGTTTTAGGTATTGCACATTGAGAAATAAATCTGTGTGTATCTGTCTCAAAGGTGTTTCAGCTTTCACATTCCACAGCACTCTACAAGCTACCACAGTTTCGTGAGCAGTTCCTCCCCCAGTTAAGAAATAACTTCACCTTCAAGGGTTCCAGCTGCACCGAAGCAGTGCTGCTTTCGAGCACCACAATTCGGAGCCAGGCTGGAACACCCCAGAGCAGCAGCAGCAACATCCTGAGACCACACAGGGAGAGAGACCTATATGCTAAAGCCTCCCTCACACAGCAGGATTACGATGTATCCTGCCATCCAGCCCACAAACACACTCCTGAAGCCTCTGCAATGCACACATTCCCTGTTTAGATACTAAATCTCTCTCCAGTGCCTGCAGATTTACCTGGATCCAAGTTTGCACCCCACTTCTCCTCTCCAAAAGCAGAGTGTTTGCTCCTCTCACCACGCAGCCTCAGAAAGAAGAGCAGAGCCTACTTCATGTGAACAAACCCCATTAGTGTGCCATCCCCACATCAGCTGCTGGGCACGGACCCACCACGTACAGCATTGGTGCTGAGCAGGCTGAGACAACAGAAGAAAAGGGAGTTCCAGGCTTACATAACAGCCTGCCAAAACTACCCAGACTTCAACCAACCATAAGCATCACCGAGTACTAATCCTGTGTTTTACTAGACACACCTGGAGGAGAAAGATAATCACTCATCTTAGAAGAACAGGGACTTTCTGAGTGCACCACACCTAAAGAGTGGAATCATTCAGAAACAAGATTAAACGTATCCAGCTGACAATGTATCCAGCTCATATAGCAGCACCAACCTTACCCAGTAAGTCAGATTAACAGAGCCAGGAGCATGAATCCCTTCCACAAGCCTCAGGACCCCTGTGATATTTAACAAATGCAAGGAATAAACAGAGAAACTGCTGCAGGAGCATGAGTATCCTCTCCTTTGGATGATTTCTCTATCAAAAAAAAAAAAAACAAAAACTACAATCTACACAAGTGGAGATGGACTTACTGTAGACAGGCACGTGGCTGAGCTGTGCTTTAAATTCCTGCCTGCAGCTGCTGACCTTATCCAGTTAGGGACAAAGTGAACAGGAACATTACTCTTCAGTTTCTCTGGCTAGTTTGTCAGCTTGACTCATCATTTGCTGAATACTTTATCCAGCCTCCTCTTCTTTCCGCTGGCCATTCTGTTACTAAAGGAGATACCGGCAGAACAGGACTACATGCAAGATCTCATGACGTGCCCCCCAAGAATTTCCTGAGTTTCCATCCCTTACTTCCAGGTCCTCCCTGAAATCAGGGAAGTCCTTACCTTCAGTGGGAGGCAGCTTCCCAGGGAGGCAATTTCAGAACACAAACCTGGATGGGCAGACAGGGATGTCTTGTATGTTGGATTTCAATTCTTTCATTTGTACTACACATTCTTAATTCTCAGGGGCCTTATTTCTAGGACTCACGCTGCAAAGCAGCAGTCGAGCACTGCTGACAGTTTCTTACCTATCAGAAGCCCAGAGAACCAGGGAGTTATTCAGTCTGCTGACAGCATCTGAGGTAGATAAGGGAAAGAAAAACACTGATGCTCCTAAGACTATAGCCCTGATCATTGACGAGCTACAACATGTTGCAATAAGCTTTCAACACAGCACAGCTTCCCTCACCAGCATGCTGCCACCTGAAATGCTAAAGGAGGGCAGGACACAGAGCTCTTTGTTCAAACACTGGGAAATGCAAAGAGCTTTGCAAGTCAGAAATGGGAATGGCAATGTGTGTCCCCTCCCCCATGTTTTCTTTTAATTCTGACTCTAATAAAAAGAGAAGGCTAAAACAGAGCTGCTTTCATGCACCCCTCAGAAAACCTTCCAAGCACAGGGACAGCCATGTGATAACTGGAAAAGTCCAAGCTGTGAGATGAAGTCTCGAGTTATTTTGTCCTTCACTGTTTACAGAAGTAAACAGCAAGGAAGCCAGATGCCAGAGTCTGGAACAAACCATGACCCTTACAATTGGTCCTTTCTGCAGAGGAAAAGAAAAAAAAACACAACTCCTGTGGAACAAAACTTCCAAGCAAGAAAAGCAAACATGAAATTCAAAGGATCATGTGTGTGCCATTCAGACTAGCAGGTAGAAGAGTGGAACAGCAGCTGCCAGCACTTACATTCTTCACTTGGAACAGCCAGCAAACTCGATGCTGAGAGAAAAGTAAGGAGGGTTTCACATCACCACCCACCAGCCTGTATGCAGTGTGCAGCCCCACCCAAGCCAATGGATACAGAAGGATTAAACAAATTAGCTGGGTAACACCTTTTTCCTTATTTTTTCATGAGCTTCAGTAAAATAGCCCACCTGCACTACAATCTTCACAGGAACCTCTTAATTGACTCTGCCTGCCAGATGCAGGACTGCCCTTCTTTTCCTAAGCCCAGTGCAACAGCTCCTGTTTACTGGCACACAGGCAAGCCTGTCCTAACAAGTACACAGAAGAACATCTGCACCATCAGAGCTGGGTTGGCCTGCCCCGTTTGCTGCCTTTTGAGAGCGTTCTGCCCCAGCTTCAGGGAAGTGAGCATTCTCTGGAGTTACCTGTATCAGCACCACTTGGCCCAGGGATGTCAGGGGGATACAGCTGTGGGAACTGGCAGCGCTGTCAGATGCCTTGCTCCAGTGATGTGAACCAGAGAAAAGTGCCTGTGTCAGCTCACGCATTATGAATGCACAGGGGCACAGGCTTGCTGTCCAAAATTAATTTTCTCTTTGCCATAGAAAAGATGCTTCAAGGACAGGGCACTGGAACTTGTCTCGGAAAAGTATAACAGCATTCTTCCCACAGGACACTGCAAAACAGCCCCACATACTGACAAATGCAAGTGATTTTATTAATTGTTAGTAACTAAAATTAAAAAATAGCCACAGCGTTAACCTGGAACAACCAGACCAGCTTCAAGCAGCCCCTCAGCTGCAGCAAAAGCCTACTCAGGCATTTAATTCCAGCTTTGGAGACTGATACAAGAAGAGGTAAACAACTGTTTTCAGCTGAAGACAAATGGTGGGCAGAGCAGAGCTTTGACAGATCTAACAAGAGATTAAGAAATCAAGACACTAGATTCAAAGCAAGCGAAAACTCTTAAGCAAGGGTAATCATAATTGATTGCTGACAGACTGACACAACACACACAAACCTATTAGCTTGGAAACAGCTGTGGCAACACCCAATGAGATGAACCAAAGATGATTAGACAAGAGCAATGTAAGACACCAGCTATCAACACCATAATATTTAGCCTCAGCCTGACAAAAGAAGAGGAGTATGTGCGTGTTTACCCACTTACCCCCAGCCCTACAAAACTTGCCTTCAGGACCATAAGCTTCAAGACACTGGCTGTGACTTCCAGCTCAGAACATTCTGACTGCATTATGTGAGAGATAAGGGACAGGCCATCTAACCTGCAATCACAGAGCTGCTAAAGCC